TGCCACTTCCGGTTTTCTGGTAGTTAATTGAAGATAAGAGTCTTCTGGGCTTTTTTTCCTGGGCTAGCTTTGAACCCTGATTCTCAGATCTCAGCCTCCTGAGTAGCTAGGATTATAGGCATGAGCCACTGATGCCACTTCCCAGCCTCCTTTATATATACGATCTGTTTTTATTTTTGTTTTGGTTGGTTGTGGGGCTTGAACGCTGGGCTAGGACACTGTCCCACAGCTCTTCAACCCAAGGCTAGTGCTCTACCTCTTGAGCTACATACAGCCTCTTGAGTAGCTAGGATTATAGACGTGAGCCACCAGTGCCGAGCTTTTGTGTAAGATCTTGTTACAAGTGTTTGTGAAAACAATGCATGGTAGGACATATACAGAGGGTTAAGCATACCTCTTGGGTATGCTTTTGTATAATTCTCACTGTATGAGGTTGAGTATTAGCAAATTGTACAGTTGAGGCTGGTTGCCTGGATTTTATTAAATCAGATAGGGCCCTTATTTCTTTTGCTTTTCCATTTCCCACTCTGGTCTAATCTCTTACATGGATTATTGCAACATTTAACCTAACCCCTTTTTATTTTAGTAGCTTCTTCTAGTAGCTAGCTTTCTTTTTTTTAAAATAATAAGATTATGCCACAATTCACTTACACTTTCACAGAATCAGATATGATAATGTATTTGAATAAAATCTGTATCTCAAATAAAATCTCAGCTGTTTACCTTCAAAATCCATGAAGTAATCCTGTCTTTTCTTTCCAGCCTTATCTTTGATGTTATTTGATGCTCACTTACTTGACTGTTTTGCCCTGCCTGAAGTACTCACCCTCTGTTATTTAAATATCTGTTTCCTCTCATCCTTAGTCCAGTCATTTAAAATGCCTTCCTTACACTTTTGTCTGAAGTAGAGCCTTGCTGTAATTTTTTGTTGGTCATGGGGCTTGAACTCTGGGTCTAGGCGCTGTCCCTGAACTCCTCAGCTCAAGGTGTGTGCTCTGACACTAGAGCCACAGCACTACTTACAGTTTTCTGGTGGTTAATTGGAGATAAGAGTCTTACAGACTTTTCTGCCTGGCTGACTTTGAACCACTATCCTCAGATCTCAGCTTCCTGAGTAGCTAGGATTATAGGCGTGAGCCACCTGTACCCGACACCCTGTCCTGTGACACCCTGTCTTGTGGTTATTCTTTATCATAATTCCTAGTTAATTTTGTCCATCATCCCACTACATTTGGTATTTTTTTTAAAAAAAGGTTTATCAGTTTACTCACTAGTTAACCAAACAGTGCCTTGTACTTAGAAATAAGCTCTAGTTTTTGAATTGGTAAATAAAAGAACTTGTATATGTTGTGATGAAGGTAAGAAACAAGGATAGGATCTTAATGAGGGAGTAACAAGAAGAAAGATGGGTTTGGGGATGATTGATCTGACAGCTGAAGTCTGAGAAAATGAACTTGGAAGAATCCATGTGTTCTGGTTTTAGCAAGGGCCTTAGAAAAAGACACTTAAGGACTCAACAAATGGGATGCAAACAGTGATAAAAAGTGAGCAGTGCATAATTACTAGTATAGTAAATGCTATAAAAATGTACTGTAAATAGTAGTATAAAAAGGCTATCATACCATGAAAAGACATGGCAAAACATGGAATTTAAGTTACTTCATGAAAGAAGCCAATCTGAAAGGCTACATATGTTATGATGCAACTATATAATATTCTGAAAAAAGCAAAACTGTAGAGACATTTAACAAGACCAGTGTTTGCCAAGGCTTCAGAAGAAAAGATAAAGGGATGACTAGGCCATATTTAGGACAGCAACATTATTTTGTATGATACTGGGATGGTGAATACATACCACATATTTGTCACTCTAGTTATATACACACAGGGTGAATCCTAATGCAAAGAGTGAGCCTTAATAAGGTACCATTTAGCTTTTGTAACAAATGTAGGACAAAAGGCAAGGATGTTAATAGGGGAAGCTAGAAAGTAAAGTATGTATGTGGGAGCTGTACTTAATGTACCATTTTTCTGTAAGCCTGAAAATGCTCTAATAAGATAAATACATATTATAATATAAAAAATAGTGATGGTTTAAAATTCTAAGTGTATTTGTAATAATCTGATCCTTGTACCTTTGGTTTTTTTGAGGTATGGACACCTTACCACCACCACCATAATTTGTATTAAAAAACCAAAAAGGCACTCTTTAACATGTCAGATATTATGAGAGGAAGTTAATGGCTAACCTATTTTTAGTGTTGAATGCCAGAGTCTCAGGAGGTAACCTGAGGCCTTTAACTCAAAATCATGAAGGAACCATTACTAATGGTAGTTGAATGATATGATAAAATCATTTTCCCTTAGTAATTGCATCAAATTTGATCATTAGAATTTGGAGGCAGTGGGCTGGGAAGGTGGCTCAGAGGTAGAGCGTTTGCCTTGCATGCATGAGGCCCTGGGTTCGATTCCTCAGCACCACATAAGCAAAAAGAAAAAAGCCGGAAGTGGCTCTGGCTCAAGTGGTAGAGCTCTAGCCTTGAGCTGAAGAGCTAAGGGACAGCACCAAGGCCCAGAGTTCAGGCCCCACGACCTGACCCCCCCCCCAAAAAAAAAAAAGAAAAGGAATTTGGAGGCCCTCTGGTAGGTAGGCTCCTACTTTTGTGTAGACTCATCTTAATTTGCCCTGTCCCTTTTCTTTCCGTCACAAAACATCCATTGCTTGGGGGTTGTGGAGTTCATGTTTCCCTCCAATGTATTAGAGAGGATTTATAACAAAAATCTAGCTGGGGGTAGGAGGCAGGGCTGATGGGTAGCTTTCTCACCATGGTTGTGATCCCCAGCCCTAAAATCAAGTTCTGGACTGTATAACATTAATGTATAATGAATGCAGTGGAGAATCCTTTAGTTAAATATGTGTCCTTCCCTAACTCGTTCATTTTATGGCAGAATCATGATTTCTACGTAACTAAAGGCAAACGTGTTTGATGTGGAGCCTTGGTTGCATTAACAACTAATTTGTTAGAAAAATTAGTTTGAGAAGATTCATGCTCATTTATACACAACTGGCAAGAATAATTGACTACTACTCTGAATTTTATTTATTAGTTTTCTTTGTTACTAGCTTACATTAGTTATATCACAGGAGCAAATTTCAACCCTAGTCAGTTTTTGTTAAGTAGTAGTATACGCTCAACTAAACTTTGAACTCTGTTAGAGGTGATTTAAAATAACATTATTAGGGCATAGTTTAGTGACAGCTGATATAGAAACATATATATCTATAAAAATCTTTGGAAAGTAAGGGATAAATATCTTCTCTAGTTCCTAATAAACTTTAATCAGTTTGTTACCTGCATTTGCTAATCATTAGGTTTATAATGATAAGACATTGTAGGCTGGAGTCATAATTGGTACAGTACCCTAATATTGTGCTTAAAAAAAAGATAATGGTCTTATTTGCTTTAATGTCTGCATTTTCCCTATTATTTTTCAATTTATGTAAGTGAGATCATTGGCGGTCCAGTGGTTGTGGGTTTTTTTTTTTTTAATGTATGTTGGTGTCAGGGGTTGAACTTGGCACCTCACAAAAAATCAGCTTCATTGCTTCATTGCTTATGACTGGTTGTCTGCCAGGGCTGACATTGAACCATGTTCCTCTGGATCCATCCACCATTTGTGCTTTGTGATAGATTATTAGTCTAGCATCTATAATGACCTTACAATTAAAAAATAATCTCTAGCTTTTTTTTACTACACATATGATCATTCAGTTTCTGACTGCTTTTCAAAATAGTAGTTTTTTGTTTGTTTTGTATTTATACAGGGTATCAGACCCATGACCTTTGTGCAGATTATAGATACACTTAACACCTCCAGCTCCTGCAGTTGTACTTTTTTTTTGGGTCCGGTCGTGGGGCCTGAACTCTGGGCCTGGGCGCTGTCCCTCAGCTCTTCAGCTCAAGGCTAGCGCTCTACTACTTGAGCCACAGTGTCACTTCCGGCTATTTTTTCCTGCTTATGTGGTGCTGAGGAATCGAACCCAGGGCCTCATTGCATGCAAGGCAAGCACTCTACCACTGAGCCATCTTCCCAGCCCATGCAGTTGTACTTTTAAACTCACCACTGGCTATGGTAAAAATAGTATATACATGCCAAAAAAAATGCCTCAATAATTTCTGAATTAATGACTATTTTTACATTTTACTTAGTTATTTTATGCTTATTACATAATATTTAGTTACATGTAGTGGCTGCTATAATTAAGATACTTGGAATAAATGTGTATATCTCTAAGAATTAAAAGTGTTGTCTTTTTTTTTTTTGTCAGTCATGGGGTAAGTGTTGTCTTTTTTTTTTTTGTCGGTCATGGGGCTTGAACTCTGGGCTTGAGTGCTATCGCTCAGCTCTTCAGCTCAAGGCGAGCACTCTACTGCTTGAGCCACAGTGCCACTTCCAGTTTTCTGGTGGCTTATTGGAGATAAGAGTCTCATGACTTTCCTGCCTGGGCTGACTTTAAACTGTGATCCTCAGATCTCAGCATCCTGAGTAGCTAGGATTACAGGTGTGAGCCACCAGTGCCCAGCAAGTGTTGTCTATTAAAAATGATAGGTATCTAAATTGAAAGTTCAAACATTTGGGATAGGGTTTTCTTTACATATAAGGATTATTTAAAAAAATTAAAGTCTGATATTTGTAATCAGGTGTAGTCTATATTCCTACAGTTTAGAATGCCTCTGATCTCAAGTTTTAGAACATTTGGGTACAATTAAATTCTAAAGATGCTCTCATTTACTCTCAATTACTGTGCATGCTGTGTATGTGTATGATTTTATTAAGAAAAAAGTAAAAACCTATCTTACCAGTTAAAATTTATGAATATTTTTAGTATTGCATTGTGATTTTAGGTGTTTAATAACATCTTGTTATGAAGTTTGCTCAAAAGACCTAGATTTTATTCTTAATTACTAGTTTATTACAAATTGTGTTTCTTTTTTTAGAGAACTGCTGAGCCAAACCAGACTGTATTCCATTGTTGCTGAAAAAAAGAGTGTTCTTCAAGAGGAGCCTACAATTTCTCCTAGTAGGAATGCCAAGCAATTTGATTGGGCTCTAATGAGACTGGATAATTCTGTCCGGAGAACTGGCCGAATTACAAAGGGGCTTCTGCAAAAAGTCTTTGATAGCACATGTCGCTCAGGTAATTTAAAATTTTTGGTAAGAAAACTGAGCTTTTTAATTATCATTCATTTGGAAACAAGCTCATCACAGAGGATATTATTTGGTATTTTAGGGGTTCTTATCTATAATTATAATCTTACAGTTATTGGAACTTATCTAGACAAAGTTTAGAGTAGTTAAAACATATTGTTTTAGATGTTTATTTCAATATTAGCAAATAAAAATAGCCTTTGCTTTCCATAGTTGATAGGAATAGAGTTGTCAATTGTCATGGAAGATGTTATTTTTTTCTTACCTTCCTTTGTGTCAGTTTTTCTAAAATGATCACAGATGATAGATTTCCAGATAGATGATCATTTCCCTTCCATTTTCAGACAGCTGCTAAAATCATTGTGAATCACATATTTGATCATCTTGATGGAAGCTGTAGGTTCTATGCTTCATCTCCAGTCCTGCTTATAAAATCAAAAATGGAAACTTGCATGCATGAAGCTTAAGAAGATTCATTAAAGCTTTCTGAAAGCTTTAATGCCTATTCTAGGCATTGCTCTAGAATTTGATGATAAGACATACCAAAGAAATATCAGTTACAATTGTAATCATTTGCATCTAAGGGTTATTTTTTAACAATTTTCTTTGTTTTAGTCAGTTTATCACTACAGTGAATTTTTGAACATTTTCTTCATTCTGAAAAGAAAGTGCATCCTCTCTCTCATCCCCTCAGCATCCCCCCCCTTCCAGTCCTTGGCAGCCAACAGAGTATTTCTTGCCTGTGTAGTTTTGCTATTTTGGATAGTTCATATAAATTGAATTGTACAGTAAGTGCTTGTTTGTGCTTTTAAAGTCAGCCTTCAGGAATGTGTAGGTAAAGATTATACATATGGGAAGAAAGACACTTATATTATTCTCTAACTGATTATATACCTGAATTTGATATGTATAAATTTTTATTATATTGCTTTGTATCTTTTTCATAAGATACTGAGAAATTTAGCCTTTGAATTGTAACAAGCTCTGCTTAGAAAATATGTTCTCAGTACTCTACTCAGGCATGTTACATATCTTTTGTAGCCTTAAGATGTCTCCAGAAGGTGACTAATATTAAAATTTTAACTTGGAAAATTTTAACTTGGAAGTTTTAGTAACATTGTAGATTAGATGGGTTCAATATCATATTTGAACTGAAAAATTTTATGGATACTTATATTTGATGGATGTTTTGTTGATCTCTTTAAGAAGATTTTGAGTATTTATAGATACAGGTTTAAATCTGATATTTATGTCCATTATTTGCATTACTACATGTTCTCTGTTAATCTTTTCTGTAGATAACCCAAGTGGAAATCAAGCCTTGCTTCTGTTGCGCAGCTGTGGTTCTCTCTTGCCTGAACTGAGCTTTACAGAACGGACAGAATTTGCTCATACTATATGGGATAAACTTCAGAAATTGGGTAAGATTGTTTTAATGTATGGTGTGTGAACCAAGTGTATTTTTTCTATTCATTTGAAAGCATTTCTTTACATTAATACTGTAATTCGATATTTGGAAGGACTATTTGATTCATAATCTTTTGCTAATACGTTTTATTTGGTGAGTTATAGTGACACCTAGGGGCATTCAGAATAGAATAGTTTTTCATAATAAGTATTATGACTTTTATAAGTGAAAAAGGAAACAATAGAAAGATTAGTAGAAGTTATAATTGTAGGTACAGTTTGTAGGTACAGTTAGGCAAGCAGTTCCATTTCTCAAGACTTACATAACTACATGTGCAAAGGAATATTCTTCATGGTAGCTTGTTAGTAATAACAAGAAACTTTAATCAACCTTAATGTTCTTCAGTGAGGATTAAATAACTAAAAAATGAAGGTTCTCTGAAACAAAAGTAGATTCAGAACAATGTGTACAGTATTCTACTATTTTGAGGAATTGGGTTTTTTTATATTCATGTGCATATTTCTAGATAATCACTGAATGCAATTTTTACTCTATATGTTTCTGTACTACATGTTTTAAAGTATTAGCATTATCAGGTACATCTTTAATAAATGTATAAATATGTTACCTTGATAAGGAAAGCTATATAGTGGTATTTTACAGTTTTCAGATTATGCCATGATTTTCTTGATGGATGACTATCATGTCATGAATGGGTAGTTTAGGCTGAGTGGGAGTCCTAACTGCTTGACTTTCGGCAGTATGGACACAGAAAGAAAATCTAGGGTGCTAAACTCCAGGCAATAATGCTGGCGTTCTAGGAATGGTGCTCAACAGCTGAAGATAGAATGGGTTTTTAAACCCAGGCTTGGAGTAGCCTGGTAAGGAAATTAAGAAAAAAAAAGTCACCACACTAATACTGTGTAAAGAAGCTGCTTTTACAATCTGTCTGTAATGTGGTAAAAACTTCTTTATGTAGAAAAATCTTTCAGTCAATTTTAAATACAGAGATGTCAGCATTTTCTAATAGGAAGACTGCTTCATAAGAAAAAGACCCATTAATATCATAAGGCTTTCACCTCTAACTATAAAATACAGTAATTTAATAATTACCTCTAAAGTGATCATTTTATTCTTTTTTAAATTTTTTTCTTTGGGGGGGGGTCCTGGGCCTGAACTCTGGGCCTGAGCACTGTCCCTCAGCTCTTTAGCTCAAAGCTAGTGCTCTACCACTTGAGCCACAGTGCCACTTCCAGCTTTTTCTGCTTATGTGGTGCTGAGGACTCGAACCCAGGGCCTCAAGGCAAGCACTCTACCACAGAGCCACCTTCCCAGCCTGATAATTTTATACTTTTTTATGTTTGTTAAATTTAGGTTTACATCATTCCAGTTGTGATAAAAAATATGATTTTAATTGCTTTTCTAAAATTTGGATCAAATTTTATTTTAGGTGCTGTGTATGACGTAAGTCATTACAATGCTTTACTTAAAGTCTATCTTCAAAATGAATATAAATTCTCACCTACTGATTTTTTGACAAAAATGGAAGAAGCAAACATTCAACCAAATCGAGTAGGTAGTTGCTACTATGAATATTGATTATTCATGTCCTTTTTTCTAAATCATGTCCATTTTTTTAACTCAAAAAAATAAATTGTGTTATTTCATTGACAGGTGACATATCAGAGGCTGATTGCTGCTTACTGTAGTGTAGGAGATATTGAAGGTGCCAGGTATGGATCTCTATAAATGTAGGTCTTTACAAATAAATTTATAAATTTTGTAAATCTAAAGCATCGTTATTTTAAAGGCTATTCTTCAAGGGCAATTTGGAAGTGTAATTTTAAGGTAGCAAATTCGATAACATGATTTAGATCAAATGTAAAGCTATAAACTGAGTGCCAGTGGTTTATGCCTGTAATCCTAGCCACCCAGGAGGCTGAGAGCTGAGGATGGTGATTAGAAGCCAGCCCAGGCAGGAAACTCTGTGACTCTCATCTCCAGTTAATCACCAAAAAGCTGGAAGTGGATCTGTGGTTTAAGAAGTAGAGTGGTAACCTTAAGCAAAAAAAGCTCAGAGATAGATATCACCCAGGCCCTAATAAGTTCAAGACCCAGTACTGGAACAAAAGAAAAAAAAGTAAATACATAAAGCTATTATATAAGAAGGACAGATCAGTTTCAAAAGTTGTTGTTTTAATTTGAATATTCTATTGGAGCATGTGTATAAATATCACTGATATAAAGCTGGCTTTACTTTTTAAAAACACTAGTAGTTCCTGCAGGAAATACATGTAAAAATGTCTTTGTTTTATATATATATTTCCAAGGAGTATCTTCACTTTCCTTTTCTTGCAGCAAGATTCTTGGATTTATGAAAACTAAGGATCTTCCAATCACAGAGGCTGTGTTCAGTGCTCTTGTTACGGGGCACGCAAGAGCTGGGTAAAGTTGACATAAAGTTTTGGTTCTTCAGGGGATTCTTTCTAATTGTTGTAAATAATCTAGGCATGCTGTGCATGGCATGGAGGGAAAGTTATCAGTAGAATTGTGGTTTGAGGTTGGCCCCGGAAAAAACTTTGAGACTGTACCCCAAAATGAACAAAATTGCCCAACCACCAAAAAGAGGAAAAGAGAAAAAGAAAATTATTGGAGAAAATTCATAGAACATGTATATTTATACTTTCCAGAGAAAGTCTAGAATTCATGACGTAGAATATAATGGTATTTTATAATCTGTTCTTGAATTTCATAAAGCTTTTATTATTTAGCTTAAAAAATTAGTCTTCATTGAGGTAGCTACTTTTATAAAGTTTACTAGCTGCTCAGGAAAATATTTTTTCATGAGTAACTTACTACATGCTATTTTGAAAGTAAATAAAGCTGTGATATAATTTACTTAGTGTAAGAGAAAATGTTATTTAATGTTCATTATAAAATTTATTTGGAAGGGAACATAGCTATAAAATTTTCAGATGTTGGGCTGGAATGTGGCTTAGTGGTATAGTGCTTGCACATACCCTGGTTCTATTCCTCAGTACCACATACACAGAAAAAGCCAGAAGTGGTGCTGTGACTCAAGTTGTAGAGTTCTAGCCTGGAGCAAAAGAAGCTCGGGGACAGTGTCTAGGCCCTGAGTTCAAGTCCCATAACTGGCAAAAAAAAAAATTCAGATGTTTATAATTTTTATCACTTCCAAATCATACCGGTTTATATTTTTATAATTATCTTTTTTGACACTGTTATTCACATTACTACTTGAAATCATTAATTTTAATAAGCATAGGTAATATATTTTAGATGGAATAATTATATTACATTAGTGATTGTAGTGATCTGTTTTGTTTTCTCTGAATACATATATAGAGAGATGGAGAATGCAGAAAATATTCTCACAGTGATGAAAGATGCTGGAATTGAGCCTGGTCCAGACACATATGTAGCATTATTGAATGCATATGCTGAGAAGGGTGACATTAACCATGTAAAGCAGGTATTGACATGGAAGTGCACATTAATATCATTTTGATAAACTTGTATTGTGCTTTATATTAAGCACAAAAGTAGTTTTGTGCTTTAAAGATTCCTCCTTATAAGGAATAGTCTTAATTTAAGGGAACATCCTTAGGGTACTTTGATGTTGATGTATAACTTATTGTTGAAATAGAATATATATTATTCTAATTATTTGGATTTGGTATTTAATGTATTTAGTTTTAATTCTTAAAAACACTGGTTTCTAATATGTGCCTAATGTCTGGAACTGTCTATAGACTCTGGAGAAGGTGGAGAAGTCTGATCTTTACCTCATGGACCGTGATTTATTGCAAGTTATCTTTAGCTTCAGTAAAGCTGGGTATCCTCAGTATATCTCAGAAATTTTGGAAAAAATTACCTATGAAAGAAGATATATTCCAGGTAGTTTTCTTTGTATTTGCATGGTTTTTGTCTGAAACCTAAATTATTATTTATTACATGTTGGGAAGGGCATTCTCTAATAATGGGCAATTGTAGTAGGTAAAGTAGAATTTTTTAACTTTCCCCATGTATTTATTTTTCCATGTATATTTTTTATTGTAAAAATAGTGTACAGAGGGGTTACAGTTACACGAGTTAGGGTAATGAGTACATTTCCTGTCAGACATTGTTACCACCTCCTTTGTTTTTCCCCATCATCCCTTCCATCCCCACCTCCCCAACTACTCACCCCCTCATCCCCCACCCCGAAATTGTAAAGTTCGTTTTCAACATAGTGTCTTGTACATCCTATTGTTACAAGGGGTCAACCTGTATCCTTATTTAAGCATTTTGTTATATCCCTTCCCCTCCCCAAATTATAAAAATCAGGACAAGATGCAGGACACAGGAATCAGATACAGTGAAAACAGGGGCTATACTGTGGGGTAAGAACATACAAAAGAAACAAATGCATCACATCATTATAAGTACTTTAAAAGCAATAGCAAGAAAGAAAAAAAACACTTGTGTCCCTATCTTTGGGTTCATTTCACTTAACGTCATCTTATATGGTCATATGTATATAGCTTTTGACCTTTTTTGCTTGTCCTAGACATATACTAGTTATTGCAAATAAAGTCAGCATTTTATTAAGCTAAAAACTGGAAGTTAATAAATACAAGAGAATAAAGTGTTTTTGCAAGTGTTTTATTTAGGCATTTTTAGTGTTGATAATCACCAATGTTTTCTTTAAGTTGATTGCATTACATAAAGTTGATTTAGTAACAGAAGATGTTTTTGTTTTCTCAGATGCAATGAACCTCATTCTGCTTTTAGTCACTGAGAAACTGGAAGATACAGCCTTGGAAATTTTACTAGCATGCCCTATATCAAGAGAAGACAATTCGGTTGACTTTGGCAGCTTCTTCCTACGACACTGTGTGACTATGAATACGGTACTGTCCATTTTTAATTTGTAGATAGTTTAATTGGCAGTGCAGTAAGATTCTTTAAAGAAAATGTATGAAGTTAGGCCAATTATAAAGCATTATAAAAACCTTTGGGTTTTTTTTGTTGTTGTGACACTTTTGGGCACATAGAGAATAAGAGGCTCAGATTTTTTTTTAATCCCTCAAGTGCAGCAAGTGAAGTGATGGATAATTACCAGTATAACTGATGTGACTTTTTTTCTCTCCTAGCCTAAAGAGAAGCTGATCAACTACTGTAGGAAGTTAAAGGAAGCCAGGATGCACACTTCTCCTTTGCAGTTTACTCTCCACTGTGCTTTAACAACCCATAAAACTGGTACTATTTTATTTTTTTGAAGCTAATAGTCACAGATTTTGTCAAGTCAGCTTCATGGTATTTTATGTCATCTTTTTCAGATTTGGCAGTAGCTGTAATGAAGGCTTTGAAGGAAGATGGCTTTCCTCTCAGAACACACTATTTCTGGCCATTGCTAGTAGCACATAAGAAGGAGAAAAATGTTCAAGGTTAGCTTTTGTCTCTTACTGATTTGAAATGGGTCAGATAATCAGTTTAAGAGTATACATACATATATTTGAATTCTTAGGGAAGTATACCGATTCTTGAATGTTAGGTATCATGAGTGAGAGTATATTATTTACACAACAGATATTAATACATTTTTTATTTTTAATTATTTTTAAAAGTGTAAATTATTAAAATTTTAAAGAATACAATGATGTACTTTTTCATTCTAGTTTCATTTCTTGGTTCATCTCTGATCTTTATATTCCAACTAGAGAGTATAGTTATACACTGCTCATTTATTGTAAGGTTTTTGAAAAATACTCTTTGGTATTTGAAATTAATTTGTCTACCCTTACTAAACTTGCATATAATCACACTCATGAAAACAAAAAGCATGGCCATTTTCTTTGTGGGCCAGACTCTTTCTTAACTGAGCTTCGTTACAATAATAGGAAAGGCAAGAAAACTTACTACGAAATGAGTGCTCATGACCTGACAGCCTGCTGATTGAAGGACAGAAATGTTCAATCTTTCAGCTCCTTAAGTACATTTAAGCATTTAGCATACTTTTTCCTTGTACACATGGGATGTCTATAGGATATGAATAAGAACTGAACAAATATTAAATTTTAGAGTACAGTATCTAATTCTTTGGTTTGCATTATTGGTAATTCAGAAAGCGTAGTTTCATAAAAAGATGCTTTTAACAGAAGTACTTCCCCCTTGGGGAAACAAAAAAATGGTCTTTTTCATTTTATCTTGAAGTATAATGTGCTTTGGAATGAGATGCAGAGTTGTTAGTGTGACACTGGGTGACAAACAAAATGCACAAACAACAAAAAAGTGCTTTTAGCAGACTTTCATATTGCAATTTTATTTTAAATATATAGCCATCTTCTGGCTTAAAGGAAGTAGTGAAACAACTATTCCCTAATTGTTTCTGGCTATAAAAGTCTCTAAATCCTTTTTAGAAAAATCTTTGCGAAAACAATATGCTAGTTGATTAACTCTTTGTGTGTTCTCCAGTTCTGAAAGCTCTAAGAGATAACCTTGAGCCCAGTGTTTTTGAATCACACAAAGTTTACATCAAACTCTTTGGTCATGTTAGTATTGTTTACCTTTACACAGGTCTGAAAATACTTTTTCTACCCTATTGAAATGTCTGTTTAAATTGGCTTTTCTCAATCATGTGACAGCATCTGGAGTTGAAACGGTTACTACGTTGTTTCTACTTAGTAAACATAAAAGCTTTAGGCCGTTTCTCTAGTTAGAGCTAGAAAAGTCTAGTTAGTGGAAAAGGGACTTTGTCTTGAGTCTGTCTTTTCTTAGAATCTTCGTGTTTACAGATTTCAGAGGTGTCTTATTTAAAGTTTACATTGCATTAGTAAAGGAACCAAGAGCCATGAAGGATTCAGAGATCTTAGGTTCTGCATCTATCTGTCAGTAGTTGAAGGATTAAGATGGAGAAATTCCTTTTCTTTTTTTTCTTTAGAAATATTGACTGATAAGATAGGAGATTGTTAATTTTTCAGTTTTTAAAATTCCTTTCTTTCACAAGATCCTGAAAGATAGGAAAATGTGTATTCTAGAGTCTTATTTCATATAATAGGGAAAGTAACGGTGTTTTGTTGTTGGGCCAATACTGTGGTTTAAACTTAGGACCGTGTAGCTTTTTCACTCACCACTAGTGCTCTACCACTTGAGCCATCCCTCCAGTCCAGCATTTGTTAGTTAATTGGAGGTAGACTCTCACAGACTTTTCTGCACTGGTTGGCTTTGAATCTTGATCTTCCCAGGTCTCAGTCTGTTCAGTAGCTAGGATTACAGTTGTGACATGCAGTCACCAATTTATGTATGCTCTTTGTAGTTTTGTGTGGGGTTAGAAAGGATATTAGTGTAGCGGCTTGTTCTTTGTCCATTGAAAGTTACAGGTAAGCTGGTAGACATGACAGAAGGTAATGGATGTAGGAGTGAGGACATACTGGAGTGTTCCATAAAGAATAAAGCGAACCTTTAAGGAAATCAATCATATTTGGAGGCCAGATAAAACTGAAACAAGTGTTTTAAACAGTAGGATGATCAAATGTTTATTGAATTTTTCTGACTTCTATTTACCCATCAGGAATCTCTAAGAAAGATTTTTCTGCCTTCCCCATGGCTCATCTTATTATTATTATTATTTTTTTGTGTGTGCCAGTCCTGGTACTTGAACTTAGGACCTAGGAGCTGTCCTTGAGCTTTTATGTTCAAAGCTATACTCTACCACTTTTAGCCACAGTGCCATTTCTGGATTTTGGATAGTTAATTGGAGATAAAGATCTTACAGACTTTGCTGTCCAGGCTGACTCTGAACTGTGATACTGATATCTCAGTCTCCTGAGTTGCTAGGATTACCGGCATGAGCCATTGACACCTAGCTTACTAACATTTTCTCTGTGTATGGCACAGGTAAACTTATAACCAGTTAGAATTTTTTTTCAGCAACTTTAAATGAGGTAAACACAAAGTGAGTAGGGATCTACATCCTTTGACTTAATTAGAAAACATGAAAATAGGAATATACAAAGGAGAAAAGAAACATGGCAAGGCTGATAGAAGTGTACCAGTTGAGTTGAATAGAGGTAACTTTCAAAGTGTAAGACTTTGCCTCCTAATTAAGTAAGCATACTAGGTAGAATATAAAAGTGACATGGAGCAGATAATCACAGTGGAAGTTGTTAAATGATCTCTTTCCTGATCACTAGAACTATTTCAATTCTTACAGAACTATTTGAGTGGATCCTTTTTTTCTGGGTCTGTAAACTTACTTGTACATTGAAATAACTGTAAATTTGATTATTTACATTTTTTTGCCAGTCTGGGGGACTTGAACTTAGGGCCTAGGTACTATCCCTGAGCTCTTTTGCTCACAGCTAGTACTACCACTTTGGGCCACAGTGCCACTTTTGGTTTTCTGATGGTTAAGTGGAGGTAAGAGTCTCATAGACTTCCTGCCAGGGCTGGCTTTAAACATTGATTCTCAGATCTTAGCCTCCTAACTAACTAGGATTACAGGTATGAACCACCAGTAGCCAGCAATTACTTACTTTTAGTTTAGATGTTCTGTGTTCACACATAGAAATTTCTAACCCATTATGGTAGTATGAGATTAATCTTGTGTTTTAACAAAACATCAACCAAACATGCTATCACATGCAGGAGACTCCCAAGTTGGGAGATAGCCTAGGTATTTTACTGAGACCCTGTCCAAAAGTTGAAAAAACAAGAAAGAGTATGAATATAGCTAATTAGTGGAAAGCTTACTTAGCATGTATGAGGCACTCATTACATTCTTTAGTACTATTTTAAAAAAGTAAGTTGCATTTACTTATGAGAATTTATATACATTGAGTAGCTCAGTCCTATTTTCCTTCTTATTGACAAGAACTTTCCTCCTTTCATTGACCATAGTTACTAAAGCTGCCACAGGATCCTCAAGGGAATGAGTAATGTCACCTGGGCAGAGGGCAGTAGAGTAACCCAGGCTTTCTGAAACTTTGCTGTTCATAGTTTTAGTTAGAATATTATATAAGCTAGAATTGGCAGCAGCATGAATTATTCCCCCTCTCAGTATTATTGGGAAAATGAAATGTTATAGAATAAAATATTTGAGGCATCAATGTTATGTTAAAGTGTTTGGAATTGAAATAAGAATTTTTATTTGTAATCAATTTACTGTTCGGTTTTCAAACTTAAGAAAATCTGTTGTGTAGGGAAGTTGAAATTTTTCAAGGATACATTCAGTACTCAGTGGTCACTATGCTGTACATTATGTCTTTTGAATGTACTTTTCTTATAAATGGCAATTTGTATTCTTGGACCAGTACCTACACTTTCCTGGTATTCACCTTTTTATTTCCTCTATAATAGATAAATAAATTCACTCCCCCTATCCCCCTTGCCCCACCCCAGGACATGGGCTTGAACTCTGCGCCTGGGCGCTGTCCCTCAGCTCTTCAGCTCAAGACAAGGGCTCTACCACTTGAGCCACAGTGCCACTTCCAGTTTTCTAGTGGTTAATTGGAGATAAGAATCTCACAGACTTTCCTGCCTGGGCTGGCTTTGAACCACTGTCCTCAGATCTCAGACTCCTGAACAGCTAGGATTACAGGCATGAGCTATTGGCGCCCAGCTGAGTTCGCCTTTTTTTTTTAAAGCTTCTACACATATGTGAGATCATTTAGTACAGTTATGTGTCACTTAACACTGGAATTCCATTCCAAGGAATTTGTCATTAGGCAGTTTATTCCTGTGCAAGAAGAAGTTTGTGGAAACCAAATGGTACAGTCTTTTACACATTGAGGTTATATAGAGTAATCTTTCTCTCCTGGGCTGAAAAGGGCACAGCATTGGGATACAGTGATAATCACAGAATCAATAGGCAATAGGAATTTTTCAGCTCCAATATTATGGGACCACCATTGTATGTATAATCTGTAATTGACCAAAACATCATTAGGATGTGTGTATAACTATTTTTGCATTTGTTTGTAGCTTATTTCACTTAGCATAATCTTTTCCATGTTTATTCATGTTGTTGAGTCACTCCCTACTTCTTTTCCTGCTTCCCTCTTCCATTTTAGAAGTTTTATTAAGTAGTTGTACAAAGAGGTTATAATTTCATGAGATAGGTTATGAATGCAGTGCATCTTGATCGATATCCTTCCTATTTTTCTTTCCTCCCATTATTTCCCTTCCCAGTCCTACTTTCAAGCTATAGTTTGGTTTTTATATAATGTAATGACTGCATTTCCTCACCTTTCCTCTCTCACCAGCATGTGCCTTATTATTGCACTCCCCTACCATATTTTCACCTCTCCTTTCTTTCTGACATTTTCATTGTGTATATCTAGCAGTCCTTGAACTTTTTTTTTTTTGGGTCTGGTCTTGGGGCCTGAACTCAGGGCCTGGGTGCTGTCCCTCAGCTCTTTAGCTCAAGGCTAGCGCTCTACTACTTGAGTCACAGCACCACTTCCGGCTTTTTTCTTTTTTGCTTATGTGGTGCTGAGGAATCGAACCCAGGGCCTCAGGCATGCAAGGCAAGCGCTCTACCACTGAGCCAACTTCCCAGCCCAATCCTTGAACTCTTAATTCTCCTGTCTCCACTTCCAGAATGCTGTGATTGTAGACAATACGCTATGAAGCTTAATTTTACACACACACACACATACACACACACACACACACACATGTACTCACACATGTATGTATCATATTTTTAATCCATTCGTCACCTGGATGTTGTTCCCATTTATGATTACTGTGAAAGTGCTGTGGTAAACATTTGAGACAGTGATTTTATTTCCTTTGTATATTTACTCAGAAGTGAAATTGCTAGGTCAAGATAGTTAGATTTTTTTAAAAGAACTTTTCCATAGTGACTAAATCAGTTTACCATCCATACAAAGTGTACTACTACAACTCTTTTCTCCACATCTTCACCAGCATTAGTTTTTTTACCTTCTTGATTTTATATATGAATATATATATTTCTTTTTGCAGTGGTGGTGACTGAATTCAGACCCTCAAGAGTGTTAGGCAGGCACCTGATCACCCAAGTATAGTATGGGTAATCCACTTTTTAATTTTTTTCAAAAGTGAAATAAAAAATACGTTGAAGCTGGGCGCCGGTGGCTCACGCCTGTAATCCTAGCTACTCAGGAGGCTGAGATCTGAGGATTGCGGTTCAAAGCCAGCCCGGGCAGGAAAGTCCAAGAGACTCTTATCTCCAATAAACCACTTGAAAACCGGAAGTGGCTCTGTGGCTCAAGTGGTAGAGCACATGCCTTGAGCTGAAGAGCACAGGGACAGCATTCAGGCCCAGAGTTCAAGCCCCACGACCAACCAAAATAAATAAATAAATAAATTGCCCTGAAATCAACATCAAACTATACCTTTAGCCTGATAATAGTTATTACCACTGTTTAGTGAAGTTGAGCGTTCTTTCATAAGCCTGTTGACCAATTTGTATGTAATCTTCAGAGAAGTATGTATTTATTTAGGGCCCTTGTCCAGATTTTCCTTGGGTTATTACCTTTTGGCTGTTGAGTTGTATGAGTTCATTTTATTTATTGGAAACATACACATATGCAAGTGCACATATATACTTGTTAGATATCCTTTTAACACTTTCACTCCTTATCTGCCTTTCCTTTTTGTTGTTCTTTTGGCCATTCTGAAGCTTTTTAGTTTGTTGTAATCTTACTTGTTTACTTTTGCTTTTGTTACTTGTTCGTTGGAGTCATATAAAAAAAAAATTCATGACCAAGGCCCAGTGTTTTAGGAATTTTGTGGTTTCAATCTTTGGTTGTACATTAAATCAGAATATAACTTAAATCCTTCATGAACTTTTGAATTGACTTTTTCTTTGTTATTTTGCAAGTGCATATCCTGTCTTCCAGTACCATTTTCTGAAGAGACTTCACTATTTCCTCTGTGTATTCTCACTGACTGTTAAGCATTAGTTGGCTTCATATGTATAACTTTTATTTCTGAGCTCTCTATTCCTTTGTCTGTGTGTCTATTTTATACCTGTATTATGTAAGTTTATGTATATTGAATATTTCAAAATGTTCTGATCTGTAACCTGAATTTTATCTGTAACATGCAGGTATTTTATGCTGTAGTTAGACTTGTGTGTATCTTTGTGTACATTGGAAATTTACAATTAATTGTTTTAGGCTTCATCATATAAGAAAATTTTATAGAAATAAAATTTTTTTGTCGGTTAAACAGGCCTTGACTATGTAAGTCCATCATTGCTCTATGGTAGCAGTGAAGTTTTATGGGAAGCCACAAATGTTGGACATATTGGTTAATTGTTTTGTTTCTTTAGAGCCATAATTTTGTAGCTACTTGTGTTTTTCTTTATGTTTTTTCTTAAAGGATACCGTCTTAGAACTCACTATTGAATTAATAGAGTAAGATAATTTTTTCATTTTCTTAGTCAAAATGCTGAATCTTTTTCAACTATAGTTTAGCAAGTAATTCATCTAAAGTGACTTCTTTGTAATGATACTGTGGTTTAAGTCTTTTATTTATTTATATTTTGCCAGTCATGGGGCTTGAAGTCTGGGCCTGGATGCTGTCCTTCAGCTCTCTTCAGCTCTCTACCACTTGAGCCACAGCACCACTTCCCATTTTCTGAGTGGTTTATTGGAGATAAGAGTCTCACAGAGTTCACTGCTTGGGTTGGCTTTGAACTGTGATCCTCAGATCTCAGCTTCCTGAGTAGCTAGGATTGCAGGCGTGAACCACCAGTGTCTGGCTGGTTTAAGTCTTAAGGGCTTTGCACTTGGCTGTCACTCTACTACTTAAGCCGTATCTCTAGGCCTGGTTTTTACTGGTTATACTTGAGGTAGGGTCTTGTTGCCTGACTAGATGTGTGCTTGGGCCTTTGATCTGCCTACTTTAGTTAGGCTTACTATTGCTTGAATTAAACTTGTGTACCATTGCCTCCAGCTCCCATCCATGGAGCTTCAGTCTCTTGGATTTCACTGTACCAGCTGGCCTGTGACAGCATCCAATATCAGCATCCCATATAGTTTAGGATAACAGGCAGGTGGTACTGCATACAGTTAGAGGTTGAGAAGTATTCTCTTAAGCTTTTCTGCCCAGCCTGGCCTTCAGCTGTTATCCCCCTGATCTCAGCCTCCCACGCAGCCTTGATTCCAAATGTGAACCATTTGTACCCAGGTCTGACCTGAATGTATTCCAGGTTCTTCATCTCTGCTTCTATCTTGTATGTTGCAGGTATAATTGATGTCCTCAAAGTAATGTATGAATTTGGAGTACATCCTGATCAGGAGACATACGTAAATTATGTCTTTCCATCCTTTGATAGTATAAAGTCAGTACGTGCTCTTTTGGAGGTGAGTACAAATCTGTTTTAATCTCAGGATTAAAGGGAATATCTTTTTACTTAATGTTTGGATGGTGGTCATTTTTAAAAAGCTATTGAACTGAGGATTAAAACTGATCTTTTGTGGCAGTTTTCTAAAGTTCTATAAATATAGTGATTAGTATTGTGTTTTACCTTAAAAAGGCAAATCAACACTTTTCTTTATTAATAGCACATTTTATTTTTCTAAATGAAAAAAAAATTCTTTTTGGACTTCAAAGCATTGCTATTTCCCATGAGATAGGCAAGGTGTTGATAAAAGACAGTTGAAGAACTTGACCTGGACAGTCCAAAAATTGCCTTTTCTATTTTCAGAATAAAATGCTATATAGTTAGGAAAAGTATGGAAGAGTATTAAATACTTAATCAGAAATATTTTGCCTAAAAGATGTGTTGTAGCTGCAGCTATTCTTGTGGTTCGTTGAGTTTTCTAAAACTGTTAAGTCATTTTTTTGTACTTGTAACCTGACTTACGGAATTGTAACCTCTTTGTACAACTATTTAATAATAAAAAAAGCAAAGAAAGGAAAATCATTAAAAAAGAACCATTGAGGGTATGATGATAAGTAAATGATATCATAGGGGGTCAGTACATTTATTTTCTTACTACTAATGAAAGGAGCAATATGCAAAACAACCCACAAAAAACCCAAGACAAAACAAAAACTTTCTAATCACATAGTGAGACCAAAGGAAGATACTCCAAGGAGAGAAATACAAAGAAAGGCATGGTGCCTATGTGTATTTGATCATATAAAATACTATTTATTGAAATTAATTCCAGGAATGGAAGTTTGAGTTTTTTTCTTTAAAAAAACAAAAATCTTTATTTAAAAAAATTTATTGTAAAGGTAATGTACAGAGAGGTTACAGTTACATATAAGTAATGAGTGTATTTCTTGTCTAATATTGTTACTGCCTCCCTCGTTTTCTCCAACTCTTCTTCCCCCCTCTTTTTTTTGGGGGTGGGTGTCCGGTCATGGGGCCTGAACTCTGGGCCTGGGCACTATCCCTCAGCTCTTCAGCTCAAGGCTAGCACTCTACCACTTGAGCCACAGCACCATTTCCAGCTTTTTTCTTTTTGCTTATGTGGTGCTGAGGAATCGAACCCAGGGCCTCATGCATGCAAGGCAAGCGCTCTACCACTGAGCCACCTTCCCAGCCCTTCCCTCCCTCGTCTACATATTCTTTTGCAAATTTTTTTTTCTTTGCAGAAATACAACCTAAAGTCCAGTGTTGTGTTATTGTTTTTGCCTTCTCATTAGTGATCTATTGTTCAGAGAACCAGATGTAATTTGGAAACTAAATTAGGTTATATTAAAATTTTGTTTCCTAAATTTGATTATATTCTCATTTTAATTATCTGATTCTTCACTGTTAAGAATGGTTGGTTCAGAAATAATTATTCTTTCAAATGCTTGATAGAGCCGTAGTATTGAATGATTGTTTATCTTTAGCTACATATCAAAACAATTTTCCTTACTCTCTAAGAGTTTGTGTACACTCACTGATAAACTAAAAAATACTAGTCTTAAGTGAAGAGACTGGACAACTCACGGCATTGCTCTTCATTTTTGCTTAACATATGTATTCTTTCAAATGTGAGTGTGCATAAGACATCTCTTAACAAAACTTGGATTATAGATGTCAACATATTCATACACGTCTATAATCCCAGCTCCTCTGAAGGGGAGGGATAGGAGGATCACAGTTCAAGGCCACCTAGACAAAAACATGAAAACCTGTCTGAAAAACAAAACAAAGTGAAATATGACTTAGTACAATTACTTAGTACAAGGCCCTCAGTTCTGTCCCTCGTTCTCTTTTTCCTCCCCAAAATGTAATGTACATTATTAGTTATTCAGCAACCTATTTGTTTTCATTTGGTATCTTTCCACAAATTATTTTATAAATAAACTATTTTTGTTCCTTATTTATTATTGTGGTTTTCAATACTGTGCTATCATAAAATGATTCAATAACTATTTGAGGTAAAACTTGTTTCTTTTTTTTTTTTTGGGTCCGGTCGTGGGGCCTGAACTCTGGGCCTGGGTGCTGTCCCTCTGCTCTTCAGCTCAAGGCTAGCGCTCTACCACTCTAGCCACAGTGCCACTTCCGGCTTTTTTCTTTTTTTGCTTATGTGGTGCTGAGGAATTGAACCCAGGGCCTCAGGCATGCAAGGCAAGCACTCTACCACTGAGCTACCTTCCCAGCCCCAAACTTGTTTCTTATAGTTGTTAAATAAGTAATGTTAGAACAAATGATAAACCACTTACTGTTAAATAAGTGTGATCCTAGCCCAGCACTGATGGTTCATGCATGTAATCCTAGTTATCAGATGATTTAGATTGAGGATTGTGGTTCAAAGCCAGCCTGAGCAGGAAAGTCTGAGACTCTTATCTCAATTAACCACCCAAATCTCAAAAGTGGAGTTGTGGCTCAAGTGGTAGAGCTCTGACCTTGAGCACAAAGGCTTAGGGACAGCACCTAGGCACTGAGTTCAAGACCCAGGAACAGCACACACAAAAAAAGAAGTCTGATCTTACTTGCTATATATTTCAAGGTGTTATTTTAGTTCTGTGTTTTGAATTTTTGTTCTGTCCTCAATGAGATAATGGTTACAATAGCTTCCATAATAAATAGTGAGTTACTTCCACACCCACCCCTGAAACAATCCCCACTATATTGATAATGGATTATCTATTTGAGAAAAACATTTGATTTAGAATTCCATTTAAAGTTTTTATTAGAATTCAGTTATTGAGCCGATGTGTAGTATTTAAAAATGATTTGAAGATGTTTGAAAATGAGCTGTGGGTCAAGTGGTAGAGAGCTAGCCTTGAGAAGCTCAAGGACAGTGCCCAGCCCCTTAGTTCAAGCCCCAGGACCAGCAAAAAGAAAAAGATTTATCAGATAATATGGTGATTGTATATTTTAAAGGTAGTAAATTTGAATGGCATATCAAAATATTGCTGAAGCTTATTATTGATAGAATATGCTTTATTCCTAGGAAAATAAATGTCTACCTAAAAGTAATACTTTTTCTCAAGCTGAAATCCGAAGTGAAGCAATAAATGGGAACTTAGACTACATTCTATCTTGTTGTAAGTATTTAACATTAGCATTAATTTGATTGGTATTAATTTCAGTTATCATTGAGGGCATGTATGATAGTTCATGATATGCAAACAAGGGTTTTGTTAAATCATGCTAACAAGAAAGTTCAAAGTACCTTGGAGATAACCTGATGTTAGTGTGTGGGTTTGGGGAGCCTGAAGACTTGGAAAGCATTTTTTGAAAATTGGATGAGATACTGTTTTTGAAAATGTTTTCTTGCTGTTTAAACTAAGTCCTAATAACAGTGCTAAATTAACTTGAAGCACAAATGAATATTAAACTGACCTGCTGCAGAGAAAAAAAAAAAAAAAAGAAAATGTTTTCTAATCTATTATGACCATAAATCTCAGGAAGCCATTTCCTAGACTTTCTTAATACTAACACAGCAAATATTTAACTACATTTAAAAATGCTATGGTACAGTATAGTATTCATCCTACTAATAAATTCACCTCCAGTGATAGATGAAGAAAGGCATAGTGAGGTTAAATGATATGCCCAAGGTATGCATTGAGCCAGAAGCAAGATCTCCTCACTTGAATTTTTTTTCTTTTCATCATACCCCATTTTGTTTTTAAGTTATATTAAAAAAAAGACATTCCTTAAAGCATTCACTTTGAACGCATTCATGTTACTTGACATGCTTTCAGATCTTGTGAAAAATCCATCATTTAAAACCAGACCACATGGGGCTGGGGGTTTAGCCCAGCGGAAGGGCGCCCGCCTGGCGCGCGCAAGGCCCTGGGTTTGGTTCTCAGCCCTGGAAAAAAAAAACAACAAAAAACAAGACCACATAAAGAGCAACTTTTTGCTCCTTAAAAGTTAAAAATCAATTATGCTGGGCACTGGTGCCTCATGCATGTAATCCTAGCCACTCAAGGCTGAAATCTGAGGATCACAGTTTGAAGCCAGGCCAGGTAGGAAAGTCTGTGACTTATCTCTACTAAACTGCCTGAAAAAACAGAAGTGGAGTTGTGGCTCAAGTGGTAGAACACTAGCCTTGAGCAAAAGAAGCTCAGGGACAGTGCACAGGCCATGAGTTAAGCCCCAGGATCAGCAAAATAACAACAAAAAACCAGTTAAGCTTTTATTAATGTGTATTCAATTTATATAGATGAATATTTTACAATTAACAGATTATTTGGTATTGATAGCCTGGTTAATGCTATTTAAAATACCTTATTAACTAAAAATAGTATTTTATGGAAAAGGCAAACTGCCTAGTATGAAAAATGGTGATTGTTAGAGACATAGTTGTTTGAGTCAGAGGTTGGGATTAATGCTGGCTGCTGAGTGTATTGATTTTGCCTTCCACTCTGTACAATACATAGATTTCCATACTGACAAGATGAAAACAGAAGCATTAGCTGAGGACTCACGGCTCATAAGGTGCATCCCTGAGAGCTGCCTTTCCCTTTTATCATGCCATCCTTTCCACTTTATTACCAACTTTTTTTCCAGACTTGTTTTTGTTGCTAAGGAAACTAGATGATTTATGTCAGCAGCCTTCCCAAGGCTGAGATGTTTCTGACCACCTTTTTAAGGAAAATAAAACTTGTCAGTATTCTGTGAAATACTATTTTGAATAGTATAAAAATACATTTTCAAGACGTTGTTTATTAAATTTGAAAAAGGAAAATGCCTGGTACTGGAAGACTAAAGAATATTTGAGCTGATTCCTGTCATTCCTGATCCCCTTGATTTTATATGTCTTTGAAGAACAGTTCTATAATATCTGGTATTTCCTTTAGGCAGCTTTTAAGATATGTATTTCCTTACAAAGAATAAATGAGGAAGGGTAGATTGATTATCTTCATCAAATTTATGGATACCTTGGGTACATCGTTCCTCTTTTATTTGTGAGCATGCCAAATTAATTTGGTCAATCAAAGTGAAAGGTTACTGAAAGACACAAGGTGGTGTTGACTTTCAGATTCCTTGAGTTCAGGTCATTTTTTTAAAACCAACTTAGAAAAAAGCTGGGCTCTAGTGGCTCACGTCTGTAATCCTTACTACTCAAGAGGCTGAGATCTGGGGATCGTGGTTGAAAGCCAGCCCAGGCAGGAAAGTCTATGACACTTTTATCTCCAATTAACCACCAGAAAACCGGAAGTGGCACTGTGGCTCAAGTGTTAGAGCGGTAGCCGTGAGCTAAAGAGCTGAGGGACAGTCCCCAGACTCAGAGTTTAAGCCCCATGACCAGCCCCCCCCACCAAAAAAAAAAACTTTGATTTTCAAATGTTATAATACTACTAGGAAACTTAAACTCTCCTTGTACAAGGTATGTGACAACTCATTTAAAATAATTCTTATGGAGATGGGTATTGTTACTTATTCCTTAACAGATCTAAGTAAATCTTATAAGTAACAAATTCTTTGTATGAATTCTTTAAAAAATTAAACCAGGTAGCTTAACCTTAAGCTTGAACTAAACTTGTTTATTGTCTTTAGAATTTGCCTTTGCTGTGAATTCCTCTTTCTCATTCCACTTAGTTTTTTTTGTATAATTCAAAAATCATATTATATTGGGAAAATTAAATTACTATAGATCAATTATAACATGATATCATTGTAATACATTTGCAAGGAACATTGTTTGAGTTGCCAGAGTTGTTTGAGTAGCCAAAATGAGGAGTTTTTAAATTATAACTTCAAGTTGTCTCTCTTGTGTTAATAATACAGGTCATGATCCTGGTAAAAAATGGAATGAGAAAGTGTGAATAGTTTAACAGATCCCAATTCTTCGCTTAGAAAAGAACTTTCTCTTCTGTCTTTAAAGGACAATTTTTTTTCATTGTAGTCTTTTTATAGTGTCACTATGTCCAGTAACCGTCTCAGTTATATGGATTAAGGTCATACAAGTATGACATTAGTAATTGCCATTAACAAAAAGAATTTTGCAGTATAAATTCATTAGTTGAATGTGTTCATGGAAATGAAGTAAAATTCCTGAGAATGTTTTATTGCAAATATTTTACCACATTATTTAATTTTGTGTGAAAACATTTTTTAAAATTTCCCAATTGAAAAGCTATTGGTCAAAAGTGTTGTCAAGCCTGCAATCCTAGCTATTCAGGAGGCTGACATCTGAGAATTATGATTTGAAGCCAGCCTTGACAGGAAAGTCTATGAGACTCTTACCTCTAGTAAACTACCAAAAAAGCTACAAGTGGAGCTGTGGCTCAGGTGATAGAGTGCAAAAGAAGCTCAAGGACAGTGCTTTGACCCCAAGTTCAAGCCCCAGGAACAAAAAAAATTGTCAAAAAGTGTTGGTAATTTGCTTATTATTTGGTCTGAGGGTTTTTTGTTGGTCATTTTCTTTTGCAGTGGAATCCAGTACATTGCCTTTCTCATTCAATTCTCTGAGAGGCAGCCTAATTCTAGGCTTTAGAAGGTAAGATTATCTATGCACACTTTTTTTGCCTGGCTGTGAACATATCTCTCCTTTTGTAATCTAGTGCATGAAGAAAGTTAGTTTTCCTTATTTTCTAATAAGTGAAATAACTTTCTGTTTTATTCCTCCTTCTAAGTAGTTGAATTAAGTTGAGTCAACTTTAATATCCCCTTTTTCCAAGAAATGCAGATTTGTTTACATCCTGTTTCCAGAAAGAAAATGCTGTTCAAAATTGGCAAATTACAGATAAATTTGTATGTACTTTGTTTATTCTTTGAACATTTAATTACACAGTGATTTTCATTCATTATAGTACTACTACCTCCTCTGTGTTTAAGGAATGTCAATGACTTTTATTTTCATTTACTTATTTTTTGTTAGTCATGGGGCTTGAACTCTGGGCCTGGGCGCTGTCCCTCCCCTCTTCAGCTGAAGGCTAGCTCTCCACCACATGCGTCACAGTGCTGGCTTTTTCAGTTTATGTGGTGCTGAGGAGTCAATCCCAGGGCCTCATGCATTTGAGACAAGCACTCGACCACTGAGCCACCTTCCCAGCCCACTTTTTTTTAATACTCAAAAGCAGGCTAACTTTTTTTTCAATAAGTTTTTTATTGTTAAAATACTGTACGGAGGGGTTACAGTTAGATGAGCAGGCTAACTTTTTAAAGAAAAGAAGTTGGTTTACTCCACAGCTGTAGAGTTTCAGAGATGTGGTGCTGACTCAGCAGAGATCGCCTCACAAAACAGCAAGCTGGGATTGGGCTCTTTTACCAATTCTTTCTGGCAAAAGCCACGTGTCCCAGGACAATTGTAATCCCTCCCAAGGCATGTCCCTTAAGGACCTTCCATTAGGCCGTACTTTTGACATTGCCATACTGAAGACCAAGCTCCCAACATACGAACCCTTGGGAGACAGATTAAGACTATATTTTAGCATTTGACACTTTTGTTATATTGAAAAGATTCAAAGAAATGTTGAAAGCAGTAAATGAATCACATACTCTTTGTCTTGACTGAGCAATTATATCATCCTGTAACTTTCCCTCTGATTGTCTTATTCTACGCAAACACACACATAACACTTTGTTCTTTTTAGTAAAACTACTTAAAGTTGCAGACATGACACTGAATTTTTTAGAATATAAATGAAGTATTTGGATCAGAAAGGGGAAAAAAACCACAAGGGTATACATACTGTCATATACCTAGGTTAATGTTGCTGAGTTAATAAATGTGTTTGGTGTCCTTTTTATACTGTTTAATTTTGTGTCGTCTGTTATGCTGCCCAGTGACTTCTGTACTGGCTTTTTGTTTTTTCATAATCAGAAAAAAAGGAACTAGTAGAGGAAAATGTTTTATAAATCACATAAACTTCTGATTCAGTCTTCATATACTTTTATGTAGTAGCTTCATAGTTCATGTGGATGGAATTTGAAAACAAGGCAGCTAATGTAAGTAGATAAGACCCTGCTTACAGCAGCAATATCACATTGGTTAGTTTCACAACATATCTGGAATTATTTTCCACCAAGACCTCAAAAAAGCATGGCTCATCTGCAGTATCTATCTTCCTTAGCATCTTTCAGGCCTGAACAAAGCTTAACAAAGTAGATATGTACCTGTGTTCAAAATGTTTTATTTTATTGAGACAGCCTTACTATGTAGTTCAGTCTGGCTGGCCTTGAATTTGTGCTTTCAGCCTCAGCCTCTAGAAGACTAGGATTATAGGCATATGCCACCATGCTTACTCAAATAGCATATTCTTTTTTTTTTTTGGTCCAGTCCTGGGGCTTGAACTGTGGGCCTGGGCGCTGTCCCTCAGCTCTTCAGCTCAAGGCTAGCGCTCTACCACCTGAGCCACAGCGCCACTTCCGGCTTTTTTTTCCTTTTTGCTTATGTGGTGCTGAGGAATCAAACCCAGGGCTTCAGACATGCAAGGCAAGCGCTCTACCACTGAGCCACCTTCCCAGCCCATCAAATAGGGCTTTTCTTTGTGTTTGTGTCAGTCCTGGGGCTTCAACTCAGGGCCCGGGTGCTGTCCCTGAGCTTTTTTTTACTCAAGGCTAGAGTTCTACCACTTTAGCCACAGCTCCACTTCCAGCTTTTTTTTTTTTTTTTTTGGTTCAGTTGGAGTTAAGAGTCTTGTGGACTTTCTTACTTGAGCTGGCTTTAGTCCATGATCCTCAAGATCTCAGCCTCCTGAGTATGTGCTTGGCTTCTTATGTGGTTCTGTTACTAGGTTTTCCTCTTGTACTGGGGCCTCAAAACAAAAGAGTAGTTATATGTTTCTCTTCTTTCAGGCACTGCTCTCCTACTGGACTATGATCCAATACCTGCAATCATTATTTCTAAGTATTACTTATTTAAGTGGTACACAAATCCAGTCCCTGTTACAGTCTACCATTACTAGAAAGTAGAAGTCTTTTACACTTACTACTTCATGTTCTATTTCAGTGTAGTATTTCATCCTAATGATACCTTGAAGCCTCACTGTTTTTTCACTGACTTCTCTGTATTTTTTGTTGGTCATGGTGCTTGAACTGTGGGTCTGGGCACTATCCCTCATGTTCTTCAGCTCAAGGCGAGTATTCTACCACTTGATACTCCTGTCTTTCCTAAGAATAACATCTAAAGACACACTGTGCATCTCATTATTGATATTAGTTTTGATTTGTCCAGGTATTCGACTTCTACATTATAAACTTATTCTTTTTTCCATTGCAGCTATGGGCAGTACTTTGAGACCATATAAATATTCCAACTCTGTCAAGCTTGAACTCTTACAGTTTATAGAGATTTTTTCTTAACTGATTCTTATCCTAACCTGACTTATTTTAAGAATCAGAAGTGGATGAGGGTTACTTTAAGTTGTAAATTAACTAATTGTAATCATTCAACTTGATTTTGTACACACTTATTTACTTGTTAAAGGCTTTGAACCATATATAATTGTAAGTGAATTTTAATTTAAAATGTTTTTTAAACCTCTGAGCTTATTTTTAATCCTTTGCTGCCCTCTGCAGGTCTATGAATGTAGATCTTTGGAGCAAGGTGAGCACTTCTAATACTGCAAGTCATAAGGCAAATCAGTTGAGAGCAAACATTTTAAGTTTCACACATTAATGATTTAGAATTAATAGATTTAGAATCTCAAAGTTGGTAGTGTTAAAATAGCCAAAAATTTGCTACGAAAGTCTTGATTTAGTTCTAAAATCTAAGATTTTAATTATTAAGATATTTGACCTTACATTTTGATGACTAAATTTCTAAATACACACATACACATGTATTTGTGTGTTTTACATAAATGGTTTGTAGACCAGCTTTATAATGCTACCTTTTCAAGAAGTTAATTGACTTTATGCAGGAAGAACAATAATGAATTGGATGAAAGATTTTAAGCTTAATTTAATCGGAATGTATATTTGCTGAAATTCCCAATTAAAAAAATTTTGTCTGGTTTTTACAATGTTGGGGTTTGAACCTATGACCTTACACATGCTTTCCAAGTATTTTTCTTCTCATCTATATCTCCAACCAAAAATATTTTTAAGATCTAAATTTCATTCAGTTCTATTTTTAGTGTTAATTGCAATGCCATTCAGACTGTCTGCGCAATTCTATTGTACATTTATTTCTAAAAGTATTAGTTTTGACCAAACATTTTTGTTGCTTTATTAATTAAATGTATCATTCAAAATTGGCATTTTGTATGACCATCTTACAACTGATGTATAGCTACAATTTGTGTTAGAACTTAATGTCTTCTTTGTGTATTTTGACTAAAAGGCAGTTTGTAGAGGATGATCATTTCATTTTTTTGTACAATTTGTGTTTCTATCTTAACTCTTTCTTTGAAAAATGCTATTAAATGAAGCATGATTGTCATAGTGGCATATGACCAGTTTTGCCTAATATTAGAAGTAAATGGTTTCATTTCCTAACTCTTTAACAATTTGTTTCTAGGCCTTTTTAAAAACCATGTAAGGTCAGTTACAGACTCCACAAAATTCTTAACCCATATCAAGCTGGACAGCTACTATATGTTTCTATTCTGCCTTGACCCTCAGGGTCTGTGTAGCCAAATACTGTGTTCTGAGTTACTAGTCAGCAGCATAGGCTGTGTAGCGATTTCAGTTGTAAAATGAATATTTGAATTTTGCAAATTAAAAATTTGCTGGTAGAATTTTGAATATATTTTAATGTTGGAATGTAATTGATAAGAAACCACAGGATCAAACAACTTAGAACTTTATAACTCTTGTTTTAGTGCCACTAAAACGAATAGAAAAATGTCTTTGAATAACAAAAAGCTGCAAATTATTTATTGGTCCACTATATTTTACTTTGTTCATTGAAATAGAGAACTCTAGCATGTTAGGTGGCCTGTGCCTGTTAACCCAGCTCTTAGGAGGCTGAAGCAGAAGGATGGAGAGTGTATAGCTAGCCTGGGCTACATATCTAAATTCTGTCTCAAAAAATCTAAAAAAGTCAAGAAAAGGAGTACACTGGTCTAATTTCAATGAAACTAAAAGTAGCGTGATAACAAGTAAAATTGGCTCATAATTTCTGTATGCTATTTGTTATTTATAAGAATTAATTTAAAATGATATATAAACAGGTCACTTTAGAGCCTTTCTTCGTGACATTTCATCAAACATTGCAGTTTTTCCTCAGTGTGGGTTTGGTTGTATTTTTAGTAGACAAACCTATTATTTAAAAACAAAACAATCTGCTGGGTGGGTGGGGGGTGATGTTGGATTACTGTGATGTAGAGTAATACCTTACTGGGAAGAGGTTTTATTTCAAGAATTCAATTTCAGACTGTATTTGTTCTTGTGTGCCTCTCTTGCTGCAATGCACGAATTTTCTGTCTTACCAGATAACAGAATTGTTGTACAAGAATGGACGTTATTGCCAGGAGCCTCCAGGACCAACGGGTAGCGTTTCAATTTCGATGATTGTAACTTATCCACAAATCCATTCTTCTGTGTAATGATGGGCTAGAAGGATTACAGCAGTAAACACTTCTCTTTTAAAAGTGAAATTGAAAACATTTGGTTATAAATCTTTGTATTGATAACCATATTTTGAGATCTATGAGGTATTTGACTTTATTACAATTATTTTTTAAAAGAATTGGAAGTTTTTCCTTTTCAAATATAAAGGACATGTTAGAGAATTTACAGGAATAAGCTTAAAAATAAGTAAATATCAGTGTTTATGTGATTTTAACATAAAGTACGAAAAAATCATGTAATTTTTTTCTAACTTAAATATTATTCAGAAAGTGTTTTGACATGTAATGGTTTTCATTTTTTTTATAATGCAGCTTAGAATATATAGTTTTCTGTAAGAAGCTACTTTTCTGAAAGTTCAGATCTCCTGTCCTAGGCATTGGTCCTATACATTTCATGCTTGAATGCTTAAGAAAATTACTGTTGTTACAAAACATCTTTGTTAATCTTGGATTCTCATTGGCTAATAGGCAGCTCTCCATGGGATTACTGTATCTGCTTATTAAAATTATTTAATTTTTTATACTCCAGATTTAACAATCCTTTCTAATTTTATGTATTTTCCCAAATATTGTCCACAAAAAGGAGTATAGAAATGTGTAAAGACATTTATTTATTCTCACTATTTGTGCTTTGGACAGGAGAGGAATATAAGGCCTTGGGCAGGACCACTTCTGTCACAGAATGGTGGAAAAAAATAGATTGAAGTAAGATTCAGTACTGAAAAGCTGTCACTCGGTCTGAAAATAATTAATATTCCTTTCACTCACCAGTTAGATATGTGCTCCCAAACCACATAATCTCTATGCCTCAGTGATCATTGTTGCCATTTCAGAGCCTCTCATCAGGGTGACATCTCACACCAAAATGATTTCTTATAAATTAATCTTGATAACATGACAGTCTCAGTAATTTTAGTGGAATGCTTTCTCTTGTTTTTTTTTTTCCACAGAAGCTGTTGGCTATTTTCTTTATAACTTGATTGACAGCATGAGTGACTCAGAGGTACAGGCCAAGGAGGAGCATTTGAGACAATACTTCCATCAGCTGAAGGAGATGGTACCATTTCATTTTTTGCTATATAATGCCTGTTCATCCTGACATGTATCTATTAGATTTGAAATTGCAGCTTTTAAGTACAACCAGACCACTTCTCAATGACATGCAAGAGTTGGAGACTTAAATTATGTCTGAGATAATTTCTGTTAGACAAATTTTGATTTAGTTGTTGAAATCTCAGGGTTTTCTTTTTCTCTCCCTTCCCTTCATACAGAACATAAAAATTTCTGAAAATATCTACAGAGGCATTCGTAATCTACTGGATAGCTACCATGTTCCTGAATTGATTAAGGTGTGTGAAAATAAGATTCAGCTTTATGAAATGCTTATTTGTAAAATCTTGTTTAAACTTTTAAGTATGATGCTTTTGGCCCAATTTTTTATTCTCTGATATTGAAATAGTAAAATAAAATCTTTCATTGAGTATTGGTAAAATCTGTTTGTATATCAAAATATTAATCACAATGACAAATAATAGTTTCTGCACAGTTTTAGAAAGGTACCCATAAAATGAGGTATAAGACTTTGAAAACTTGCTTTTGATATTTCCTAATATATTTTTTCCTATGTCTTCTAATTCTGTGCTAATTTTAAATCCCAATTTTAGGATGTTAAATTGTTGGTTGATAGAGAGAAGATAGACTCTCAAAAAGTAAGTTTTTTTAAAGTGGTTTTACATTGCTATAATAACGGTGTTTATTGAGAATTCTGGGCTGTGTCATTGTAAAACCAGTGGTTCCTAATATTTTTATCATTTTATATACCTATAAGAAGTTGGTAAATCTCATTCCTTATCTCAGAAAAGTGAACAAATCTAGGAAGTCTGCTTATATTCTTGAGGTGTTGGAGATCATCCCTGGATTATCAGACATCACTTAAGATTAGAAAAATAGAAATGAAAAGTAAATTTAAAGGGTAGAGAGACAAGGTTTCATTTTATAATAAAACTTTACAATAGTTTTATAGTAAAATTTTCTTTTTTTCTTTCCACCTCTGTAGACTTCACAACTTACATCATCTGATTTAGAGTCTACACTTGAACAACTGAAAGCTAAAAATCAACCTATTGGAGATACCCTAAAGCAACTAATACTAATGCTTTGTTCAGAAGAGGTAACATTTTAAAATTGATTTCAAATTTTCTAGTTAAGTAAAACAGTCTGTATAGATCATGGTAAGCAAACCCAGTGTACTATTTATTATTTTTACAATTGATTACTGCTTGAAAGCTGCAATTAAATGAAAGGTTAACTAATTTCATCTACACCTTGAATGGCATGTTTTCAGGTTGCTGTAGTTTGTTTATGATAATCTGCAAAGTGAATGATAGTAACAGCCGTGATAGGTTTATCATACATGCCAAATGTCCTTTCAAGCCATGGTGCTGGTCTCTTATATCTAGATTGTCAAGCAACTGATACATGCAATAGTCATTTGCAAGTCAAATATTACTAGGTTGTTAATGCAGGGATTGAAATTCCATTTTCCTCCTGGAAAAAAAGCTCTTTCTAAGATAAAGGGTCTCTTGCCTCTTTTCAGCGGGCGTCCAGCTGTACTTGGAGTTCATTTTGGTGTGTGTCTGCAATTTGTGGGATATCACTAGACTTTTTTCAGTTTTTAGTTCAGTATGATTGGCTCGTAAGTCTGTGGACTTAAGGACAAAAACATCCAATATAACTAACTTTCAGTTATTACAGTACTATTATATTGTTAAAGATTTCATAAACCTTGGATCAGTAAACTTGACAAACTTTTAAATGATACATATTTCCATTTATGGAAATTACATGGTTAGAGGAAGCTGACTTGTAATCTGGAAATCTTTTTAAACATATGATACACAAACCTAAAACATTAAATTTGATATAAATAGTAGTCTATTTTATATTTACAAATAGCAGTCTTTTAAGCCTTAAATTTGCATGTAGTGTTTTAAAGGATGAATAAAAATATCAAGGGTAAAATCTATGTTATATCAAAGTATTAATAACTTTTTCTAAACTCTGAATACTAAAACTGACGTTTTTACTTTTACAATTAGTTTTCTTCTTTTTCACTTCAATCTTTATTTTAGAATATGCAGAAAGCTCTTGAATTAAAAGAAAAATATGAATCAGACATGGTTATTGGTGGTTATGCAGCTTTAATAAATTTGTGCTGTCGACATGCTAATGCCGAAGATGCATTGAGCTTGAAACAACAATTGTAAGTACCTTGGTACCAAAGCAAGTCGTCAGCATTTATGCTGATACACAGAACTTGAAGGATCAGCTAGACTGAATATTACTGTCACACTGAATTTAAAACATTCTTTGCTGTCATTGTTTTGAAAAAGTTTTGTGGTACAACTTTCTTTGACTTGTTTTCAGCAAGGTGTATTTTTTTAAGTATAATAAGATATTCTAGTCTTCAGACCAAGGTTTTCCCATGTTGGTTATATAGTTGCTTATCACAGCACCTTGATAATGTTTACTTTTCAATATTGTAGTGTCACCAAGCTCCTGTCCATTTCTTAAGTATCTGATTTCCCATCCTGACAGATTTATCGGATAAAATCATTTTGAGGTTGTGTATTTATTGCAATGTTGACATTGAAGGCTAGGGTCATTTAATGTATTGTGAAGCTAAAGCATTTCTTCATTAGTATCTTCTGTAGATGGAATAATGTCATATATATGGAGTGTAAGATGTTTACTTCTGTAGTTAGTTTGAATGTAGTTATGTATCACTAGACACATAGCTTCAGAAATAAGTGCAGAAGTCAGTATGAATAATAACTTAGATTTTCTGATGAGCTCTTAGAAAGTAATAAAATGACTATTGCTGTCCATTTTGTTTATTTAACATAGTATAACTGGTTTTATTTTATAGTGATCGCTTAGATTCTTCTGCAGTCCTTGACACTAACAAGTATATTGGTCTTGTAAAAGTATTGGGAAAGCACGGAAAGCTCCAAGGTAAGTCTTGTCACATAAGGAAAAAATGTGATGCAAGTATTTGCCATTGGAAAAACATGTGAATTGGTATTAATGGTGTATCATGTTCTACAAAGCACTTGAACACTTTGCATACAAATTTGCATGTGAATCCAACTGGAGCTGCATGGACAGTGTAGGCCATTAGTTTTAATGGATTGGCAAGCTTGTCATTTACATTTGCACAGCTCAGTGCTTTTTGCATTTCTGCAGCTAGTTTTTATTAGCATTGCTGTTTGGTTTGAGTTTGAAGATCATGACTTATGGCACAATTTGCTTATATGTCTGCACTAATGGCTTTATTTTTGCTGAAGAAGATCTGAAGGCTGAACATAAAACCTGTAAACATAAACTGATATATATAGGACTATTAAGATTTTATTTAGAAATTTATGAGAAAAGCATAGCTAATTATATAGTGAAGTTGCCTGCTCTAATTTTATTGTTGAAATAATGCTAAACCTAATATGATTAATTGCACTTGATAATATAGTCTTACTATTTGCTTGTTCTTAACTCCTCTTTTAGCTGTCTTTTTTTTTTTAAGAGAAGACTTTTATTATAGAAATTATGCAAGAAAAATACTTTATTTGAACACTGAAATTTTTCCTAGGAAGCCTTCCTGATACTGAAAAATCTTTGTGAAGATTAGCTTGTTTGTTAAAAATCACTTTGTGTAAAGTGGTCAAAACATTTTGTCTGTGTAATAATTAAGAACAACATTATAAAAATGCACTTATTCCATATCCTAAAATGTTTGTTTCTGCCTTCCTAATGAAGCTTAATGAATCTAATGTATTAACATGCAGTCTTTTGGAAAGCTTTCATTGGCTCTGCCTGGCTAATTAGTATCGACATAGCAAACAGGCCCTATCGGTATCAGACCATTAGTCTGGCTGTATATACAGTGTAAACACATCTTTATTATCTGGCCTCCTGACAAGCCATCTGCTGAAGAAACAATGGTGTGATTTAGCAGATGTTAGCTCTGAACGATAAAAGCATCCATTTAGGAGGATCTTACAGCTATAGGGCAGACCATACAGGGTTATGTGGTGCAGAGTGGGCACACAGCCCCTATCTATAATTTGTAGTCAAAGTTGCAGGGAAATGATAAAACCGTGCTATTGTGGATTTATAATTGTAGTCTCGTTTAGAAATGCAAGTAGTAATTAACTTGAAATCGGCATTATACACTAGAATTTACATTCCTGCTGGGCTTGAAATGCTATTTTAATAGCAGTTTGTTTTCCCTACATGAAATTACCTAAGGGTCTTTTGTGTTACTTCATTGTAGATGCTATTAACATTCTAAAGGAGATGAAAGAGAAGGATGTTCTTATCAAAGATTCAACAGTCTTGTCCTTTTTCCACATCCTAAATGGCGCAGCTTTAAGAGGTGAAATTGAAACAGTAAAACAGTTGCATGAAGCTATCGTGACTCTAGGGTTAGCAAAACCATCTACCAGCATAAGTTTCCCATTGGTCACTGTACATCTGGAAAAGTAAGTCAGTTGAATTTCGAATTTCCAATGTTGGTGTTTAAAGAATGAATCTAGTCATTTTTAGATTATACATTGTGAATACTCTGGTGATGTAGAGCCTCGAGTCATTTACCAAAGGATAAAAGGACTTAGAAGAGATGGACTTAAGTGACTAAAATTACCATCAGCCCTGTGGCTCTGTCACTTTTCAGTGAAATGAATGGTCTCTGGTGACTTTTTTTTTTTTTTTGGAGGGGTGGGTGGCGGCAGCATGTGGTATTATTACATGAAATTAAATCTAGTTTTTTATCTTAATAAGTACTAATTATTAATAAATATAATAAAGAAGGATCCTTTGGGATTTTAAAATACTGTGTCATGACTATTACTCAGATAATGAGTGTAGAAGCATCTCTCAGTGCTCCTAATCTCCATGTGGCATTTTAATCACATGTACCATACTAGCTTTGAAAACTATTGGAGATGTATTTGTGTTGTTGATTTACTGGGTTTGAAATTTTTTCATTTGAAATTCTCTTGTTGATGCTCAGGTTAAACTATTATTTTCAAAACAAATCATAAAATCAATCTATTCTTTTGTAATGAGTGAAATATTTTAGTAAAGAGATTCATAGTCTTTTATTTTTTCCTTTTGGTTTTATATTTGTTTTTATGTTTTTGCTTCTTAATATCCTACATCTTTTTTTGTCACCTTTTCCATGCTTAATATAGTTTATAATCTGCCTGTTTTGTATAAGGATTCTTCTGATTTTATTAGGGATATCCTATTAATTCCAAGAGAAATAAAATTTATGTTTTAACAGTTTTTACATTCTCACCAAACTTCTAGATTTTATTTAGTATTGAATTTAAAATACAGAACTAAAAGTATCTCTGCACTCATTTTCTTTTAGAAAATAGGTCTGTTCATATGAACCATGACACCAATACATTTATTAGCATCGTCTGTAGATGAAGTAATAAAGTGTTATGTATAGTGCACACCCACCCAACATAATTTCCTTGCCATACAACTTGATAAACAGTTATCAAGTTAGCTGTTTACCAAATCTTAACCTCCACAAGCTCTCAGCATTACATCTATTTATTGAACTAGTGGTTCAGACAGTTACTTTATTATTGAATTCTTGTATTCACAGACAACTTTATATAAACTCCTATAATTATTATGTTTCCTACTGGATCTTTTTCGATTATTTAAAAGACCCATCTCTGCAAATTGCATATGAAACTCTGCACAGGGATTTGGAAGAAATGGGCCCAGTGCCCAGAAGAATTAGCGCCTCCTATACCACTTGGCAGAAATAAAATAATTAACAAAGACAATAAAGCAATGGTAGAAAAGATAAAAAAAAAAATGGGAAAGTTTTCCAGGATAGGTCTTCAGATGGGACTTATAAGCCAAAGAGAACTTACAGGAAAATGGAAGCAACATGGAATTTACATGTTGCACTGAACCATGCTCTCTGCTTTTGATTGTTTAAGACAACCAGATTTTTGTATTTTAAGCAAATTTGGCTATCTTTGAGAGCTGGGCTAAAGAAATCTATATTAATATCTTTTCCTTTATGGTGTCTTACGACTCTACAATATTTGTAGAAATTCCTGCCATCTTTTTTTTTATTAGCCTATAGTTTTTTATTTTTGTGTTGTTTTGCTTTATTTTTTGGCTATCTTTACTTTGCAGAGACAGTCTCTAACGAGTTCTTTCAGGTTAATATGTCATAATAAGAAGGAAATAATAAAATAAGAATAAAGTAATAAAATAAAAATAATAAAATAAAACAAGAAAATAATAAAAGACAAAGGAACTTGTGTATTTACAAAATTATGAAAACAGTGATAATTCATTGTTAATAAAGCACTGACATGGAAATTTTTATTCAGTTGTTTTGTCTATCTGAGAGAAGACAATTAATTCAGAATCATGACAAGTACTAGGATTAGCTACACTGCCCTGTCCAAAAGTCCAGGTGTATTTGATATGATTAAATATGTTCAGTTTCCAGTAATAATCATGTAATTAACCCCAGTAGGTATGAGCTCATCTATGATTGTTCAAACTTAGGATAAAACTATGATAAGTATTTCAAAACATAGTAATTTTGAAACAAACCCGTGAAATTGAGTTCCTTAGAAAGATCATCTTTAAGATTCTGTGGTCTTTTAAATTGACTTTCCTAACAGGGATAAAACAAAATAAGGAGTAGTATGTGTTCTTTGGATAATGGAAAAATGCTTTGTGGGTTTGTAAATAATGCATTTTGTTTCTATTCATTTACTAAGGGAAATCCAAAACAGTAATAGATTTATAACATTGTAAAGGAGTTAATTAACCTTTTTCTGTATTACCAAAATGATAATGCTTGCATTGAACAGAAAAGAAATATTTCATGGTTAAATAATTTTATATGCATTATGATATTTTTGCTGACTTCTTTGTTTTTGCTTATGTGGTGCTGAGGAATTGAACCCAGGGCCTCAGGCATGCAAGGCAAGCTCTCTACCACTGAGCCACCTTCCCAGCCCTGCATTATGATATTTTTAAATATATATGTCATTTATCTACATGTAGTTCAACTGTGTTATTTTAAATATTTTCTTATATAACTTACATTTTAAATTTATTTATTAAAATCATGCCTGATTCAGGAAGATAACAGAAACTCTCCATATTATAGAAATGCTTTAAAATGGGTTAGAAGAGTGTTTTGTGTTTTTATTAGTCTTCATGTTATGGTAAGGAAATGGAATTAATAAAATCTGGGCCATAATATTTGAAAGCATAAACATTTGTGTAATGCAGTTTCAGATTGAATGAAACTACTTTGGTTTCATTGCATGTGAAAAATATCTAAAGCTGTTTAACTGGATTATAGTTGTACAAATGATCAAAGTAGCTTTAATTTCTGCTTTCCATTAAGGATTTTTCTGTGTGTCCTGATTCATGCTATAATCTATATCTGAACATATGCAATTCATTTAGTGCATCACAGACTTTGTGTATATAATCTTCCCAGAGCCCTTCTAAATCAATCTCAGTTCTTCATAAATATCACATCTTCTCTAAAATGAACCTGTAAACAATATAACTTTTAAAACTGATTGCAGTACTTTCATATGTTATGTAAGTAGAAAATATGCTTTAAAAATGCTGTTTATTCTGTCATACACACTCCCCTTCAATTTTAGCATCTTCATTTGTACTGGATACTTTTATTATTTATGGGAATGCTTGCCTTCTAGAATAAAACTCTTCATGTGCTGAAAGGAAATTAAGGAGGTTTGGCTCTTTTACTCCATTATTGCAATTAAGAATTTAGCATCATCAGTGCCAAAGGACAAAAAAGTGTTTCATTTGCCCTAGGGGGACAGGACAGTGATAAGATGATTTTTCGTCAAGGATCATTGGGTCGTAATTAAGTTACATTCATGGCTATTGCTTTTTGAAGGATGATTGGTAAATGACAGGCTTCATGTGCTTAGTACGGACAGTGTGCAGTAAGGTTTTTTCTCCCTCTGTCAGAAAATCCTGTTGAGCCTGATAATGTAAATGTGGCATTTTATTCTGAACAAAAGAGCAGGGAAATGAGCTATCTTGTCTAATCATTCAGTTGTTTAACACCGACTTCCAGTTTAGACTCAATTGGCTGGAAAGCACTTGACATGTGAAGTTAGTGCTGTTCGGAACGCATGTTTGAGTAAATTTTAAAGTAAGTGACAGCTAAATTGTACCTAGGGAAATTACAAAGCCTTCAACACAGTTAATTTTTTGGGGAGGATTAGTTGTAATTGCAATACCAGTCTCCTTGAAGATTCTTCATTTATAGATGATGAACAGAGAAAAAAACATTTAGTTTTTTTCAAGGGCTGGTTCTCTTAGAATCATTTTTGTGAAGGTGATGGTTTCTCTTGAATTGATTTCTCCTGTATTAAATATCTGCTGAAAACATAGAATAGTTTGTATTTAGTGTTTTTTTTAATTTTAAACTTTGTGCCCCCAGAGCTCCACTTTTCTCTAATGATTTCATATTTGAGAGCTTTTCAGCCAATAAGTCCTTTAGATAAATTGCCACTTCACTAAATAACACTTTATGCATAATGTCGAAGCACTTTATTCCAATTAAAAATCAATGTTTGTCATCTTTTTTGTTGCTTAAATTAAGTATCTGCTCTGAATTGCAAAGATATTTTCTACAAATACTGGGAAGACTAAGTTAAAATCTACAGATAGGTGAACAGACAATTGTCACTGGTTATTGTAATTAACAATTCAGCATTATATGGAATACATGTATGGTTCTTAACACTTACATGTATTGAAGAATTTGATTTTATTTCCTGGTACCTTGAAGGAAATATTTTTATGATTAGTAGAAACTTCATATGAATGTATAAATATATGTCCAGTAGATTTGTATCATACTTAGCATTTGTTTCTATGTTGTTTATATTGCACTATATTTTAGTTTGATAGATATTACCGATTAAAGCAAAGGGACAACAAACACACTGTATGAATTTCATACATGCCTTTTTGATGTTCCTCTAAATAATAATGAAAAATGAACAGATTGTAGTAGATTTTTATATATTCATATTTCCTTAAAAGTGAATTGTAGAGCCGTAAGCTGGTTGGCTCATGCCTATAATCCTAGGTCCTCAGGAGGTTGAGATCTGAGGATTGCGGTTCAAAGCCGGCCAGAGCAGGAAAGTCTGTGAGACTCCTATCTCCAATAAATTACTCGGAAAAAGCTGGAAGTGGCACTGTGGCTTAAGTGGTAGAGCTCTGATCTTGCGCTGAAGAGCTCAGGGACATCACCCAGGCCCAGAGTTAAAGCCCCACAACTGACCAAAAAAAAAAAAAAAAATGAATTGTAGAGTGAATTTTGATATGGGCCAATTGAATTCTCTGGTGCATAAAATAAAGCTTTCAGGTTTTCAGAATTACTTGCTGGGCCTATATACATGTGTAGGTATGTTTAAAATTTAGAATTATCAAATTATATTTTTCTCCTAGTTTTGCCTGTATATTTTAAGTTAACAGAATTTTGGTAAAGTTTATATTTTTATTTGAATCAATCAAAATATTGCCTTTTAGAAGTAATTGCTTCTCATTAACGCATATGGTTTTCATAAAAATTTGTGTATTTCATTAGATTTTTTTGAGTAGTCTGGGATTTTAAAGTACCCTAATAGGAAAAATAAAGAGGAAGCAAATGCAAAACTCTAAGATTAAGCCCCACTAATATAAAAAAGTAAAAGAAAAAAAAGCAGAAGTCTCACAATGTATTTTTATTTTTGTGTTTAAAAAATGTGTGTGTTTGTATCCATCACAACTTAATTATACACATACAATATATATGTGTTCATAGATAGATAGATAGCAGAATTAATTTATCAACATGATTTTTGAAAGGATTTGTTTTTTGTTTTCAAGTAATTCTAAATCATTTGTTATATGCAAAGTGTTCTAAAGAATTATAGATCACTTTAGATCACAGAAGTTAGAAGTATACTTATTGGTAATGTGTTATCCCACATTTTGTCTCGGAAGCATTTTTCTTCCTTTTTTCTTTATATTTTTCTGCTCTTACTGATTTTATCCTCCTTAATAAAAGTGATGATTTTATTTGCTGGCGTGAAGCATGTTAGCAGATGAACCTAATCAGCACAGTATTAAAACTGGGAGGGAAGCCAAAGGTCCCGAGTTCAGCCATTGTGATAATCTGCCTTTCATCACCACTTCTAAGAGTCTTCGAGTTAGACATGTTATTTGTGGGATGGGATTGAAATACAGAGTCCTATGAGTATCCAAATACTTTTGTAAGCAATATGAATATTAAGATTTTTATAGGTTTTATTTATATCACCTAAGATTTCAGGATTTTGTAGGAACGATTACAGATGACATAATTGCACAAGGAATGTGAATTTTCCACCAGTCAGAATGTGGGAAATAAAGACAAAAAAACTGATAAATTACTTCATTTCTATCACTAATATACTTTGTAAGGAGTGTTGTATTGAAGATTTAGGTTATTTGTTGGCAGTGTTCTGAGCAATATCAGTGGTATTTAAAATTACTAACAAATGTGAATTATTTTCATTTTTCTGTTCTTTTCTGTTGTTCTGATCATACATAATCTTCAATAGCATGTATTTGGAGACCAAGGACTATTAACATGTCGCTTTGATTGACAGAACAATTATTCATTCATTTATTGATAGCTTTGACCTAATGTAGGGGAAATATAGTTGAGACAATACTATTTTAGTTTGAGAATTGATCTCTATTAAAGCAAATCTTGCCAGTTATGAAAAAAATCAGTGCATGTTTTCACTTTTAAAAATGCCTTAGTAGTTTTCCATGAAGTGGTATTGTAGAAAGGCAATAAATGAACCAGTGTCGGAGGCAAGGGAAAATACTGATTATATAAAGCTTTATATCATATGTGGTAGCTACTATAGCATTTCTCTTGTATGACAGTAATCTAGCCTGCAACATCTACTTGCGGTTTCGAAATTAACCTGTAATTTAGTCTTCACCCCAAATGACAAAAATTCAAATGACTCTGTGGGGTGCCAGAAGATGCACTGTAAACAGGGCTTCAGAAGGGATAAGATAAGGTAAAGTTCCCTTAGGATAGGCTTGTTTTCATGGTATCAGTAGGATTGCAGTGAAATCAGTACTTCTTTGTAGTACTTTATTTTTTTAGTTCATTTTAAACTCTTAATCTAGATAAAACAGTATTCTAATCCAGGGCAACATAACATTTGTATAATAGTCAAAATGTTAAAGCTTTAACCAGAAATTTTTTAATGTTTTCTTCCTTTAACGGTTGCATGAGAGAATCTAGGTTCTCTACAAAAGATTGTCACTAATTTTCACTAGTTGTACTTTGGATATTTCTCTAACTAAACTCTTTAAAATATATTTCACACAATCTTTTCAAAATGTTTCCTTATACCAAATTGTACCACTTTATTGGCTGATGCAAATAATAATGCTTTTCTTTCTTTTTTTTTTTGGCCAGTCCTGGTCTTGAACTCAGGGCCTCATTACTCTGGTTACTCTGTCCCTGAACTTCTTTCACTCAAGGCTAGCATTCTACCACTTCAGCCACAGCACCACTTCTAGTCTTTTCTATTTATGTGGTACTGAGGAATCTTCATGCATGCTAGGCAAGCCACCTTCCAAGCCCTAATAGTGCTGTTCTAAGAGTATAATAGATGTTTTGAACAGGATGTGGGAAGTGAAGGGATCTGCTACCAGGCCTTTCTGTGTACTTACTAGCTCTCTACAAATCAGTCAATCTCTAGTTTCCTCGGTTTCCTTTTTTCTCTACAACTAAGCAAATGTTTCAAAGAGAATTATGTTATAATCTCTATAGCTCTCCATGGTCTTAAATAATTTCTCTTATTTTCCTTTTTATAAGGGGAGAAATGCTTTTGAGGACACACAGAAAGTATTTAAAATATGGTTGTATGTGTCATATGTGTATATTAATATTTAGAATGTATTTAGATAAAAGCCTTGTCTTTAAAACTGGAAATGATTTTTTAAAAGTTTATACTCTATAACAAAACAGAAAAATAGTTTAGGAATACCATAATTTTTACAGTAGTTAGTTCTTATATGCCTCAAACCTGAGGCTGTTTCCTACTTAGCTAGTAAGAAAAAGATACTATGCATTACCTTGCTCATATAACTGTAACCCCTCTGTATAGTATTTTCACAATAAAAAACTTATTAAAAAAGAAAAAGATATTATGATAACGTCATAAAGTGCTTATAAATTCCTTCATAGCTACTGACATTTAATAATGTTGCCCAAATCTGGAGTTGTAGAGACCTATAAGTACTTGGAAAAAGCACTTGACAGATGTCCTTGTTTTTTTAGCAATCATACACTCTTAGGGAAACTGTCATAAACTCAGGGAAACTGTCTTTATTTGTTTTAGTTGTTTTACCTTAAGTTCAATTGTTTACATTTCGATTGGTCATTTTACATCTCTCTGAGAAGCTAAACTGAATTTAGATATACTTTATCCATTGCAAATTATTTTTATTCTTCCAAGGAATGACTTACCTGCTGCTCTTGAAGCTACCATTGACTGCTATGCAAAGTATAAAATATTACCCAGGATTCATGATGTCTTATGTAAATTGATAGAGAAAGGCGAGACTGATCTAATCCAGAAAGGTTAGTTACATTCAAATATCTTAATGTGGGTTTTTTTTTCTTGCATATCTAAGATGAATGTGGTATTGTGGAGAGATAATCTAATAGAAAGCAAGCCCATGCAGAAAAACTCTTAAAATTCTGAATTGAATGTTATAAGTCCTTGATTTTTATTTTATTTATTTATTTATTGGGTCTGGTCGTAGGGCCTGAACTCTGGGCCTGAGCTCTTCAGCTCAAGGCTAGCGCTCTACCACTTGAGCCAGAGGGCCACTTCTGGCTTTTTTCTTTTTTTTGCTTATGTGGTGCCGAGGAATCGAACCCAGGGCCTCAAGCATGCAAGGCAAGCTCTACCACTGAGCCACCTTCCCAGCCCAGTCCTTGATTTTTAATGATTTCTTTTTGGGGAAAAAAAAATCTCTTTTTTTTTTTTTTTTGGTGCTGTACTTCTTGATTTGTCTTTATGACAGGATTTTTTTTAACCTTTACCAGTTATCTTTAAAATTCATCTAAATATTTGTATGCTATAGTTACAGAAGGTATATGACAGAAAATTAATTGATAAAGAGATTCTCTTTGAAGTTACTTATTTAGGAGGTGCTGGGGTTTAAAGTCAGAGCACTGTATGCTTGCTAGGTAAGTGTTCTATTGCTTGAGCCACATTGCTAGCCTAATAATTCTTAATCTTGTTTTCTTTATGTGTTTGTCCATAACTTCATATACTGTGTTTATTTTTCTTTTAATATTTATATGCCTGTGTGTGTGTGAATATATATACATACTTTTTTTTCTCTCTCCTATCTAGCAATGGACTTTGTGAGCCAAGAACAAGGTGAAATGACAATGCTCTATGATCTTTTCTTTGCCTTCCTGCAAACAGGAAATTACAAAGAGGCCAAGAAGATCATTGAGGTAAGATTTTTTTTTTAACGGCAATATCCTAATTGTAAACCTATTTAGATTCTTAATTAGAATACATTGAAAAAATTTTACCTTTAATTACACTTGGTCTGATTCATGTTAATAGAGTTCGATCTCAATAATGGGGAGGGAGACTTGTCCAGCTTCTTTATTGTATATAATTACAATTCAGAACTATATATCAAATTTTTTTCCTTACTTTGTTCAATTTACTATTATATATCAAAATATATTTTGATATTTGCATATTAAGTCTTGCATTGTGGAACAATTAAATTAAATGGGCATTCCTGGGTGTAAAGTTGCTAATCCTCTTTGCCAAAGAATTCTTTGTTCTTAAAAGCAGTAGAATTTAATTTGCTGCAGACCATGCTCAGATTTATTTGTAATGCTTGTCTATAAGTTAATCAGCCAAACAAGTGCTGTCTGCAACTGTTTGGCATTTAATTTAATTTTTTCCCCCTGCTATGGTAAGCAGCTTATGGAAAGTGGTAGGTGACAAAACCTGGCCCATTTAGGATTAGTATATTTTATCTAAACTCTACTGAAATTTTTCTTACCAGAATTGAGAAGGCAAAGAGCAGCTATAAAGTTTGTCCAAATTCTAATAAGCAGTTCTTTGTCTACTGAGGAAATAAAACATTCCACAAGAAGTAGATTCATTCTAAAATTTAGGCTAAGGCAGGAGAATCATGAATTTAAGACCTGACTGGGCTGTACAGCAAGACCTTGTCTAAAAAAAGAAAAAAATTATCATATTTAAACTATTTACTTATAAATTCATGAGTAGCTGCATTTCTCTCCTATCATACATTGCACATCCTTCAGTATGATAGTCAGGACACAAAGGTAATGTATGGCCTTACACAATAACTAAAAAATCATTACCATTTCATTTGATGTTTTTCAAAGAAAACTCTAGTATAGGAAAAAATGAACTATATTCAGAGCTTTCTTCTTCTATCTTATGACTCAATCTGCCTACCTGTCAGTGTCTTAAACAGTTGTTTCTATAGCTCAAGTAGTTGATTTATATTTTGTAGGAAGTGGTATAAATTCTCCCATTGACAGTACAGTGTGAATCTGAAAATGAGAGGAGCTGTCAGCCTGGCGGTTTGTACTCTTTATACATAGCGTTAGTATTAGCAGGTCACTGATCAAAATAGAAATGAAGCTCAGGTTTACAGAAAATGGCAATGAGAGGTTTGTAATAAACAAGACGCGATAGAAAAAGCCAAAGGCACAAAAATGAGTTCCCTCTTGCCATCTTTTTGCTTGTGTGATAATAATCTTTCTAAGCTTCTTCATTTATAAAAGGGAATATAATATCCATCTTTAGGATTCAATCATGTAATGTATGTAAAGCAGCTTGCATTTTTTCCTAGATTATGGTAGGTGATCAATAATATTAATTCTCTTTGCTTCTTATGGGTAGGAATAGTTTGTTTTTACTCCGTAATATTATGATGCTTATCATAAGGGCCATACTTCACAGATAAGAGAATACTGCTGCTTAATTACTTGAGAGCTTTGTCAGTATGGGTTATTTAGGAATAACTGCTGATGACAGTATTTTCAGAGTAAATGAGAATAAAATTGCTTAAAGTGTAAAAAATAGTTTCATAGAACTGCTATAGTACTTGAGGACTGGATGGCAAGGGGTGTAATGTATGAGAATGTACTAAAGGACCATTTCACATTGTTTATTTTGTTTTCTTAATGCTAGAGGGCAAATTAGGGTTTGAGCTTGGGTTTTTTGCCATTCATATTCAGCACCTAAAGTTGTTTTTTCTTTTTTTGGGGGGGGGGTTCGGTTGTGGGGCAGGAACTCTGGCCCTGGGCGCTGTCCCTCAGCTCTTCAGCTCAAGGCTAGCGCTCTAACGCTTGAGCCACAGCGCCACTTCCGGCTTTTTTCTTTTTGCTTATGTGATGCTGAGGAATCGAACCCAGGGCCTCATGCATGTAAGGCAAGCACTCTACCACTGGGCCAACTTCCCAGCCCTCGGCACCTAAAGTTTTCTAAGGATTATTAGAAATCTAAAAAGTAATGGAATTTAATGAACTAGGTGTAGGATCTCCAATTTGAGCACCTGTGTGTGTGTGTGTGTGTGTGTGTGTGTGTGTGTGTGTGTGTGTGTGTGTGTGTAATCTTTAAGTAGTTGTACAAAGGAGTTATTTAACAAAGCAGTTTATGAATACACTATCTTGATCAATGTCACACCTTTGAACATTTTCACCCATCCCTCCCCTATCCACTCCTTCCTTTGGTCTTCTTAATTTTGTAGGATATACATTGGATTTTTTTTTTTTTTTTTACTGCATTCTCCTCTTCTGCTTTTCATTTGTCTACCATTTTCCCCTTGACCTCACCCTACCCCTTTGAAGTGCCTGCTTCACAGTACTTTATTTTGCTCAATGTTGAAAGAATTAAACTATTTGAATTCTCCCTTGATTCTGCTATATTTCAGTTATTTGTATACATTTGCATATCACCCAATGTATTTACTTATAAGTTTATAAGCTAAATCTAGCTTCCATATATAGGAGAAAACATGCATTGAGCAACATTTCTTTTATCATTCTTCAAAATTCAGTAGTGAGCAGAGCACCATTGGCTCATACCTATTCAATAGGCTGAGATCTGAGGATCATGGTTTGAATTTAGCCTGGGCAGGAAAGTCCTAGAGATTTATCTCTAATTAGTCACAGAACTGGAAGTAGAGCTCTGGCTTAAATGGTAGAGCACTAGCCTTGGAGCAAAAGGAGCTCAAGGGCAGCACCAAGCCAAATTTTAAGCCCCAGGACTCAAAAACAAACAAAAAAAGGTAATATTATTTTATCTGTGGGTAGATTCTTAACAGTTTCACTTCCAAAGGTTCTTCGTGATTAAGCACTGTGGGAGATTAGAGATATTGGTCATATTTCGTGGAGATACAGGAAAACTGTGTAAATACAGTACTTTTTACTTTTTTTTTTTTTTTTTGCTGGGCCTGGGAATTGTCCTTGAGCCTCTCTGTGCTCAAGGCTAGCACTCTACCACTTGAGCCACAACACTACTTCCAGCTTTTTCTGTTTGTGTGGTACTGAGGAATCTAACCCAGGACTTCACGCATGCTAGATAAGCACTCTATTGCTAAGCCACGTTTTGTTTTTTAAATGAGCTAGTTTTATGTAAATAATATACATATCATACACATTATATATAAATGTATTCTAGTACATTTAACATAGTACACAAATTATTTACAGGAGGGTAGTTCCTTTGGCTAAAGTCACTTGCACAATAATTAAAGTGTGTCTGTGTGTGTGCGTGCGTGGGCGCGCATGCCTGAGTGCTTGCCCAGTCTGGCTTCAAACTGATCCTCAGATCTCTTTTACGTAGCTTGAATTATGGCATGAGCCACCAATGCCCATAACAGTTTTTTTTTGATAATGCATTGTGTACAAAAAGTGTGAAATACTAAATAATACTAAAAGTTGCTATAAGGAAATACAACACTTAATTTTACTCTCTGCTTTGGGAGTTCAATAATCACTGAAGACCTGCCATAGGCCACAAGCTGTGTAATTGCAGAGATGAGCAAGCGTCTGCCTTCATTTTAACTTCTTAGTCTAGCCTCTTCCCCTGGGGCTTAAATCTATATTACCAGCTATATGCTATAATAGAGCTAACTCTTAACGTTCTTGTAAATTATTTTCACGTACATCTTCATATAAGTCTCAGAAAACAACTTTGAGAAGTAATTAGAGCAAGGATATTTGTTTGGAATGTGGATTGGTGAGCTTGTTTATTTAGTAGCCAGGAATGGAAATGGTCTGATTGCTGTTTTCTGTGAATTTCCTTGTAACAACCCTATCTCCATCTCCTTTCAGTCCTGAACTTATGAACAACACATCCTTTCTGTAGATTTGCTCTCCTGTCTTTCGCTCTCCTCATGGTTTTTCGTTTAAGACTAGAAATTGGAATTCTAATAGTTTCAATCAAATTCAAGGTGTTAATCCTGTCTTCCTTAATAGAGCCAAGCTGGAGCCACTCTACACAGTGGATTTTAAGAACTAGTTTTCTCCTCTGACTTTGGGTGAAAATTTTAATCTGTCATTCATGCTGACTCATACCCCCTCTCTCTTAGAGTTAATTTTTGTAATGTTTCTTCTAATACCTGGTTAAATGGATCATCTCTTTAGTTTATGGTAGACGGTTACCAAACTTGCTCAGCCACATTTCCTTTCTGAAGATTTTAGAGGAAGGGACAAGTGTTAAAAGGCTTGATAAATGTGATTATATCTTTTTTCCTCCCTTGCTGTATGCTAGCTGTAGGCATAAATCATTGAATTGGGTTCTTGTTTTTGTTCCTGTCTTGTTGGAAGCCCTGAGAGATGGTTTTACTTTCTACTACACCAGCTAGAGAAACTGAGGTTTGGTGGGGATTTTGTGATGTTGTTGGCCATTTAGAAGAATAAACAGGTAAAAAATTCTGTTTGGGTTAAATTTAAGATGATCTTCCTCAAAATAAAATTTGAAATATAAATGTAAAACCTTCATTTACTTTTACTTTAGATGCAATAATTATTTCAGATATATTTTACTGGTTGTACATAGAAATTTATTATGCTATTGCAGATTTATGTCAGTGAAATTACAGTAATGACAGTTACTTTATTTTGGCTTATTTTTCATTGCCTACAGAGGGAAGCCCAGCACTATATTGTAATTTCAAAAAGTTGTATTTTGAAGTATAGGAACAAATGTGTCAGATTTTTTTGTTTATTTTAATTTTTTTTTTTTTTGGTCGGTCTTGGGGCCTGAACTCTGTGTCTGGGCTCTTTCCCCGAGCTCCTCAGCTCAAGGCTAGTACTCTACCACTTGAGCCACAGTGCCACTTCCGGCTTTTTCTCGTGTATGCAAGGCAAGCACTCTACCACTAAGCCACCTTCACAGTCCTGTTTTAATAATTTTTAGCCTCACTACCTGTTAAGTAAGTTCTAAAGGTGATCACGTTCATTATTTTAATTAACATTAGCTCATTTTGATATTAGTTTATCATTCCAATTAGAATTCTGTTCTCCAAGTTTTCATTACTTCTATTTCTGCTTTCAACTTGCAGTATTTAAAATTCAATAAGATGTTAAGAGATAAGGCAGAAATGTTTACTATTACAACAGCCTAGGGGATTTAGTTAATCTGACCTAGATGTTCTTTTGATGATTGAGATTTATATGTGAAAGCAGTTCTCAATTTCAAAATGAAACACAGGAAGATTCATTGTCTAAGTCAGCATCCTTTCTATAAATTTCAATTCAATATTGTCTTGCAGTGACAGGCAGATTAATCAGCCACAAACAGGTAGAATTTGCCATGAAATCTCTGCTCGTTAGATCTTTGGCATTTGAATCAACAATAATATTGAAGATTGTTGCATTTGCATCTTGCCCTATCTTACAGAGGATTATTTGCTAGTTTTCATGAGCTCTTAGTATACACTGATGTTTCACTTTTGGTGTAATACATGTGAAATGAAACAGGTGTGAGGTAATCTTTGAATAGAAATTATTTGAAAATATGATATGATAGTTGAAAATATATCTCAGAATATGCATATTTGTACTGTTAGAATATTTATTCAATTTACATTGTACCAGTTTTTCTGTCTGCTCAGTTCTTAATTTAATATTGTGCAGTATTGTTTGTTTTTAATTAGGAATGATGGGAAACCAAGTATAGTGATACATGTCTTTACTCTCAATGGAGAGGCTAATATGGGAGGATCACTTGAACCTCAGAGAGGTCAATCTGGGCAACATAGTAATACCCTTTCTAAAGTTAATAATAATGGTAACAAACAAATAAGTCAGATTCCAGGAATACTTGGATTAATCAACAGAGCCAAGTAGAAAAAGCAGGAAAGGTACCTCCTGTCAGCTGGAACACAGCCAGTGCTGATGAGTATGTGGTTATCTTATCATAATGCTGTGATTGAAATGTAGTGTTTAGTGGTGAAACCCTCTTATAGATGATGTAAAAATCTGTTAGAAGGACAAATCCTCGGAATTAATGTTGAAATGGTTTGTCTATTATTCCAGTTTTCAATATTGTGAAATGAGTACTTGAAACCAGACTCATTGACTAAACCTTAGTAATTTCAAATTGAGGGGAATAACATGTCTCAATTATTAAAGTAAAATAAGCATGCAAACTAAGTAATTTAATTTAATCTTAAAGCATTTAGTTTTGGATAGTAGGCAGAATGTCTGGAAGTTGTTAGAGTACTTTTATCGCTGTAAATTTCCTTCATCATGTAGTAATGGTTCTATAAAATATAAATAGTGTTTATATGTTGGATTTCTGAAGTTTGGGGTAGGGGCCACATACAATTGTGTGTTTAATTTAACATTTGGAATTGATTTTAGTTCATTAGTTCTTTTTGAACTAAAGAAAATATAAGCATTTTATTCATTATAATTTATGGAATGATTATTGACTTACAAAGCAGTGTCTTGAAAAATATTAATCTTCTAGACATAGGTTAAATATGGGTTCCATTTATGCTCTGTTCTAATCTTAATTAAAGGTCTTGGTAAATGGGAGACTAAGTTATATGCGTCTTTGTGTATATACGTTAGGCTACAAAGTTATCAGAAGGAAAACTGTCTTTGAGGAAGAATAAATGTTTTGCTAAAATTTTTTACCTTGTGTTCTGTTGGAATATTATATTTTACAGACTCCGGGCATTAGAGCTAGACCTTCAGCACTTCAGTGGTTTTGTGAGAGATGTATTACCAGCAATCAGGTTTGTTTTTAATTTTCATGTCTTAAGCAAGTAAAACTGAGTAGAAGAAAGCATTTCCTATATGTCTTATGATGACTTGTGGATTTCAGAAGATCAAATTTCATGGAAATGTGTTATCTTGGTTGTTTTTCAAATGAGCAAGTTTATTTCTTGGTCCTACAGTGTACTAGACATCCTAAAAAGATGATAATTTGGGCCACAAATTTTTTTGGGGGGGTGGAAGAGTCGATTATGGGGTTTGTACATGGGTGCTACTGAGCTCTTCAGCTCAAGGCGAGGGCTCTGCCACTTGAGCCACAGCACCACTTCCAGTTTTCTGGTGGTTAGGTGGAAATAAGAGTCTCACGGACTTTTCTCATGGACTTTAATGCCTGGGCTGGCTTTGAACCACGATCCTCAGATCTCAGCCTCTTTAGTAGCTAGGATTATAGTCTTGAGCCACTGGTGCCTGGCCTATGATAATTTTAACTTGCTTTTTCCTAGTTGGTTGAGCAAGCTAACTTTACTTGCTTGGCAGTTGACACTTGATTTAGTCCTTGACTGCTGGTTGAGATGCCCAGTAGAACTTAGTGAAATCTCTACCGTTCTTTCCCCCAGTGTAGGTGTCTGTTCACAGTATGCCAAGGAAAAGTGATAGGGAAAGAGGAATTCAATGTTTGGGTGGAGGATTGTTTTTATTAATGTAAGCTTTATATGCTGAGTTTTCCCTGCTTTGTTCTCTGTCCCAAAAATCTTCAAATTTCCCAAAAATCTCCTTTGTAGAGATTCCCTCAGGTTTCATTCCCCACCCCCCCTTTTTGGGGGGGTGCTGGGCTTGAACTCAAGGTCTGTGTGCTATCCCCTGAGTTTTGTTACTCAAGGCCAGTGCCCTGCCACTTGAGCCACAACTTCACTTCTGGCTTTTTGGTGGCTAATTGGAGATAAGAATCTCAGACTTTCCTGCCGAGGCTAGCTTTGAACCTCAATCCTCAGATCTCAGACTCCTGAGTACCTAGGATTACAAGCGTGAGCCACTGGCACATGGCCATTTTAGCTATTTTTAGACACCATTAGAAGCATTAAGTACATTTGTACTGTTCTCAGCTCTTGAGTTAATTAATTTCCAGTACTGGGACTTGAACCTTGTACTTGCTAGGTGTGTTTTATTGTTGAGCTATGCCTCCAGACTTTTTTGTGCTGAGTATCTTAGAAATCGGGTCATATTTTCTGTCAGATGTATGTCTGGACACAGGTCCCTCTATTTTAGACTTCTCATCATGTAGCTATGTTGATAGATGAATGCCACCTCACCCAGCTTCTTCCATTGGCATAGTATCTTGCAGACCTTTTCATTCATGCTGGCTCAGAACCACAATCCTTCTGATCTCAGCCTCATACAAAGCTAGGATGACAGGTATATGCCAGTGTATCCATCTATGGGTTAAGAAAAGGGGGTCTCGTGAACTTTTCTTTTCCCCTCCCTCAAATCATGATCTTCCCATTCAACATTCTGAGAAGGTAGGATGGCAGGGTTGAGCCATTTCACCAGCTTTTTAGCCCTTTTCTTTTGAAGTCAAATTAAAGCCCTATGAGTAAACAATTATTTGAAGGATTTTTCAACTGTTTCTTGTCAACAATGTAAATCTATGTTAATCTTATTTAAGGTTGAAACTCTAGAAAAATTAGTGGAGCTTACACAGAAGTTATTTGAATGTGACAGAGACCAGATGTACTACAGTCTGCTGAAACTGTACAGTAAGTGATTTGACTGTTTCTCATGTTTCATTCATTTAGTCTATTGAAGGCAGAGGCAGGAAGGGAGGATCAAGCTTTGAGAAACTTCAAAGGTATTACCAAATGTGGAATCTTCAACAAACCAAAGTGGAGGCTAGAATGAACTTAATCACAGAACGCTGTATTGTAGCACTAGGCACCACTGACATTGTTACTGTAATAATGGGAAGGTAAGAAAATATTCATGTTCGTTGGTTCTGTTTCTGGGCTTCTCAAGTCTAAAACTCTTAAGTCCCACGTCCTAAAACTATAAGTTCCACATATTGTTAAAGACCCACTACGGTCATCCATGCCTCACTGACTTTGACCCCCTGATCATTCCAGCCTCCTATCTGAAGATTAGGTGGTGAAAGGAAGAACGGTTTCCTTTTTATGTCTTTTTTTATACTTGAAAATGAAAGTGTCCTAACAATCAAAAAGATTCCAGTAAACATGTGATGTAACTAACCATAGTACTGTAGGAGTTGGGATATCATATGTCTACTATGTTTATAAATTGCTTTCTCTTCTGTTTCCTCCTGGTACATGAAATTTATAGGAGGCTATTGGCTTGAGCCTAGCACCTTCTGCACCAGGACCAGTAGACCAAATCAGAATGTTGTTAAGTGGGGCTGGGAATGTGGCTTAGTGGTAGAGTGCTTGCCTAGCATGCATTAAACCCTCGTTTCAGTTCCTCAGGACCACGTAAAAAGAAAAAGCCAGAAGTGGTGCTGTGGCTCAAATGGTAAAGTACTAGCCTTGAGCAAAAGAAGCTCAGGGTCAGTGCCCAGGCCCTGAGTTCAAGCCCCTGGACTGGCAAAAAAAAAAAAAGTTATTCAGTTATTTTTCTGACTGTCTAAGAAATTAGGAGAACAATAATAACCAAATTCCAATCATGCCAGTTTTATCCTGCATGATGAAGTCTTGTCTGTTTTAACTTTTATAAGGAAAGTATCTTTGAAATAATCACTCTGATGTTTCGTTCTTTTCTTTAGAAAATAGCCCTTTTCTGCCTCTGATTAGCTAATTGGTACACTCATTCTGTTTTATACAATGAAGTGTTACCTGATTCGATTTTAGTAAATAAAAGCCAATTCAGATCTTTAAGCTAAGTCAAAAAAGAAAAGAAACTCTTCTCATCAGAACCACTGCATTTAATAGGACTTTTTGAGGTGAGACTATTTATCCTCTTCTTGTGTAAATCCTGAGGTAGATACATTAATAATTATAGTTTTTTAAATAGGTAACTGTCAACACATTCACTTATATAGATCTTTTTGTAGAAAGGTGCATGTTATATACACTCATTCCTAAACAATTTCTTTAATATATTTTTTACTTATTTCTATTTTAGAAACTTTTTTCTATTTAATCACCTGTAAATAACTAATACACTGAATGGATAATCTAGAATTTATTCAATTCTGTTTACTAAAAGCATGTGAATAGATTTTAGTTTTCCATATTATAAAACAAAACTATGTTATTCATCTTTATATTAAAATCTTCCTTCACACCTAATTGTTTCTCAATTTGTTTCATACTATGTGTATTAGATTAAAGAATGATTAAAATATCTGAGTGTATAGAATTAAAAGCTCTATCTGGACCTGTAGCTCAGCATTAAAGCACCTGCCTAGCAAGTGAAAAGCCAAGTTCAAACCCCAGTACCTTTCATTGTGACAGTTTTACAAAATTAAACTCCTAGAACTCCTATAGCTTTACATGAATGAGATAAAGAATATCCTATTGTACCCAAATAACAGTATTATTACCTTATAAAACATTTTCTTGGAAGTGGTGCTATAGCTCAAGTGGTAGAGCACTAGCCTGGAGCTGAATTGCTGAGGGACAGCGTTCAGGCCTAGAGTTCAAGCCCCACGACCAACAAAAACAACAACAAAAATGAAAATGTTTTCTTCTGTTCTATGCTTTTCAGTTTTTCCTTTACATATACAAATTAAAAGTTTATTCTTTGTATCAGAAATAATACTGACTAACATTTTTCCTTTTGAATTAAAAAATAGTTTTAGTCACTGTTTTTTGTTTTTTTTTGGGGGGGGTCCGGTTGTGAGGCCTGAACTCTGGGCCTGGGTGCTGTCCCTCAGCTCTTCAGCTCAAGGCTAGCACTCTACCACTTAAGCCACAGTGCCACTTCCGGCTTTTTTGTTTTTGTTTTTTTTGGGTCCGGTCGTGGGGCCTGAACTCTGGGCCTGGGCGCTGTCCCTCAGCTCTTCAGTTCAAGGCTAGGGCTCTACCACTTGAGCCACAGCATCACTTCCGGCTTTTTTCTTATGTGGTGCTGAGGAATCGAACCCAGGGCCTCAAGCATTACAAGGCAAGCGCTCTACCACTGAGCCACCTTCCCAGCCCCATTGGCTTTTTTCTTTTTGCTTATGTGGTGCTGAGGAATCGAACCCATGGCCTCAGGCATGCAAGGCAAGCGCTCTACCACTGAGCCACCTTCACAGCCCTAGTCACTGTTTTTGATATTCAAAGTATCCCATCTTTGTCCAATTCTGCGTCATCTGACATACTCCTTTAGTCTTTTGTTGCACCATGTTTTCAGAAAAAAGACAGTCCAGGCTTATAATGCATAATTCCAGTCCTAGACCTGGAACTCATATTTTATAGAGGAATACTATTAGAGCACTGTAACAGATGAGTGACAAATGGGGAATTTGGATGTAGCTACATTATATTAGTAATGTACAACAACTGTCAGCCTTACAATTGTAACCTTGGACTAGAAATTTTGAGATCCTACTTTAATATTAACAGAGAAAAAGCATGAAATGCCAACTTTTGCATCTTTGTCTAGCACACTAATTTAGCACCACAGTTAAGTCTGTTCTTGCAAACTAGTGTTAGAATCATTAGTTGTATAGCTCAAAGTTCTCAGAGGTCATTTAAAACAGTTCATCCTCTTCTTTAAAGGGAACTATGAGATCCAGGAAAGCAATGTAATTATAGAGCCATGGTGTCCATTCTCTAGACCCCACCCAGGTTTGTGGTTGTCTCAGTTTTTTAATAACAAGCACAATCATTGTGTTCTCAGTAAAGGGATATTGAAGCCAGAGAGATTATTACAGAAGGAAGAGCCTTTCTGCGCCTTTGTAAGATTTTATACATTAGATTCACTGGATTTGATTGCCTCAAATTTTTTTTTTTATTTTTTGTGATCTATAGCCATCCCCATGAAATTATTTTTCCCTTGGAAAAAAATTTACTGAGTTGTTCCATGTTGGATTGAATCCCGTCTGTATTTTGAAATACTTTCCTTTTACATGTTGCTAGTCAAAGTGGAAGCTGTAAAAGGCGAAAGATTTATACGATCTGAAGAGTTGGGCTGGGAAGGTGGCTCAGTGGTAGAGCGCTCGCCTTGCATGCCTGAGGCCCTGGGTTCGATTCCTCAGCACCACATAAGCAAAGAGAAAAATGCCGGAAGTGGCGCTGTGGCTCAAGTGGTAGAGTGCTAGCCTTGAGCTGAAGAGCTGAGGGACAGCACCCAGGCCCAGAGTTCAGGCCCCACGACCGGACCCCCAAAAAAAAGCAAAAGAAAAAAAAGTGGAAGCTGTTTTTTAATTCTTCTTCTTTCCTGGTTGTAGGCCTTGAACTCTGTCCCCTCAGCTCTTCAGCTCTAACACTTGAGCACCACTTCCAATTTTTGGTGGGTTTTTGGAGACAAGAATCGCATGAGGTGACTCAGTGGTAGAGTGCTTGCCTAGCATGCATGAGGCCCTGGGTTTGATTCCTCAGCACCTCATAAGTGAGAAAGCCAGATGTGGTACTGTGGCTCAGGTGGTAGAGCTCTAGCCTTGAGTTGAAGAGCTATATAATTTTATGGGTTTTTTTTTAAATTAAAATATTAAGCAGAAGAGTTACAGTTACATAAGTCAGGCAAAGAGAACATTTCCTTTTGGCCAATGTGACCCCTTCCCTCACTCTCTCCCAGTGTTTTTCCTCCAGTCCCAACCATGGGACTAGTGAGTACCATGGGGTCTAGTGAGTACCATTGCTGCATTTGTTTACCCTTTGTCCTTCCATTTCATTTTTGTACCTCATTTTTTAAAATATAATTTTATGGTAAAGGTGATGTACAGAGGGATTATGGTAATGAATACATTTCCTACCGAACATTGTTACCCCCTCCCTCAGTTTATCCCACTTTCCTCCCCACTAATCCCCTCCATGTCGTAAAGTTCATTTCCAACATAGTATCTTGTGAGTATCGCTGTTGCCTTAGTTCACCCTTTGTCACCATTTTATTTTATTTCCCTTCCCTAAATTAGATAAACGTATATACAAGACACGGGGTACCAAAATCAAAAACAGTGACAACAGGAGACAAACCAAAGGGAAAAAAAAAGAAAGAGAAAAGAAGTAACTTCACACATGTACCTCATTTTTTTTTAAAGAAGAAAATTGTCTTCTCAGAACTCTTAAAATTGTTTGGGATAGTTTTTCTAGCTTAAAAATTAATGCCCTCTAACAGCACCTCACCAGCTCTGGAAACCTTCCTTGACTTTCCATTTTGGCAGCCAGCAAGAATGCTCCACTTTTGGTCCTTCTGTAGAAATAAGATTCTTGAGCTAGAAGTTCTTTTTTAAAATGTTTTATAGGGCTACATGTTTGAAATGCTTGAATTTTTTTTGGTTATATGAGAACATTTTTTTTTTTTTTTTTGGTCAGTCGTGGGGCTTGAACTCTGGGCCTGGGTGCTGTCCCTCAGCTCTTCAGCTCAAGCGCTCTACCACTTGAGCTACAGTGCCACTTCCGGTTTTCTGGTGGTTTATTGGAGATAGGAGTCTCACGGTCTCTCCTGCCTGGGCTGGCTTTGAGCCGCGATCCTCAGATCTCAGCCTCCTGAGTAGCTAGGATTACAGGCATGAGCCACCAGTGCCCGGCTATATGAGAACATTTTAAATATAAATAAATAAAAAGCACAGTTACCTAATGATTGTAAACGTAAAGTTTTATGTGGGTCTGATTGACTTTATTATCAAAGTATGTATAAAATCACTCTGAACTTGGGTTCGTTTCTAGTATTTGGGCCTCCTTTTCAATATGTTATATGTGAAAATGTAGCTTGTAATCTTTTACTTTATTTGCTTATATCTGATTGTAAGTTTCACTTTGTTCTTTGAAGCCATTAGCTTAAAAAGACCGGGGTTTTGGCTTTGTGGAAAACATCTAGGAAAATTCCATTTGTTTCAGTGTCTTAGTATTTTTTTCCTATAAAATGAAGAACAAATGTATTTGTATTTTCTGTAATATTTATTCAGAGGCATTCTCTTCCCTACCTAGAGTGAGACCCTATAAAATGGAAATATTCTTTCTGTGTTGCTTTTGCCATTTGTGAAGGTTGGGTCACCAAAGAAGGATTTAGGGTTTTCAGATATGAAGGAATTTGCCTTTTTTTCTTCCTGATAGATTCATGTGTGTGTACACACACACTCCTTATATACTTAGTGAAAAAGAATTCTCTTAAGGTAAAAAATCTTAAGACAGTATAACTATCACATAGTCAAGAGATAGCTTAAGGCAGCAGAACAAATAATAATTTATCTACTGAGCTAAATGAAAAGCATTTTTGGAGAAAAATTATACAACATAACACCTTCAGTCATTGAAGACCCACAGCAGCACACCTGTATTAATCATTCAAACACTAAAGAGCATAGTTGAATTATCCCTCATTCTGGTTTTGATTTTGACATTGGAAAATGTCTGAGTTACTTTAAAAATAGGAATTTTTGTGATTACATTTTAACAAAGTTTCTATGACTTATAAATGGCTAGTAGCCCTCCAGAAAAGTCTAGAAAGGTATACAGAAAAACATGTCACCATGGTGTGGCAGACATTTCAGCTCTTCTCTCTAAAGTCAGCATCTGGGATAATGCTTTCCTCAACATCAAATAAGAAAACATTGTACATGTTTTCCTGATTATTTTTAGTATCTTCATTAATTTCTGTTTAATTAAATTCTACAGAAATAAATGGTGACTGGCAAAGAGCTGATGCTGTCTGGAATAAAATGCAAGAAGAAAATGTTATTCCTCGTGAAAAGACATTAAGATTGCTGGCAGAAATCCTTAGAAACAGTAATCAAGAAGTTCCATTTGATGTTCCTGAGGTAACTCTTTTTTTTTTAAGTGTAACTAGTGTTGTCTTAAGTCCTACATCATCCCACATTTATGCTGAAGAGATCATGTATTTGCCAGTTTTTGTTTAATTGAATAATTTTGTTTTAAAGTTGTGGTATGAAGATGAGAAACAAAAGCTGAGTTCTTCATCACCATCACCTGTTGGAGCTAATATTGAGAAAGATGTGTTGAAAGCCTGTCATTCTAGGAGAAACAAAGGTAAACATGCCCATAGTGTCTTGTTTCTAATGACAACATTGATCTAAGCCCAGGAAGCTATAGAAGTTCTATAATAAGAGGTTTAAGTTAAATTATATCTCTCTGTTCATTCATACTTTAACAAAAGCATCTTAGCACATTTAAGGAACAGCTGAGTGGTAGGTAATATTAAGGAATCATTCCTGTTTTTACCATCACACTTTGCCATTATAATAATGGCATGATGACTTACAAAATAATGTCCTTCAGTTTTGAGATCTCTGAAATATTTAGGGATAAAGAAATGTCAAGAGTTTATGTAATTTGTTTTTAAACACACAAAGAACAAAGGAAGCTAGGTGTCAATGGCTCATGCATGTAATTCTAGCTACTCAGGAAGATGAGATCTGAAGCTGGGCACTGGTGGCTCACACCTGTAATCCTAGCTACTCTGGAGGCTAAGATCTGAGGATCTCGGTTCAAAGCCAGCCCGGGCAGGAAAATCCATGAGAACTCTTATCTCCAGTAAACCACTAGAAAGCCAGAAGTGGCACTGTGGCTCAAGCGGTAGAGTGCTCGTCTTGAGCTGAAAAGCGCAAGGACAGCGCCCAAGCCCAGAGTTCAAGCCCCACAACCAACAACAACAACAACAAAAAAGATGAGATCTGAGGAACATGGTTTTAAGTCAGCCCAAGCCGGAACGTTCTGTGAGACTCTTATCTCTGATTAACTACCAGAAAACTGGAAGTGGCACTGTGATTCAAAGTGGTAGAGCACTAGCCTTGAGCCCAAAAGATCAGGGACAGTGCCTAGGCCTGAATTCAAGCCCAAATACCAACAAAAAAAGAAAAGAAGCAAATCTGATAGATGAGTGTGGTGGAATGCGCCTTTGATCCTAGCTATGGAAGGTTGAGATCGGAGAATCATGACTCCAAGCCAACCCTGAGGAAAAAGTTTGTAAAATTCTCTCTCAAAATAGGACCTTAATTATCAGACTAGTATATGTCAAAGTGGCCAAGATATAATTCCAAAGTTAGAGTTCTTTTCTTGCTTTAATCCCCTTTCTCTAATGTTCCTATAGAAATATCTACCTCTGCCTACTTTAAAGTTTTTATGACTATCTGACATGAGTTGGAAAAATTCTACAAATGATATATTTTTCTTGTTAATTTCTTCCCTTAGACATAGTGACATTTGGACTCCATATAGTAGAAATAAGTCAACATAAGGGTTTATATAATGTTTTAATTTTCTGACTTAACTAAGGATTTTGTCTTGAAAAAAATGTATAAAATAAGAGAAAGCTAAAATCTCAGGTATATTTGGTCTGTACATCCTTGAGTCTTTTGTTTTTTGTCAGCTGAATATAAAACTATGGCCAATATTATAAAAGTAATCTGGTGATTTTTTTTAATCTTTCATTTGCTTTTGTGTGTGTCTCAGAATTCTAGTGCTTAACAAAATAGAAATGCTTTAAAAACTGTATGCTTATATTAGTATTTCTCTAACAGTTTTTAAAGGTTATATACCAAATACAAATCTACTATGAATGGGTTTGATACATTACAATGCTATTTTAAAAAATAAAAATAACTAATAGAGACAATAAACACAGTTACCACATTTTTAGTGAACAATATTATTTTCTAGGTATTTTGTTGCTTTTAAATATTCAGATCATAGAATATATTCTTATTCAGTAGCTGATGTAGTTGTTAAGTAGTATACAGCAATGACATTACATCTTGTTGCATTAGAAAAGAAAGCGTAGGGGATGGAGATGTTGTTCATTGGTAGTGCTTGCCTAACATCTACAGGTCATGGCTTTTATCCCCAGCAGCACAAAACAAACTCTTTAATTTAAAATATATAGATACAGATAAATACCTGTCTATAGATGTCTCTAGGTATGTATGTATTAATATGAAATGTTACGTTTATATGCCTACACATGCAAAATATGTGCTGATTGACAAGTTCTTTTGCAGTCATGTTATTATATAGTATGATTTTAAATTGTTTTGCGAAGCCATGATGAGACTTCAGTAAGTAGGCTGAAATTACGGAATAGCTTGATTTTCTCCCCCATTTCCCAAAGTAAAATATAGACTAAGTTAGGTATCTAATGATGAGAAATTAATAGCTAATAATAGAATTTCTTATTGCCTATCTGTGGGGTTTTTTATGTTTTACTTTGTGCCAACACCCTGGAACATACAGATGTTTACAAACAGCAGGCTGGCAGTGTACTTGGTAATTTCATGACTAACAGGGATTGTTGTTGGAAGGCTTGTTTAAAAGCTGAATAACAGCCAGAGCCATTAGCTCATGCCTATAATCCTGGCTACTTAGTAGGGTATGATCCAGAGAATCATGGTTTGAGACCATCCCTGGCAGCAGTCTGCAAAACTCCTCCAAAATAACCAGAAAGGGGCTGGGAAGGTGGCTCAGTGGTAGAGCGCATGGGTTCGATTCCTCAGCACCACATAAGCAAAAAGAAAAAAGCCAGAAGTGGCGCTGTGGCTCAAGTGGTAGAGCGCTAGCCTTGAGCTGAAGAGCTGAGGGACAGCGCCCAGGCCCAGAGTTCAGGCCCCATGGCCAGACCCAAAAAAAAACAAAAACAAAAAAAAACAAACTAAAATAACCAGAAAAAAAAGAACAGGGCTAGAGACTTGACTCAAGTAGTAGAGCTCTATTCTAGCAGGTAAGCATCCCAAGCACGCCCTGACTCTCATCCTGGCAAAATAAGAATCTGATTTGTACCACAGTTACAAAACCATAGTTAACTAAACTGTTTTCTTTATTAAATATAAATATTTTCATACTCTATAGTTGTGTTTCTTAAAATTGTATTACTATTACTACAGTATTATTATTGGTCTTCCTGAGGCTTGAACTCAGAGCTTATGCACTTTCCCTGAGCTTTTTTACTGGAGGCTACCATTCTACCACTTGAGCCACAACTCCTTTTTTTCACAGATCTTTTCCTACTGGGTCTGCTCCAAGCTATGATTCTCAGATCTCAACCTCCTCAGTAGCTAGAATTACAGATGTGAGCCACCAGCACCTGGCTGTAATTTGAAGGATAAATTAGTTTTTGACCTAGCCTTTCCAGGTTCATAGGAAAATAATGGATATTCCTAATGTCTACAAGAGCATGATCATTTTGTGATCACAATGCACAGAATGTTCTTCTAAACATTAATGTCAGGTCCACTATTAGTTAAATATTCTACATTTCTTATGTTTATACGAGGCCGTGCATGATAGTTCAGTTATGCTCTATCTCCATTGTGATGTGTTTATACACAGACAAGAGTGGATTGTAGTTTCAGTTGGCTGTTTATAGCCAAGTAATTTTATTTCAGAAAAGTAAGTGACTGAAAAGTGTAGTTACTTCTCTTTTGGTAACATCTTTTCATTCACTGACAGTTATTGTGAACAAGTGAAATAAAACTGTTAATCAGTCAAACAAATGTTGCCTAGTTTACTTGTTAGATACCTGTATATTTGAAAATTGTATGTTTTTGTATAAGTCCTGTCGTAGCCAAATAATTTGATCTCCTAATTTTAGAATTATAGGCTATATTCACTTTAATGCTATTGTGTTGAAATGTTAACCATTGTAACCACCCACTTATAGATTAAAGATAGCTTTAAAGTGAATCTTTTGCTCTCCTCAATCTAAATTATACCTTTGGCTTATTTGGACTTTAACATAGATTTGTGATATATTTTTAAACTGATGTAATCATTTGATAAAATCAAAAGAGCTGTTTCTCATTTTTATTGACACAAACATAATTTATCCACTTAAATATAAAAATTATTTTAAAAGAAACCCCAGGTACCATCTATTTTGATGAAATAATATTTTAAGAGTGCTATCATCTGCTTGATTGATCATTGTGAAATTGTAATAGTAGATGGATTTTTTTTAATCCAGAAATACTAGGGTTTTAAACTTTCATTTGCTTTTATTTTTTTCCATTTTTGCTTTTTCAGAATAATGCTGTCCCTTTGTATTTTTTTTCTCATAGATGCATATAATATTTTCCTGAGAGCACAAAAGCAAAATACTGTGTTTAGCAGTGAAACTTACGACACTCTTATAAAGTTTCTGTTGAAGGATAATTTTGTACAAGCAATGGAAGTGAAAGATTTGTAAGTAATATTTCATTTGTTAAACTTTACATTTAAAAAAAATTGGCTACTATTGAGTTTGTTGTTGTTTTGTGTATATGTGTGTTTTTTCTGTGTTGTAGTGGCAGTTGCTTGATTAGTCTCAACTAATAAAAATCAAATGAAAAGTTAATTTTATGGATTTTTTTAGCCTTTAAAATTTTTAACAGTGGGCATATATCAATCAAAATAATAGTATATTTTATTCATTTTATATGCACAATTTTAGATACCCGTGTATAGAAAATAATTTTTATTCTAGCTTTAATAAGGCAGCTTGATTCATGTACTTTTTGTGATAGGAACAGCTTGATAGAATGCAGACACCAAGGACTTTTAAGGCTTGGGAAAACTGCCTACCTCCGGGAGATTCCATTTTTTTCTTCCGTTTAATGAGTGCATAGTAACATGTCCATTAAAAACAATAAAAACCCTTTGTGTTGAGGGCTGGGAAGGTGGCTCGGTGGTAGAGTGCTTGCCTTGCATGCATGAGGGCCTGGGTTCGATTCCTCAGCACCACATAAACAAAAAAGAAAAAAGCCGTAAGTGGCGCTGTGGCTCAAGTGGTAGAGTGCTAGCCTTGAGCTGAAGAGCTGAGGGACAGGGCCCAGGCCCAGAGTTCAGGCCCTACGACCGGACCCAAAAAAAAAAAATCCTTGTGTTGAGAATGTGGCATAGTGGTAGAGTGCTTGCCTAGCATGCGTGAAGCCCTGGGTTTGATTCCTCAGTACCACATAAACAGAAAAAGCCATAAGTGGCTCTGTGGCTCAAGTGGTAGAATGCTAGCCTTGAGTGAAAAAGCTAAGAGACAGCACCCCCAAGCCCTGAATTTAAAAATCAGAATAGGCACAAAAAGCCTTTTGAGATACTGAAGGAAGTCTTGAGATAGAAAATGCATATGCCTTTGCTTTCTCCTTATTTTGTAGTTTTAGATTTTGGAGGTTTTCACCATGCTAATTAGGCTAACCCTTAAACTCATGATCCTCCTGCCTCAGCTTCTTTAAGTGCTATGAGTATATATGTATGCCCTCAGGCCAAAGCTTGGCTTTGGATTCTTTTTAATGTGGTGATTGTAGTTATTTTGACTCTTGGGCTAATCCCCAAAGATTCAAACTCTTTGCAGAAGTTTCCTATTGTTATTTTATTTATCTAGCTCTGTCTGCTTTTTTGGAAACTTGAGTTATTATTAACCAAAAAGGAAGAGAATATACACATTCCTTGCTTGATCAGTCAACAATTTGTTTTCAGTGGAAAAGGTCAGCCTTTCCTAATGTGAATTCTAAGATAAATACTCTCAGCTGATTTTTGGCCTGATTTGTTTTTTCCCCAATTTAACAAAGCACTTTATGAATATAATGCACCTTGATTAGTTTTACCCCTCTGAAAATATTTTTGTCACAGTACTTTTAGAATATTAATATCTTTTCAAAAAATTAATATCTTGGATCAAGTCACTAGAAAATATTAGTGTTAAATATATTACTCATCTGATCCATACTTACTAGTATTCTAGTTAGAATGTTTCAAAAATATGTTTCTATATACTCTAAATTAGTGACCTGGACAGTTTTACATTGAGCAGTATTCTGATATATGTAACCAGTGGAGTTAAGGGTAAGAATTACTTTTTTTAAAAATTACTAGTTCAGAAAATTATTGTGAAGCTCTTCCTTAATAATCAATTCTAAAGTGGGAGGAAAAATGTAGACTTGCTTTGAAAATTTGCATGATTAAATGAGAAAGAATAAGGAGGAAACTTAAAACCATTTAGTCCTAAAGGTTGGTCCCAAAAATATTCAAAATTTTTTTACATTTTTAATATATTTTTAATGTAAAGATAATGTACAGAGGGGTTACAGTTACATGAGTAAGGTAATGAGTACATTTCCTATTGAGCATTGTTACCCCCTCCTTTTTTTCCCCCTACATCCCTTTCTTCCCACCTCTCCAACTCCCCTCCCCCCACCCAAAGTGGTAAAGTTCATTTTCAACATAGTGTCTTGTATATCTCATTGTTACAGTGAGTCAACCTGTATCCTTATTTTCAGTATTCCCCAAATTAGAAAAATGTATATACAAGATGCAAAGCACGGGAATCAAATACAGTGAAAACAGGGGTTCTACTATGGGGAAGAACATACAAAAGAACCAAAAAATCACATAGTACATTGTAAATACATTAAAAACAACAGCAACAAAGATAAAACTTCTTGTTTCCCTATCTTGGGGTTCATTTCACTTAGCATCATCTTATATGGTTATTTGTACATAGCTTTTGACCTTTTCTGCTTGTTCTGGACATATATTAGTTATTGCAAATAAGGGAAACCATGGGACCTATGTTTCTTTGGGCCTGGCTTACTTCACTTAATATTTTTTCCAAGTCTTTCCCCTAGCTTACTTCACTTAATATTTTTTCCAAGTCTTTCCATTTCCTAACAAATGAGGTGGTATCATTCTTTCTGATGAAGGCATAGAATTCACACACACACACACACACACACACATATATATATATATATACATATATATATATATAATGTGATAAATATATGTCACATTTTCTTGATCTAGTGATCTGCTGAGGGGCATCTGGGTTGGTTCCATTGAAATATTTCTTTAAAGCACTGATTAGAATGTCTTCACAATTATGGTTTTGTTCTATCACAGTGGATCTTTATGGCAAAATGAAAGGTTCTGATGCAGTTGAATGGGTAGGATGTGGAATGTATACTAAGCATCCCAGGTGATTAAAGAATTATGTCTCAGATTATGATTATTCATATACCTTTAGTGGTGAACTGTGGTAACATGTCACAAATATTATAGAGCATACTAAAAAAAAAACCAAAATGTTTGTAAGATGAGCTTAGAAATTGAAGGCAGTGTTATTAGGCAGCGCACATACCTCTCATTGAAGGCCACCAACCACATATAGTTCTCAAATTTCAGTTGCAGTTTACCTAAGGGTCATGAAATTTATTTTATTCATGAAATTTATTGAGTGGGACAAAGGCAGATGAACAGTAAACAGAGTGTGTGTGTGCGTGTGCGTGTGCGTGCACGCGCGCACGCGCAAGAGGAAAAGAGAACACTAATCTCCCCTCTTAGCCATTTTAAGTATATAATACAGTATGTTGACTTATAGGTCTGTACACTGTATAGGATTCTAGGACTTAACATGCATAACAAAATTTGTACTGTTGGTATACATTATCTCCCCATTTTTTCCCTTCCCAACCCCTGCTAAACACCATTCTACTCTGATGTTACTTATGAGACTTTCTATATACTTATAGCACACATTTACACCTCCCACCAGGTTTACTCTGCCTTTCTATGTATCTGAGTGTGTCCAATTAATGTGAAATTCAATGCCGTGAATCAGCCTGGGGATTGGATACTTGTTTCCATTGAAACAATCATAATTTGTATCTAACTACATAGAATTTTAGATTGGGTTAAATCTGTTCTGGATATTTTTTAAAAATAACCTTGGACTGGGAATTCAGAAGTGGAAGTTCAAGTTCTAATTAGCAACTGTTAAGTAATTTCTCTGGATTCATTTCCTACTTCCTTGCCAATACTAGACTAGGGCATATTCTCCCCTACCATCCAGCTCTGTATCAGCGATCAAAGTAAAAAAGAATTGTTGAGGCGGGGAATGTGGGTTAATGATAGAGTGCTTGCATAGCATGCATGAAGCTCTGGGTTTGATTCTTTAGTATCACATACACAGAAAAGGCCAGAAGTGGTGCTGTGGTATAAGTGGTAGAGTGCTAGCCTTGAGCAAAAGAAGCTCAGGGACAGCGCGTGCGCACCCGTGCACACACACACACACAGAATTGTTAACCTTTTTTTTTTTATAAGCAACTATTTGTAATAGGGTGACCATGTCCCATAACAGGGACAAAACTTCTTGTACTAATTATTCTGGCAGTTCTATCTCCATGAATAGCAATGTGTTGTTATAATTATCTGTATAATGCTGCTTAGTTCAATCTTAAAAACAGTGAATTTCCCATATACTGAAAAATAGTATCTTTGTTGTTCTACTGTCTCTGGAATATTGTAAGATACATCTGACTTATAATAATTTTTATTAACAATTTTGTTTAACTTGTCAACAAGTCATGAAAACCTCAAAAGTAATAGTTGACAGTTCTCTTGACCCCCCAAAAAAATTGTTGCTATATTTTGAGCAGAATTTCAAAATGTAGCTCACAGTGGCCTTGGCCTTTCTGAGTAGCCCCCAGCCCTGCTTCCACCACTGCGTGTTGTATTTACAGTCATGTGCTATCCCATGGCTGGAACATTTTCAAGAGGACAACTTCCTTTTTTAGTTTCCTGTGTTATAAAGTAAGAATTTACTTGTAAAGAATTGCTTCAGAAGAGACATTGCTTATTCAAAGATTAAGGGATATAAATTATTATAATAAATCTCTGGTATCACTAAGTGGTATTCTCAGGTGATTTGAGGGTCATTTTTTTCTTGTCTTTAGTAACTTCCTGTCCTTAGTAGCATCCTGTGTTTTTCTGTCATTTATATAAGTCTAAGTGTATCACTTACAGATTTTTTTAAATTTATGGCCAGTTCTTTTTAATCCAAAGTAATAATAAATTACAAACATTGACTAATGGCCTATGCTCTTGTTATATAAGCACATCCATAATCTACACATTACTCTGAAATGGCTAATGTGGAACTTTCCCTGTAATACTGTCATGTTTGGTTAACATGTTAATTTTTGCAATTGATTGTAAGTTACAACATGATACCTTTTTTTTGGGGGGGGGGTCGGGTCATGGGGCCTAAACTCTGAGCCTGGGTGCTGTCCCTCAGCTCTTCAGCTGAAGGCTAGAGCTCTACCACTTGAGCCACAGCACCACTTCTGGCTTTTTTCTTTTTGCTTATGTAGTGCTGAGGAATCGAACCCAGGGCCTCATGTATGGCAAGCACTCTACCACTGAGCCACCTTCCCAGCCCAACGTGATACCTTTTTTACCATCAGTTTTTTCTTTTAAAATTTGGTAGTTTGGGGGTCTGGGAAGGTGGCTCAGTGGTAGAGTGCTTGCCTTGCATGCCTGAGGCCCTGGGTTAGATTCCTCAGCACCACATAAGCAGAAAAAAAAAAAAAGTTGCAAGTAGCACTGTGGGTCAAGTGGTAGAGCGCTAGCCTTGAGCTGAAGAACTGAGGGACAGTGCCCAGGCCCAGAGTTCAAGCCCCACAACCGGGCCCTCCAAAAAAAAAATTGGTAGTTTAAAAGTGAAACTATATGCAGCTATGATCTAGTAGCTGCCAGCTTTACATTGCTGTTTAAATTGTTTCAAATTAGATATAATTAGATTATGTTATTGCTGTTCTCTTTCACAATAACCATATAGCTACACATAACTAATGGCTAGCTCTGTTAGATATCACAGATAAAGAATATTCCTTTGGCATAGAAAGTTTGGTTTGATGGCTTTGGAAAAAGTTAAAATTAGGAGTCAAAATAAATTTATTGTCTTGCATGAATGATTCCACCATAAGGATCGCTATCAGTAAGTTGTATTGCCAGTTTGAAACATTTTTGTTGTGAATGGTCAAGTTTAAGCATATATTACATAATAGCTGTCGAGTTTTTTCTTTTTGATAACTATGTCAAGGTAGTTTGTAATGAGTAGGCAGCTTCTTAAGGTTGGAAGAGATTATCAGAAAAGAATGTTGTGTTTTGAGATTTTTTTCAAAAGGTTTGTAGTTTACACTTGTATAGTAAGAAATTTCTTACCCCATTGTTTTAAAATTCTAGGTAATATTTTGACATGTATTAATAGTTCTAATTTTTACTTAAACTGTGCTGCAGATTGAAAAAGCAAATACTTTATTTTAAGCAATTTATAGTCTCGTGTATGAGTTGTTGACTTAAGAGCTTTGACAGATGGGACAAAGAAAAAGTCGAACTGAGCAGTGGTTGCTTTGGCAGGATTTAGAGGATTGATACAGGAGGGGGATAAGAAAATCCTGCATCGTGGGACTGCAAGAGGCTGAAAGTGACTGAGAGGCTGGGCACATCCATCATCACGCTTTTAGAGGATTATTTGAGAATAACTCAGCAGTGGCCCTGCTCCTTTTGCAGTCTGCTCAGTTTATGGGTTCATGCTGGCAAGCCGTGTCCGGGTTGGCACTGACGTTACCACTGAGCGCTGTAAGGCAATGGCAGCACTTGATTTTGCTCCTCGTGACCTGTGGGGATTTCCTAACTAGTTTCACTGACAGAGATGTCTACAATAGAGCAAAGAAATCATTCCAGTTAGATTTTTAGGAGTTTGTTTTTAATCATGTAGGTTTTAGTGTCAAGTAGCAGTTTTTTGCTCTTAAGTTTTAAGAAGTTGAGGGATATGTTTTAAATTTAAGGCTAGGACAAAAGTGTTAGGTGAAAATTTTAAATCAGTGTAACAACAGTTTTGGTTCTGCAGTGTGCATAAAAGCTTTAAGAACTGTATGTATCTAGATGACAGAAATTTGAAAATTAATCAACCAAATAATATGGTGTTGGTTAGTAATATGCATTAGTTTATATTTAAAATACACAGTGCTGAAAATAAATGTTCATTTTTGTTGCTAGAAGAATAGTTTTACATTTTATAATTATGGTGAATGTAGAAAAAAGAGGAAAAAGTATCCAGCTTCGGATACAGCTGAACAATGCAGGGCATGCAGTTATTTTAGTCATCTAATATGTCAGCATTCAAGAATCTGAACCGATTGTTTAAAAAAAATCTTGTACTTTGTTTCTTTTGTTGCTCATTTCCAACTTTGTCATCTGTCAGAATGCAAAAAAAAATTATCCTTCTATAACCATTGACAGGATAACACAAAAGCTGTCTCCAGGTCGATATTTTGCAGCAATATTTTTAACATACGAACAGTAGTTTTTATAATTTCACCTTGGTGCTCAACCATTTATTATCGTATCAGAAGCATGTCAGTAATTCCTTTCTAAATGTCTGCTTCTTTTAGCGCTGAGACCCACATCAAGGGCTTCACACTGAACGATGCTGCCAACAGCCTCCTCATCATAACGCAAGTTAGGCGGGATTATTTGAAAGGTATGTCACAATGCTTGACCTTTACGTCACATTAATGCCTCTGCAGATTTTTCTTGTAACGCCCTTCGAATACTTGGATAAAGGAGTCCATTTAGCAAATTACCTGCTTATCAAGAGCCTTTTGTGGTAGCTGAGAGACGTAAATTACTGTACATGCATTTATAATACAGCTTGAATATGAATGTACTTGTCATTTGACCACTTAGTCCAGTTTCCATTCCATTTAACACAAGATGGGTTTTCTTAAGATGAATCACAGCTCTTCAGACATGCAAAATTTGTGTTCCAGAACGAGAGAAAGTACAGGCTTTCAAGTGCGTTAAAATTCACAGCACAAGTCATTTTGCTTTGGAAATTAACATACTTTCAAGCATCTGAAACAATTCCCAGCAGTTGTTTTTTTGCATATTGTGTTGGTTGTGTGCAAGATAGCAAATGAGTTAAATTGAGTGTTAAATGTGTAGGATTGTGCACCAAATGATTATAATATTGATTTTTTAAACTTAGTCTAATACTTTTTAAATAGTTCATAATACCAAAAACAATAAAATACAGTGTTTGTTTGGAGTTTAGAGTTTTTAAATGGGTGTTAAGAGATTAATACAAGGTAGATGTGGAGATGACTTTGAGGAGGGTTGGGCAAGGGCTGTGGTTTAGTGGAGACTGTTTATGTGTTTGCTGTGGGGTAGATTGGGATACAAAGTCTTAGGAATGAGTTCCCAAAGGAGATAATGAAGATTCTCTTAAATTTAGGTAACAAGCTTTTCACATTAAGATTTAGGCTTGAATGGACGACAATGTTGTCAGACACCTTGTATATATACTGTTTTGTAGAATGGGAACTTCTTTGTACAACTACTTAATAATAAAAAATTTTAAAGAAAGAGAAAAAAAGATTTAGGCTTGAATTTTAGTAAATAAGGTAACACCCAGTTTTGTCAGCATAACTACAAAACCCACTTTAAGATAGGGAAGACATTTTAGCTATTAAATGTTAGGTAGTTTCCTGGTCTGAAATAATGGTGTTATTCCTTATTAACATGTTTATAAAGTAGTTTCACATCTCTTAAGTTTTTAACTTCAAGGATTGATTTTGGAGCCAGATCAAACCTAATATGTTAAGTTCCTCTTGAAAATAATCAGAAATTGCATAATCTAACTTTTGATTCCTGTGAGGTTTCAGCTTAATTAGAGGTTCCCCCACTACTTACCTCCACGCCCCACAGCCTTGCCACAGACTAACTTCATGTTGTAGAAAGGATGGCAGTGGTGTTGGCTTGCTTTTAAATATAAATCCCCCTCAATTCTTTTGTCTTTGTTTCTTGCCACTTCCTTTTATCAAGCCCTTCTAAGGAAGTAAAAAATAAAACCAATTAAATCTTACTGGAATTTTATAAACCAGTACTGTTATAAACTATTAATGGCTGGTACATGGCAGTACACTCTCACTATGGGATAATTGAGTAAATGTTGGAATTGAGTTACAGCAGGAAAAGATTTAGGGAGAGAGATGCAAATGGATACCATTTACAGTGTCCTCTAAGCTACACAGATGTCAAGTTTTATGTGAGCATATGCTTATGTCACAAGATCTTGCATTCCCTGTGGGTAGATGGTGAAGTTATCTGTCTCCTCACTATTCTTTCATATAGAGGATGGTTAGACTCAAGGTGGTATCCATCAATATGGCTTTGACTCGTGAAATATTCAAAATCACTGAGAAAGACCTCAGAGATTTATCTATAAAATTGATACTTAACTCAGGTAATTATGAATGTAGCTTGTTTAATTCTGTGTCAATATGGTAAATGCTATGCAGTATAGCAAGTGCTCAATAAATTTGAGTTTCCATTATCACCAGCATTGTTAGTATTTTTATCCATCAGTGGGAAGACCTTCTCTAACAATGTATTTAGGTACTAAAAATACTCAAGTTTAATTACCTGTATATGACTATCAGTTAACAAGATATCAAGCTAATTTTCTGTAGGTTGTATTTTTAAACAGTATAAAACTGCTTATGTTTCCTATATGTGCATATGCATTTATAAAATATTGTTGAGTATGCTTTTTAAACTACCTATTTTTCCCTTTGCCTATTTGAGACTCAATAATTGAGATTTATAGATTTTTGAATTACAATAGTTTAGTATGAAGACTAAATTCTTCATGTCTTTTATTGTATTGTTTTTAATAGACCATTTAATTACCCTTTCCCATTCTTCTGTGAAAGAGAAGCTATTCTCAGTAAACTGCCTGGAGAGACTTTGTTCTATCTATGTTACACCACTTGAAGCGCTCTAAAGCCATGAAGTTTTGTTGTAGTGATAATGGTGATTACATCCCTCCTATCATTGTTTATTACCAGGGTTTTACTACACTTGTACATGAGGCAGTAAATTAGAAGAGTATTCTATATTTAACTGTCATCAAGTACTTACAATCAGGGGATTTTAAATAAGAAAACAAAACATTTGTTATAACCATATGAAATGAATGTAATGTAAAATAAAATCTGTTAGTAAAAAAAAGCCATACAAAATAAGTCTGTTAGTCTGAAAGTTGAATGATCTGTTTGGACCTCAAAGTATAAATCCAGTAAAAGTGACATAATTTTGGAAGCTCATTAATTTTTAATATTCATCCTTATTTATACTTCTGTAAACTCATCAGCTTCCTTTAAGTTATTCGTGAAAAGTCATCCCTGAATGGAATTCAGTAACACTTGGGTTCTTTCTGTGGCAGAAGGAAGAAATTTCTCTGGTCTCTAATACTGTACAGATAGTCAAATAAGTCATTTTTAAAAGATTTCTCATGAAGTATTGATATTTTCTGTAATATGTAATAAATTATTCATGGCTTTTTGCATATAGCCATTTGATGTTCATATTTAAAAGCTGGCTTTCAAGATGCATTAAAATCAGTATGGGTCATATAAGAAAACTGTCCTCTGTTCTTGGCTTTAGGGGCTCTAGCAACTCTACAAACATCTGTGAATTTGCAGCAGACCCCTTCTAGGTTAGCTGTGACCCGCCTTATCCAGGCTTTGGCCCTTAAGGGTGACATTCAAAGCATAGAAGCCATTCAGAAGATGGTAGATGGACTTGACTCAATTGGACTCTCAAATATGGTTTTCATCAATAACATTGCTTTGGCCCAAATCAAGAAGTAAGTGTTTCATTGAGCATTATATCAGATAGCACCTTTAAAATCTTCTTAAACTTTTGAAAACTATGTCAGCTGCTGTGGAAATGGCCGGTCAGATTATTGTTTCTGATTATTTGCTGACATTTATGAATAATTAATTGCATTTTAAAATGTTTTGTGTGCAGATGTTTGTGTGCATACAGGTCCTGGGGCTTGAACTCAGGGACTGGGAACTGTCCCTGAGCTTTTTTGCTCAAGGCTAGGACTGTCACTTGCCACAGCTCCACTCACTTTGAACTGTTTTTTTGTTTTTTGTTTTTGTTTTTTCCTTGTGATTAATTAGAGATTAGAGTCTCATAGTTTCCTGCCTAGGCTGGCTTTGAATCTCAATCCTCAGATCTCAGCCTCCTGGGTAGTAAAGATTACAGATGTGAGCCATCTGTGCCCATCTCTTTTTTGCTTGTGCTGGGATTTGAACATGGGATCTTGCACTTGGTCATCTGGAGCTCTATCACTTGAGACACAGCTTCAGACCTGTTTTTATTAGTTACATATAATGTACATTATTTAACAAGTATATATGAATGTATATATTGTATATGTGTATATATTTTATAAGTGTACACCTATGTGTACACACATGCATGCTGGCCTCTTATTGTCAAAAACACTTCTTTACAAAAACAATTTCATTTGTCAGGAATACTTGAGAATGACACTCCACTCTTAAGTGAAACACTTGTGTGGAACAGGCCCTCACAAACCTGTTAAAAGTAAGCATTTTTAGGATTACGGAGCATGTACGTAGCATACATGAGACCCTTGGTGTGCACTTTCTTTTAAAGCAATTTTTTTTAAAATACATTTTCAACTGGGTGTGGGTAGATCATTTCTATAATCCTAGCTACTAACGAGGCTGAGATCTGAGGAGCAGTTCAAAGCCAGCCCAAATAGGAAAGTCTCTGTGATTTTTATCCTACCCCTCTCCCAATGAAAAATTGAGCATAGGGCTACAGTTACAGAATTTTGTTTTCATTCTTAATGCTTTTGGAAGAAGTATTTAGTACTGAATCTTATTTAATGAAAAATGATATTAAAGTTTAATGTTTATTTTTGTAGGATTTTTGTTCCTGTTCCTTAATAGAAAAATAATTGTTTTGTTTTATTTTTATTCTTCAAAATTATTTTCCTAATTAGAACTTTAAATTATATGTCTAGTGAGAGAACGTGATTATTGCTTTAAGTGGAAAAATACTCAAGTAAGAGCTGAATAAATTTTAAGAAGTTTACATAGCATTCAGGTATATAGCAAACACGTTTTATTCAAGCAAAATTTCTAACAGGATGCTCAGTTTTAGGGTGTGTGTGTGTGTGTGTGTCTGTGTGTGTCTGTGTGTGTGTCTGTGTGTCTGTGTCTGTGTGTCTGTGTCTGTGTGTGTCTGTGTGTGTGTCTGTGTTTCTGTGTGTTCTTTTTTGATACTGTGGATAGAACCCAGGACATTGCATTTGCTAGGCAAGTGCTTTGCCACTGAAGTACAGTTTTAGTTACTTTTTTAATGCCGTAGCTTCAACATAAAGTTATTTGGATTTGGAGGACCGTATCATAACTGTGAAGGACCAGTTATAGGTTACTTCAGATTGCCTTAATCAAAAAGGCAGTCATGAAGAGAATTTATTAATAATTTGCTTAATAAAGCCATGAAATTGATTTGTCTCAATGTAAAGTGTGAAGATGACTTTTTTTGTTGGAATTTAGTATTTGGTATTTTTCCAAAAATATAGTTCCTGTCAAAGAGAATTGATATGACTATGAATTAGAGATGTGAAAATACCCTTTGAATATATTAACACTACCTTAACAAAATATTTATAGTAATGGCTCCTAAATTATAAAGATAAAATCACAGCTCTTGAACAACTTTTACATCCAAGTGGCTGCAAAGCCAAATATGAAATGTTTGTGATGAAATCTTTCTTAATTCTTGTATATGTAGATTGTTTTTGTCTTAACAGCTATAAAGTAAAATAAACAACTTAAGCATGAACTACTCCTTTGCTACCTAAATATGATTGTAGTTGCATATAATGCTCTTTGGCTTATGCCTATAATCCTAGCTATCCAGAAGGCTAAGATCTGAGGATTGCAGTTTGAAGCCAGCCTGGGCAGGAATGTCCTTGAGACTGTTATTTCTAAACATCAAAAAGTCAGAAATGTAGAGTAGAATGCTAGCTTTGAGCAGTAAAGCTCCAGGGCAGCACCCAGGCCCTGAGTTCAAGCTCCAGGACACATACACACACATAGACACACAGAACATACACAATCTAGCGATAAATATATGCCCTGAGTTCAAGCTCCAGGACACATACACACACATAGACATACAGAACATACACAATCTAGCAATAAATATATTTCCCTTTTTTTCTAAAGTATTTGTATAAGTGAATCTAAAATTATATTGAAACTGGCAATATTTCTTTGCAATTTATTTTGCTTTATTTTACAGCAATAAGATAGATGTAGCTATAGAAAACATTGAAAATATGCTTACTTCAGAGAACCAACTGATACAACCTCAGTACTTTGGCTTGTCATATTTATTCAGAAAAGTAATAGAGGAGCAGCTAGACCCAGCAATGGAAAAGTGTAAGTTGGTTGTTTCTGTTAAAGAATACAAGCATGTTTTCTCTCTGGCAAAATTTGACCAGATTTCTGTGGTAAACAAATCATTCCACTGTTTTAAGAAAAAAAAATTTTTTTAACCTCTCATTTTTCCAGTAAGCATCATGGCAGAGAGGTTGGCCAATCAGTTTGCAATTTACAAACCCGTCACTGATCTTTTCCTCCAGCTGGTAGAGTTGGGCAAGGTGGATGATGCCAGAGCACTCTTACAGGTAATGATTCATGAAACAATGGGGCTATGGTAATGACAAGTAAACTGGGAAGTTTCTGGATTAGACATGATTGTGTGCAGAAATATAATAATGAAGGATGGTGCTGCTAGAACATTTGGGTTCAAATGGGCAGTGAGGCTGTGGAACGAGGAACTAGGTCATAGGTTGTAGTTGCTGCTCATAACGGTGCCAAATAAGACTAGCACTACTCTTAACAACAAGTAGGGGTTATGGGTTGGGGAACTGAGTTTTGCTGAAATGATTTTAAGACAAATGTTCTGTGCAGATAGGTAATGCAAAACAAGAATTTCTTTGATTGCCTATTTTAATTTCTTCAATGCGCTAAATACTGTGCATCGCCATGGCAACACAGTTTGCAAACAAAAAGTAGGAAATATTTGCTTTTAAGTACAGCTTCTCACTTGAATACTCAAACATTCTCAGTGCCGTATTCAAGGTTTATTAAGAGTTGAATTTGCTCTCTATTCACTTACGTGTCACAGACACATTAAATGACAAATGCAGGTCTCTGTTGCCCGCACTTGCAGCTAAATTAGCAATCTTCAAGGAAGGAGACAACTGCATTCATGCCATTTTAACAGCACTAACTATAAAGCTGCACCAAGTGCGATGGAGCGGTGCCTGATCGAGCTGCCACTGGCAGTGTACACAAACAGGCACCGCTGGGGAGCCCTTCCCAGCAGGTGGCAGTCAAACAGTCACCGTGATCCTGCCAGCGGCTGTGTTTGTGTAGACTCCCTGTGTCAAATTGAGGCCTGGGACCAATTTCTGATAGTAAATAGTATTATATTCACTTACACTTCTACCAGCTGTGAGATATGGTAAGAAAGAGATAGGGAAGGTGAAGCTGTACCCATTTGTTTGAGCTCCTGTTTTGATCTTCCATCTGGGTCTGATGAAATACCTAAAAATTGTTCTCCGGATTAACAGAGAACATTATATATATTGGGGGGAAATGCAGATTGATAAGGCTTTTAGAGTTTTAACTTTTTTTCCTTAATAGAGAATTCCAACAAATTGGGAGTTTGCCTGATTGTTTCGACTCACTTGTCTATTTTTAAGGAAAAGGCAATTACGATTTTTATAAGGGTTTTTTAATTGTTTTATTTAGCTGCTGTTTGTATCAAAAGTTTTAACATTAGCTAGGCCCTGATGGCTCATGCCTGTAATCCTAGCTACTCAGGAGGCTGAGATCTGAGGATTGTGGTTCAAAGCCAGCCAGGATCATAGTTCAAAGCCAGTCAGGGCAGGAAAGTCTGTGAGACTCATCTCCAATTAACCACCAGAAAAGCTGGAAGTGGAGCTATGGTCAAAGTGGTAGAACACTGACCTTGGAACAGAAAAGCCCAGGGACAGTGCACAAGTCCTGAGTTCAAGACCCACAGCTGACCAAAAAAAAAAAATGAACTTTAAAACTTATACATGTGAAATAGACACTATGTTTTGTCTTCATGTGTATATAACTAAACACTAGGAATATTAGCATGTAAACACCTAATTCTCACGATGGCACTTAATCACCTTTCACACATTATTTTGATAGTTATCTAGAAATCAGCACTTGGTACTCTTCTGTGGGTTTCTTCTGAGCCATAATCATTCTGGCTCTTCCTAGGAGCACATTTACCCATAACCTGGGCAGGAGATGGCAGGCTGTTGCCCTTGCAGCCGCTCTAGCCTGTGTTCTTGCCTCGGGGCCCTGAGCGACAGCTAAGGGCTGAAGTACTAGCAACAGATTCTGTCACTTTTGTCCCTTCAGTCGACTGAGGTTCCAGATGATACGCCTTTACTCATCCACTACCTGCTTGTCAAATAGTAAAAGATTATTCTTGCCTCAGAGAAGAACACTTTACATACAGATGTCGAAAACATCGGTTCATAATGTAAACGTTCTGTGTGTCCCCCAGAATTCTTTTTATACTATTCGTTTTAATATTGACAGTGTGTTAAAGCTTTGAAAGAGGAATGTGCTTTTAGAAACTTAAGAGAATGACATCTATGATGAGTGTAAACTAAAATATTGTCTTGCTATATTTGATTTGACTATAGCATTTTAGATTGGATAGACACTTGATTTATCTGGTCTGTCATATAAACTTTTTTTGAGTTTAACTTTTGTCTATTTCTCAAGCACTGGCTGTCTGTTGCAATGAAAGCCTTTTATAAAATAGAGATTGAAATCAGTCCTTTTGTATGCATAAGTGTAGGTAATTATACTTTAAAGAGAACTTGCTTTGTACATTTTAATTTTTATAAAGAAACGAGCAGTTATCTCCCTGACACCTTATTAAATGTATAATTAACCTTATGATCCCTAGCTCACTTGTGAATGCTTGGCAGTATAATTGGAGAGGAATAGTGTTTCTTTTTTCCTCTTCTCTTTGCAGTCCTAAACCTTGTTCTTAGGTTGTTGAAGCATTAGTTTAATTTTTCCTTTTTCTTTTTAAACAAACTTTATTCTTGCAGTGCCAAGGACTGCATTCGCCAAAGCCTGGCATAGCCTGAACTTGTTTTCTTTTTTCTCACTTAAAGAAATTGATTGACTATTAGGCCTTCTTGTTGGTAATGATACACTACTACATTATTGCGAACTTTGTTAATTGAAAGTATTCACCTTGATCTACTTGTTTATCAAAAACCTCTACTTATTGAATAATGTTTTAATTTTTTAGAGATGTGGTGCAATTGCTGAACAAAGCTCGATTCTGTCGGTGTTCTGTGTCAGGACTTCTCAGAAACAAGGAAAGGTATTGTGCTGTACTTCTTAATAAATGCAGGATGCTGTAACGCAGCAGTGCTTGGTTTCATGGTTTAACATAAAAGCTCTTGTTTCAGAATCTTACCTAAAAACACTAGAGAGACTAAAGGCTTCGCCTGTTATCGCCTACTTTTTTAGGATGTTGGTTCAGAGTCAGTCTTGCCTCCTTAGTCATATGAGAAATGTAGAACAACTTTATGTAACGGTGTATTGAGAATAAGGGCCCTTTTTCCTGGAAGGTAAATCTTGTCACTGAGGTCACCTGGGTGTGATTAACAATGCAGTAGCACCCACCAAGGGAGTCTGACCACTACTAAGTATCTCCTATCTGCTGGCTACTTCTGACAAGTATCAGACACAAGCCATATCAGTGAGCCATTTCACTACTAAATTAATGTTCACATTGTTAAAGTTACTCTATTCTGTAAAAGGGGAGTATATATTGCCTGTAACAGGATCAAGTCCTATTTGATGATGATGATGATGATGTTATTTGGTGGTGCTGGGGATTGAGCCATGGGTCTTTCTACTGTTAGGTGAGAACTGTGTTGCTGAGATACATCCCAGCCCTTATTTTTTAAATATAGCTCAAAAATTTTTAACTCGGACTTAACTCTTGAATTATTTGGGTACTTGATGAAGTTTCAAACTGTAATGTTTATTTATTATTTATATTTATTAAAGTCCCATCTTTTTTCTCATAAGCCTCAGGTCCATTTTTCAAATACTGGTTAATTTTTAAGTCTGTAAGTTGTTAAATAATAAAAATACTTACTCTTACCTGATCTTTGACTAATGTTCTCAAAGTAAGCTTAAAAGTTTCACATTGGAAATTATTTAAGTTCCCATTAAATATTTCAGACATATGTCCAAATATGATGTAATTCTTTCAAACATTTTAAATTCTTGAAATGCAGTAAATATCAATCTTTAAACTAGGAAAATCTTTGCTTTATAAAATATTTATGTTACCTGATTTTTCTTCCAAAGAAATTCCTTTCAACACACACACACACATGTTAAGAATTGTAAGAGCCAGGCACTGGTGGCTCACAACTGTAATCCTAGCATAGCAACTCAGTTCAGAGCCAACCCCAGCAGGAATATCCACTTAACCACCAAAAAGCCAGAAGTGGAGGTTTGACTCAAGTGGTAGAGTGCTATGAATGAAAACGCTCAGGAACAGTACCCAGGCCCTAGGTTCAAGGCCCAGGACTGGCAAAAAACAAACAAAAAAGCTATTTCTCCATTGAGATTTCATAACTTTTTGGTGTGATTATCAGTTGACAAAAGAAGCAGTCTTTAGACATTTAAAGTACTCATCTGAGATAGATTTTATGTTTAGGTATTTTGTAAAATACTCAGAAAGGTAAGTTCCGTTATGTTTTATTTTGGGTGTAAATTATTGAATCTATATCAGATGTTAAGATAGCAGAAAGGAGAATAGTTCATTAAGTAGAACATGCAGCTTTGTTTTAATTATTATCAAGATTTGCTGATAAGATGTTGATAAGTCAGTGATGTATTTTACTAGTCTTATGAGTTTGTTTCAAAATGGCAATGTTACCTATATTTCATTTCCTAGGCACCAGTATTAAAGACTCTGTTAGAACTGATTCCTGAATTAGTTGAAAAGGAAGAAGCATACTGTTCCGCTATGAAAAGCTATGGTAATAAGTTTAATTTTGCTTTATTATTTACATGATTTAATTTTTTCTTTTCTGTCAGTCATGGGGCTTGAACTCTGGGCCTGGGCACTGTCCCTGAGCTCTTCAGCACAAGGCAAGTGGTCTACCACTTGAGCCACAGCACCACTTCCAGTCTTCTGGGGGTTAATTGGAGATGAGTGTCCCATGGACTTTCCTGCCCAGGCTGGCTTTGAACCGCACTCCTTAGATTTCAGCTTCTGAGCCACCAGTGCATGGCTGATTTAAATATTTATATACAGTATAGTCAACTAGGTTTCAGCCAGTAATCCTAATATGGTACTAACAATTCACTCTAAACTGTTTTAAAGTGAAGAAAAATAATTTTACATTGTAAATATAATATAATTTGCCATTGTAATTTTAACATTGAGAAATACCTCTGAGGTCTTCATGGTAGCTCAGGTCTGTTGAACAGGATCCTGGAAAGACCTGGACATTCACTTTGACTTAGATACTAGAAACCAGTCTCTTCAGGGCTCACTGCCCGCAACAAAAAGCAACACAAAGCAGGTACATATTTGAGACTGTCACTAGCCTTCATAGCCTTCCTGCTCCTTCAGTGTCTGCCTCACCTGCCTACCCACTCCTTTTAAATAGTTAACTGAACAATAAAACCTCATGTCTCAGTTAAAATGCCAGATTTATTTTTACCATTCTGTTCCCTTGTTTCCATACAGTCTACATAGAGGGAAACGTAGAAAATTTTAGCACTTTAAAACTAGGGATCCTTTTCCATCTGCTACGTAGGCACTGATTTGCTCACTGGAAGCATGGAGTAAATAAAGAATTAATTTTATTTTTGACCATGTAACAGGCTTAACAATCAGATTTAGTGTATTAGTTCTCCATTTGTCTACTCTTTTGAAAGGAACATGTAATATTTTCAAAATAGGGCTATCATTGTTTAACCTCCTCAGATTTCTAGTTTCTGAGTAACATGAAATGATGTCATACACATAAAACATTTAGGTGTTGCTACCAAATTAGGCAGAATAGAGAGAAAGGGAAATTGCTCGAGTTTCTGAGCATCTTCTTAAAAGAGGATGGAACCTGAGGCACTCTGCGGAAGTAGGAGAAAAGGTTGCAGGCCCTCTGGGAGAGGAGCTGAGGATGTAAATGGGACTCAGTTTGATTGCTGCTTAGATTGATGGCTGCTCTTTTCACACCCATGTATTTTTTTATAATTGAGAACTTCAGTTTGTGGTCATTTATCAATGGTTTTCAAAATAATTGGAAGAGTGTTGAGGTAAGTCTGATCAGTTTGCATTGTATGCAAGGATGGGCATGTGAAAATGAAACCCCTTTGTACAACTAATTGATGCTAATTAAAAATGTCGAAAAAAATAATGTAATAACTGAAATGCCTGATACAATTAGTGTTACTCTAAAAACACTTCTAAAATTCCCTGTGTGTCATTTTCCTTCAGAGTGAATGAGGCTGAGTGAAGGGTGCAAGTGTTCTAGCAAAGGAGAAAGATCACCTCTGCCCTCTTAATATCTTTCTCTTCTCTAACTTGCTCAGTCTTGGACAAAGATGTGGCATCTGCTAAAGCACTGTACGAGCAGTTAACTGCAAGGAACACAAAATTGAATGATTTATTTCTAAAGCGTTACGCACTTCTACTGAAGAATGCTGGAGAATCTGTCCCTTTCACTGAACCCCCTGTGAGTATTTCTTAATTAAGGGGCGAAAATGCCTCCACAGATTATAGTTGCCTTGTAAGAATGTGTTGTTTTTTGTTTTTTTTTAAAGGGTAAGTTGACTATTTAATTATACAAGGATTAGGTCTGGTGTAGAACCCTGAGGAGGCCTTGAGGGCTGAGTCTTGCTGTCCTGAGGCAGCCCAGGGCTCACTGGGACCAGGATTCAAATCCAGGGTCTGCTCAGACCTGAAGTACAGATAGATGTGACACTATCACATGCCTGGAGTAGTTCCACTGAAGATGGAACTTCTTGGGCCAATCAATAGCCAAAGAATAAGACTTTTTTCTTTTTTAGTTACTAGGAAATACAGTGTTGTTTACTATGAGAAATCGCATACCATAATTCCATTTTATTATATCATTGAACTGAAAGCCACTACACTGTGCTTATTTCAAATATCTCAACCTTGTATATTCAGGTTTGGTTATTTTCTTCATATATACGCTCTGGTGGTAACTTGAACTCAAAACTGGAAGCCCTTGTACTTGGCTTTTCAGGAAACAGGAAGCTTTGCCAAGGTTGAGGGGAGCCATGGGTCCCACAGTCTTGGTTATCTACTTGCTCTGTTTTGTGATTTATAGTTTCACACCATCACCTCTTGATGGTAACCTCCCTTTCTTTTCTCCCTAACAGGAAAGCTTTGAATTTTATGCAAAGCAACTTAAGGAATCAAAGGAAACCCCTTCATGAAGTAATCAACCTATACTGTTTTGTGTGTATTTGTGAACCTATGTCTACATGTTATTTTTAAGATGTATTTGAGAATAAATTAAATAAATAAAAACTACTTTGCTGATTTTTTTTTTAAAGATGATGGTAAACCCTTCATTGACAATAACACTTTTTTCACTTATTTGTTGTCTGTGACATAAGTATAGACTTATACTTTTCTTTAAGGCTTCTAACACAGGAGGCCACAAATTTTTAGGGTTATCTCCTGTTTGACCCCTCAGTTCTCTTCTACTACTATTTCCATAGAACTGTTAATTCCTTTAAGATTTCTTTATCATTTATCTGAAAATTTGGAGGGCTATATAAAATGATGCTCAGTGAGTTTCCTGTTGCTTAACGCTCTCGGCTACAATAATCCCATACATGTGAGTCCCAAATCATGTTCCCGTTTTGTCAGGTTCTGGCATCAAGAGTCATCAAATCCAGGGCTGGGAAGGTGGCTCAGTGGTAGAGTGCTTGCCTTGCATGCTTGAGGCCCTGGGTTCGATTCCTTAGCGCCACAAAAAAAAAAAAAAAAAGGCAGAAAAAAAAGTCATCAAATCCAGCATTTGCTACCTTCCAGCCAAAACACTGCCCTTGGTTGGAGTGCTGTTGCCAAAACTTGGGTCTGGTGAGCATGTTTTCCCTCCCCTTCTTCCCTCCACCCCAGTGATTTCCATATGTGCTCATTGAAGCCTCCACATTGGCTCTACTGAAGTAGAGCAATGTATTCATTGCCTTTCATTTGGTTTTAGGATTTTATTAGTACAAGCTACGCCCTACATAAGATTGGTTACTTTAGATTCATATGCTATAAAATAGGTGATTTTATACGCGAAGAGATAAAATCTTGTTTTGTAATCAAAATTTTAAACTAAACGTTATCCCCAAATTATCTCATGCATACTAGCTTCCACATTGTGAGTGCTTGTGTTTTAATATGGAACATGTTTGAGGAAGAAGTGATTATCAAATATGTCAGATGTGTTTTGGAAATCATCCCAGCTTGTATTCCTTGGCCATTTGAATTTGGTGGTGATTCATTCAATTTCAGTGCTCACTTGGTGCACAAGAGTGCAACTTTGCCATGGGGGGCAGTACATGTGCTTTGCTGTTGACCTTCGTTTCTTGTGGAACCTACTGGTCCTTCTGCCTGTAGTGCCTACATGGAGGGAAACCAAGAAGTTTGTATTGTAGGACAAGCCATGCTTCTGCTTCCACTCTAGTTTGTGAAATTCAACCTCCAGAAGCAAGAAGTTTAGCCAGAGCCATGTCCCAGCCTAGAGGATATCATGGAACTTGCTTTGGTGTCCCCACCCAGTTCAGGGCTTAAACATGCAGTCTTGCTGTTACCTAGTTTGCCAGGAGTCTCTCCTGTGTACCAGTCTACAATGGCCTTAGATTCTTACAGCCATGCCAACCCAAATTAGGTGAGCTAAGTGTCATTGATGCTACCTAACCTTGGGGCATAATTTACACTTCAAAATCATCTTTGAAGAAATAAAAGACAATTTCATTTGCATGAAATAGTAAAATGTTGGTAGAGTACAAAGGAAATAGTTAAAATGTGTTTTAAACAAAGGACTATTTTATCTAGTATTTTAGCACTGTACCATTTTGAATGTAAATACTTAAACATGTATTTGTATATTCTAGATGAGCTTGTGTGCTTTCTAAATATCTAATAGCTACATTGAAATAAATAGCACTATAGAGTATAAAATTATAATAGCTGTTTATTACTCTCAAATTATAGCCAAACAGCTGATTCTAAAAAGTAAGCATGTCATTGTAAACTTTTAGAAAATACATTATATATAATTAGATGATGTTCATGTGTTAGAAGCCAAAGTAATTTAAATGAATTACTTTGAATAAAGTATATTCCAAACTCTTGCCTGCTTTATTTTAATCACCAAATATTTGCATGACTACTTAAAGCCATTTCAAGGAACTTTTAACATTTCTCAATGAATTGTGGTGACGTCTGTTAGGGCCAAAATTCTCTGTATTAAATGGCTTGTGGAGCATCGTATTTATGGGTAAGGAATCATTTGAGATCTCTTGAGGACCAGAGTTGCAAGAATTAGAGTTGGGATGTATAACTAGATTTTTGCATCAACAGCCAAAGGGAGCCTTTTAGAACCCCAGGAGGCTGGGATGCGCCCACGCCACATGGATTCTTAGCACCCTCACCTCTTTCACAATGCCCACGGAGGCAATATCACCTCTATTGGTTCCTGATCCCGACCTTCTCCAGGGCAGATTGCCTGTCAGATTGAATTTACAGAATACAATCTTGGCTAGGGCTCACAATAGTAATCTGTAGTGGATTCTATGGTTTGTAGGTGGTTATTGCAGAACATCAAGCTTCCACTACTGTGTCAGGCACCCCTAGTGAGAAAACTGCAGCCCCAAATCATAGCAAAAACTCATAGCTAGGGTTCAGATTGGTTTCTGTCCTATACGAACATGTCACTGAGACAAGTCACATTGAAGCTGGGTGCTAGTGGCTTACCTACCTACTCAGGAGGCTGAGATCTGGAGGGTCAAGTTTTTACACACACACACCCCCCAAAAAAAACCCTGCAGGACTCCATCCCTAATTAAGGAGTAAAAAACTAGCTGGAGGCATGGCTCAAGTGGTAGTGCACCAGCTATAAGCAAGCAAAGCCCAAGATCCCTGAATTCTAGCTTCATTTCCCAAAACAACCAAAAGTCCAACATAGGGCTGGCAAAGTGGTTCAAGTGGTGGAGCACCTGCCTAGCAGGTTTGAGGTGTGAGACGCTGAGTTCAACCCCTACAGGATAAATAAATACCTTTCACTTAACATGAAAGTTCCTAGTTTCTGTGCACCTTACACTAAGAATATTTTCCAGAGTTCAAGCCCCACGACCAACCAAAAAAAATAAATAAAATCTTCTATTTAATCCAATACCCAGTGCCTGGCATGAGTTTCAGTAAATTATTAAGCTTCATATTGCAAATTATTTCCAGTGCAATTTTTTAAGTCCTCAGTATATATGCTGTATGTTCTTTCTCCTGTCTTGGAGCATAATTTTCATTTGATACTTACCTTTCTGAAAAAAAAAACTATTTGTAGAATGTCTGAATAAAGGCAACATTCCTCAAAGTCTGGCTGAACTAACAACAGCAGGAGGTACAAAATCACCATAATGTATCACCCTGCTATGTATGGTACAATTGCACATGGGAGTGTTTCCATTAGAACTGCATCCTGCTTACAGGCCTGAGCCTTTACGAAGCTCATGTTATGTATCCTTAGTACAAATAAAGGAAGTTGTCCCATTAGCAAATCTCAAACTGGCATTTACCCTTTCCTTTTTTGCATGTAGAAAAGTAACCTCAGGTCCGGATAGAGCAGGCACATTTAACCAGCTCCTGGCACACTGCCCTGCACATATTGTTTAGACCATGGTTGGTGACTACAGTTCAATTTTAGAGTCTTTAGTCCAAGGGTCACCTATCACCTGAGCCCTGGCAGCACTTGGTGAGATTGCCATTCTGTACTGCTTTTTTTGTCTGTTTTCCTCTCTGAGAAGATTGCTCTCCCATTGCAAACGGGCCTAGCATGGTATGGGCAGTGGGGGGAACCCTGTAAGTCCAGGAGCCAATGGGTCCAAGGCCATGTATTTCCCTTTAGCAAGTTCTGTTCTTTTTGAGAGGGGACGTTTGCGTGCATTGGAGACTTCCTTGCATGCTTATCTCCACACAGGATTCAGAGATGGAGATACTATTGTATTCCCTTACCCTGGCTCAGGACAGTGGGGGTGAGGTCCAAGTCAAAACACTTGAGTGTCTACATTAAAAAAGCTGTCACAAGGGAGTGATGGAGCAGGACTTGAAAGTTCCAAAAGGGAGTCCAAACCCTTCCTCTGTAAGTTGATTATCTTGGCTATTTGTTTCTGTCAGAAAGAGGAGGAGGCGCCGGATGTGTTGTGAAAGTCAGGCATCAGTCTGAGTCTTGGGTATCTTGTTGGAGTGTTTTTGTTATTTTGTTTGTTTAGCAAGAAACAGGGATGTTTATTTTTTAGTGGCTTAGGGACATAAGAATACTTCCAATTTCACCAAAAGACAAGATAGAAAAAACAATAAATGTGAGCCCTATCACCTCAAAAGTGTTTCAGGTTGGTATTGTTGTAATTATTAACTGCTAGCGCCACACGTGCTACTGTTCCCAGCTTCCAGCAGAAAATGAGCCGGTCTCCATCTTCCTGCTTGCCTCTTCTGCAGAGGTGCATAGACCCAGGATACTGCTGTATACCCAGGCCACAGGTGTGCTGTGTGTGTGTGTGTGTGTAAACATAAGGCCTCACACCTGCTAAGCACCCATTCTACCTGAGTTATACCCCCTACCCCTAGACCATTTTTGATAACCAATCAGTTTTTCAATATGGATGGCAAATGATTTGAGATTTGAATTCCCTAGATCAGACTATTTGTGAAAGATGTCTTTCGGGCCAGAACATTGTGTTTTCCATGTAAACAGATCAGCCATCAGCATGCTGTATGCCCTGTTCACTTTTCAAAGGTTGTGGGATGCTCTAGGCCTCAGGGATTGTCCAGCCAGGGAAAAGCATGCCCCAGCTATGCCTAAATGGTAAAGTGACTAGTCTGAATCTAGGTAGAACCCTTGACTCCAGGTCTATTAACACTTGGATTTGGCAGAAATTTCAATATCTCTGCTGTGAGCTGTTTAATCTGAGATCAAGAGATTTGGGGGGGAAAATGGGGGAAAAGCAAATACAAGACCTACTTCTACAGACTGGCTTAACCCAGGGCAAGATTATGTCCTCAATAATCTTTCTAGGAACAACAGCAGTATTAAAAAAAATATCAAGAAATATTTGCATCAATATAGGTAATTACTTTTGGTTTAATTATAAGTCCCCCATCAATAGCATAACTTGAAACTGGAGAGCTTAAAATGCAAATTTCAAAATCGTTTCCAGCTAAGATCTACAAGCCATACCCTCCAGCCAAATCCAGCCAGCTGCATGTCATTCTGCTCACAGCTACAGCACCTACACTTTAGTATTGTCTGGGGCTGCCTTCATGTCCTAAGAGCAGAACTAAGATGGAGACTCGATGACCTGAAACATGTACTACCCAACCCTTCACAGGAAAAGTCTATAACCCATGTGATTAGGAGTAGCAAGTAAATTCTACCCTCTGCAGTGTGGAGCAAGGCACACTGGGCCATACATGGGCTCTAGAGCCCTGGCCTCACTTGCTCAGAATCCACTCGTCAAGTCATTGTTCTTCCCCTGTAGCTGGAATAACAAGATGTGCCATCACAAATGGCCATTGGTTGAGATGGAATCTTGTGCACTTTTATGCCCCTGGTCTCTAACCTGATCCCCTGGTGGCTCCAGCTATGATTGCATGTTTGAACTACCACTACCAGCTCTCATTTCTAGACCTATCCTCAGTTTCTAGGGTTATAGCTGCCTTTCAGGTTTCGCCTACTTCTAACTCCTGAAAGACCACCAAGGCTTTTCTGAGCCCCTTATCACTCCGCTACACAGTAGCTATATGCCCTTGGCAAGGTGAATTTGTGCCTCTGTGTCCCCACCTATAAAATGGGACACCCTTACTGCAAAGGGTTATCTTGATAATAAATGATGGTATCCACATTAACTTATTTTGCATCCGATCTGCCATGGAGCCAGATGCTCAACCAATTTGTCAATTGGTCACGTTAGCTCTTGGAGCCCCTGACTGGGCACAATGGAAGACACCACATCTCCATTAGGTCACTTGTTTTCTTGCAGGGCTGAGGATCGACAGCAGGCTCCGGTATAGGTTAGGCACATGCTCTACCACAAGTTACACCCTCGGGCCTGATTTAAGTCACTATATTGAGAATGGCATTAACTCACCGTCTGGGGAAAGTATAAAGGATGAGGCTAAACATTTTGCTAGCTATTACATTGTTCTCTCTGGGTTCTAGCAATTCCTGAGGAGCCCAGCTACTGGATTCATGCCTAACATGCTTTCGTCCTATCCTGTGATGCCTTTTTAAAGACATTTCCAAAGGAAATAAATTATCCATGTTGTAGATGCCACCAAGTTCCTGTTTTCTCCTTCCCCACCTTCAAAGCTCTGGCCAGTGATCACAATTTCCCTTCCAACTGTCTTTATTCTACTGCCATCCTGTGGCTGACCTGTGCCACTGCAGCACCATGGGGCATATGTCATTGAGTGTCTGGATCCTCATTGTCCTAATTGTCACCAGGAAGGGGCTTCTTGAGAGGCAGGGAGTGCAATCAAGAAGCTGCTCAAGGCCCAACCAGTGCACAGGAGCCTGGGTATGCATCACCAGTCTTGACTTGACTTCTGTTTGATGAATCTCAAGGACATATAGTACAGGAACAGGAAGCCACTGCTGATGCCCATGACGATGATGTAGATGATGTGGAGCGGGTATGAGTTCAGGTCCATGGTGTCGAGCATCTGGAGACACAGACATCCAGTGAGCTCACAAGCAAGGCATCCAGTTGATTGTTCCTTAATTTAGAACCCAAGGCCTTTGCTACTTACTGTGTCTCCTGGGACAGTGAAGGTGGCATTGCCGACTTGCATGATGATAGGGCGCCTACTAAACTCAATTTTCATCAGCCCTGAGAAACACCACCGGAGGAAGGACACCTTGGAAATCCACGCAGGCGCTGAGGACAGCAAGAGCCACATTATTCCTAGGGTTTCGGCTGGCTGCTGTGTGTGTGGTACTGCTGAGGGAGGGCTATGCTAGCTCTAGCCCAGGAGAGAGGCCTAAAGGGCATTGGAGTGGTGGCAGGGGGAGGGTGAGAAACAGTTTCACCCACACGTGAAATCTGTAGCAATTCTAGAAAGTCATTAGCTGGGTCTCCTGCAGGTTCGCAGCTTCACAGAGCATTCAGCAGCCCCACACCAGAGATGACTTGGGTCAACCCTGACTCTGGAGCATTGTGGAGTGATAGAGATTGCATAAGCCTTGCTGAACTATTAAAAAAAGGGAAGGGGAGAGCTAGGCACCAGTGGCTTACGTCTGCTGTAATCCTAGCTACTGAAGAAGCTGAGATCTGAGGATTGAGGTTCAAAGCCAGCCCTGGCAGGAAAGTCCATGCCACACTTAGCACCAATGAACGACCAAATAAATAAAAATCTGGAAGTGGAGCTATGGCTTAAGTGGTAGAGCTCTAGCCTTGAGCAAAGAAGCTCAGGAACAGCATTGGGGTCCTAAGTTTAAGGTCCAGTAGTGGCATGCACACACACACACACAGTCTGGCAGAAAACAGGATAGGAAAGTGAGGAAAGGTTTCCATAGAGCGTACAATGGGCTGGAGTTGGCAGAATTGCTCAGGAGGGGCAACAGGGAGCAGGCAAAGCTTGCCCTGCATGGGTGAATCCTGTCCATAATCCAGGGTCCAATGATGACTTTCATGTGGAGATTCAGCCAAGGGGATGCAGTCAGGCTGACTTAGCATCTGCAAGGGCTTTGAGGAGGGGGTCACCTGTCTCCTCTAATAGAACCATGCCCATGGCCTGTAGGATAAAAGGCATCTGTTTGCCAGCCTTGGGGGCCCAGGGGTCTAAATGATCAACATCTACCTCAAAGGAAAGCAGCCTCCACTAGCCACATGAAGAGGATCCTAGATGCTTAGCCAGGAGAGGTGGAGAAATCCTCACCTATCCACAGATTGTCCAGGTTGATCATGAAGCCCCCGGTGAGGTAGAAGGAGTTATAGAGAGCGTTGCAGAAGAAGGAGGACATGTGGAAGGTGGGCAGCATGGCGGCAGCAGCCAGAGCCATGGTCCTGCAGCAGAAGACCACCAGCCACACCAGTACAAAGTGCAGCAGGAAGGGCTCAATGCCTGGCCGCAGGTTGGTCAGCCAGTAGATGGTCATCCCGTAGATGCTGATATAGGCGCAGTGCTCAGGCAGCTCCCCTAGGATCTGCAAAAGTACAGGCCTTGGGTCCACGGCCTTCATTTGTCAATATTTTACCACATACAAGCCAGGTGCTGGGGTCTCATGCTTGTGATCCTAACTACTCAGGTAGTTGAGATCTGAGGATAAAGATTCAAGGCCAGCCCACACAAGAAAGACTCTTATCTACAGTTCACTAACAAAAGCCACACATGGAGGTATGGCTCAAATGGTAGAGCACCAGCCTTGAGTGAAACAGGCAATGAAGAGCATGAAGCCCCAATACAGGCATATGCACAAAAATAAATAACATCGAATGTTCACGTGTTCCACCAGCACAATGCCAGCATTCCTTCCCGGTGCACACTGGCCGCTGTAGGAGTACGCTGAGGTCCAGCAGGTGAGCCCCTTCTTCCTGCACCCCAGAGGGCAGCCTAGGGCTGTTTGCACAGGATGGGAGCTGGCATCTACTCTCCTAAGACCTGAAGTCAGGTCCCTCCACCCCTCACCCCTGCCCAGATCTAGTTAGTTGTGTGGCCGTGGGAACTTCGCTCAGAGCTTCCTCTTTCTGGCAGCCTGACCTGTTCCAGGGCTCTGGAGAGGTAAAGGTTGCTAAGCCAATCCCATCTCTTCCTTTACAGGTCCCTGCTCACCAGAAAAATACCACTCCTGGTTCATAGGTCAGGCCTTTGGGTGACTGTTAAAAGAATATCAAGTCTTTGAGATTCTCCTAGAGAATGCCATCTCTGTAATTGCCAAGCATGTACGGCCTGGGGTTTCCACCACTTTCCTGCAGTATTTTGGCAAAGCTGTACAGCTTTCTTCACCTAACGTGTGCTTTCCACCCTGGCCAGTCACCTTGGCAAAGAAGTAGGGGCCAGTGGTGTACAGCCCATCCTCCATCTCGTGGTACAGCATGGCCCTCTCCGAGTGACCTGGAAAGGAGAAAGGGGAAGGGAGTGATGACTCGGTCATCTAGGTTTTCTGATTTGGCGTCTTCTTTATAAGCACTCTAAGTATACCATCTAAACTTCTTAAGTTGTGTGTGTGTGTATGTGTGTGTTGTTCATTTATGTGTGTTTGTATGTGTGTGCTGGTCCTGGGGCTTGAACTCAGGGTCTTGGCACTGTTTCTGAGCATTTTTTTTACTCAAGGCTAGAGTTCTAACTCTTAAGCCCACAGCTCCTTTTGGCTTTTTTTTTCTGTTATTGTTTGTTTTGTTTGTTTATTGGAGGTAAGAGTCTCATGGACTTTCCTGCCAGGGCTAATTAAACTGCGATCCTCAGATCTCAGCCTCCTGAGCAGCTAGGATTAGACTTGAGCCCCTGGCACTCAGCTCTTAAGTTGTATTTGTTTTTTAACCGGGCGCAGTGAAGCCACCCTGCTGCAGAGGCTGTGGTAAGTCTAAACTTCGGGAAAGGCTCTGTGGCTTGTGCATGGCTGTCAAGTACAAATCCTGCGAAGAGACTAACAGCTAAGACTCCATAATTTGCCTTCATTAGCATATTAATATGCAAACTTAAAAAAACAATAGCTGTCATTTATTTTACAATCACAATGATATTATTCTGTAAAGCTATTGTCCCCAGGTGCTCAGAGATGCACAGAGGTTGACCTTGGTGCCAGATCCCCCCTGTCCTGGAGCCCCACGGTCAAGAGAGCAGGCGACACTCACATTTGGAGGTGACACCCAGAATCACGTTGAAAGGGACAAGTGCTCCGATCATGAACAAGAGGGCTGTTGTGTCCGTGAAGGAAAGCTTGGTGGCCCCGTGACCATAGTAGAGGAAGCCGATGATGAGAGCCAGCAGGCAGGCCTCTGCTCCGTGGATGAGGAGAGTTGGCAAGTCTCGGAAGTCATTGGAAAGCTGCCGGCTTAAAACAACAAAAGAAACACAAAACACAAAAAGACGTCAGAAGAGCAACATATCCCAGCCTTATGACCTGGTGATTGCCTGAAGTCTCTTTTTCTTTTCTAATTTATAGAATGGGGTTGGTCACACCTACTTCACAGGAACACTGAGGATCCCATCAGAAAATGGATGAAAGTTTCTGTACACAGTAGATAATAAATGAATCGTGATGGCTTTGTACAAAGGTACAGGATCTCACCATATAGCCCTGGCTGACCTGCCTGAATTAAAAAATCTTTGTCTCAGCCTCTCCTGTGCTGGAATTACAGGCATAACTACCATATCTGGCCAATGATTATTACTTTTTTCATCAGTGTGTCAGCCTGACAATTCTTAGAGAAATTGTGCTGAGAGAAAAAAATCAATCAGATCCACAAAGTACAGTCAAGATGTTTGCCATAGCATTGCGTATTTCATAGCAAAGGCTCTCAAACAAATAACCATCCACAGACTGGAATGGTAAAGGACTGTGGCTAATATTGAATGCTGGGAGGGGAGTGGTGGAGGTGGAGTAGGGTGGAGTCCTAACCAAGTAAGGGGCCGGCTCAATCATATTTTTGAAGTAGATGACTAAATAATATGCAGAGCAGGATCCAACCTGTGTATTAAAATGTTTCTGTCCATGGAAATCACTGGAAAGACACAGGTCTGACATGAGAGCCTGGTTTTCTTCAGAAGCTGGTGTGACAGAAATTCCTCCATTTCTAGTTTAAATTCTCTTGTATTATTTCCCTTTTTCACAATGCCTTTAGGCTATTTCCAAGATCATTAGCCAGTAAGGCTATTTTAATTTTGCTTAGAGAATAAAAGTAGCAGGCCTGCTCTGTGTCTCCTGAGGGTCATGTTGCTTCTGAGGATTCTGGTTTGCAAACAATTCTACCTGTCTTCAACCTTCAAACGGACACCCTCCCCCACCCTCTATCAACACTGGGCTCAAACTCAGGACCTTTCACTCTCCTTTAGCTGGCACTGTACCACTTGAGCCACAACTCCACTTCTGGCTTTTTGCTTGTTCATTGAAGGCAAGAGTCTTAAAAACTTGCCTGCCTGGGTTGGCTTCAAAACATGATCCTCAGATCTCAGCCCCCTGAGTAGCTGGGATTACGGGTGTGATCTATTGGCACCTAAGTCTCAAATTCACTTTTAATAGAAAAAACTTAATCTGGTATTTAGTGAGGTTTGTGGGGTAGGGACAAAGGAGAAACAATTACCGGATCAGGGTGACAAATTGGTGTAGAGCCCCAGATGGCTGAGGAGGTGAGCAGTCGGCGTCCTGTGGCAGGGTTGGGCTGAGGGAGACAATATGTGGCTTAATGGCCAGGACCTGCTGAAGAAGGCTTCCCGGCCTGAGCCACGATCCCACCGTACCTCACAGCACAGGTGTCCGCATCCAGCCACGATCCCACCGTACCTCACAGCACAGGTGTCCGCATCCAGCTCCCTCGAGTCCGCTTTCCACACAAAGTCATCAAAGCCGCGTACTTTTTCTAGAAACAAGGCCGCTAGCGACCGAGCTTTCTCCATGGTGGCGACTTCCTGCTCTCGGCTGTGTCTGTCAATGCTGGTCAAGTCCACTATAAGCAGAGAATTCCAAGCCAGGTGTGATGCACCCTGGCCTGGGTCAGTTTCCTGGAGCTCCAGGACACTCCCTCCCCCCCGCCCCCACCGTGGTTATGAAGCCAGAGACAGAGCAGAGAGCTGGCCCACAACCTTGTCAGACTTGATGTCATCTGCAGAGGTCTACAGCGGATGGACATGGATGGATCATGAAGTGATCACCAGTAGAGGCCCTGGTTCCAGCTCCCCAACCCCACCCTGGCCCATTACAGAGAGAACCCAGGATTAAAAAAAAACCCTGACTCTATGGGCTGGGAATGTGGCTTAATGGTAGAGTGCTTGCCTAGCATGCATGAAGCCCTGGGTTCGATTCCTCAGTACCACGTAAGCAGAAAAGCCAGAAGCGGTGCTGGGCTCAAATGGTAGAATGCTAGCCTTGAGCAAAAAAGTTCAGGGACAGTAATCAGGCCCTGAGCTCAAGCCCCATGACTGACAGTTCATTATGCACCTCAAGTAAGAATCATGTCTATGAGGGGCCTTCATAGACTACCATTTGTTTCCTCAGTGCATGGCTACAGCTCCAAACACCAGATCTTTGTAGCAAACCAAGCCATCTGTGACTCCTGCACCCCAGACTGCGCCAGGATTTATAGGCAAGGGCTCATACTGCCCCCAAGGAATATCACAACAACAAAAAAGCTGCTTTGAGATCATTGTGGGCATTTGGCTTCTGATAGTGCCTGTCCAGGCTTTCTTTAAATCTCTCCTTTATTGGCCAGGTTGGCAGGTGTCCTCTGTTCCCTTATCTGAGGATGCTGGCCTGAGAATGACACACTGGCGGGAAGCCAGAATGGCATGCGCATATGGGGTAGAACTCCTTAAGAGTTCACCAAGGATGTGCAGAGGAAGGGCAGAGGCGGGGCCTGAGAGGAGCAGCCCATCCTGCAGGGGAGCAGTGGAGTGTGACTGAGGATGCTGCAGAAGCAGGAGTCACACACACCCGTGGAGTCCCAGTTCTGTGTCCCCCAGAAAGCATGCTGTGGCAGGCAAAGTGTTGAGCTCTTCCAGCTCCAGTCTCCCATCTGCATAGATGGAGATGACCTTGGCCTGGCAGGGGAGTTGGGGGGTCAACAGGGAGCTTAGGACTTCAATCCCTGATGTATGTCTTTAAGGAAATGGTGTCCATCTTTAGATTTATTGATGTATGCATGCATGCTGGTACTGAGAGCCTTTCACTCTTACTTGGCTTTTCCACTCAGTCCTCACACTCTATCACTTGAGCTACACTTCCACTTCTGGCTTTTTGTTAGTTAATGGGAGATAAGAGTCTCATAGACCTTTCAGTCTGGTTCCAAACCATGAACCTCAGATCTCAGCTTCCTTTAGTAGCTAGGATTACAGGCATGAACCACCAGCACCCAGCTTCAGATTTATTGGTGAGCTGCTGCCTACACTTTGCCATCCTGGGAAGAACCTGAGGTTCCAGGTGACCTCGGGAATCAGCCACAGCTGGTCAACAGCTTAGTAGTCTTGCTGTTCTAGCTGCTATCGTCCCCATGGGTACTACCCAGGAGGTGCCCTGAAAAAGCCACTGTTCTCTGGCAATGAAGGAAGTGGCTCATGTGACCCTGAGTTTAATATCCTAAGCTCTCAGGGCCCAAGAGAAAGCCAGTCTGGAGAGCAGAGCAATTCTCATGCCTCAGGATTCATTGGGAAAAGCCAACATAAAGACCCTGGGCTGTCCCTGCCCTGGGTCTGTCCATCCTGCCACACCTGACAACTCCCTGCTAGGAACCATCTTCAAATTTCCCTGGTGTCTGGCACACTTGAAACATCCTGTTTCCTACAGAGTCTGAACAATTGTACCAAGGGACCCAAGCCCTGCTCCATTCCCTGTCTGTTCCTACCCTGTGGGGCTCAGAGGATGGGCTTTGTCAGAAGCTGCGTTTTCCTCAATTGACCTCATTCTCCATCCTGCTCTGCCCAGCATCTCTTTGCTGTTGTCTCTTGAATCTTTCCATCAAGAGTTCTTTTTTGGGGGAGGAGGGAGGGAGGATTATTATGGGGTGGGGGTGGTGATGTGTACCAGGCCACTGGATGCTGGCCTGGCTGGCTCACCATAGAAGTCAGCAGGGTTGCTGTAGCGGGGACAGGGGTAGCCGATGGCTGTGAAATACTGGATCATGTGCTGCGCGGCCCCCAGGTACACGGTGGTGCCTGATGTCATCAGGAGAACCAAGTCAAACAGCCTGAAGATGTCGGAGCGAGGCTGGTGGACGGAGATGAGCACCAGCCTGTTGCCTTTGGCCAGCCGGGATAAGGTTTTCACCAGGTTGTGGGCGGTGAAGCTGTCGAGGCCGGAGGTGGGCTCGTCCAGCATGAGGATGCCTTCCCGACACAGAGGAAGGGGCCGGGTGACGGGGCTGGCCTGAGCCAGGCAGCCGCTCATCCCAGGTCCCTCGCCCCTTCCACTTCCAGACCTCACCTGGGTTCCACAGAAGCTGCACCCCGATGCTCACCCTCCGGCGCTCACCCCCAGACACCCCACGCACATACATGTTGCCCACGCGGGTGTCGGCACAGGGCCTCAGCCGCAGCTCTGCAATCACGTCCTCCACCTGGGGACACAGGAGAGGTCCAAAGTCGTGAGACACCAGGGGCTGTGGACACCTCCGCTGGGATCTCAGCATGCAGGAAGAAGGCGGCCCCAGCATTTGACTTCCCTGGTTCAGTTCGTGTCCACCCTACCCTGTGTCTGTGCCCAGCTTCTGAGCAGCTCACTATGCAGGCCACAGACCCCCTGCCCACGGGAGTTCCAGCAAACACGCTCCCAAATCCACACACACTCATCACACATTTGATAAGTACCCCCAAAGGAACCCACTGGGGCAAGATAGTTTCCTGGATGCTGAGTGGTGGTGTTCAGACTCAACCTACCCACCACCAAGTCCGTTAGTTACCCTTTTGTCACGCTGGGCCTGGGAGAAGGTCCTGGGCAGCCGCATCTGGGCCACAAAGGCCAGGGTCTCCCTGACTGTCAGATTGGGGAGCAGCTGGTCATGCTGGCGCACGTGGGCCACGCTCTTCCGCACCAGCTGATGCGTGCTGGGCTTCCCATTGATCCAGATTTGGCCCGACTTCATCTTGCCACCATGGTCTCGGCCTGTGATCACGTCTAGCAATGAGGCTCTCCCACAGCCTGCAAAGGCCCAGAGACATGGCTGAGGACACAGCTGCGTCACGGCCAACTCAGCAGCCCGCACTCCTTGTCTATTCTCCAGCGTCCAGACTGCTCTATCTTTGCACAAAGGACCAAGCATTGGGGACATAGACTGTTCCTAAGATCCTACCCAGCCTGTGGAGCTTCAGGGCTTTTGTCTAAAGCCAACTTGTGCCTGTTGGGGGCTTGAGAACTCATTGATACACTTCAGGCCAAGTCAACCATGGGCTGCAGGGCGGTAGAAGGACCGAGGCCTGACTGCCACACATCTGTTGTGCCTGGAGGGCTTGTTCCCTCCCCCCCCCAGCCCCCCAGCAGCAAGCCCTGGGCTGATAGCATTGTGAAGTTTTGCCACTATTTGCCACAAAGGTGCCAGAAACTTCTCATCCTCCATCTTCAGAAAGCTGGCTTTGTGGGAACAACTAATTTGGAACAGACATAGGGTGTCTTTTAAAAATGCAAAAACAGAACCTATTTTGTGAAATAAGGCAGAAAAACCAACAATGAGATATAGAAATGATTTTTTTTAAAGCACAAGGGACACATGGATTCTAGGTTCTGAATGTACCTACGTCTTTTCTCTTATTTTTAGCAGTAGTACCTTTTATTTTCCTTTTTACTTAAAGGAAGAACAGTCCTTGATGCTCAAATTAACACCACCCGCTATTTCTGAATGATGTATCAGTTACTACTGATTTGCATCATACAGAATCTAGTTGCCAAAAGTATTCCATAAGGCTCCTTCTTCAACAGCCATCCCAACTGAGAATGTGAATTGGGCTCAAGCTTTGGAATGGGGAAAAAGACCCGTCCAGGTGAGGTGTTAGCTTCTTTTCCATGAATATCAAACCTTTTTTAGGAGGATTTCTGTTTACTTTTTTGTTCTCTTGATAACAATAGACATGTGATAAGTTCTCCTGGCCACCGCCAATTGCAAAATCTAGAAGTCACGTGATCCTCCTGCTTAGCTGCCCAGAGGCTCGGAGTAAAAGCAGTCTTACACCTTGCCATCTGGGTGCACTTCATATAGGCCTCCTGTGAATTAAGGGGCAGCAAAATTGCCAGGAAAGGGAACCAGGGTTTAGAGACCTCAGCCCTGTTACCTACTCAGCCTCAGACATTCGTTCTGGTCTCTGAGTATGTGAGAGACTTTGCCAAGATCTTCTACCACCATGGGATTCCACATGGGAAGGGTACATTTCTGAAGCAAAGCTTTTGAGATGTATGGGTAGACTTTGCAGCAGAGGGTGGGTGTCTAATGCATTTAGAAGACTTGGAACCCGGAAACAAAGTCCATAGGTATTCAAGGCCTTTATAAAGTAGCTGGCATTTCTCCATCAGTAAATTCATTCCTCAGAAAACAGTTTTCGCATTGTTGATTCTCTACACAAGAAGCTAAATTTTATTTTAAAAATATGGCAAGTCTCTCTCTCTCTCTCTCTCTCTCTCTCTGTGTGTGTGTGTGTGTCTAGTAAAAGTCCTATGAAGTATAATGGGGAAACTATTCTGAGAAACGGTTCTAATAATGTTGATCAAGTAAACATGAAGGTGAAGCCAAGCCTCACTGAACCAGAATATTATTCAATATAATTCCTGTTCAGCCTCTCTGAACTTCACTTTCCTTAATCACAAATCAGGGCTATTATTGCCTAGAGAATTGTATATACCAGTAATCAGCATGCTGACTCTTACTAAAAGCCTATATGTTCCCTAGATGGTAAGGTAAATTCAAGAAGAAAAGGCAGATTTTTAAAAAAGCTACCAGAAGCTGTAACTCAAATAACACTGCCCTCCTTCTTTTTTTTTATCTTGTTTAGATCAGAATTGCAGAGATAGTGGGAGGGACTTAATGAGTGTGCATGTTGTCTCAGTTGCAAAGTACATTTACACATCCTAACTCATGTGATCTTTGGCTAGACAACAAGCAACTTCTCTATCAGAGGAGTGTAAAAGTTGGGGCAGATGTCCAAAATATTGAGTAACCTCTGTCTTTGGAAATGATTAATTAAAAAGTAGAAAGTGCTTTCTCTTAACACTGCAGAAGTGTGTCCCAAGAAGAAACACTGGATCTGAGTATCAAAAGATCAAGTTCACGCTCTAGATCGACTTTAAATGTGTGTCCTTAAGAGATTCACTTGACATCTTTGGATTTAGTGTCTTCATCTATTTAAATGAAAGGGAATGTTGTATGCACATGTGCATGTGCAAAAGAACACGCTGGAAGTATCAAAGAATAGATTATTTGAAAATCTTCCTCTAGAAATGCTTCCAAACTGCTGGGATGGAGGCATGGCTCAAGTAGAGGAGCACTCACTAGCAAGTGCAAGGCACTGAGTTCAAACACCAGTTACTACCAGATCGGTAGGCAGGTAGGTAGGTAAATAGATAGATGATAGATAGACAGCTTGACCGATCAGTTGATTTCCATACTGGTATGCAGAGAAGTAGAACTCTGTCCTTCAAGTTCTCCATTAGCTGTATTTTCTATAGTTTAAAATTTAGCCTGCACAAGTGACTGAAATGCTCCAAGGTTTAAGGCCAGTTCTATGCTGGTGGTTGAAGGTTGTACTCTGGTATGGAGGGGGAGAGCTGTGGCGGGGCTTTGCCTAGTCATTGTCTGACCATGACCTGACTCTGGCTGTGGAGGGAATGTCCTGAGAGGGTGCCCTTGTGGCTGGTGGAGGCTCTGGAGAGAACATTATGTCCCGAAGCTGCAGCCACACCATCTGTCTTTGGTTAATATCTGCCCTGAGACAAGATCATCAGTCAGCTTCAGGTGAACAAGAGACACTTGTGATCACCTACATAGCAACAGCTGTGAGCCAGTGAACAGAAGGGCTGGCCCTTGAGCCCAGGTCTCTCTAACCTGTGCCTGTGCCCTCAGCCACTCTGCCACATTGGTGTACTAGATGGTAGAGTTCTATAAGCAGCATCCATGTGTCCAAAGGAGCTAGAAGCCACGGCCCCACTATTTGCCTTCATGGTACCTGAGCTCCCTATGATGGCCAGCATCTGTCCACTTCTCACTTTGAAGCTCAGGTTCTGGATGCCCAGCTCACAAGAGTCTTTGCTCTTTTGAGACATCCAAGGTATCTTGAACTGAGCCAGCTGCTCAAACCAAGGCACCTGGGAGGCCATGTCCACCTGTAGGGAAAGGTACCAGAGGGTTCTTCAGAGAGCTGAATAGCTAAGAGGGAGTCAGAAGCTCATGTTCAACTTCCCTGTGCTCTGAGTGTCCCTTCCCATAGGAGATATCCCTCTGTGGGTATGCCTCAGGCATACCTCTACCCAGATTCTACTAGCACAGAGGTGAGACCCCACCCTGTTGAGAAACTGCTGTTTCTAGCCTAGCTTGGGAAGGAGATAGGAGAGCATGTAGAATAAGGGAAAATAAAATAACTTCTCAGGTGATTACGATGTGCAAGACATTGTGTCCATTGCTTCCATCATTAGCCCTTTCAGTTGCACTGCAAATGTGTACCATAGGTGTTACTGTAATGTCTTACAGATGAGGTTCAGAGCAGTGAAGTAATTTACTTGAGCGTACACAGATAATAAGTGGCAGCAAAGAGAAGGATTAGCTTGTTCTAACATACCCACAGGTGTGAGTGAGTGGGCCAGATTGGGACCTCTATGGCTCCATCCAGGGCCTTACCTAGGGAGCATGTGCGCTCTGCCTTGGGAAAGGGGAGTAATAAGGGTTGTTGAATTTAATGCAAGTGTTTCTGAAAACTCCTGAAAGGCCAGTGGTTGTCCGGGGAGTTGTTCAGGGTGTCTTATTAGCTTCAGGGACAGGACATTTGTCAATATAAATATAGATACATTGCTGGGCGCTGGTGGCTCATGCCTGTAATCCTAGCTACTCAGGAGGCTGAGATCTGAGGATCACGGTTCAAAGCCAGTCCAGGCAGGAAAGTCCATGAGACTCTTATCTCCAATTAACCACCAGAAGACCAGAAGTGGTGCTGTGGCTCAAGTGGTAGAGCGCTTGCCTTGAGCTGAAGAGCTGAGGGACAGCACCCAAGCCCAGAGTTCAAGCCCCACGACCGACAAAAAAAAATATATATATACATACATATATATATATATATATATACACATGGAGATACATAAATGCATGAAATCTAAATAAAGTCTATACTTTGATTTCTTTTTAGATCATATAGATCTGACTTTTGTCAAATAAAATGTATGAAGTTTAGTTATTAGAATTGTATCTCCTTCCTTCCGTCTTTCTTTCCTTGCTACCTTCCTTCATTCCTCCCTCCTTCATTACCTTTCTTCTTTTTTTTGTGCCAATACTAGGGCTTGAACTCAGGGTCTTGCATTCTCATTCAGGTTTTTTTTTTTTTTGCTCACTACCACTTGAACAATGCCAGCTGGTTAATGGGAGGTAAGAGTCTCGCAGCTTTCTGCCTGGGCTTGCTTTGGACATCAATCCTCAGATCTCAGCCTCCCAAGTAGCTAAGATTACAAGCATGAGTCAGAAGCACCTAGCCCATTGCTAATTTCCTAATGTGGGTAATTATTCTCTGCTATGCAAACTATTAACCTTAGGGGAAACTGAGTAAAGGGTCTATGGGAACACTATTATTTTTATAACTTTGTCTAAAATTATTTCAAACTCTGGAGTTCCAAAGACTACTCCGATGGGCTCTCACACTTGGTTTCCATAAGGAGCCTGAGGCCTCTCCATGCCTCTCCAGCTGTGTGTGCGCTGGTGAGGAAGGATATCTCTGTGAGGCTTGTACGTGACACACGAAGCCTGCACCCTCCATCCCAGGGCAGGCTAGTCAGTCTGTGGGCAGTGCTCACACTCCTTCTCCTTGAGGAATTCTTGTGAGCGTGTAGGCCCCTACCTGGTAGGTGAGGTCTCTGACCTCCAGCGTGTTGGACTGGCCACTGTAGGTGAAGTACAGGCTGTTGTCACTTTCAGAGGAGAACAAGCTGTCCTGGAGGACCTGCTGGGAGACATGGCAGGTGAAACCACTGAGGATGCAGGCAAAGAAGGAAGGAGACCCCAGAAGAGAGAGCGGTGGCTGACTATCTGGTTGAGATCCCAGGTTGGCAGGAGATGGGCTGGAGCAGGGCCGTGAGGAAATGGGATCGGTGAGAAGAGCACATCTACCCCTCCCTCAGGAGATGTTGGGATTCTCCTAGGACAGCTCCATCCCTGGAGAATCCTAGCTCAGGGCCTGTGGGCCAGAACCCAAGCAGCTTAGGATGAGTGACATCCAGATTCCACACGGGGAGAGCTGAATGGGAAGACCTAAGCTGCGAGCAGGTAAACGTAACCTTCAACTTTCCCATTCCATCAAATGGCTTAATAATATCTCCTAATGCCAAATAGACATTGCACATGAAAGGGTAACAGCTAGCAGCAAGTTAATACTCAACCTGTCAAGATGCCTTTCCAAGGAGAGTTGTATCTGATTTTGTTTGTTGGTAGGTTGGTCGGTCCTGGGGCTTGGATTCAGGGCCTGGGTGCTGTCCCTGAGCCTCTTTGTGCTCCAAGCTAGTGCTCTACCACTTGGGCCAGAGTACTGCTTCAGGCTTTTTCTGAGTAGTTCATTGGAGGTAAGAGTCTCTGGACTTTCCTGCCTGGGCTTGCTTTGAACCATGATTCTCAGATCTCAGTCTCTTGAATAGCTTAGATTACAGGCATGAGCCACCAGAGCCTGGCTTGTAGCTAACTTTTTTTTAAAAAATATTTTTATTATTATCTTTAAGTAGTTGTACAAAAGAGTTGCCGTTTAACCAAACAGTTTATGAATACACTATATCCTCAACATTGTTGCCCTTTTTAACATTCTCATCCATCCCCCCCCACTTCTTCTCTCACTCTGCTTAATTTTGTAGGACATACATTGGATTCTTATAGGCATTTTCCCTTATCTGATGTTAATGAGGAATTTTGTGCAACAGAGATATTGAAGACACCTTGGGCCAGTTCAGAGGCAATCTCTGTTCTCAACTCCACCACATTATCACTACCATCACCAACACCATCACCACGACTATCACTGTCACCATCACCATATCATGTGGTTGTTCTTGCTGAAATAGTGGTATATTTGTGCATTTTATTTAATATCTAATTTTTACATTGTACATAAGTATAGGTACAAAGCAATAATTTTATATATAATCTGAACATATAGATGCTTAATATATCATATATAACATATACATATAATATACAGCATATTATATAATAATGATTAAATAAAGCTAATTATTACTCTTTTTTTTATTGGTCATGGGGCTTGAACTCTGGGTTTGGGCACTGTCCCTGTACTCTTCAGCTCAAGGCTAGCGCTCCACCATTTGAACCATAGAACCACTTCCAGGTTTCTGGTGGTTAATTGGAGATAAGAGTCTCACAGACTTTTTTGCCTGGCTGGCTTTGAACTGCAATCTTCAGATCTCAACCTCTTGAGTAGCTAGGATTACAGGCATGAGCCACCGGCACCCAGCCTAATTATTACTTTTATTGCCCTAATCATTTCTTTGTATTGGGAACCTCTGAACTCTGCTCTCCTGGCTCTTTATAACTATTCCCTAGACTGTTGTAAGCTATGGACACCTTGCTGTACTGTAGAAAGATAGAACTTATTTCTCCTATCTACATTTCGATGCCCAATATCTGACCTCCTTTCATGCCCTCTCCTCCTCGCTTTCCTTACCTGTAGTGACCACTAGAGAACAGTGGTCACTACAGGTAAGGAAGTGGCAGAATCTTTGTTTTTAGTTTTTACAGAGTTGAAGATCAAACCCATGGCCTTGCTCATGCTAGGCAAGCACTCTAGCTCTGAGCTACATCCAGGCCCCAGTGATATATTTGAAATTTGATACATTTATGTTTCATAGTAGGTAACTTGGAGTGGTATTAACTGCCAACATATCTGATGGTTCTTCAGTCAAGCAGGCAACCAACACTGACTTGAGAGCCTACAGCTGCAGCTCAGAATCTGTGATGCAACAGTGAAAAAGACTATCTTTGATAAAGCTTAAATTTTAGTAAGACAGGCATTAGGACAGCATGAGAGTGCTCATGGTAAGCATCTGGGGCTACACAATACCCATGTGTACACTGATCCATGTATGGTTTAGAGGGAAAATAACATCCAACGTCTCTGCACCAATGGTTCAGGAAGAGAGCCTTGGAAAGAACATTCCAGATTTTTTGGGGGGAGGGGGGTGGTTAGAGGCAGTTAAATACAGATGATCATCTGTCTCCAATGAGCAACCAGTAAAGCTCTAGAGAGTGTAAACAAACAGCATACTAAAGCTACTTATATGGTTGAATGTTGGAACCATCACCAAAATTTTCCAGTGAAGTGGACATTTATCCAAAGAGCACAGATTAGGATACAGTAAAGCCACTACCACAACCATGTTCACTGTAGCATTATTTACCATAGCCAAAATATGGAATCAGCCCAGATGCCCCTCAATGGATGAACTGGTCAAAAAAATGTAGTATAGTATATGTATAAAATAGAATTCTTCTCATCTATCAGAAAGAATGATATTGTACCAATTATAAGGAAATGGGAAGACTTGGAAAAAATTACATTAAATGAAGTAAGTCAGACCCAGGGAAACACAGGTTGCATAGTTTCCCTCATTTGTGGTAGATAGAATATGCCTATAAATCTACAAGAAACCATACTAAATGGTAAGAAAGGGGATACTGAAGTATAATAGACTCTATGGAGAACACTAATAGTGTAATTCTTTAGAAATATTAAACTAAAACTCAACAAAACATCCAGGCACTGGTGTCTCATGCCTGTAATCCTAGCTACTCAGGAGGCTGAAATCTGAGGATTTGCAGTACAAAGCCAGCCCTGGCAAGAAATTCCATGAGACTCTTATCTCCAGCAAACCACCAGAAAACTGAAAGTGGTGCTGTAGCTCAAGTGGTAGAGCACTAGCCTTGAGCTGAAGAGCTGAGGGACAGCGCCCAGGCCCAGAGTTCAAGTCCCACGACAGACACAAACAAACAAACAAAAACAAAAAACAAAACCCTCAACAAAATAAGTACCAGGAAATGAGTCCTTGAGGGGGAGGGAGGGCAAGAGGAGAGAGTTAGAACAGAAGAGAATTCAGGCAAGCGTTCATTGCATATACCACAGAATTGAGAAAAACAAGGGAAGGAGTAGGTCAAAGCGGGGTGAAGATGTTGATGGATGACACCTATTAAGGTACATTTTATACATAAGCTGCTTTGCTAAATGGCAAAAAATGAATACATATCCTAAAATTTAAAAAGCTGAGTGAAGAGGTACGGCAAGAGGGAAGGGTGAGAATGTTGAAGACACACTCTATTTATAAACTGCTTTGTTGAATGGCAACACCTATGTGCCACTACTTGAAGATAATAAAAATATTCGAAAAATATTGTGTAGTGAAAATATAGAGAAACCAACCCTTAGTTCAGGATAGGAATTATCTCTGAGGAAGAGAGATGGGGAGGAGAGTAGGTGGAGTGAGGGTGAGCAGGCTTAAAGCTATGGGGAATTAGTGGTGAGCACATGGGAGATGGGAATAAACGGATTGGTTTGAAATATTTCACAATATGTTTTCAGTGTGAGAGGGTAAACGTATGAATAGAGCAACAGAGGTTTCCTCCCACGCGGATGGCCATGTGCTAATACTCCAAAGCAGCAGGGGAGAGTGAGGGCAACGGAGGTGAGAGGATCTGTGCCCTCTGAGATGGAGACCAGAGTCCCTGTCGGGGGATCAAGGCTCTGTGCCTGCTGGATTCTGGGTTAGCCCTGTGACTCTCTTCTCACCACTTCCCTCCCTACCACACATTTGACCTAGTTTTTCCAGTTCATTGTGTTAAACTACAGAAATGCTATCAAAAGTTCAGGGATTCACTTAATAAGCATCCTCTCCTCTCTTCTCTTTCCTCTGTCTCACTGGCTCTCTGTCTCTGACTCATTGTCTGTCTGTGTCTGTCTGTCTGTCTGTCTCTCTCTCTGTGTAGTACTTTGGTTCAAAATTAGGGGATCATGCTTGTTGGGCAAGTGCTTTTACCATGACCCTCACCCCCATTTGCTTTAGTTTGCTTTTCAAATTGAGTCTTGAGTTTATGCCTGAGCCTGGCCAGGGACTGTAAATTCTCCTTTCTCTCTGCCTCCCAAGTATCTGGGATTACAGATTGTGCCACCCAGGCCCAGCCCTGCCTTACTGTTTTTAAAGCAAGCATCTAAGTCAATTGGCATCAGATATGAATTAACTTCCTTTGGCTGGCCCAAACCCAGATTGGATGACAGACAGAAGGTTGCACTGAGGAAGGAAGTCCCAACATTGGGAGTTCAGCGTCCCATGTGCAAATGACCTCAAGCCCAGCTGACCTCTAGTTCATTGCTTTGAGTCGGGGAGGGCATTGGGGCATAGGGATAGAGTGCCAAGAAGGAAGACAGGGAAAAGTTGAGAGGTTCCTGACTCCTTGCTCCAGGGCTCACTCCAGTCTCTCCCCGCTGGACCCCAACTGCCATAGGACTGGTTTGCAGGTTGCTACATGGGGAGCTCGGCTTTAGGAGGAAAAAAATTCCTGCCTGGATTGGGGACCACTTCTGTTTCATTTAAAAGTATTTCCCTTGGCTCCCAGGATGAATTTGTTAGACTCTTCCTGAGGTTTTGACACACTCCCTGTATTTTTCAAATACTTAAATATCTATTCCGCTGACATTTTAATCAGTATGAATGTCAGAACATCATTTGAATTTCTGACAGGTGACACCCAAAAAAGCAAAAGCAGTTTTATTTGTAGGTAACCAGCTCAGCTCCTGCTGGGCTACATTGTAATTTCTCCTTGTATTAACTTCTGATCAAATTCCTGAGTCAGAGCAAAGGCAAGAAGGCAATCAGAGAGCACAGAGCACAAGTAGCTTGTTCTGAGATGAGGAGCTTGTGCTTGGAGAGAGAATGGCTGTGCTGGGGACTTGTGGCTGTGCTGGGGACTTGTGGCTGACAGGGATAATGCAGGCTTTGTTCCTGGCTGAGGGGACACTTCTGGACCTTTACTGAGATACTCCGACCAGGCCCCATGTAACTCAGCTCTGAAGCTCAGGACTCTCTTGTCCTCTGCTGAGCCTACCCTTATCCAGAGTGAGAGGAGTCTGTGGCCCACTGGGCCTCTGGCTCTCTAAGTGCCCAATGCCAGAGTTCCTGCGCAACTGCCTCAGTTCCCTTCCCAGGGCTTGTATTCAGATTCTCCCAGACCCAGCTTCTAGAGGCCTGATTGATAATCAACAAATGACATCTGTCTGTGGTGGGCATGGTCTACATGTGGGTGGGCTGGGGTGATCACAGGCCTGTGTGACTTTCTTGCAGGGTAGATGGACTGGAATGGAGGGTAGGCAGGGATGGGGACAGGTTATGGCATTGCCTAGAAGCTGGCTCCCTTATGCCATCTGCTATCACATGCTACCACTTTCTAACTGCTACCAAGAAGCTTTCGATGTTCTGCGTTTATACCTATGTGCCAGCTGGGGCAGTGATCAAGGTCAAAAGAGAGAAATTGTTTTATTTAATGGTGCTTCGCTTGTTAAATAGCTTGTGTTTCTCTGTGTGTGCGTGTGCGCATGTGTGCACACTCGCACGCGCATCAGTTACTTACTGGGGCTTGAATTCAAGGCCTTGTATTTTTACTTGCCTTTGTTGCTCAAGGCTGGGATTCTCTACCACTTGAGCCACACTTTCAACTAAGATCTTCAGGTCTCAGCCTCCTGAGAGGCTAGGATTATGGAGTAAGCCACCAGCCCCTGGCTGTTTGATAGCTTTTAAACATCTAGATATAGGTTAAATGGTCTATAACCTTTATTTCCAAGCCCTACAAATGTTAGGGCAGAGCACTGGTCCCCAGAGCAACAGAAAGATTCAGGGTCTATTTGTATTTGAGGATGTGGGGTTTGGCTAGTTCTTTGCCCTAAGTGTGGTAGTAATTTTCAGGGCAGAAAGTACCCCCAAAATCCACCACTGACTTCCTATCTTATTCAGCGTTTGAGGACTGCCCTTCTGGTTGATGGGGTCATTATCCACAGAGTTGGGTCTAGAGAGCACAACTCGTCATTGCTGTGGCTGTAAAACTGGCTAGGAATTGTGGATCCTTTGGGCCTGTCTGGGTTAATCAAGGTCAGTCCACAGGTCTGTGGCTTTTCTATTGGGTGGGGACTTGTCTCTGGTTGTGGTGCCCTTGGATTTCTTGTCTTCCTCCTCCCACAATAGGTAAAGACAGAAAAGTGGGGCGGAGTGAAGCAGAGATGGAATTCTGCTTCCTTTCCATCTTCCAATGTGGCCTCCTGTTTCAAGCCCTGCCCACAGCCCAGTCAAAGGACATTTATTAAGCAGATGAGGGAGAATGTCTTGTACCTCCACCCGCTGGCCACTTGACTTCTGTCTCTTCCTTCCAGCTCTCTCCCAGATCTGAGGACTTGCTTGCCTCACATTTCGCCATTCCCACAAGTCATTGGCCCTCCTGTCACATTCATCATTTTACTCCCACTGAGATTCTTGGCCTGCCAGATGAGTCTCTAGTGTGTATGAACATATTTCTATGATGGAATTTCATTTGGAAAAATCAAATGGGCTCAAATCACCCATAAGAAAGTACCTCCTGTCCAAGGAGCGTTGCCTGAGGCAGAAAATGACCTCAGAGACCTCTTGGTGCCGAGCCTGCTCTTTGCAACCCTCTGATGCCCAGGAAATGGAGGCTTGCAGCCACATCCACACTGCCTATGGCTCAGGCAGTCAATTAGGACCACCAAAAGCTCCTGGGGAGGGGCAAGAAAGGTCGTTTCTCCCCACCCACCAGGACTGAGGCATGTGGGGGTCACTCACCGAAGCATCTTGGGCAGAAGCCCCATTCCACAGCTCAGTCTGCACTGGGATCTTCTCAGCCATGGGGGCCCACACCGTTTGCACCCTCAGCTGTATTCCTGTGGACCTCAGCTTGCTGCCCACCAGCCAGGTTCTCTCCCTACTTCTTAGAGCTGAACCAGCCGAGCCCTTCCGCTCTCTCCCAGCCTCTCTCCCAGCATGCCTCGCTGGCAAGCCCTCCCACAAACACGTGGAATGTTCTGCCCACTGTCTAAAGGTACATCAGATAATGGCACCTGTGGCCAAGTCCCTGTCCTGTTGCTCCCGAGGAACTTCAGGGCCGGGCAAGGGAACAGGAGGGGCACTCTGCCACTCAGCTGAAGCCACTCCAGGGAGGGTCAGGCCACCAGAAAACCCACCTGCCTTTGCTGTCTGTTGGCCATGAGTGAGCTCCCCTTCCTGACCCCGGCTGGGGCCAACACATTCCAAGTAAACAGACCTTCCCCGAGCTCCCTTCAGGAGGTTCCTGAAGCCGCCGCCCCGGAGCCTCGGCACAGTCTAGGCGTCCTCCACGTCTCCTACAGTATCAGGTAAGGCGTGAACACACAGCCCGGCCTGGGCTCCTGCCCCCTACTCTGCCTCTGTCCACTAAGGGGACCATGGAGGCGGGTGGAGAAGGTTTTGTGCTGCCTCTTTAGTAGATGGGGTGGTGAGAGGAGAAGGGGAAGGGCTGCCACTGGGATATGAGGAACAACTGTGTATGGCTCATCCTCTTGCTCAGGGCAGGGCCTGCACATAAAAACCGTGTCTGGTCTCTGGCCCATGTCCTCTTACCTCTTCCCATCGCTCACACTCCTTCTCTGGCTTGTCCATACTTCCCTGTGTGGATGGAGAGGGCATAAGGGGCCCTGACACCTGGTGGAATGAAACCTTGGGTAGGAATCAACATTCCTATGTAGCATCTTCCAACCAGGTAGAGAACTTTCATTCAGGGCAGCTGCTGCCTGGCACTTTCCTGATACCAGTAGCCAATGCCCAACCAGGTTGACAGAGGCTGACACAGAGGCTGAAATACAGTTGGGAACCTGTCCAGAACAGAGTAGGGATCAGGACTGGGGTCAGTCCTTCCAGGACTCCGTGATGCCTTTGTGGGGTTTTCTTTAAAGCAATCGTGTCGGGCCCTGGTGGAATACCAGATCCTGTTGGCAGCGGTGGACTAGGCAGATCCTCAAGGACATCTCCTTGTACATCGAGAGTGGGCAGATAATGTGCATCCTAGGGAGCTCAGGTAAGTTTGTAAGCAGTTCCCTATTCTCAGTAAGGGCTTGGACAAAGGCTTTGACTTGATTTAAGTGCCACATTGGAGAAATTTGTGTATGGTGTATGGTAGTAGGGATCAAACTCAGGGCCTCATGCATGCTAAGCAAAAGCTCTATCGAGCTACATCCCCAGCCCTGCAGGTTAATTTGTATTTCCAAGTATAGAAAGAGCCCTGGAACTGTGGCTAGCACATATAGTCACACAGTGAACAATTTCCTAATTTCCTCCTCCCCAGAGATTGGCAAAAATAAAAGCCCTCTTAAATCGCATATTTGATTTACTGCTACTGTTTTTATTCCTTTATGATGTACTTCAAATGCATAATCAAGAAGAGAGAGAATAAGCCAGGTGTAATAGTTCATAGTTACCTGGGAGGCAAGGTATGGGAAGATCACAGTAGAAGGTCAGAATGGGCAAAAAATTTGTGAGACTTCCCCCCCCCATCATCTCAACTAACAAAAATGAGTGTGATGGTTCACTTTATCATCTCATCTCAAAAGAAGGATCATAATGTGGGCTGGCCCCATTTACATGTTTAAATGTAAGACCTACTTTAAAAAAAGCACAAAAAGAGGCTAGGGTGTGATTTAATTAATAATCAGGCCTTATCAAGTCTTCATGTATCTGCTTCAGGTCTTTTTATTTTCAAGCATTCATGATTACAATTAGGCCATGATGTGCCTGTTCCTCCTGTCATCTGCTCCTCTTTTCCAGGAGTCACCATATTTGAGTCTGAATTATATGTGTCTTTGCAGCAGGCAATCATTGTGCCCCTGTGGTATTGTTACTTTTGGTGAAGCCGTTTCTTATAGGAGGACAATTTTCCTATGAGGGCCACAGCTGTGACTCTGCGGAGCCCCACCAACAATGCCAAGTGCTGGGGGATGGGCACACTGGTCCTGAAGAGGGGGTCCACCCTGGTGTCTTCAGATGAAGGATTCTGACAAACTGGCTTCACAGAAGCCTTGGTTGAGCAACTGCTTGTAAATAGTTGACAGCAGCTACTACTGTCCCCTTGCATTCATCGCTTAAGATCAGGATTATATGTCTGGAATGGAAATTAGGAATGCTACTAGTTAAAATATGAGCACCCTCTCTCCCGCTTTCCCACAGATTCTGTGCTGAAGGTTTGGTTCCCAGTATGGACATAGTAGATGTTGGAATCTTGTGGAAGATGGTTAGACCATTGGAGGCACTGTTCTGGGAAGGGACTGATCTAGTTCTTGCAAGACTCCAGTTAGTTCCTACTAGGGCGAGGTGTTATAAAAAGAGCAAACCAGGTCCCTGAATCTCTGGGATTCTTCTTACCTTACCATGCAATCTGTCCCTCTGACATGTCGTCTTGCTGTAATGCCATTTGTCATGGTTCAATGTGGCCAGAAAGCTGTCCCCAGTGCTGAGCAACTGAGGCCACTCAATTTTGAACTTCCAAAAACTGTGTGCTAAACAGATCTCTTGTATGTCAAAGTGCCCAGGCTCAAGTATTTTGTTATAAGCAACAGAAAATGGACTATATCTCTTTGTTTCCAGAGAACAGAATCCATGACCACTCACCTACCATAGCAGCTACACAGCTAGTTGGCACAGTAGTATGTTAAGATGCTGTGACAATGAATGCACTGTCTGCCTTAGTCCTTTTGGGCTTCTATAACAAAAGACAATACACTGGGTAGCTTCTGGACAAATGGATTTATTTCTAACAGTCCTCAAGGATGGGAAGTCTAGGATCAAGGAGCTGGAAAGTTTGCGTGTGATGAGAGCTGGTTTCCTCAGAAAAAGCCTGAGTTCTCTAAGTGAAAGAGGAAACCACTGAAAAAAATTACTGTTTTGATAGAGGTGATAAACAGAGGGGTTACATTTACACGAGTCAGGTAATGAGTACATTGCCTTTTGTTTAGTGTCATCTGTTCCCTCATTCTCTCCATTCCCTCCTTCCCGCCCTCCCATCTCCACTGCTGCATTCTTTCACCCTTTTTCAAAACTTGACTTCTGTGCCATCCCCCCCACCGTCCCGAAGATATACATGAAAATACACCGTACATAAGGTAAAGAATACAGAATCATCAGATAAAGAAAAAGAAAAAAAGAGAAAAAAAGTAAGTCTTTTGTTAGGAGTTCATTTCAGTACATCTTATTTTATATACATATGAAGCGGTGCGTGGGCATTGCCCCTCTGTGATTCTCTCCTAAGGCTATCCTCGTTTGGTCTCACTGTATGTGACTAGAATCCTGTGTAATCTGTCATATCTCAGGGCATTTTAGATCTAATTTCTACATATCAGAGAGAACATGCGCCCTTTGTCTCTCTGATCTTGGCGTACCTCACTTAACATGATTTGTTCTAGTTCTATCCATTTTTCCTGTGAATGATATTATTTTATTCCTTCTAAAGGCTGTTTAAAAGTCCATTGTGCACAGATACCACATGTTTTGGATCCACTTGCCTATTGTGGGGCATCTGACTGTCTCCTTATCTTGGCTATTATGAATAGTGTGGCAATGAACATGGATATGCAGATGTCCTTGTCATATCTTGGCTCATGATGCTCAGGGTAGATGCGTAGGAGTGGTATGGCTGGGTCATAGGGAAGTTCTATGTTTAGATTTTTGAGGAACCTCCAGACTGCTTTCCAGAGTGGTTGTACTAGTTTACATTCCCTCCAGCCATGCAATAGAGTTCCTTTTTCCCCACGTCCCCACCAGTATTTGGTGTTCAAATTCAAAATGTTGGCCAATCTAACTAGGGTGAGATGGAATCTCAAAATTGGGAAACCTCTTTTATAAAGGTACTAATCCTAACTGTGAGAGCTGGGTTCTACATGTTACACCTTTAATTCCACCTACTCCCTAGTCCCATCACCTTGGAAGTAAAGAATTCAACATATGAATTTTAAGGGGACATAAACATTATTATCCTATCACTAAATAAGATATACACTTTTCTGAAGTTTCCTGTCAGTCCTTTTGTTTCCATTTTGTTTATTTGGGTGTTCCTGTGTGTGTGTGTGTTTTGTGTGTGTGTGTGTGTGTGTGTGTGTGTGTGTGTGTTGGTCCTGGGGCTTGAACTCAGAGTCTGGTTGCTGTCCCTTAGCTTTTTTCCTCAAGGCTAGCACTCTATCACTTGAACCACACCTCCATTTCTGGCTTTTTGGTGGGTAATTGAAGAGTCTCATGGATTTTTCTTCCTGGGATGGCTTTGAACTATAATCCTCAGATTTCAGCCTATTGAGTAGCTAGGATTACAGGTATGAGCCACTGGTGACCAGCTCTTATTTTCATTTTAAGAAACAATTTCTAAGTATATACATGTACCATAACATTCAAGGTTGTTTTAATTTTCCTTTTCTGGGGGGGGGGTGGCGGTTGTGGGGCTTGAACTCTGGGCCTGGGCGCTGTCCCTCAGCTCTTCAGCTCAAGGCTAGCGCTCTACCACTTGAGCCATAGCGCCACTTCTGGCTTTTTTCTTTTTGCTTATGTAGCGCTGAGGAATCGAACCCAGGGCCTCAGGCATGCAAGGCAAGCGCTCTACCACTGAGCCACCTTCCCAGCCCTAACTTTCTTTTTGATAACAGAATATGCTTTTTAAAAATTAAAAAGTTGAGTTACCCCTATAATGCTTTTTATCTGTGCTCCTTATGTGGAATTAGGAAGGGTAGATATAGCGCCCTCTTCAGAAGTTCACCCCACAGCTACATCATGCTTTCTGTGTGTCTCATAGAGGGTAAACAGTGAGTAAGGCTCTTGCTCTGGGGGTATGGGATAGTTTCTTATGCTATACCTAATCATGGCTTTATGATAGCATCTATCCTTTTACTGAACAAAAATCCACAGTGCCTCTGAGGCAAAGTTTTTGTGTATTTCTCCCCTTGGCGTGTCCTTAAAATCTAGAATAGGATCATGCAGAAGATGGTAAATGAATATTTATGGAACAAGCTAGTATATAAATTGTCTATGAACTAATCATAGTGTTTTACAAAATGACATGATTCCATTACTGTCTCATGCTAAGCAGCACTATCACATTTTATTAAGAAGGAAACGACAGCATATAGTTCAAAGTCTCAGTAGACAGTGGCCTAAAGGAAGTTTGCCTAGGGCCAACCACCATACCTGGAGAATGCCAATTTATATGACTCCCGACCTGCAACCGATTAGAGTCCAGACTGTGGACTGAACGCTTCCTGACAGATTATTTTAATTGTAAATTATTTCTGTTCTATGAGAGGAATTAATCCCAAAAGACATAGCTCTATTCACCCTCAAGGTACTAGCCATTTTGGTGTTTGTGATGTTACTATTCTTCTCTCCAATGACTATACATATCAGTTTTTTATATCCTTTCTTGAATGAGCTTTGTCATCCTGCTTCTTCCCTCATTGATGAGTTAATAAATATTTGATCCGGGGCTGGGAAGGTGGCTCAATGGTAGAGCGTTTGCCTTGCATGCATGAGGCCCTGGGATCGATTCCTCATCACCACATAAACAAAAAGAAAAAAGCCGGAAGTGGCGCTGTGGCCCAAGTGGTAGAGTGCTAGCCTTGAGCTGAAGAGCTGAGGGACAGCTCCCAGGCCCAGAGTTCAGGCCCCATGACCGGACCCAAAATAAATAAATAAATAAATATTTGATCCATGTTTAAAAGACTAAGTTAGACATCTTCTACTCAAAAATTTGAAAATGTCCGTAAACTTACTGGCTTAAAACAGCAAAAGTATCATTTACTGTATCTCAGGGCTCTGGGTCAAAGTATTAAAAGTGACTTGGCTGGGTAGCTGTCATTTCTTATGAAGATATAGTCAGATGGATATTAGAAGGGTCATAGTCATCTGTAGGCTGAAGTGGGGCTGAGTACAGCTTCCCGGTGACTTTCTCCTGCCGGGGTTGGCTAGCTGCTATTTAACATTGCTCGGTGAGGATGTGTGTTATGAGAAGATCCAGGAGAGAACTCTGAGCATCTCCCACAGGATGCTGAGAAGCAGCAGCTACACTGGAATGTAACAGGGAATGATGGCATTAAAATGACGTGGTGTGTGTGTGTGTGTGTGTGTGTGTGTGTGTGTGTGTTGGAATGAGAGAGAGAGAGAGAGGGAAAGAAAGAGAGAGATTTAAAAGGCAGAAATCAGTATAAAATGATACTAAAGGGCCAGACAACACACAGATATCTGTCCACTGAATTTGATAACAAGGTAGTAGCAGTGATATCCTGGGGGAGGGGTATCTTAATACAGTGGAGAGGCTGTAGGTATTTACTGAGATCTGGCAGAGATTAGATCCCGGAAATGTAGGGCCTGGGAGTGTCTGGTTAAATGAACCATGCTTGAGACCAAAGATCATGGGTGGCAGCTGAAAGTCATGATTCTCGTCTTTATAACTCACTCTCCTTTCTGTTCCATTGTTACTTCTAACCGAGCATGTTGGCTAGTTCTGAGCTTCATCAGGTGTTAGGAAAGGTAGTGATGGCTGAAGGGGTTCATTCATCATCTGACCTCTTCAGAGCAGTAAGTAGCTTCTTTATTAATAGTCATAGAAGATCCTGTTGCAGGCTACCCCAGTCTCACTAGAATTTACTTACTCTCCTCTCAGTTCAGAACCTCCTGCCTGTGGTCTCTGTTATTACATCTAACTGCTTGGCATTCCTGGGCAGGAAAGGCCTGGTAAGGCCTGTCTTGTCTCCAGGAATTCTTGGACTATATGCTAAATTAGAAGCCAGCTGGCTTCTAATCCCAGAGGCTTCACCTAATCTCTAACCCTAGGAAAAACAAAAACAAATAAAATTAAGCAGATGAAACATCTTCTTCTAGTCACCTCAAGTACCAGGCAGTTGGTTCAGTGCAGCTCTTGGTGTTGGCTAAGTCCAGCTTAATTTTCCCAAAGGACTCCCTAAGTCTGTGCTCCTCAACTGCTATCATAGGAGTCATCCAGGGATCTTATTAAAAAGCAGACTTGGGGGGCTGGGAAAGTGGCTCAGTGGTAGAGCACTTGCCTTGCATGCCTGAGGCCCTGGGTTCGATTCCTCAGCACCACATAAGCAAAACGAAAAAAGCCGGAAGTGGTGCTGTGGCTCAAGTGGTAGAGCGCTAGCCTTGAGCTGAAGAGCTGAGGGACAGCGCCCAGGCCCAGAGTTCAAGCCCCACAACCGGACCCCCCCCCCACAAAAAAAAGCAGACTTGGGACCAGTAGGTGTGGACTGAAGCCTGAGATACCACATGTCTAACAAGCTCAAAAGGGGGTGCTTGAGGCTGCTAGCTCTCAAACCACACTTCCTCAGCAAGACCTTAAGTAGTGTCACCTACATTCAGGTACAATGGGACAGTCCCAGAGGACCACGAAAAAGGAAAGAAGATGTTCTAGGAGCCCATGTTTTTCAAGTCCCCACCTTTTGTTTTCTTCTGAGCTTGTGTTCTCCTTTTCAACCCCAAACAAATTTACCAGGGCCAATGAGTGGCTCAAGACAGTAATGCTACCTACTCAGGAGGCTGAAATCTGGGGATTAAGTTTGAATGTAGCTTGGGTAGAAAAATCAGTAAGACCCTGATCTATGACTAACCTGCAAAAAAGTGGAAAGTCGAGCTGTGGCTCAAATGGTAAAGTGCTAGCCTTGAGGAAAAAAAGCCAAAGAACAGCACCCAGGACCTAAGTTCAAGCCTGAGTACACACACACACACACACACACACACACACACACACACACACACACACGAGTACATAAAGCACCTTCATCTCTGGAGTCCAGTCTCACCACGTTGCCAACACTGACCTTCTCAAAGAAGACATCGGGGTTGTGTCCTAGTTACCAAATTTGGCTGAGTGTGTGGGGCCCACATACAGATTCATTTGTGGCCTGTGAGTTTGACTCACAGAGAACAAATCAGGGTCCCATAGTGGGGTCTCTGCCTCCACAGAAGGCCTTGGAGAAGCTCGTCCATTGTCATCCTTGGGGGCGCGGGGATCCTCAGGGCCTTCCCTTGTTGCCCCCCAGGCTCGGGGAAGACCACGTTGCTGGACGCCATCTCCGGGAGGCTGCGGCGCACGGGGACGCTGGTGGGAGAGGTGTGCGTGAACGGCCGCTCGCTGCGCAGGGACCAGTTCCAGGACTGCTTCTCCTACGTCCTGCAGGTGGGCGCCCACCCGACCCCGGGCCTGCCACTGCCCTGGGGCCTGGATGGGCGACGCTGATGTGCCCCTCTTCTGCAGAGTGACACGTTTCTGAGCAACCTCACCGTGCGTGAGACGCTGCGCTACACTGCGATGCTGGCCATCCGCCACGGCTCTGCAGACTTCTTCCAGAAGAAGGTGAGCGCCGTGAGTTGGAGTTAGGCCCCGTCTAGTGTGCAACCAGAGATGTAGCCTAAGCTGGGTTGTTGTTGTTTTTGGAGAGAAAAAAAGCATGAAATATTCCGAATTTTGATAAATTAGAATGATAGGTTGAAATGACAATCTTTTGACTGGACTACTAAAATTAATTTTTTCCATAAACAACTCCCTGCCAGCCCTTTAACTGGGGCTCGAACTCAGGGTCTCATGCTCCTCCTTGGCTTTTGCATTCGAGGCTGGGGCTTCTACTCCTTGAGCCCACCTCCATTCTGGCTTTTTGCAAGTTAATTGGAGACAAGTCTCACAGCCTTTTCTCCCTGGGCTGGTCCATCCTCAGCTCTCAACCTCTTGAATAGCTAGGATTACAGGGAGTAAGCCAGCAACACACCCTGCCCAACTGTTTAACTTTGGAAGTTTAGCTACTAAAATATTGCCATGGTTTGCATTACCGTTCTCTTTGAGGTCTGTATCTGAACAGATGTTATTTTTCCCCACTAATTTTTCCCAGTTTGCTTCTTGAATGGGCCTCAGCAAAACTGAACTAAGAAGAAAGTACTGAATCAACTCTTTTAGGTTCCAATGTGTTTCTTTTATTTATTTTTTTTGTTGGTCGTGGGGCTTGAACTCTGGGCCTGGGTGCTGTCCCTCAGCTCTTCAGCTCAAGGCTAGTGCTCTACCACTTGAGCCACAGCACCACTTCCAGTATTCTGGTGGTTTATTAGAGATAAGAGTTTCACAGCTTTTCCTGCCTGGGCTGGCTTTGAACCATGATCCTCAGATCTCAGCCTCCTGAGTAGCTAGGATTACAGGCATGAGCCACTGGTGCCCAGTTTTCCAATGTGTTTCTTACATGCATCTATTTTGGAACTAGCTGCAGGTCCCTGGAAACATGGCTTATTTGTGTTTGGACTGTGAAGATGTGGGAGCACCCAGTTAACAGTGACAAACAGTGACAGGTAGACGGGCCACCTGCAAAGAGCCATAGCTCCCTGAGAAGCAGGCTTGTGTGTTCTGATGCCCTTGGTGAATAAGCTCTTCAGTCTGAGAATCCTGGACAATTCTTGGAGGTAGCTTTCACTTTCGTGAGGGCTTTGGTCTGTGCAAAGGGCCTTAAGCCTCACAGAGTGATGCCTGGCTCTAGCTCTATCCTTAGAGGTTATCTTTGAGTGCTCAGAGGTTTCATAAGTGTCCTTCTCTCTCACCAGGTTATGCTCAGCCCTGGCATCTGGCTGGGAATTGGCAGACCTCATTGTCACTTCTGCTGAATCTGTAAGGGAGGCACTATCTTTATCTTGTAGAGCAAGAAGCTAACACCTGATGGGAGCTAGTGGCTCACCTCTGTAATCCTAGCTACTCAGAAGGCTGAGATCTGAGGATTGAAGTTTGAAGCCATCCTAGGCAGGAAAGTCCACAACACTCTTATCTCCAATTAGCCAGCAAAAAGCTGGAAGCAGAGGCTATGGCTCAAGTGGTACAGCACCAGCCTTGAACAAAAATGCGAAGGAATAGCACCCAGGCCCTGAGTTCAAAACCCAGGCAGCTGGGGATGTCAGAGCTGGGTCAGGGACTCAGGCCCTTTAGCTCTACCATGTTCCCTTAGTCTCCCAGTGGTCTAAGAGCGCCTGTGAGTTCAGGCCACTGGAAGCTCCAGACATATGGCTTGATAGCCCCAACCATCAGTGGCAAATGAAAAGCTGGGCCACACACCCTTATGAAGCTTCCTCTCTGTTTGCCTTAGTACTGATGTCTGTAAAGTAGGTAGGGATAAGCCCCACTTGATTGTTTTGTTTTTGCAGTACTGGAGAATGATCCCAGGGCCTTGTACATGTTAGGCAACTGCTCTACCATTGAGCTGTATTGTCAGCTCCCCATACATACTTGAATAGGAGAAATGAGTCATGAACAGAGTCTTTGAGTTAGTGATCTATTTATATTGTGTACCATATTGATGGAATCTAAAAAAACCCATGAACTCCTTGAAATGAACTGGTGGCAAATTTGCCCATACTGAATGGCCCTAATGCCTGTTCCAGGAAAGCCCCAAATGTCCTACTGAGGTTGATAGCACAGGGTTGGCCCTGAGACTTCTGAGAAAGCCCCACCCACAGTACACCAGGTTGTGATGAGGTAGGTTAGGGACATGTGAGTGCTAGTGATAAAGGGGACAGCCTGGTCCATCTGCTGTGTCTTCAGAAGAACCCTGGACTGAAGCACAGCTCACCTGAGCAAGCCTGTGAGTGCTGGGCTGTGAGGAAGTTTGTGTTTCCTAGATCACCGGAGCCCAGATTATTCTGCTCTCAGTCCCAGCTCTGCCCATACTTAGTAACATGACCTTAGCCAAGTTATAGACCTATCTGAGAATCTATTTTCCTCTTTCTAAAATAGAACAGTAATGTATTTTTCCTGCAGTGGATGTCAGGAATAGATAGATTATGTGAAAGCATGGAGCTTAAAGACTGATTCCATTGAAGAAACTTCCTTCAGGAGCTGGAGACAGAGTGAATCAATGTTTCCTAGATCCCCAAGGGAAAGCTCATTCCTTTTCCGATGCTGCAGAGATGAAATTTCTGGAATCTTCACTGGCTGATGAGCATACCAACTCAGCCATGTCAAACAAAACTCTTCTAGTCTTATGGCAAGAGGAGAACCCTTCTTTCCCCAGATCACATTAGTGTTGTTATGCATGTTTGCTTTCTCATTATTCCTTAGTGCTATTTGAAATATATCCCTTCTTTGGACCTGTGCTTCATCTCTGCTGGGGGTCCTGGCTCCTCTGGAACTTTCCTCCAGTCTAGTGAGATGTAGTTGTTTCTGTTTGTTTTAGTGCAATATGTTTCTTTTTTCATTATGAAAGGAGCCCAATTTCACTAGGGGCTGATAGACACAGACACATGATCATTTTAGAATTCGCAGCTCTCTTCTGAGAATGCTGTTTCCTCTAGTGCAGGTGGGGAATCTGTAAAGGAGGGAGAAGAAGTAGAAGTCTTCCAAACTAGAGACATAGTGGAAGAAGGCCAAGGGAGGAGGAAGAGAAGGCTGGCTTTCTTGATTAGAAAATCAGTAAAGAATATTCTCAGCCGGGTGCTGGTGGCTCACGCCTGTAATCCTAGCTACTCAGGAGGCTGAGATCGAGGATCGCGGTTCAAAGCCAGCCCGGGCAGAAGAGACCGTGAGACTCCTATCTCCAATAAACCACCCGAAAACTGGAAGTGGCGCTGTAGCAAGTGGTAGAGCGCTAGCCTTGAGCTGAAGAGCTGAGGGACAGCGCCCAGGCCCAGAGTTCAAGCCCCACGGCTGACCAAAAAAAAAAAAAAAGAATATTCTCAGTGTTATTGGTATTGTTATGGAACAATTGAACAGATTGTTGGGAGTCCAAGCAAGACACTTGGAGAAGTAGGACAATTCAAATGTATTATACCAGCGGGCCCAGAGGAGTTACTACTCTAAACTCTGACCTCTCAGCAACCACAAAATCTATAGAGCTATATAGGAGGGTTGGACTGCTAGGGCTGTGCTGGTTGAATATAGGTGTGTTTAAAGTAGGTGGGAGGGTTGATTAGTAGGAACAGCAGTTAGGGTGGATTGGGAAGCTCCAGGCAGGAGGCCTGTTTATAGGAGCAGAACCCACTGATGATCCAAGGAGGAAGAAGGTGATTCATCTCCAGGGGCAAGTTTATGCTGTTCAGTCATTTGTCCTGTAGGGGGATTCCAGGCAGAATAATCACATCCTGCAATGTACAGTGCACAGGTCCTGCCTCATTTCAGGTTTCTGTGCCTTTTATCAGCCAAGCTGACAGAGGGCAGAGAATGAGGAGAGAGGACAGAGGCGTCCTGGATCTACAGATAGAGTAGGTTAAGGAGCATTGGCAAGGGAATTTTAAGAAGTGTGGCTGTGGATTATAAATTGGATTCCCTTTAAAGTCCTTAAGGAGATTCAAGTAAAGATTGGAGTGATTTTTTAATTACTTTTGGAAGCTGGATTATATTCCTTTGATGCAAAACCACAGGGGACTCTCAGACTTATTCAGGTTATAAAAGGAAAACTGGATTCAGTTCAAATCAAATTGGAGGTTTTAAGCACAGAAAACATTTACAATAAACAAGTTTCAAATGCAAGCACTTACAAAATAGGCTATGTTATAACTAAACCTTTGGGAATTTTTCTGTATGGACTAAATTGGCTTCAACATTGGAAAATAGGCTGTTTCCTAGTGAATTTTCCTGAAACAAGAATAAACTTTTTGTTGTTGTTGCTCTAGAGATTTTAGAAAAAAAAAGTTATTTAAATCAGATACATGCATTTAAATTATGATTTAAACCAAATTGGATTGTACTGTAACAGGCGTGATCTCCCAGGGTGTGGAGAGTCTGAAAGTGGCCCCTGCACTTTAGGGAGGTATTGCTTCTGTGGGGTCTCCTTCAGTCCTTGAAGTGAAATAATAGCCACAGCAACAGGCAGCCCTATTGGGTTTTGTGTCTCCTACAGGTAGAGGCAGTTATGACAGAGCTGAGTCTGAGCCACGTGGCAGATCATCTGATTGGCAACTATAATTTTGGGGGAATTTCCAGTGGTGAGCGACGCCGGGTCTCCATCGCTGCCCAGCTTCTCCAGGACCCCAGTAAGTGGGATGCAGAGCTTCTACCAGCTGTGGCCTGGGCATCCGCCGTATGTCTGCAGGTGCTTGAGGCCTTTCTCATAGTTCCCATTTGGAAAGGGACAGGTGTAGAGCTGAAACCACTGAGGTTTTCTAAACTGAGGATCCAGGTTCTATTTGGAAGTCCTGTGTTGATGTCCTGATGTCCTTCCAAGTACAGACAAGCTCCCAACTTAAGGATGCTTCAACTTTAAGGTGGAGTGAAAGTGACACACATCATACTTCAACTTTTAAATTTTGATCTGTTCCTGGATACTGTGATATGTCATTTATCATATTCTCTCATGATGCTGGCAATGACAGTGAGCCACAGCACCCAGCTGGCCACAGGGCCACGAGAGAAACAACTGATTCTCTACAGTGGGTTGTGTTGACAGGCTATGGTGTCTGGTAAGTTAGATGTATTAAGTACATTCTTGACTTAATGCTACTTTTACTTTCCTATGGGTTTATTGAGACAGAATTCTATCATAGGTTAAGGAATATTTATACAATGTCCCTCTTGGACTTGGGAATATCACACTTGTATTTTTATGTTCCATTTGGGTCTTCCATAAAGATGGGGCCCACCTGCCCCAACTTTACTCATTCTCCTCCTCCTTATTCTTTCTCTCTCTCTCTCTCTTTTCTTTTTTGCTGGTCATGGGACTCCAACTCAGGGTCTGGGTGCTGTCCCTGAGCCATTGGACACAGTGCCACTTCCAGCTTTTCCTGATTAGTTTATTGGAACTAAGAGTCTCATAGACTACCCAGATTGGCCTCAAACTGCAATCCTCAGATCTTAGCTTCCTGAGTAGCTAGATTACAGGCGTGAGCCACCAGTGCCCAGCTCAACCTTACTTCTTACTAGACTAGTATCACCATGACTGCTGAAAAAGTCCAGTGAATTCTTGGTGTGATTAGAAATATTCATGGGTTGGGCTGGGCATGTAACTTAGTGGTAGGGTGCTTGCCTAGCACGTATGAAGCCTTAGGTTCAATTCCTCAGTACCACATAAACAGAAAAGCCAGAAGTAGCACTGTGGCTCAACTGGTAGAGTGCTAGCCTTGTGCACAGAGAGGCTCAGGTACAGTGGCCAGGCCCTGAGTTCAAGCCCAGGACTGGCAAACAAACAAACAAAAAACCAAAAAAAGAGAGAAATATTCATAAGCTGGGGGGCAGTGACTCATGCCTGTAAGCCTAGGTACTTAGGAGGCTACAATCTAAGGATCTCAATTTGAAGCTAGCCTAGTAAAGAAAGTCTGTGAGTCCCTTAGCTCCAATTACCCACACAAAACCTAGAAGGGGAGGCATAGCTCAAGCAGTAGGGTGCCAGTCTTGAGCGAAACAGCTAGGACAGCACCCAGGTCCTGAGTTTAAGCCCTAGGTCTGGTGCACTTGCGGACACACACCCCCTCATGATGAAATGGAAGGAATTAAAGTAGGAATTTAAATGATGTGCTAAAAATGTATATGCCTTAAGAAAGGGTTATCAAGTTGAGATAACTTGTAATCTCCCCTCCCTCTTGCTTGCTTGCTTTTCTAATTGAGCAAAGTCTATTACTACTGTGTACTTGAGGGAAGACAGAACGCTGTACTGGAGATTGGACCCAGGGCTTTGTGCATGCTGGGAAAACATGTCACCAATGGGCTACATCCCCAGGCCTTGGATACTTCCTTTACACTGTGATAAACCAAGACTGCCTGTCTTCTGATGATGCCTGGTCATTAGAAGGCAAGTAAGAGAAATGCTGTTAAGAGCCCCTGTCATTTTGGGGGAAATAACTTACAGTTAAGTCCTCTATAAAACCAAATCACTGCCCTCATTTCTTTGCCACACAAAGTCCCTAATGCTGGAAACGGTTGCAGACATGAAAGGTTTCTGTGTATGTGTGTGTATGTATGTGTATGTATGTGTGTGTGCATGTGTGTGTGTGTGTGTGTTCATGCATGTGCACCAGTCCTGAGGCTTGAACTCAGGGCCCCAATCTCTCACTTGATTTTTGTGTTCAAGGCTCATGTTCTACCATTTGAGCCACAGCTCTGCTTTCAGGTTTTTTTGCTGATTAATTGAAGGTATGAGAGTCACAGACTTTCCTGCCTGGGCTGGCTTTGAACTTTGATCCTCAGATCTCAGCCTCCTGAGTAGCTAAGATTACAGGATTGAAAATAGTAGACTATGATTCTCCCAAAGATACCAATGTCTTGGGGTTCTGGGGGCCTCAGAAAATGGTTGTATTCTCCCAGGAATAGACAGGCAGAACCAGAGAATTAAGGTCTAGCTGCAAAATGAACGAGACTCTCTTAAGTCTTGTCCATCAGGGGGACAATGAAGGGCTGATTCTGCCACAAAGCAAACCCCCTTCGTGGAGTGAACATGATGGCACTTATGTGCTTGATTTTCATGGTTGGGTCACTCAGGCCTCCATAAAGAACTTCCAGATTATGCTTCTGAATGATCCAAACTACCTGGTGCTCTACTTTGCCATATGGCCTCAGATACATTCACTATGGATTTCTGCTACCCACTTTGCCCTCTTGTGAGCCTTTGCTATCTGCTTTTCAATTCTGATGGAAAGCTGGCTTGTGAATAATTCAATAAAACATCATCCCTCACCAGAAAAAAAAAGATTAGGCTGGAGCCACTGGCATTGGGTTCTGTCCGTCTTTTGGAAATACCTTTGTGTCAGCTTGCCAGTCTTTGTTCTCTGTCACTGTATCCCAGGTGGAGCCCAGAGTCCACAATCCCAAGTAGGATGCCTGATCTGGTTGTCTTCCTATCTCCAGACATGCTTCTGAGCTGAGTTGGGTCTTTCCCCCTGGGTTCACACTACTTCTCAGCGCACACTGGATGGGGGCATGGCAGAGCAATAGAAGACAGGTCCAAGTTCTGAGTTTGAAGCACAGAACCTGCTGGGCAGTGGCTGAGGTGTCTGCCTCTTCTTTGCTGGCAGAGGTCATGATGTTTGATGAGCCAACCACAGGCCTAGACTGTATGACTGCAAATCAGATTGTTGTCCTCCTGGCAGAGCTGGCTCGAAGAGACCGCATTGTGATCCTTACCATCCATCAGCCCCGTTCTGAGCTCTTCCAGGTAAGGGATTGCCTCTTGTCCTGCTCGGCTCAGGGTGTGTTAAACCGGGAATGGTGGGGCAGCAAAGATGCATACTCACACATTTGGAAACAACCCTGATTTGGGAAGGACAAAGGATCAACTTGCTCCTTTCAGCACTTACCATGTGCCAAATGCTTTCTGCACACAAGTACATTTTGTCCCCTGAAGCCATCGTCAGTATGTCCACTTGATAGAAGAAAACAGCAAAACTTAGAAATGACTAAAAATAGAGCCAATATATCCTGTTATTATTAAAAGCTTATACTGGTAATCACAGTAAGCTAGTTGGCTTGAAAGGCTGTGTTTTTCCACAAGATCGTACAGATTTCTTTCCAAAAACTATCTCATTTGATCCTTCTACTATCTTTTCATTAGCTAGTACTTGCTGTTTATAGATGAGGGTCTGGGATTTTAAGCACAAACAACAAACAACCAGGATACCCCATAGGTCACTCTCTGAGTGGCAAGGCTGGAACTTAAACGGATGGCCAGTAGCCCTTTTCTGCCCCAGATAGAATACATGATCCACAGAAGTGCCTTCTGGCTGGTAAGTACAGGGACACACTCTGAGTGTCTCCAAGAGACTCATGGAGAGTGCTGATACATAGCCAAGGTAATCAAAGGATCAATTGACTGCTCAGAAATGTATCTCCCATAAAGACCTGATGACCTGACCACCCACTAATACCTTCTATTGTCTGATCAGTACTTTGACAAAATCGCCATCCTGACCCATGGAGAGTTGGTTTTCTGTGGTACACCAGTAGAAATGCTTGATTTCTTCGATGGCTGTGGTTATCCTTGTCCTGAACATTCCAACCCTTTTGACTTCTACAGTAAGTTTTCCTTTCACATACCCCATAATGAATGATTTTTAGTCTTTCTTACTTCAGACATCTCCCTAGATTGACACCAGCTCTTGTGTGCTTTGATTTTCAATCATGTTTTGGGTTTGGTTTTGTTTTTAAATTTGCCATTGATGGATCTATCAGACTGAGATGAAGGCTCTCTCTCAAACAGATTATTATAGTCCTACTTTATCAGAGAAAAATTAAATAGCATCAGAATTCTCTTAGGCAGCCCATAGGGGATATTGCTGGGTAGCTTTAAGATATTCTGACTTTGTAGGTGACATTATCAATAAGGGTTATTCTGAGAATGAAGTATTATGGCTAGTACTCCCTAATCAGTGTGTGTGTGTGTGTGTGTGTGTGTGTGTGTGTGTGTGTGTGCACATGCTCATTTAAAAACACATGGGTCCTTTTTTGGGGGGATATTTTTAGTGGACTTGACATCAGTGGATACCCAAAGCAAAGAACGGGAAATAGAAACCTACAAGCGAGTCCAGTTGTTTGAATCTGCCTTCAGAGAATCTTCAATCTATCAAAAAACTTTGGAGAACATTAAAAGAACAAAACACTTGAAAACCCTACCCACGATTCCTTTCAAAACTAAAGACCCTCCAGGAGCTCTCTGTAAGCTGGCTGTTCTCTTGAGGTAAGAGCCTTGAAAATGTGAGTAAGGCTTATTTTAGGTCTTTATACATTTGCCAATAATGATAGCAAAGAAATTAAAATAGCATTGTTTGGTTTTCAGGAGAGTGACAAGAAACTTAATGAGAAATAAGCAGGCAATAATTATGCGTCTTGTTCAGAATCTGATCATGGGTTTGTTCGTCATTTTCTTCCTGCTGCGGGTCCAGAACCATATTCTAAAGGGTGCTATCCAGGATCGTGTGGGTCTGCTGTACCAGTTTGTGGGTGCGACCCCATACACAGGCATGCTCAATGCTGTGAATCTGTGTAAGTGCTTATGTGGGGGAGGTATGCCTTTCTTTCTCTGAACATTTCCTGCCTCCTTTAGTGATCACTTTGCAAAGGTCCACCATTCAATATGTGTGTGTGTGTGTGTGTGTGTGTCTGTGTCTGTGTGTCTGTGTGTCTATGTGTCTGTGTGTCTGTGTCTGTGTCTGCAAACCTGGCCCCTTCAGATTCTCTTTGGGGGAAAATAGCCTTAGTGTAAATCAGCTCACTGGATGGATCTTGCTGTGGGTCTAAAGATCCAGGGAACCAAAGCTCTGAAGTGGGGAGTTGGGGAGAATTTGGGGAGAGTTCTTCCAAAGATCATTCCTAGTATTTCATCTTGGCTATTAGAATGCACAGCTCTTGGGGGCCCAGTTAACAGACCAAGTTTACACCATTGTTTCCTTTTTGGAACCTATTTTTAAAACAGTCAGTGCCTAAATTTCCAACTCACCAGGAATTGAGAAACATCACATAGCTGTCTGGAAATGGACAGTAAATGCAGCACTAAGTTTAAGAAACAAAAGGGAAGGATGCTGGGTTTGCAAAGTTGGTCCTAGATGGTTATAAGGAGCAAGGAAACTCCATGTATCACTGGGCTTTTCTGGTCCTCCGGGAGCCCGAGAAAATGTAGGTTGCTGTGGGGTCAACATCTTGAACAGAGAAAGGACATAGTGTAAGTCATTCATTTAAGTCCCTTAACAAGTGCTTTTCTTGAATTGGTGATAACCTCCCACATTAGAGAAAAGTAAATAAATTATGATTTCTTTCCCAACCATATTGCAATTCAAGTAGTATAGGTTTCTGGGACGGGGAGTATTTCTTGTGCTGTGGGTAGCAGCTCCCCTCCTTCCATGACTAGGATACCTGTCTAGCTCCTCCTCACCATCCAGCCCTGGGACAGACCTGAAGTTCAGCGTAGGCTAGCCCTCCCTCCCTCCCTCAGCTGTGTGGTGACTCACTGTTCTGGAACCTGCCTTCCATGCCAGTTCCTGTACTTCGAGCCATCAGCGACCAGGAGAGCCAGGATGGCCTGTACCACAAGTGGCAGATGCTGCTGGCCTATGTGCTGCACATCCTCCCCTTCAGCATCATTGCCACCGTGCTTTTCAGCAGTGTGTGCTACTGGTAAGAGAGTTCAGGGGCCTTCAGGTCACATGGGCCAGCCTCCCCCAGGGTCATGGAGGCCAGGGGGAATGACTGCAGCGGCAGAGTTCCAGGGGAGGGGCTGACTCCAGGATGCTCTCTGCTCTGGAGAATCTGTATTTTGCCCATTAATGTCTAATTCAGTGTTGTGTCTTTTAGCACGTATCTTTTATTACAAATAAAATAACTCAGCTGAGTGCTTCATGGACTTAAGAGCAAGCTAGTATGAGGATAGGAGCCACGTTTCCAGCAGGGGCTGCATCAGAGAAGAGGGCTGTCCAGGAGCTGAGGCCAAGGCATACTCAGTATTGTTTTCCCTAAGCTGTGGCAAGCTGGGGTAGAATATGAAGTTACTGGTACAAACCCTTAAAAGATGGTTGTACTCAGAGAAGGACATGGGCAAGGCCATTCACTGTGCCAGGAGGGTGAACTTTCAGTGAAAAGCAATGTGAGGGGCCACATGGCCTTCCTCAGTGGTCCCAATGAAACCTCTCAGGAACAAGTCAGTCTCTGCCTGAGGTTTCACTGACGTACCTGGGATGTTGAAGTGGACCTTGGAGGGCCAGGGCTGTGGGTGGGGTGCTTAAGGAATTAAAAGTAACTATGGGAAGAGTGCACTGGAAACCATGATCATCACTAATACTGTCCAGCTTTGGTTGAGAGTTTTTTATTTCCTAGATAAACCCAAGAAGGTGCAGTTAAGATATTTGTGAGATTTGTTATCCTGGGGAGATCAATCAAAAACAACAACAAGAAAACCAAAAATAAACCAAAACAAAATGCATGGTGTATAACAAAATGCATGGTGTATAACAAAATGCATGGTGTATAAATAGAAGATAGATGATGGCAGTTGGCATAAATTCCAAATTAAGAGTTTGAAGGTATTAGTGCGGCATCTTTTTTTTTTTTTTTGGTCAGTCATGGGGCTTGAACTCAGCACCTGGGTGCTGTCCCTGAGCTCTTTTTGCTCAAGGCTAGTGCTCTACCAGTTTGAGCCACAGCGCCACTTCCTGGTGCAGTCTTGTGTTTTACTGGAAGAATGACAGGGGCAAGGCCATTCATCATGACAGGAGGATGGGCTTTCAGCAGAGAGCAGTGGTAGGGACCACATGGCCTTCCTAGTAGACGGGTGAAGCTCCTCATTCACAGACTCCCAGGAACAAGTTGAAACTCTGTGCATTGAGGATAAACCACATACCTATCTGTTCAGGCTGAATAAACTCAAGCAAAAGCCTGTCACAATGCTCTAGGAACAAACTCCGAAAATTTAACAATTTTCCAGTAAAACTGAAGGCTTTGTGTAGATCTTGCTTCTCAACATAGCCATGGAGCACAGCGCCAGCATTCCAGTAGGACTTGTTTCAGAAGTAGTATCTTAGGCCCCGCCCCACTGGAGTGGATTTCGCATTGAACAAGATTGCTCAAAGGTGATTCACAAGAACTATAAAATTTGTGAAGCAGATATTGAAGAAGTATGGAATTTGAACTACTATGAAAAAGAATTTGTTTTCTAGGACTTGAGAAAAAGAGAGCACCATTGAGTGTTAAGGAGTAAAGTCATGACTACTTTCAATAAAAAAGTCAGCTATAACAATGCAGAAGCAGTCTTGGTGGCAGCATTTGTTAGCCATGCAGGAAATACTTTTAAGTGGTCAATACGTGTTGAATACCTATTAGGTGTCAGATAGGGTGCCAGGGCCTAGAGGAGACTTACAGAAGAGTGAACTGAGGTGCTACCCTGGGCTTCCAGCTCTGTAATCTAAACACTGTAGAAAACTAAGAGTGCCAAGGGGCTGGTGGCTCACATCTGTAATCAGAACTACTCAAGCAGGCTGAGATCTGATGACCCCAGTTTGAATCCAGCCCAAGCAAATCCAAGAAAAACCCAGGAATTGTAGAGAACCAGCCTTGAGCCAAAAAAAAACTAAGCAAGAACATGAAGCTATGAGTTTACACCCAGTAGTAGCACAACAAACAAACAAACAAATAAATAAAGCTTAGAGTGATTTGGTAACTCTTAGCAGCACAACTTGACTGAATGCAATCACAGAACCTGACTGGAACCAACGTGGGCTCCTCATATTTCTTCTACATGAAGAATATTAATCTAGCATAGATATTTATACTCCAGCAGAGATGTTGATCTGCTTGATTAACAGTGGGACCATAGAGCCTATTGCAATAAGTATATCTATCTTTCCCAACTGGTCAGCTTCCACATTCAAAACCCCATCTGATTCTAAAAGCATTTCATTCAATGGATTTTGGACATCAATCTCCAGATGACTTTAATTTAAAGCAGTGTAAGAATTGTCTTGCAAAGAAACACATCTGCTGTGCTGAGGAAGATAATAGCTAACTCACAATGAGCACTTTCTTGCAAGCTTTAAATGTATAAATTCATGAAATCCTTGTCACCATTCTGTGAAGGTGGTACTAGAATTATCTTTGTTTGTAGATGAGGGAATGAAGGCTCAGGTGGAGTGTTTTCCTTGAATTCATTATGTGAGCTAATTAAGGATGGAGAGAGTCTAGGGGAGAGGTAGTTTTTGGTGAAGGTGTGAGGGATAAAAATATGTTTTTCAATGGAAAGGGAGTAAGGATGAATCAGCAGAAGAAAGAGCAAGGACATAGGCTTGGAAACAAGCATACAGATCTTTGGAGAGGTCCAATTGTGCTGTGGCTAATGCCAGATTAGAAGTTGTAGCAGAAACTGGGGGAAAGCATTTTGCTGGAGCATACTTATCATGAGACACAGGAGAGGAGTTTGAACTAGGAAGCGGTTCTTTGTGTCACAGTCTAAAGGGTGAGTTTGGTATCTCTTTGGCAGCAGATGGGACTTAGAGAGAGATGTTGGGTGGCTCTTTGCAGCCATCTGTGTGAATGGCAGAGGGCCCCAAATAAAGAGAACAGAGGTGTGAATAGAAAGGGGAATTGCTGGGCTAGGGTAGAGGGGTTGCTAGCTCAGTAGTAGAGAGTTTGGCCTAGCATGCACAAAATTCTCCTTTGGCACCACAAAAGTGGGTGGACAGAGGAACTTGCTTTGGGAACATAGAATCAAATGAATTCAGAAACCCCACCGATTTGCTGGAGTAAGTCACAGCTAATCCTTGAGTCTTCAGCCTGAGGGGCTGGGAAGATGGAAAAAGAAAAGAAATGGTTTGGTTTTGAACACATTGCATCTAGGATGCTGTAAGAATATTCAACTTCATGTAGCGATTTGAGGTGTGGGTGATTAAGTTAGAATATCAAGACAATGTAAGGGATTGAAAGAAACTCAATGGTAGAGTGTTTATATGCATGCCCAAGGTTCTGAACTAAATCTTCAGCACCACAAACAAAACAAAAAATTAGATTGTGAATAGATGAAGATCTGTCTTAAGTGACAGACCAAAGTTCCAGAGTGGATTAAGGTAGGAACAGGGAAATCTGAGTGGCATAGGATCCTGGATGTGGTAGGGGTCACACTGGGCAAAGGTGGGTGGGAAGACAGAGAAAAGGGGGAGGGGAGACAAAAACATAAAAATAGCAAAAAATTACTAAAATGGAAGGGGAGTTCATTTCTTGCTGGGCACTGACCAAAATCTGAAATTAGGAGGGGGCAATTTAAAGTTGAGTGCATCAGCCATGATGCACTATACCACCAGAACTCAAGATGCAAAGACGAATCTTAAGGGGTTCTGAGCCCAGCTAAAACAAAGTGGCAGACTGGATCCAATTAGTATGGCAAATGCTCTGTTCAACACATGCCTGGTCATGTGGTGTGAGGTAAAACACAGTTATTTATGTTAGGAAAATGGAGGAGAAAGGAAGGAAATAGGCCAGACTCCATCTTCCACTTGCAGGAGTGCTTACTGAGGTAGACAGCAAGGGGCACGGCCGTCCCTTGGGCTTGGAGACTGTGTAAAGGAGCTGGGACAGGAGCTGGGTTTTCATGAGGTCTGAGCAAGGAGGCAGAGGTTAATGAAAAAGCCACTAGGTCAAGGAAGGCAGTGGGGGGGGGGAGCTTTTTGGCTGGACCTATGATGGAGTATTTATAGCCAGGCTTAGATAGATTGCGCTGCTGGAGTCAGGCAGTCTGCACTTATCTTTGGTGGCTTGCCTGATGTCTGTATGCACCTGCAAAAGCAGGTTGGGAGCCAATCCTCCATATTCCATCTTTGGATTCATAGGAAGAATGGGCAAGATGGGGAGAGGCAAGTCCTTCGTAGAGGGTCTTTGGATACATAAAAGGAATGGGCTGAGAAGGGAGCAGCATGGTATGAGAACAAAGCAGATTCCCATCAATTTAAAAAGTGACCCTCAGAGCTCAACAGGTCTACTTATCACATCTGACTGTGACTGTGGTCCAACTAGTGTCATATTTTGCTCTGAGAACAGAGGAGCTGTCCCAGGCCACTCACATTGAGGGGAGCCAAGAGAAACAATTCTAGCAATATTGTAAGCTCTGTTGCAGAAAAGCTTTACAAAGGGAGTTTGGCTTTTCCTGCTGACTCTTCCCACTCACTAACCACCACAGGTTTATTCATAGAAGGCAAGTGTAGATTTTTTTTGGTGGGGGGAGGTCAGTTGTGGAGCATGAACTCTGGGCCTGGGTGCTGTCCTGTGCTCTTCGGCTCAAGACAAGTGCTCTATCACTTGAGCCACAGCACCACTTCTGGTTTTTGGTGGTTAATTGGAGGTAAGAGTCTCATGGACTTTCCTGTCCGGGCTGGCTTTGAACCGTGATCCTCAGACCTCAGCCTCCTGAGTAGCTAGGATTGCAGGTGTGAGCCACTGGCACCCGGCGTGGCATTTTCCTTTTAAAAAATATTTTTAAAAATGATCGTTAAGTAGTTGTACAAAGCAGCTGCCATTTGGCAAAGCAGTTTATGAATCTAATACATCTTGAGAGAAGAAACTAAAGACACTCTGTTTTTCTAGGACGCTGGGCTTATCTCCTGAGTTCTCCAGATTTGTGTATTTCTCTGCTGCTCTGTTGGCCCCACACTTAATTGGTGAATTGCTAACTCTTGTGATACTTGGCATGATCCAAAACCCAAATATTGCCAACAGTGTAGTGGCTTTGTTGACCATCACTGGGGTGCTTGTTGGATCTGGATTTGTCAGGTAAGGATTTAGGCTGGTATGATTTTTGTTAATGATCATCTGATATTATTCCCATAAAGGAATTCTAGAGGAGAGCCATGTGATGCTGGCTAATTATCATCTTATAGTCTGGAGTATTTACACTATTTGCTTTAGACTTTGAACAGTTCTGCTCATCAAATAAAAAGTTTTTTAATTGAGCATCAGGAAATGACAAGGTAAGCATATTATTGACATGATGCACATCTAAGGTCTTTAACTCTCAAGTAAGAAATCCAGCTCATTACCTTGCCCATGTAATTGTAACCCCTCTGTACGGTATTTTCACAATAAAAAATAAAAGTAAAAAGAAATAAAAAAAAGAAATCAAGCTCACACTTGACGTGCTCAAGGCTCACTATGGCGATGCACATGATACATGTCACTTCCTGGAGAGAGGGCTGAGGGGGAGTGAGAAACTTCCTCCATGGCTTAACTGTCACATGATCATGAGCTAGGCCCTTTTTATCTAAATTAAGTTTCCTTGCTTACAAAATGGAGGTTATCTCAGCTAGCCCTAATTGGAGAGATCACAAGGAGTAAATGAGATTATCGATTTGAAAACAAAAGAACAATAGAAGGTGCAATGTTATAAAGAAAAGTGAGGTAAGTATAGATCAATCAAGAAGGATATTTTTTCCATTACACTCTATTTGTCTCAGCAGCATAAGTAGATTATTAGCATCTCAGAAGAATGCACAGATCAAATCAACCCAAGTGTATGTTATGGTCTGATTTTCCTCTTTGACTTTCACTTGATTTCTGCTCTCTGCCACTTACTTGCATAAATATTGCCCTTTGGTTCTGTGGCTATCAGACAGCCTTTGAAAGCTCACACTTTTCTTCTTCTTCCTCTCTCTCTCTCTCTCTCTCTCTCTGCCACTCTATGGTGCAGCCTTTAATAGACTGTCAACAATAATCTACTAAAAGCAGCTATGTCTCATTATGTCTTTCTCTTTGGGGAATTAAAACTAGTCAGAAAATATCCTACAGGTCAAGAAAGAATCAGGACATAAAAGCCGTGTATCAAATTTTAACAGTAATTAGCTCAGGGTGGCCTGAACTGATAGGTTTGCAAAAGTCACTTGTTGGAGTGAATAAATGAATGACTCTCCTTGGACTGTTTACACACTAAAATCAGACACTAAATTGTGTTAGTTTCCTGATACCAAGCTACAAAATGCACATGAACTATTTATTTTGTTTAGCTTGGTGCTGTAGGGAGGGAAGAGAGCACATAGTTCCTACTTCAAAGAGGGGGCATGCTGGCCAGCAAGGCAGCCCTCTCGTGGCCATCATCCTATTCCAGGATTTGCCATCTCATCCTTGAACTTTTATTATAACCTGCTCTCTCTGTCTCTCTCTCTGTCTCTGTCTCTGTCTCTCATACTGGGGTTTGAACTCAGGGGCTTACACTTGCTAGCCAAGTGCTCTAGTACTTGAACCACTCTTCAGCCCTTCTTTGTGTTGGTTATTTCCAAGGTTAAGGCCTTACTTTATGTCATGGGCTGCCCTGGGCTGTGATCCCTCTCCCGTGCTTCCCCATGCCACTGGAGATAAGCACATGTCATTGAATGGAACCATCATACTACCCCTAAAGCTGGGATAATAAATGCATGGCACTGTGCCTAGCCATTGGTTGAGATGGAGTCTTGTGCACATTTTTGCTGGGCCTGGCCTTGAAGCACCATTCTCTGATTTCTGCCTCCCAAGTAGCTAACAGGCTTGAATCACTGAACTTGCTTTTTCTGCTCTTAATCCCTCCTTCCTATTTGCTGCTACTGTATTAATTTTCTTAGAGCAATGATCTCAACATGACCTTTCTCATGATTATTCAATGCCAACTCATTTTACAGACCTAAAACTTGTTTCAGACTGTAATTCCAAACTCATCTCCCTCTGCTCCCCTTCAAATTCCAGTTTCTAGCCTTTCGGGTCTATCTAGCTCAAAATGCAGGACTGGCAGGTCTGTGCTTATCTCTGCCTTCCTGGACCTTCTCTTCATGAAGTTCTTCCTATATAAGTACCTGTCATAATAGCCTTTCAATGTGGTTCACTGACTTTGTACCTTAGAAAATTCCAAGTAACTAGGAATGGGCATGTAGTTCAAGTGGTAGAGTACTTTCCTAGCACACATGAGGCCCCAAGTTCTAACCCCATCATTAACAGAAAAAAAAACAAACCATAAAACAAAAAATGTTGAGGTTTGGAGGGGAGGATGTTATTTGGGAATAAAGTCAAGAACAAAATCATGAAAATATAAAAATGTAATGGTCATGTTAATATGTTTGTTAGCACAAATAGTTCACTATTGTGCATTTTTAGTCTTGACATGTATTCTTATGAGTTCTTGAGGGATAGTTGGAAACTTTTTGTTGTTGTTGTTGGTCCTGGGTCTTGAACTCAGGGTCTGGGCTCTGCACCTGAGCTTCTCTGTGCTCAAGGCTAGCGCTCTACCATGTGAGCCACAGCACCACTTCTAGCTTTTTCTGAGTAATTTATTGGAGATAAGTGTCTCATGGACTTTCCTGCCCAGGCTGGCTTTGAACTGCAGTCCGCAGATCTCAGCCTCCTGATTAGCTAGGATTACAGGTGTAAACCACTGCTGCCTGACAGTTGAAAACATTTCTAAATTATCTAGAACAAGAGCTTTGCAAATAGAAAGTATTAAATACATGCACTTTTGACCAGCCAATACTATATAGTCAATACTATATAATGGACCACAAAGGCCACAGTGTCAGCATGGAACCTCTCCCAAGGTGGGGGAAGGGCGGGAAGAGAGAGAAAACAAAATAAGAAATGAGGTTGGGATATTTACTAGAACCTACTGAATTTCATGGTTTTTTTTTTCTTTTTAAGAAACATACAAGCAATGCCCATGCCTTTTAAAGTCTTTGGTTATTTTACATACCAAAAATATTGCTGTGAGATTTTGGTAGTCAATGAATTCTATGGATTGAATTTCACTTGTGGTAAGTATTCAATTTTGGAATATTATTTTAAATGTTACTCTAAGCGATTTCCTGAGGGAAGTATACTCCGAAAATGTATGTTTTTGTAAATATACACTAACAATATATTATTTTGTAATAAATATATTGTTTTGAAATATAGCCTAATGTATACTCTGAATTTTGTTTTATTTTTTGTGTGGGTCCTAGGGTTTGAACTTAGGGCATAGGAGCTGTCCTTGAACTGTTTTTTGTTTTTGTTTTTTTTTTTGGCACTAGCACTCTACTACTTCAGCCAGAGTTCTACTTCCAGCTTTTTGTGAGTTTATTGGATATAAAGTTTCACAGATTTTTCTGCCCAGGCTGGCTTTGAGACATGATCCTCAGATCTCAGCCTCATGAATAGCTAGGATTACAAGCATAAGTGACTGGCACCAGCTTTTCTGATTTTCTTTTTTTAAAGAAGATAAGCAATGGTCAAGTTGGTCTCCTATGAAAGATCAATAGCTTACGGTCCCTTTGATGGTATTAGGAAAGTGACTGGCCTTATGTATACTATAGTAAACACCAGAGTATTCCAGATAGACTCAGTTCTGCTATCTACTGAACACACCAAGGCAGACTAAAGTGGTTTCTTCTTCCCGAAATATACATAGAAAACAGCTGAATGCAGCCAATTTGGTGCCAAAAGTTATTCCAAAAGAGAGCATTGGGAACTTGAAAAGATCCTCATGGCCACTCCAAATCCCAGACAAGTAAAGAACATGGTAGAATTTTACTGGCTGTTTAAAATATGTTTTGATAATAACATCAGTTACTTTAGAATTGGTGGTAAATGATCATTTTTCACCAGGAATATGGTAATGACTCCATGTCCAAAATAAAAAAAATCCTTTTCTATATTTAAGTCAATCCAGGGTCCAGAATGCTCACTCTTATAAATTCTAAATTGTCTAAAATGTCCTATGTAGGTAGGTTAAACATTTTATGAGCACTAGGGAAACACCTGTTGATTAACTAATGTACCATAACTGACATTGTCAATCTTTTCTTTGGCAGGCAGCTCAAATAATTCCGTGATAATCAATCCAATGTGTGCCCTCACTCAAGGAATTCAATACATTGAGGAGTCTTTCCCAGGTGCAACATCCAGATTCACAACAAACTTTCTGATTTTATATTCATTTATCCCACTTCTTGTCATCCTAGGGATAGTTGTTTTCAAAATAAGAGATTACCTCATTAGCAGATAGTAAAGAATATCACTGAGAAAATGGAACTTAACCTTAAATATGCATGACTGCCTTGAACACCATGGATTTCTTCCTGACGGAACTTGTTAAGATTTTAACCTGTAGGATTCCATTTGTGACTGTTGGATCTATACAGACCTCAAGTGCAACGGCAGTGCTTCCCAGTCCCTTGGTATTCCAGCTTGTGGGACACTGGGTATTTGGGAATTGTGACCAAGCTGGTCCAAGAATGTAAATAATAATAATTCATAAACTTTCAGACTAGAGTTTGGCTATTTGTTTTCTGTGTTCTAAATACAAAAAAAAAGAAGCCAATTTAAAAGTTACATTTTCATTTGATAAAGAATCTGGTTTAACAAAAAGAAAGTGTGCAGATAATTATTGACTAGAAATAATAGTTTTAAAAAGTTATGGGATAAGTTAAAGCAAAGCATCATGCAGAATTGGCAAGAAGGCTATAGCTGTCATTTAAAGCCCACATTTATATGCACTTGTCCCCAAGAGAGGTCTAAGTTACCTGATCACATTGAGAGGAAGGTAGACAGATGTTGGATGGTGAACACCACTCAATCAAGTTAAAAGTTGCAGGAGGGGCTGAATGGTGACCACCACGCACAACACTAATCTGTGGTGATGTTACTATTATATTAGCATCTGTGGTGATGCTATCATTTTTCACTTTTAGCTTAATTTCCTTTTAAAATTAGAATTAAATATTCCTAGACTAGGTATATACACCCAGAAATGACCTCTTTAAGTACAGACAATGACTGTTACTTAAAGGTATATAGCTGGGTGCTGGTAGCTCACACCCGTAATCTTAGCTACTCTGAAGATCATGGTTTGAAGCTTACCCAGGCAGAAAAGTTTGTAAGATTCTCATCTCCAATGAGCCACCAAAAAATGACGGAAGTAGAGCTGTGGCTCTCAAGTGGTAGAGCACCATCCTTGAGCAGAAAAAGCCACATGAGAGTGCAGTGTCCTAAATGCAAGCCCCAGCAGCAGCATACATGTACAGTGCACTCACACGAGTGTGCGCACGCGCACACATACACACAGACACACACACTAATAAGTTCATATAGGAAAAATGCTCAATTGATACCACCTGTTGTGTCAATCAAGAAGAGAGGCATTCATGTTCTTTAATTGTAGAGAAAGATAATAAATAAATATAATACTTACACCTTTATTATATATGTCCAGGGATGAAATGATGAGTGATGGATATATGTCATTAAAGATAGATTCTTGAACTATGGGTTATGGCTCCTGCCTTGTAAGTCTAAGGCCCTGAGTTCAAACCCCAGTACTGACAAAAAAAAATAGGTTCTACATTAAATGATGGATTATCTTTCTGACTGATCTTAACTAATTCATGAATAATTCTGAAATGAACTGTCTCAATGTTACCATGGTAACTTTGAGCAAGAATATTGGGAAGAGCACATGAACTTGTTCAGTTACTGTGACCTAACTTGGAAAGAATGATAAATTATAGCATTTGAAATGTCTCACATTATAGTTGGAAAGATCATTTCATTAAGGAAATCACAGTAACATTCTGTTGCTTAGAACAGTATTTAAGGATCTGGAGACATTGGTAAATTACCGGAATAGTATTGTCAATTTTTATAAAAGGTCTGTGACACTGATGATTATGGTATAATAGTTACATCATGCCGTACAGATTATATATGTCACATCAGTTATAGACAGTTCTGGAGATGATAATCTATTCAAGTAGTTCAAAGAGAGTCCCACAGGAACCTCTTTTGAAATCACTGATTTCAACTTACTAAAGATATGGGTGTACAAGGTAAGTGGAAACACTTTCTACTATTCATATGCAGATGAATTTCATTCTAGCTCAGAAACATTTGGAAAATTGACAATGCACGTGACTTCAAGCTATTAAATGTTAGTGATAGTATCTTAGCAAACACAAAGGCTTTCAACATGTGACAGATTAAGTCTCTAGTAAAACGGACAGTGATGTGCAAAAAAATCACATTATATAATAAAAATTCCTATTACTATTGTAGAAATAAGCTGTTTCTCCCTACCAAGACAGTGATGTTTCTGGAATCCTAATGTTCCCGATAAAAATAAAGGCAGCTTTTTCACAGGCAGGGAAAGCTAAGGACTGAGATTCCTGTGAAGCATGCCAAGCACTGTGTTCTCAAGAGTGAACCATGTTCTAACCTTATTTCATTCAATAATCAGCTGGCTGTCTACCCAGATGCTCTTTACCAGTCAGCATTCTCAGAATTAGTAAACAGGCTTATTTGTAGCTAGGTTCATGGCATTTTCTATGTGGACACAGAAGAACAAAAACAAGTAACTTTTCTGACAAATGACAGCAATTATCTTTACTCAAAATTGAACTTGGCTGGCAGATACACAAATCTACAGGATTGGGAAGGGTTCTTCCTTTTTTTTGGGTACAGTCACGGGGCCTAAACTCTGGGCCTGGGCGCTGTCCCTTAGCTCTTCACCTCAAGGCGAGCACTCTACCACTTGAGCCACAGCGCCACTTCCGGCTTTTTTCTTTTTGCTTATGTGATGCTAAGGAATCGAACCCAGGGCCTCAGGCATGCAAGGCAAGCGCTCTACCACTGAGCCACCTTGGGAAGGGTTCTTAAAGGTTATATATCACCTTGGAAATAATCCTGCTAGCCTCAATATATGAAGTTTTGGTCATCTTATTGACAGGTCATCCCCCTTAGACTTAAAAGATGACACTAAATAAATTTGTCTCTCTCACAGTAATGACAATGAACACAAGCCACTCATTCATAGCCTCTAGGGTCCAGGGATGTGCAATTTAAAGAAATGCTTTCTGGTATATTCTGAGCCTCCAAGTGTTAAAAGCTTGAAATTAGGACCTCCGGTAATTTCCTACTAGCTACAGCTCAGTATTCCTTCTAGAAGGGATGCATCCAACAGAGACACTTCACTTTACATATAAAACTATTACCAAATACTCTTGGCTTTCATATTCCCAAGAACATATAAACAGAAACTTCTAAATACTGACCTGAATTTATACAACATTCATATTAGATGTAAGTGGTGGAAGATTCTTTTATTTAAAAAATATTGCATGTAGTTAATGTTTTTCCTTTTTAAAAGACTCCACAATATTTAACAAGAAGCTCAGCTTTGCTCTTGAGAAACTGAATATCCTAACTTTTGTCACATTTATACAATACTTATTAGTAAGATAATCTTACTTGAATTTAGAAAAAAAGAAATAAACACATAATAGTTGAGTTAGGTTTAAGAATCTAGCTCGATTTGTTTCCAAGTCTTGGAAGAATTTTTCTTGTACTGCTCCAGCTCCTAAAACAAAAATATACATAACTTTAAGAAAAAAATAAACATAAGTACATATCTTAAAATTATTAGCATTTCCTAAATTTTAAAAATGTACCTCTATAGCATTACTCACAAAACTTCTGGACGAATTTTCATAAGTGACTAAAGATTTATTTTCTAAAAATAGAGTCTTCAGAATTTCTGTGTGACACTTACAAATTTGTTATAAAGTTTCAAGCAAAGGTATTTATTTATTTATATTTTTTGGTGCCAGTCTTGGGGCTTGAACTGTTGGCATGAGTGCTTTCTCTGAGCTTTTTTGCTCAAGGCTGATGCTCTACCACTTAAGACTTTTTGGTGGTTGGTTGGAGATAAGAGTCTCACATAGCCGGGCGCTGGTGGCTCACGCCTGTAATCCTAGCTACTCAGGAAGCTGAGATCTGAGGATCGTGGTTCAAAGCCAACCCAGGCAGGAGAGACCATGAGACTCCTATCTCCAATAAACCACCAGAAAACTGGAAGTGGCACTGTAGCTCAAGTGGTAGAGCTGAAGAGCTGAAGGACAGTGCCTAGGCCCAGAGTTCAAGCCCCACGACCAACCAAAAAAAAAAAAAAAGAGTCTCACATAGTTCTTTTTTCTGCCTGGGCTGGTATCAATCATGATCCTCCTATCTCAGCCTTCTGAGTTGCAAAGATTACAGACATGAGCCACTGACACCCAGCAAAGGTATTTATTGTCCAATGAACATTCATTGTAATTTAAATATTTAAAAATATCTTTTTAAAATTTGTTTTCTGCTAAGCTCTTTTGAAAATCTTAGGTATAGTTAGTAAAATGTAAATATTTTAATATATATATTCTTCTATACGGTGATTCCTGTTTTAGAAACACCAGTGAGCCAGTCATATGGTGTGTTCCTATAATACCAGCAATGGGGGAAGATGAGAGGATGAGGGTCACAGGTTTAAGACCAACGCAGGCTACACAGGGAGTTCAAGGCCGCTGTGAGACCTTGTTTCAAGATAACCAAGGTCCTGCCCTGCTTAACATACACAGGGCTGTGGGTTTGATCCCTAGCACTTCAAAAAAGAAAGAAAGAAAGAGAGAGAGAGAGAGAAAGAGAGAAAAAGGAAGGAAGGAAGGAAGGAAAAAAGAAAGAAAGAAAGATCAGACAAGTCAGGTACTAATGGCTCATGCCATCAAGGATCAAGGTTCAAAGCCAGCCAGGCAAGGAAGTCTGTAAGATTCATCTCCAATTAACCTCCAAACGCCAGAAGCAGCGCTGTGGTTCAAGTGGTAGAATGTCAACCTTGAGTGAAAAAGCTAAGGGAGAGTGTCCAGGATTCACCCTTCCCCCGATCTCCCTCACAAATCCACACAAAAAGATCACACAGACTAATATCGACCTGTACAGAACATGAACAGAAGGAGACTCCTTGAATTGTATATCTCCTTGAATTGTACACAATTGGAAACACCTTAGTGTTCCCCAGTTGGTTACATACATTAGTGTTTATTCATACAAGGCCACACAGGCAGCCAGCAAAAATAATGGTGATAAATGAACCACTTGAAAATAGCGTATAGCCAGAGAGACAGCAGGACATTCCCATTTTCTACTCTATATACTTTACATATACTTTCACAATGAATATGTTAATTTTACAATTGATAAAATAAAGATAAATTTTTGTAGAGATGTAAATCCTGCATGAGACAAATGTTACTCAAAAGGGATCGTCTAAGCTCCTGACTTCCTCTGTTATTCAATGTCCAAATGACTGTACAAAACAAATTATCATTTGAGATAAGCAAAAATGATTACTCTGCAAGATGACATGATCACTGCCCTTTGGCTAGGGTAACTTTAGTTCATAGTTGTCCTGAAAAAAAATATCCATTCTTGTTTTTAGAAAAACTGGTTATCTCTTTTTTCGCCTATACTTTGTCACTAAAATTAGATATAACAGCTTTAAAATTGTGCATGATTTTAGAAGAATTTTTAAGGTAATAACTCCAAAGTAAGGTAATAACTCCAAAGCAGTCATTTAACTTGGTTTATTTTTTTCCAATGATCTAAACCCAGTCTATATGTTATCTGTTACTTGTGGTTTAAAATATTGTTAGCTTATAAAAAAATTGGTACTTCAAACTTTAACTGGAAATGCTCCAGGATTTTCATCAAGATAAAGTTGAGAGCATTCCCTTGGGATGCTCTGTGAGTGGGGGCGCCCTCCTGTGGCAGCATGGGAAAATGGGGCTGGTCATTCCTCAGGGTGCAGAAAGAGCAAGTATGTGGGTGGGTGAGGGCTCACCACGGCCACCAGATCTTCAGTGTTGCTACCTGTGAGCTCGAAGAATCCATGTCTGAAAGGTGTAGCAGGTCATGTTTGCTTTATGTTGTAATTCTTCATGGCTGTTTTACAGAGCCTCTTAAAAAGTTAAAGCAGTCAGGTACCAGTGGCTCATACCTGCAATCCTAGCTACTCAGGAGGCTGAGGTCTAAGGATCACAATTTGAAGCCATCCCAGGCAGAAAAGTCTGTAACTCTTATTTCCAATTAATCAACAAAAAAGCAAAACCAAGGGCCAGGCACGGTGGCTCACACCTGTAATCCTAGCTACTCAGGAGGCTGAGATGGGAGGATCTCAGTTCAAAGACATCCCGGGCAAGAAAGTCCATGAGACTCTTATCTCCAATTAACCACCAGAAAACCAGAAGTGGCACTGTGGCTCAAGTGGTAGAGTGCTCTCCTTGAACTGAAAAGCTCGGGGACAGCACCCAGGCCCAGAATTCAAGCATCGCAACTGACAAAACCAAAAAATAGGTGTGGATCTATGGCTTACGGGGTAGAGCTTTAAGCCATACCTCCACACAAAAAAACAAATAAGAGCAAGTTCAAGCCCCAGTAATGGTACACGCATGCGCGCTCGCACACACACACACACACACACACACACACACACACACACACACACACACACGGTGAAAGCAAAACTGAGAAGCTTTCCATCCTGACTCTAGAAACCTCTGAATTTTTTTAGAGATAAAAGGTCCATGGACTCATACCACTCTATAGTCTTATAAATGCTTACAACATCTTCAATAAGGGACAGTAAGAAAATTTTTCTCTGTGTGAGTCACTGTGTATGTGTTTAACTAAATTATAGCCCTATGTATTATCAGGAAGAAGATTTTTCAAAATCAGGAATGCAGAAAAGGTATACATGGTTGATCAAAGAGACATTAAAAGTAATTATTTAGTCAAACTTCCACTACCTTTTTTTTCCTTCACTTTCTTTAAAAAATATTGAAAAGAGGTAGAAGCTCTCAGCAAGCACTTTCCATACTCACATTCCCTAACACCAGGAATGATTTAAAACTAGAGGGTTCTAGGGCTAGAAAAGTGGCTTAGTGGTAGAGAGATTGCCAAGCATGCATGAAACCTTGGGTTCGATTCCTCAGCACCACATAAACAGAAAAAGCCAAAAGTGGCATTGTGGTTCAAGTGGTAGAGTGCTAGTATTGAGCACAAAATAAGCTCAGGGACAATGCTCAGGTCCTGAGTTCAAGCCTCAGAACCGGAAACCACCCCATCCCCCCCCCCAAAAAAAAACCAAACAAAAAAAGGTAGAGAATTCTAGAAAACACTGGAATATATATCACTGTATTTTCTGGTGTCCATATGAGATCTGACCTTTGAGTAATGAGAGAAAAGAGAGCTACAGGAAAGGTCCCTATGAGTCTTCTGGCTTGTGAAAATCTCTATAGAGCTACAAGAACTAGAATCGATAGATTCTGAGCTGTTACCATATTAGAACATATTAGAATGTCAAACTGTGGGATCAGATATTAATAATTAAGCATCAAATGGCAATCACTGTTATTTTTAAAGCAGAAACATAAATTCATGTAAAGATTTTGTATGTGCAGTCTGAAATTAATGTCATTCATCTTCCAAAAGCAACACAAATAAAAATGGCTTAGACTTGAAATTCAGACATTACAACATATCATGTAGGTTTAAAAAATCTGTCAGAGCTGGGTGCTGGTGGCTCACACCTGTAATCCTAGCTACTCAGGAGGCTGATATCTGAGGATCCTGGTTCAAAGCCAGCCCGGGCAGGAAAATCCATGAGACTCTTATCTCCAATTAACTACCAGAAAACCAGAAGTGGTGCTTGGCTTAAGCAGTAGAGCACTAGCTTTGAGCTGAAGTGCTCAAGGGACCAGCACCAGAGTTCCAACCTCACAACTGACAAAAAAATTAAAAAAAAAAATTATCAGACAAGAGATTATAGTCTTTAGTTCCCTGCTCGCAATAAAGTACAAGAATGTGGAAGGATACAGGCACTGTGGGCCTGCCTTCCCCTATCATTCAAAATTTAGTCAGTTAGGGAAGACAGATTTCAAAGTGGAAACTCCGTGTTCAGAAATACCCTAGACCTTTAATAACACCTCTGCATGTGACCTTAATAAAAGTGATCATTATGAAATATAAACAGATACTCTTATCAAGAATGGCAGTTAATCATGAACCCAGAGAGGACTTCCAACTAACCTCTACAGCCAAGGTTCATATATAATAAGGGTTATAGGAGGTCATTCTACTGTCTTCTACTTTGTTATCACTACAAAGCATTCTGAACATTCATGGTATATTTTTCAAAAGTCTTCTGGACTACATGTAAAGAAAAAAAAAACTTTTATTCATTCTAGGACTCCTTAAGGTGAAAGATGAAGACTTTAAGAAAACACCTGGTCACAGTTCCCAGCAGATAACTGTCTCTTGGTTACCCTTGGAATGATGAGGCTGCCTAAGTCACAGAGTTCTACACAGCCCACCCAGAGACTGTCACAGATAGTTTCCATTTCTAGAGCGTGCCATAGCTTCCTTATACAAGGGCAGAATTGCAATGTCCCACTGAATCAAACTAAAAGATCTGAGAAAAGTCTACACATAGTATTTGAGTCATAGTGAATTTATCAAAGTATGTGTTCTTACACCAGACTCTATATTGAAATGGGGCAATCTAGGCATGGGTGGAACTGTAGCCTTCACTTCTAAGCACTTCCTTGAGAGATCCTAGGTTCTGTCAAGTATGCTTGTGTGCTTTCTGGCTGGACAATCCTTAATTGGACAAGGCAATTTTTCTGGCACAAGAAAAGTACGAAGCCAGAAATGGTGGTTTATGACTGTAATTCCAGCTTTTGGGGATAGGATCATAATTTGAGGCTAGCTAAGCATAACGTTAGTGAGCCCCTGCTTCCCCATTTCAATAATGAGCCAGGATAGGTGGCATATATTTGTGATGCTAGGTAAGTAGGATGATTGTAGTCCGAGGCTAGGTGAGGCAAAAAATATGAGAACTTATTTTAAAAATAACTAAAGCAATGAAGGGAGAGAGAGTGAGAGCTAGACAAGAGCAGAGAGAGAGGTAGCCGAGTAAGAACAGCAGCACTCACATGGTATTCAGGTAGACCTGCTGGGACCAGGCAAGGTTGGCACTCCACATGGCTGGGAAAGGCCTAGGAAAGAGAGAGAGCTGGGAAAGAGAGAGAGGAAAGAGAGAGAAAAGAGCAGAGAGCAGAGAGAGCTAGAAAAGAGCAGCGAGAGAGGGCCTGTGGGCCTGGGCTAAGGCCTTATCTAGGGGATGGGCGGAGAAAGGTGTGGCCACATCAAATTCAAATGTGACCTCAGCGGGATGCAGATGTGATCTCTTCCAGGTGTCCCAGTTGCCTAGGTAACACAGATACTGGGTGGAGACCTTGCTGCGAGCAGGGTGGAGTCTGCTAGCCATCCAGGAGCAGACCTTACAAAGTGGTAGGGTATCTGCCTAGTAAATGTGAGGTCCTGATTTTAAACACCAGAATCACCTCAAAGGAAAAGAAAATCTGAATATGACTGAATGGCCTGATGAAAAACAAAACCTTCCTGATAATCTCACAGTCAAATGAACTACAAAAGTGTCTCCTAACTGCAAAACAATGACCACTCCCCCTCTTGGACATTTAGTAAACTGAAAAGTGAAAAAGGATTTATAAACACTAAGTTGCATGGGTAGTAGAATAATAGTGATTCTTGACTGAAGTTTGAACTCAAGGCCTCATGCTTGCTAGGCTGGGCCTCTGGCATTGAGCTTACACCTCTCACCTCACTTTTCCCCTGTTATTTTGGAGATGGATTGTGTCAAACTTTTTGGCCTGGGCTGGCCTCAAGCCATGATCTTCTGGATACTAGCCTACTGGGTAGCTAGGGGTCCATGCCCAGCATGATAGATGAGCTTCAAGTTTCTTTTTTATGTATATCAGAGGGTCCTTTTCCCTATACAGCCTATTATTTAAATAATTTTACAAGTTAAAAACCCAGTAGGCATAATAGACTGGAATAAAACTCACAAAATTATGGGAATGTTTTGAATAATACCTGATCCTTCTGAACTCTCATTTCATCAACTTCACTTTCAGCATACTGAGGATCTCGAGCAGGGTCCTTAGTAGCTTTCAGCGTGCTGATACTCTGAAATTACAGTTCACCAAATCATTTCATGCCCATAACCCGAAACTTTCAGTGTCTAAGGAGCCAAGCTGTCATCCTCCCCCGAGACACCCTTGCCTCCCTCTCCTTAGATATGGTCTTTCTCCTCCAACAGCAGGGAGCTGTTTGAAAGGGGAGCCACATCTTACTTGCATTCTAACCTCCGCAGTGATTTATTTATAATAGAGCTTAGCAAGTGTTAATGTAATATTGGAGCATGCGCAATACAAACCAAGTTAATGTAACGGGACCTCTGAGACATTTTCTAGGACTGGTGAATAGTGCTAAAAACTCATGCTCTGAAAGAATTAGAAGTACATACCTTTGGTGGAAAGAGCTTTTCATATACTTTTTTCCACAACTCCATTGGAGAATGAGCGTGAAGCTTTCCAATGTCATTATCGGGAACAGGAGGAGCCCCTAAAATTAAAAGTTGTATTCCAAATGACTACTTCAATGGAAGCATTATCATCAATTAAACAGATGACACATAAAATTGTAAATCTGGACCACTCAGTTACCTAATATAGTCACCACTCAAATGGAGCCCTAGCCAGCAGTACAAGGCACTGGGAAATATTCTAGGGTTGTAAGAAGAGGTAAGGAGTAAGGTAAGTAAGCTCTAGCTCTCATTCTGCAACATGCTCTACCTTCATCTGTATCTATATCCTATCCACAGGAATTCCAGGTTGTGGGTTGACCCCAGAAACATATGCGTATCTGAATGTCTGCACATTGTGGCATCATTTGTACTACGCAAAACCAACCAGTCAAAATGACCATCAGTAATGAATAATGAACTAAACAAACATGTATGGCCATGCTTTCAAACACTGAGTTAAAAAACAAACAAAGACCAGGTAGCTGGGCACCAGTGGCTGACACCTGTAATCCTACCTACTCAGGAGGCTCTGTCTCAGAAAACAGAAAAAAGCCAAATGAAAAGCAATTGCCAAAATGTTTTCCAGAGGACTGTGCATTTTATATCCCCACAAGCACAGTATGGCTAACCCAGCTTCTCTGCATCCTCAACAATGTCACTATTTCATAATATTAGCATGGACAGGGAGAAGTGATATGGCATTCTGGTTTCATTAAATTTGCATGCCCCTAGTAACTAATAATATTAGCCATGTTTTCATGTATTTTATTTGTGATTATATGGCTTCATTAGTGAAATGCCTGCTGCAGTAAGATATCTTTGGCCCATTTTCTAATTGGATTACTTGGGTTGAGTTCTTCACTTATCCTAAGTATCAGGCAGGTGGTTGGAAAACATTTTCTCATTTCTTGCACATCTTAGAATGTCTTATATCTTCCCAGAGGCTTTCACAGAACAAAAAAAATTTCAGTTTTGATAAGGTTAGAGGTCTGTGATTGTTAAATTTAATAATGATCAACCTTTCAGACCTCTAACAACTCACATAGGCAGAAAAATTCCATCAGCGTTATATACCAGTGCACAGCGAGTCTCAGTGCTGCTGAAATAAGTTGCCATGAATGAAAATTATCAAAATCAGTCTCTGTGACTGCTCAATTAGGCAAAACCATCCCTACTCATTTCATTCCAATTCAATCTATAATATTATTACAAAGATATTTACATTTGAAGTCAAGCTATCTTTAATTCAGAAGAGTAACAGAGGATAGGAAATACAAAAGAAAACTACTACCTGACAATGTTAAAAATCAAACCATGCCAGCGTTGAACATGAAGAATTGGTAGACCCAAAGATCTTCAGAAAGAAAACCGTTTTGAGTCTCTTAACTCTCATTTCATGCAAAGTGAGCAAGAAATGTTTCTCTCTCTAAAATTTTCCCATTTTAACCATGTTATATTAAAATAAGCCCTTGTTAAAACCAGAAGAAAGGGAAGGGAAGAAAAGGGGAGGAGAGGGGAGGAGAAGGAAAAGGGAAGGGAAGGAAAAAGGGAAGAGAAAAGGAAAAAAGGGAAGGGAAGAAGGCAGGGAGGAAAAACAGCTTCTAAGAAAAGATGAGCTTGGTAAGTGAAGTTCCATTTGTTGTAGAAGATCATGGAATCTGAGCACAGGAAATATATCTCATTGAATAAGCAAGTTATTTTTATAGTGGAAAAGCAAAACATACCTAAAAACTGGTACAATTGGGTTCTTTTAGTTTATTCTAATTAATTCCATCTCATGTATCTGTCCATTACTCATAATATGCAGCTTTAAATTTGATTTAAAATTTAAAAGTATCTAGAACTCACTGTGGAAAGGGAACTACATATAGCATTTTTAGTGCAATAGAGGTGAGAAATCACTTATGTGGCAACATCCCCTCTACCACAAATATGTCAATGTGGTGTATCAATGCTGTGTATATAAATATATACACATGAAATAGCCACAGTGATAATGAAACCAGAAATAGTGGTGTGATGGAAACGAAGTGAACAGGGAGTAGCGTGAAATCAATAAGCAATTTAAAAAGCTTAAGTGATCTTAATAAGTTCACCAACCTATTTGACATAAAGAATCCAATCCTGCTGTGATAAACAGTGGCTTATTCTGATCCACACATATCGATTTGCTACATGGAAAAGAGATTCTAATTTAGTTGGGCAATCGAACATGCTGCCATACTCACTGTAAGCAGGCTAAGTAAGGCTAAGTTTATATCTAAACCAATAATGAGAACATTGCACCAGTGAGCCCGTGAATAGCAACTGAAATGATTTCAAAAATTAAAATGCAGTGTAAATAAAGGTTTCACATCCATATTACCTTAAATCCAAACTCAGAGAAATAGCAAAGCTAAGAAAAATATACACTAAAGTTTTCAATTCCATTTCAATATAAGAAAATAATAATAAAAGGAAAGCTACTAAAAAGGAATATAATAATTTCATTTTGTTCCAGTTTAAAACTAACATTATATGACATTTTACTTGTAAAGTTTGAGGAACATTTAAATAATATAAGAAGCAGACTAGCGGAACAGCCATGTGGAGCACCCTGTTGATCAAGAAACAAGACTCAGGAGGATAATTACAGGAGAGGCAACACCCACAAGTACAATAAAATACAATACCTAGCAGTACCTTTTATCAATACCAAATGCCAACTGGTTGATCACTCCACGGATTTTTAGTAGTAGAGCTTCTGATTTACTAGTAAACTTAAAAGAAAAACAAAAACCAGGATATTAAACTATATAATCTGATACTGTATCAGAAAACAAGTAAAATAAATATAATTCAGAGCAAATAGAGATGGTAGAGATAACCACATTAATGTATTTTCTCCAGAAAATACATTTGAGTAGACAAAATAAAACCTATAATCAAGAAAACTGGATACATTTAATTCATACTTCAAACTCCATGAGGTATGATGGGGAAAGGCCTTGCATTTATACTCTGATGATCTCAGCTGCTCAAATGGATCATAAATACTTCCAAAGAACAATGTAAAAGTCTATATCTACACATTTGTGGTAGTGTTAGATGTGTATGCCTGTGTGTGTGCATGTGTGCATAAACATACTCTTAAGGTCTAGAAGAAAAAAATTCCCCAAATGCAATTGGATTGGTTAAAAAATAAGAGGTACATAATAAAAAATAACTTTTATAACCAGGGCATATTTCTGTCATCAAACCAATCATTGTGGGAGCTGCAGAGCAGACCAAGGACACTAATGCTCATGAAAACAACTTTCTAACTTGTCTTTAGAGTTGCCTTCAGAGCCTGAAAGACATCATGCTGAATACTTTCATTGATGGTATATAACTAGGATGATAACCAGAAGATGTTTTTAAAGAATGAAAGGAGGTAGATAGATTTATAATTAGGCTCTAACATCAGGTAGAAACCAGGACGTTTGTTAGTCTACAAATCCTTTAAAAATTTTTCATCTTCAAATGGTTGTACAAGGAGAGTACAATTTAACATAACCATTTATGTATACAGTGCATCTTCATCAGGCACTCTTCCCATCATTCTTCCCCTCTCCCACCTCTTTCCCCACCAGTTCCATTCTCACAAATTTTTTAAGCCTGTAATCCTAGCTACTCAGGAGACTGAGATCTGAAGATCAAAGTTTGAAGCTAGCCAGAGCAGAAAAGTCCCTGTGAGACTTTTTTTTTTCTTTTTTTTGATCTGGTCTTGGGGCCTGGACTTTGTCCCTCAGCTCTTCAGCTCAAGGCTAGTGCTCTACCACTTGAGCCACAGCGCCACTTCCAACTTTTTCTTATGTGGTGCTGAGGAATCGAACCCAGGGCCTCAGGCATGCAAGGCACGTGCTCTACCACTGAGCCACCCTGTGAGACTCTTATCTCCAATTAAATGGAAGTGGCTCTGTGGCTCAAGTGGTAGAGCGCTAGCCTTGAGCAAAGAGACTCAGGGACAGCACCCAGGTCTTGAGTTCAACTGACAAAAAAAAAAAAAATTCTAGCCCTGTGCTGGTGGCTCATACCTGTAATCCTAGCTACTTAGGAGGGTGAGATCTAAGGATTGTGGTTTGAAGCCAGCACTGGCAGAAAAAGTTCCAAGGAGACTCTTATCTCCAATTAACCACCAGAAAACAGGAAGTGGTGCTATGGCTCAAAGTGGTAGCATACTAATCTTGAGTGAAAAAGCTCAGGGACAAGGCCCAAGTCCTGAGTTCAAGCCCCAGGAACAACCAAAAAAAAAAATAAGATTTGATTTCTGGGGCTGGGAAGGTGGCTCAGTGGTAGAGTGCTTGCCTTGCATGCCTGAGGCCCTGGGTTCGATTCTTCGGCACTACATAAGCAAAAAGTAAAAAGCCAGAAGTGGCGCTATGGCTCAAGTGGTAGAGCTAGCCTTGAGCTGAAGAGCTGAGGGACAATGCTCAGGCCCAGAGTTCAGGCCCCACAACCGGATCCCCCCCCCCAAAAAAAGATTTGATTTCTAATGACATGAAATCATTTAGCCAAATCAGAATGACTAACATACACAAAAGTAGGAAAAAATTAAACTGAAATGAAATGTAATTATGAAACAAAGATGTCAATTTTCTGATTCTAAGAGCAATTCCACAAGACAACTTCATGGTAGAATAAGAATAGGATCCCAGGAAAAATACTCAAAGGAGAAAATATAAGACCTGATTCTTGAGTTACAAGAAAGTATTGAAAACAATGCTATTAGTGAGATATAGAGAGAAAACAATCAGAATTTTTAAAATACAATTGCTCATTTTAATTTTATATTTATTAGAATAAGTATACTATTAATATGACCTTAATTTACTTTATATACTGTTTTATTATAGTATTTCATTTTTTCCTGGGAGAGAAAAAAAAAAAAACCTAACCACAAAAGTATTTCATAGAATGTAGGGTGTACTTGGCTAGCTAGAATTTTTTTTTTATTGTGTTGGTAGTGGGGCTTGAACTCTGGGCCTGAGCGCTGTCCCTCAGCTCTTCAGCTCAAGGTTAGCTGTCTACCACTTGAGCTACAATGTCACTTCCAGTTTTCTGGTGGTTTATTGGAGATAAGAGTTTCACGGATTTTCCTGCCCAGGCTGGCTTGGAACCACGATCCTTAGATCTCAGCCTCCTGAGTAGGTAGGATTACAGGCATGAGCCACCGGCACCCGGCTAGCTAGAAACTTTTAAACTCAGTTTTTCCATTTGCTTTATCCATCTCTTCTAAACATCCTCCATGTAGAGCTGTTGACCTTGAACAAGCTCTGCCCCGGTATTCTTTATTTCCTAATGGAACTTATTCCATTTTCAGAAAACGGTAACATTAGAAAGTTCTTTTTGCTGTTGTTGTTGTTACCAGGATTTGAATTTTAGGGCCTCATGCTTTCATTTGATTTTTCTCCTCACAGCTGATGCTCTACTACTTGTACTATACATTCAAGTCCAGCTTTTGTTGGGTAGTTGGAGATAAAAGTCTTGAGGCTTTGTCTGCCTCACTAGTTTGGAACCACAATTCTCAGCTTTCAGCCTCCAGAGTATCTAGGATTATAGAAATAAGCCACTCATGCCTGAAAGTTCTTATTTTGAGTAACTTCTTTTTATTCTTTTCAAAATAATAAAAGACATTTTCTGAGGCACTCTGTCAATAAGCAAATAGAGTTCAAACACAAGGTAATGATTTTAAGAAAATATGCAATAAAATGCACTTAGAATGTCCTAAAAAAAACAAAAAACAAAAAACCCCAGGGGCTGGGAAGGTGGCTCAGTGGTAGAGAGCTTGCCTTGCATGCCTAAGGCTCTGGGTTCGATTCCTCAGCACCACATAAAAAAAAAAGCCAGAAGTAGCGCTGTGGTTCAAGGGGTAGAGCGCTAGCCTTGAGCTGAAGAGCTGAGGGACAGCGACCAGGCCCAGAGTTCAGGCCCCAGGATCGGACCCCAAAAAAAAAAAACAAAAAAAACCTAAAAACCCAAAGTTGAGATTACAGGATGTACACAGTAATTTCAGTTACAATATTATAGCTGTGAAGACAAAGTACAGACCAGATTGTCTCTAGATTCATCTGATCGGATTTAGAAGAAGGGAGCATTATATAATTATTTAAGTGTGAAGAAGTGTTTTTTTTTAACAAATATGCTTTTGTGTTTTATCTTTTATTAAGCTAGCTGGCAAAATTTGGTCATGCTATGGAAGATGATTCCTGTAATTATAATAGCAGTTCCTGAGTTCTACTTTGTTTAAGGTCCTGTGCTAAGCATTTCACAAGTACTCCCTGTTAATCCTCATAAGGATCCTATGAAGAAAGACTTATTTTTATCTATTTTACCTGAGAAGAGAGTGGAGCTAAGTGGTAAATGGCTTGAGTAAAATTACCTCTCCAATAACCAACAGCAATGCTTTTACATAAAAACAAAAAGGAAAACAAAGCCCTGTTGTCAAAGTTGTTGTTGATGGTGGTGGTGGTGGTGTTTTTGTGTGTGTGTGTGTGTGTGTGTGTGTGTGTATGTGTGTGTGTGTGTACTGCCAGTACTGGGGCTTGAACTCAGGGCTTCCAAATGCTATCTAAGCTCTTTTGCCCAAGGCTGGCACTGTACCACTGAACCACAACTCCAATTTTGGCTTTTTGGTGGTTAATTGGAGGTAAGAGTCTCACAGATGTTCCTGCCTGAGCTGGCTTCAAACAGTGATCCTTAGACCTAAGCTGCTTAGGAATAGTTAGGATTGTGGGCACGGATATCAGTGTCCAGCGGTTCTTTTTCTTGTAAGTGAACACACTGTCCCTGAGTTGTGCTGTGCTTTGTTTTTCAAGGCTAGCAGCACTCTACCACTTGAGCTACAACCCCACTTCTGGCTTGAGTCTCACAGACTTTCCTGCCTAGGCTGGTTTTAAACTATTATCCTCAGATCTCAGCCTTCCCAGTAATTAGGGTTATAGGCATGAGCTACCAGCACCTGACTGCAGATTCTAATTCTTAAGAGGAAACCAAACATAAATAAGTCCATAGGCAATTAATCTCTAAGTGTGACTAGGTTGTAGATGGAAGCTGAGTGTACCCCACAGGCACAGTATCTAACATTTTGAGAAAGAGGTCTTTGGCAGCAGCAAAGGGAAGGAGGAGACAAAGTGCCTCAGTGAAAACATTTAATATTCGTAGCTGTGCATCAATGTGCTACTTTTTCCAAATTTCCTATTCTCCCTTCAAGCACCAAGGAGAGAAAATGTACAAACCATTAGAGATGCTCCATAGTAATGTGCAACAAATCGGAGCGTCTTGCATATCACCTTTCTCTTCTCAGAGTCAAAATCCTAGAGAAATGTTAGAAATATTAGAAATGTAGAAATCTAGGAACATCAGAAATAGAAATATTACAAAAGAAAACACAAGATGAGGAAACTAAACATCCTGAAGCACTAAGAAGAAAATTATTAGGTATAGAAATAGGTTATTTCTTATTTTTAAAAACCCACCCAGAGGAGTAAGATTCTATCACTCAGATATTGGTTTCTATAGAGACTGAACAAGAGCTACAGTTGTCAGATCTTTTCTTTGTTTAAACACTTAGCTCAAGAGAATTCAGATAGAAGCACAGACTTTATTGTGTGGAATACCCTAAGGATCCTCTGACAAGCAAAGATAAGAAGAAACTAATTTTCTCTTTCTTTCAATTTAACACTTGGGAAGTAAGTCCTATCCCTCAGTGGTTGAGGATTCATTTTCTAAATCTGCTACCTTATCCTCATGCTAAGCACTACATTTATTTCTTTAATTTCCCTGTCCTAATTATATGTTTTCCAAAAATCTTTAAGATGGGTGATTGCTTAATCTACCCTTTCCAGGGCTATTTCTCTTTTTTCAGCATCATTTTGGTGTTCCCTGCAAAACCCCATAAAGCATAGTCACACATGTCAACAGAAGCAGAAGAACTTACCTGAAAAATATCATATTTACTTCCAATTATGACCAGAGGGATTGGAAATGGGTCGATTAACTCACGATCCTGTTAATAAATGTATTCAACTTGTTTATTGTAATTGCTTATTTCTATGTACTTAGTAATTGCTATTTACTTCCAAATATACCATTTGCAGACTTTCATAGATGTTGCTCTTATGTGTTACAGAATGTGTTGCAGTGTTAACTTTCATTTTCTAAACTACATTTCTGAAGTACAAAATTAGAAATGAGGGAGCGGAACTGTGGTTCAAGTAGTAGAGCACCAGCCTAAGGTGGTCAGGCACTGTTGGCTCAAACCTATAATCCTAGCTACTCAAGAGGCTGAGATCCAAGTGCTGTAGTTCAAAGCCGGCCTGGGAAGAAAGATCCATGAAACTCTTATTTCTAATGAACCACTAAAAATCTGGAAGTGGAGCCACGGCTTAAGTGGTCAAGCACTAGCCTTGAGCTTGAAAGCTCAGAGACAGTGCCTGGGCTGAGTTCAAGTCCCAAACCTGGCTTTAAAAAAAAAAACAAAGCTAAGAGCAGTACCCTGGCCTTGAGTCCAAGCTCTAGTACCAGCACCAAAATAAACACAAAACACTAAAAATGACAGTTCCCTAACTTACTATATTCTTTTCTTGATTTGCCATTTTATTTTTTATACAACAGATCATATTTTCAGAGTCTTTTCTACTTCATGTTAAATATTTGTTGTATTAGCATTTATACTGCATGGATTTGTTTTACTCTAATATCATGCATATCTGGGCAATATAAAATGCTGCTCTTGGTTTTCTAAATGCTGGTATTTGTGATAGTATTTTTAAAACTTGTATAACCATCACAGAAACTTTGTAATTTAATCAGCTGTCAGATGATCAAAAGATACTAAGTATGGGACAGACAGTAAACGAATGTGGACTACACCATGTAGAATCAGCTATTAAAACTCCTTCCCTGCTTAAGGAAAGAGTAGCTTCATCTAGTTTTTGCCATTCGCCTTTAATAGAGTTGGATTTTTATCTTCATTTTACAGAGATGATCAAATCAATATCAACTACTACTTTAAAAATATATTTCTTTTGGTGGATGTAATAAACCATAACAATTTCACTAGACATCTAACAAGAAAATCTAAGAAATCTTTTCCCTTGTTTTACCCGCCCTTGTTTTATTAAATTGCTATAATTTTCCAGTGAACAAGTTCATCTACATCAAATGAATTTCAATTCATGCATAAAAATCTAAAGAGTTTGTTTGTAATATGATGTCAGTGAAGTATAGGGCAAAGGATTCCTGCATCCATCTAACAGCAACTCACCGGATGGTCCTTTGGCATAGTACTCCACATCTTCTGCCTCATTTCAGATGTTGCTTTAGAATGCGTCTTTCCAAGTTTCATGATCACTTTATCCACATGGTTTTTTGTGGCTTGCAACAGATTTTCCATAGTGGTCCAAAGATCATTAGGCTTTGAAAGATCCAAAACAAGAACAATAGAAAATGTCCTAAAGAAATAAAAACATTTTTCAAAAAAAACTTAAAATAGGGCTCATTTTGAAATGCTACTGTACTGAAATTCATCTAAGAATAACATTATAGCTTACAGAAAAGTTGTTTTAAGATGAAAGGGAGAGAAAACATGTAAAAATGTATTCCAATGTTTTACTCTAGTGATATTTCAGTTTTACAATCAAAAGTGATCTAAAAGCAATGTTGTACAAATAGAAAAACTGCAAGCAGTTGGATCAAACAATACCATGTTTAGATTCAATTTTACTGTGTGCTCCAAAGAAGGGAAACAAAAATATTAATAAGAGTGGCGGCAGCAACACAGCACGGTGGACGAAGAGGCAGATTCATGCCTTGCTAAGGATCCACCTAGTATATTCAGTCTTTACAAGAACCCTTCCTTGAAGGCATTATGGATCTGAAATCTGAAGTATATATATATATGAAGTGATATTATCTTCTGTCTGAAAGCATACCCCTGACTGGATGGACCAGTATCACCACACGCTCTCTGTTCATACACATCAAACATCAATCTAAACTCAGAAACACAAAAAATGATCCAATTTAAAAATGGGCAAAGGTCTCAATTAGTTTCTGAAAGAAAATATATAGATGCCCAATAGCACATGAAAATGAATTTAAAAATAATTAATTATTAGGGAAATGCAAACTTAAACCACAAGGGAAGAGTACCTCACAGCATTAAGATAGCTACTATCAAAAGAAAAAAAGCTACAAATAACAAGTGTTGCTAAGGATATAATAATACTGGACTTTTTAGATTGCTGATGAGAGCATAAATTGGTATATTCACTGTGGAAAACAGTATGACAATTCCTCACATTTACCACATGATAGCAGTTCCACCTCTGGGGCCATATCCAAAACCCTGGGAGCTAGGATCTGAACAAATATTTATTTATTTATTTTTTTAATGAGAACTTTTTTTAATGAAAGTCATATTAATTTTATTTATGTATTTACTCTTTTGTTGGTTACTCTACCACTTGAGCCACAGGCTTATGTGGTGCTGAGGAATCGAACCCAGGGCCTCATGCATGCAAGGCAAGCGCTCTACCACTGAGCCACCTTCCCAGCCCCAATGAACAAATATTTATATACTGTGCACCAATGTTCATAGCAACATCACAATAGTCCAAAGTTATAGAATAACCCATGTCCCATGGATGGATTAATGGATAAGGGAAATGTGTATATACTTGTAAAGACAGGACATTCTAACACGTGCTACAATATGAACCCTGAAAATATTATGCTAAGTTAAATAAACTCCTAGCAAAAAGACAATGAATGCCGGGCGCTGGTGGCTCACGCCTGTAATCCTAGCTACTCAGGAGGCTGAGATCTGAGGATCGCGGTTCAAAGCCAGCCCGGGCAGGAAAGACCGTGAGACTCCTATCTCCAATAAACCACCAGAAAACCGGAAGTGGCGCTGTAGCTCAAGTGGTAGAGCGCTCGCCTTGAGCTGGAGAGCTGAGGGACAGCACCAAGGCCCAGAGTTCAAGCCCCACGACCGACAAAAAAAAAAAAGACAATGAATTACACCATGAACCATTCTAATTTCTAGGAAACTATCCCCAATAAGAAGATTCAAGTTAAAAACTATATGACTATAAAATTCTGTTTCTGAAAATTAACGTCACAGGAAAAGGGTGTTTGTAAGCAAGAAAGCAATATCCAAATATGTACATAAAACATTCCAACCCAGCAGAACATGATAACTCATGCCCATAATTCCAGTTACTCTGGACATGGAGATCAGGAAGATCATGATCTGGAGCAAAATTAAAATGATAGCCTGATCTATCTCAACCAATAAGCTGAATATGGTAGTGTATGTCGATCATACACTACTTGGAGTTGGTGGTTCAGGCCAGGCTGAGGTAAAACGAGATCATCATTTGAAAAATAATGAAGGAAAAAGTGCTGGAGGTGTGGCTCAAGTGATAGAGTAACAACTGTGCGCAAGAAAAGCTGAGAGTGTGAGGCCCTGAATATAAACCTCGACACCCACACACAAAAAAGAAAAAAATAATCACTGGATAAAACCAACATTATTGATATCCAGCTACCACTGGAAAAGCAATTGTCCAGTGAGTATGAAATAATTCCATACTAGCTAAGGATTTTAGCATCCAAAATATAATAAGCAACTGGCAAACCCTTTGTATTTGGTCCAGGCAGCAACAATGGTTTGTGTTAATCTCTGACAAGAATGAGATATTCCAGATTTTTTAATTTGTTTAATTTGTTTATTTCCCTTGGCTACCATCAGTTCCCAGTTCCAGGAACACTGTGAGAAATGTCACAATTTTCCACATCTGATTTGGCCAACATTTGAGAGTCATTGTCAGGAAAACACTACCAAAGGGTTTTGAGGTTTTCCCCTGGATTCTAGTGCTTAAAGGACTAGTTGGCAAAGGGGGAGACTTTCTCCTCCTGGAAGAGTCTTTGGATGGAGCTCAATACTACTAAGCCACATTAAATTCCTAAGTTGACTTATACTATCCAGCTGAAGAAAAAGCTCAGAGCTTAATTCACACATATTGAGATAGATAATAGGATTAAGCTTTTCAAATTTGCTTTGCAAATGAATTCCTCAGAGTATTATTTGACAGAGCTGTTGTTAGCTGGTTTGCAAAGTGTGTTACTTGTGGGAATGCCAGCTATCTCCCTGTAGCGCAGCCAGCAGCTAGGTTCTTACAAAATCTCTTTGCAAGCATTCATTTAAGCACATGGGAAGAAATATACAACTGTTTCCCCAAATTCTGACCCACAAAGCCTACTCCCATTCATGTTGTGAACACTCGAGTATACTCACAACTCTTCCTGGAGCTGCTCACTTACCGCAAGGTGTCACTTGTGATAGGGATGCTAATTAAGTCCAGTAAGGAGCTTCCTCCACCCAGCTCCCAAAAGTGAGCAATATCTTTTGGCTGAAAAGAAATTTGTATAAAAAAAATACATTAGGCTGGGAAGGTGGCTCAGTGGTAGAGCACTTGCCTTGTATGCTCGAGGCCCTGGGTTCAATTCCTCAGCACCACATAAGAAAAAAGCCAGAAGTGGTGCTGTGGCTCAAGTGGTAGAGCGCTAGCCTTGAGCTGAAGAGCTGAGGGACAGTGCCCAGGCCCAGAGTTCAGGCCCCACAACCGGACCCAAAAATAAAAAATAAAAAAACATTAAAAAATTTATGTGTCTTATACTTCCTGAACATCTGCCAGTAATAATTGCAGTATTACACAAAAGATTGCAGCCCTTAATCAACACTCTTTGGCAGTTAAAACTTTCCATGATCCCATCCCCCTTGAAATGCACCAAAGCATTTCCAAGTACAAGGACAAAACACTTATGAATATATTCTTTCAGACTCCAGTACCATAAATTCTCTTTTTCAGAGCTAGGAGTGTGGCTCAGGTGCTAAAGTATCTGCCTAGACATACAAAGCGCTGAGTTCAACCCCCAATACAGCGAAATACTTTGTCTATACATGTACATAAATGCCAATTCTGGTAATACTTTAGTAGAAAAAAACAAAAACAGTGTCTCCATTCTGTATCACATTTAAAACACAAAATTTTAGTATTTTAGACAGAAATAAGAGAGATAAATAGGACAACATCCTGTTTTAGGATGACAGATGCTCACAAAACGAATCAGACATCCAGGTAAGGCAGAAGGAAAAGGGACAAACAGATGCACATCAAGACTACCTAAGGAAAAGTACAAGTAGGAAATCTATTCTATTCCTGCTTCCCTTGGGGAATACAAGGTCTACAACTGACAGTAACAAATGTTGGTGAGGGAATAAGATAAAGGTGACTTATTATCTACTTTTCTTTCTCTTAAAGTAACAGGGGATTGACAGGGCTAGGCAGACAAGTAATTTGGAAACAGGCCTGTCTGCTCCATCTCCCATCCTTCTTAGGCTGTTAAGGCATCTCTGCTTCTGCCTGACCATGCTGAAAAACCTTCCATTCATGCACACTGTGAAAGGACTGACAAAGTGCTGCTTTAGGGAACATTAAATCTGAAAGTTTCCAGGGCCCAAAGCTCCCATTTATGGTTCAAAGTCTAGAGGTAAAAAAAACTCAAACAAACAAATGAACAGTCATAGGGGTTTTTATGTATTTTACCATGAACTGGAAGAGACAATTATTAAAGCAGGTTTAGATAAAACATATTAGTTTGCATTTTTGACAAATTTTCATCTTCATTGTATCTCAGAGTACTAACATAAAATCTCACCCCCCCTCTCTCTCACACACACACACTTTCTCTCTCTCTTTCTTTCTTCTTTAATAGGGGTGCCCTCTATAGCCCAGGTTGGCCTAAAACTCTCTGCGTAGCGTAGGCTTCCCTAAAGTTTTCAATCCTCCTCCTTTAGTTTCCTCAGTTCCAGGACTATAGGTATAAACCACCACACCAGGCCTGAAATAAGATTTCTTTGTAACTTTACTCTGCAGTTCTTTTGTCTACTAATATTAATCATATTCATGTGACTTTTTCTACTTTTCAGATAAAAAGAATATTGTAAGTTATTTTGTCTCTAAAATCTTAAAAATAGGTTTGACTTATGAAAATTTGTGAAAATGTACTGCTCAAAATATAAATTATTAGTATTAAAGAATACAGGAGATGTAGCTCAGTTATAAAGAACTTGCCTTACACAAGCTCTTGGGTGGTTCAATCCTTAGCACTGAAGGTTTCCAATTTTGTTTTGTTTTGTTTTTTGTTTCTGGCACTAGGGTTGAACCTAGGGCTTTGAGAATGCTCTGCTGGCACTCCACCACTTAAGCCGTGCCTCCAGCTGGGCTTCTTACTGGTTATTTTGGAGAAGAAGTTGCATGGACTTTTCTACCTGAGCTGGCTTCAAGCTGTGATTCTTTGGATCTCCATTTCTTGAGTAGCTAGAACTATAGGCATGAGCCACCAGCACTGACTCGAGCTATCTTAAAGTTGGTAGTACTATTTGAAACCATAGGCCGTAATCTTACTTTCACTTGTTTTAGGAACAGCCTGAGAAATAGTCATTTGGGACATGATAGGGAAGATATATGTGCTTTCTGTATGCTTCTCATTGGCTGCTCATGGGCTGTCTGCATGTAATAATTTTATATGGGCCTCAAATATGTTTTAAATATCCAAATGACCATTGGCTTTAGAAGGATGTTAGAAACTGTTCAGAAAGAGAGGAAGAAAGGAGGGAGAAAAATATTAAATCTTATTTTAGCACTGAAATATAGTGAATGAGAGGCTGAAATATTTTCGGTTTGGATGGGCTTCATAGCAGCTATTGCTATGATAAGATGGAAAATGTAATACAAAGCCAGCATCTCAACTCTCCCATGTATGACACAGCCATACCTCTGAAGACAACACTCACCGTGTTATGCCCCTTTGCTCTTCTTCCATATGTATATTCCAAAGCTAAGGTTGGTTTCGCTGGCTCATCCCTGTAACAGCAGAAAATATTACCATAGCAGGCAATATCAGTTTCTTATGAGATAATCTTACTTGATTCATTTTTCCTTTGTCTTAAACAAGTTATTAGCAAAGAAGCTACTTTGAATACTAGTAAAGAGGTACAAATTATAAAAGCTGCATATAAGCATCTCTGTGGTTATATAATGGCACCCGTTGGGGGTGGTGGAAGTGGTGATGAGCTGGCAGAGATGACAGCCATGCTGGGCACGAGGTCATGTGGGAACCACTGCCTGAAGTTTATGATCAGCCTTGTGTGGAGCTGGCAACCTACTGACTTATGTTTTCTACTGAGAACATCAAAGGAAGATGTTTATGTAGTTCTCTATTTCAAGTCACAGTTCAAATATGGGCATCATTTAGCATGTGAGATTCATAAACAAATTATATTGAACATGTCCTAAAACAAATGACTGGAGACTATTATAATGATTAAATGAACTATTTATACTAGTTTATATTGCTTGATAAGCCATCTTACCATGGATATTTATTCTTATTATATTAATGTAGTAAAAAAATGCTTAAAATAAAATTTACCATTAAAACTTTTTAAGTGTATAGTCTAGTAGTAGTAAAAATATTTATATTATTAACTTCCTGTAGCTGGGCACTGGTGGCTCACGCCTGTAATCCCAGCTACTCAGGAGGTTGAGATCTGAGGATCGCAGTTCAAAGCCAGCCTGGGCAGGAAAGTCTGTGAGCCTCTTATCTCCAGTTAATCACCAGAAAACCAGAAGTGGCGCTGTGGCTTAAGTGGTAGAGCATTCACCTTGAGCTGAAAAGCATGAGGGATAGTGCCCAGGCCCAGAGTTCAAGCCTCATGACCAACAACAAAAAAAAACCCAAAACCCACAAACTCCCTGTAACATCTAACAATCATAATCCTAATTCTTAATCTGATGAAATGCTTGTACTGTATACAAGGTTAGGGAATAATTAAAACAAATGGTAAAAGGTACAGTTGGAAAACCAACATTGTGCTTCAGAAATGTACCCCTGAACAATTACACTTATTATTCAATTATCATTCATTACATGAACAAAAGTAACTTAAGTACCAAAGGAACATAGCCCAAAAGGATGTAAATGTTCTTGTAGGCTAGGTAATTATGGTAATATTTCTCTTTCCAACAAGAAAATCCAGGATTAATCCCATACCTTTTGGTTCTTTATTAGTCTTATCTTTAAAGGAGCTCTTAAAGATCATGCTAAAGTCTCACTGAGAATTAAATATTTTGAGTCTCAAAATCCTTCTCTTTCTATATATCTTTTAGACTCTACCTTGTCCTTGTATAAGTAGAATACATATAAATACAGTCTAAGGTTAATATAACACTTACCTGTCAAGACACCTTAGAATAATAGTAGTCTTTCCCTGAAAATTAAAAAACAAAGAACACTGTGTAAATGTCACCCTTTTGCAAAATTTGATTAGTGTTCATAATTGTGGCCCAAAATAGCTTCTTAACTCATTTGAATGATAAATTACCTGGAAACTGAAAACCAGGAACTTTCAGAATTGTTCTAAAGTTTGATAAGTGGAAAAAGTTAACTGTCAACTTTCCATCACAGTGTAACTACACTGCTATTATTATAATTATAAAGTCCTACAGATGACAAATATTAGCAAATCTTATCTCATGTTAGTGGTCAACTTGGCAGCTGTCTTGAATTTTCCCTTTACTCAACAATGCTAATTACTAGGTAAGCTGATGATTCGTGCCTTCTAAAATGTTTTCATTCCAACTGTTGAAGTGGAAGTAAAAAAGAAGATAACATACAAATAAAGGATATGGTGCAAATATGCTCAAAATTGGTAACTGAAGCAATAGGCTACTACTTTGTTTAATTCTGTGGTATACACTTATTCCAAGTTTCTTTTTAGGAGTCAGGAAATGTACCTTCTGGCCCCTTCTCTGTCACTGATCACATTTTATCCAAAGGCTGGTATGGTGGTTTGAATCATTGTGTTGTTTTTGTTTTTGTTTTTTTTCAAATAATAAAACTCTATAGAACAAACTACAAATGATCTCCTACTCTCGGTAAATGATTCTTCTGGGCACAAAAAAAATGTTTATAAAGCAAAAATTTTTGTCTCAAGACACCTGTCTTTACAGGATGCATCCTTTCTCTACAGAGTTTTTTGTCAGTCATGGGGCTTGAACTTAGGGGCTGGGAACTGTCCTTGAGCTTTTTCACTCAAGGCTAATGCTCTACTATTTTGAATCACAGCACCACTTCCAGTTTTCTGGTAGCTACGAGACTCACAGTCTTTCCTGCCCTGGCTGGCTTTGAACTGCGATTCTCAGATCTCAGCCCCTTGAGTAGCTAGGATTACAAGTGTGAACCATCAGTACCTGGCCCTGTAAAGGGATTCTAAAAATATCTAGACCTAAACTTATAAAGTGAACTAACATTGCTATCTCTGGGTTCAATTGTTAAAACAGTGTATCATTCTGTAAAATAGAATGAATAAATATACCAGGTATCTGATCAAAGGGGAACACTCATCCTAAGGTGAAGTTGAACCAAACCCAACCTATTATTTCACCATAAATACTGGTGAATTAGAGTACTCTTGCACCTGTTTTCAGATGTGCCCATATAAGATCTGGGTTGTATACTCTTTCTGTGGTTTGCTTTACTAATATAAACTTTCCTCATCTCTACCTCAATACTGCCAAAAAAATTTAACAACAATTTGGTTGTTAAATCATCTCAACAATTCACTGAAAAAAAAAACCACACATTACCCCATTTTTACTGCCAATGAAGAAAACAGATTTTTCTCCAATTTCAACTCCATCACCTTCACTTCCATTATTTCCTCTTTTGTCCACTTCAGCTTTGGCAATATCCCAGAGAGTTTCACTATACAAGAGGCAGTAAGACAAAATTCAAAGGTAAAAGATTTCTCTTAAGTATTTAATTCAAGCAGAAAATTTTTACTTCAGTAACATTCATAAATCAAAACATCTGAGAATTAGTCGTTTTGTGATTATTTTTTCTAGGACCTCATTCATGAAGGGTACTGAAACTGTATCATGGAGCCTAACCAGGATAGTGGTTTATCTTACTCAGGACTTCCCAGTGAGGTTCCCAGGCTGTTCCCAGACACACTTGACAGTGGGAAGGCTTTAGGATATGTACAAATTGGAGATGGCTTAATAATCTAAATAATCTGTGCTGCCCCAAATACTTTTTTATTTTTAAGTTATAGTTATGGCCCAAAGTGCTGTTTGAAAATATGAAAGTATAAAGATAAAAAAGAAGTCATCTAAAATTGTAAACATGTTGAAAGTCATCCTTTCATTTGTCTCTTTACTCACATACATAATTTGACTCATTATTATATCTTTTTCTTTCTTTTTTTTTGCTGCCAGTACTGGGGCTTGAACTCAAGGCCTGGGCTTTGTCCTTTAGCTTTTTCTTCAAGGTTTGTGCTCTACCACTTAAACCACAATTCTACTTCTGGCTTTTTGCTGGTTAATTGAAGATAAGAGACCCATATAGAGTTTTCTGCTGGGGGCTGGCTTTGAACTGTGATTCTCAGATCTCAGCCTCCTGAATAACAAGCATCACAGGCTTGAGCCACTGACACTCAACTATATCTTCTAAGTCTAAGTGAAAACAGATTGCTGTATTAGATAGTATATGAACAGACTTGATGGGTCTCACCCTGACTGAAATCTACTAATATGAATCTATTAATTCATACAAAGTACAATACTTGTTGTATATAGTACTTAGTATGAATGTAAACTTCAGCATATGGCCTCATCTCTCTAGATCTCTTTTCATTTCTTTACAAATTAGGCAAATATTTATTGAGCACTTAATCTATGCAAACCTCTATTCTAGTTCTCAGCTCAGTCTCTCTCCTCTCTTCTCTCTCTCTCTCTCTCTCTCTCTCTCCAAACACACACACACACACACACACACACACAAACACACATGTGCACGCTTTTAGAATTGTGCTTTTTGTTACAATATGATTATTCATTTAGTCTCAGGGTCTAGTCTATAAAATTATCAAAATTCATGGCCTACAACTGTTACTAGTTAAGAAGAACCAGGAATTTTAAAAGGGCCCAAATAGGAATGTGAAAACTGAAAATTGAAGAAATGTTTGCACTGAAATTCATGCATTTATTTCACAAGTGAGGCTGTAAGAATCCAGTCTGGGCCTATCTACTTAGATGTTCACTTCCACATCATTCCTTGAAAATGTGGTACCCAGCAGAGAGGGAGGAGGTGCTGCACTCAGACATGCCACCTGTGGAAATCTCTAACAGTATCCATCGCTTTAGAACTGTAACCAATGATAATGCCAGGGAAGGTTGATAGTTTTTACTCCCAAATTCATAAACACATCCAAGATCACACCATTACTGTTCGAAAGCTGAGAAGACTGACCCTGCTGCTCTGTGACAGGCTCCCCCATGCCCTTGTAGGTTGTTTGGGGGGCTAGGTATTATCCAGTGCAGGTAATTTAAAGCACCTTATGGACATGAAGAGCTCAAAGGTATTATTCAGGCCATCACCTCCCGCCCACTCTCCCTCCCCAACATGAGATTATACCTTCCCCAGTGTTTTCCAAGTTTCCTCTCTTGTTGACCCTGTGAACCCCGCGCCAGGGAGCAGAGGGCGGCCTAGCCCCGGTGTCGAAGCCTAAAACACTTTTACTGGCTCAGACAATGAGTGGAGTCGATGGCCTCTGTGCATCTCTTACTTTTCTGCCAGAATCTTCATGTCTGAGGGGAAGCCCGGGACCGTCAGCCCGGTGCATGGCCCGATGTCCAGCCCGCGCTGGACAAACCCTCCGCAGAATGCTCCCCCAGCCCCGGCCCCAAGCCCGCCCTTCCGGCTTGGAGATGGAGAGGAGGGTTTTCCCTAGGGGGCGTAGGCCCGGCGCAGGCCGGGGTTGCAGGAATACCTGGGCATAGTGGCCGGGTGACCCCAGATTTGGCAGGCTGGGCGTGGGGGCCGGCCAAGAACTCCGGGGGCCACGGGCTCCGGAATCAGCGGGCGAAGGCAGGCTCCTTGATTACCATGACAACGACGTTCTAGCGGCCGTTGCGTGCGGAAATGGCCTTGTGGGAAATGTAGTTCTCAACATTCCTTTTCCAGTCTCACACCTCAACCCCTGGAAGGCAGAACAGTAAGGTTTCAGTAGTTACAAATGTGGGACCTAAAGACAACCGTGCCTGTCTTCGAAGTGTTATTTTGTGAAAAAATATTTTTGCTTAGGCAAGCTGAATTTTAGAGTTCAGTCTCTCCAAGGGCGGAGGCATACAAAGCAGAGGAAGGTGTACAAAGCAGAGGAAGGTGACTTAGCGGGAGGGTACTTGCATGCTTAAAGCCCTGAGTTCGATTACTCTGTACCACGTAAACAGAAAAGGCCTGAAGTGGTGCTGTGGCTCAAGTGGTAGAGTGCCAGCCTTGAGCAAAAGAAGTTCAGGGACAGTGCCCAGGCCCTGAGTTCAAGTCCCAGGACCGGCAAAAAAAAGTCTCCTTTTGGGATAAGCCCTTCATCCCACCCCCCGCACCCTCCCTTCCCCAAGCCTCTACCTTCAGCCCAACAAAATGGATTTTACTCTGAAATATAAATGCATTTACTCTGAAAGAATGTTCTTGTTGAGTACCAACTACGTGCAGGAGTCTCTGCTTTTCTCATATTTTACTTTTCTGTCACATAGCCAGAATTAAGGAATGGAAGTTCTAGGAATTAACTAAAAACATAGACTAAGCCTTAAAACTGAAAATAAGGCGTGTGATTTTAATGTTTTTCAACTTTCTGAATGTTTACTTGTATTATGTTATATGCAGCAGTGACATATTATTTATTAATAAGTTAGTGAGGCATGTACATCTACATAGTTCATGAGTGCAAATTTTTGTTTGATTTCTAGGAATTTTTAAATCAATAACAAACATTAGGTTATTAATATATGAAAGGCTTTTGTTACACAGGGTAAAATGTAGAGAAGACAAGATCCTAACCTGTGAGAAAGATGGACAGTTAATTATAATCATTACCTGAGATGAGTGATATAAGCTATTGCAGAAGAGGTACAAAACTAACCTGAGAACAGAAATACCGAATTATGTCTGTAAGTCTGAAAGATTCTTGGCAGTTACTGTATTTGATCTGTGTTTGAATGCTGGGTAGACCCAGACTCTCTTATTTGAGATGCCCTGAATATTTAAAGATTCTCTCCAACCCTCTAACATTTGATTTAGTTTTTTTTTTTTAATACCGTAATGTTTGAGAAGGATCTGAAAATGGATCTTAGATTCAGTAGGATGTGGTATCTGAGGCAGGAGGATGGAAAGTTCAAGGCCAGTATGGACTAATATTGAATTCCAGGCTGGGCTACACAGTAAGATCCTAAAAAGAAAGAGAGGGAAAGATGGAGAGAAGGGAGAGGGAGGGAGGGAAGGCGGGAGGAGTGAAGGCAAGAAGGAGGCAGAAAGGAAGGAAGAACACCTAGATTCCTGACTCAGCCATACAAGTTGCAATATTGCCACATTGTGTAAATTACTTATCTGAACCTTACTTTCTGATTCTGTTAAAGGAAATGCTTAGGAATTTTAAATGAGATAAATAAATGCAAAGCACAACTTAAATGTGTGACACATTATAGGCACACATTGCAGGTACTTTATTGTTATGTGATAAACTGCAGGTCAGTATTTTTTTCTTTGCAGTGCTGGGGATCAAACTCAAGGCCTCCTGCAAAGCGAGGCAAATGTTCTACCATTGAGAGCGTCCTCAGTCTGCATGGTGACTTGGAATAAAGAACCATTAAGGAATCCATTCCCAGGAATGAGGCAATTTGATTGATGGAAGACAAAGTCTTTGCAACAAAAAGAAATTCTGTGAGCCCTTTGGTATAGTTGGGAGGCAGAAAAGGCTACAGTTGCACATGGAAAAGAATGTAATGAGAATGCAGTTCAGGGGGAATAAAGATGATTTTAAAAGAGGCTGAAATATCTCTCACTGAATTAACATCTATATTTCAATATTAACCAGGCTGCAAGTGCATAAACTAACATGGAACAGATTGTAATGAATTATGATTTTGGTTCTGGACTTTTAGAATCCTTTGTATGCTTGCAAGGAATTCCTGTTGGTCTTTTAACAAGAATGGCATCTGGGTTTTGTTGTGGTGGTTGTTTTTACCACGTACATGCTATGTAGTAGACACAGTATTGTTTTTTATTTTTTATTTTTTTTAAGAATGTAACTGTTTGGATACCAGATATGTATTTGGAGGGAGCCTTAGTTACAGGAAAAGTAAAGCCTGAGTTCTCTTTTTACCAGAGTAGGCACTTGGACCAAAGATCCTTCTACTTTATGATTTCTGTCATAGCTGGGATGATAGGCCCACACCACCATGCTGAATTTTTATCAAGATGGAATTGGAAACTCTTTTTCACCTAGATTGGCCTTCCCAATCTCAGCCTCTTGAGTACCTAAGATTCCAGGCATGAGCCATTGTGTCTGGATGAAGCCAAATAAAATTTAAAAATAGAATTGTGCCGTGACTAGACCTGAGTTTGAGTGAGATAATTTTTTGCAGCTGCATGAACGTTATTTTCTTGGAGTCTAGAAAACCATACGGAGGATATTAAACAATAGCCAGGAAAGTGACAAAAGTTTTATATTTTTTTCTCTTTGTTTTCAAGGTTATATAAGCTTCTTGTAGGAAAAAGAAGTGTATAAAAAAAGAAACTGGATGAATTGTCAGCCCCCAAAATAACCATTAAACATTATGACGTGCTTTAACAAAGTGTTTTAAGTATTGGGATTATAGTGGGTGGAGATGGGAGGGAAAAACTGGGAGAGAGCAAGGGAAGGGGTAGACATTGTCCTAAAAGAAATATACTCTTTACCTGACTTATGTAACTGTAACCCCTCTGTACGTCACCTTTATAACAACACTAAAAAATTGAAGAAAAAAAAGAATTGGGATTGTAAAGTTCATTAACATCCTTACTTTAACATGTATATTTAACCCATATCCATTACAAACATATCCTGAATATAACTTGCATGGTTTCATGTTACATTTGGAGATTTTCTGTTTATCAAAAGGCATTTGCATGATGTTAAGTTTGAGGTGGCCCTGAGTGAACACCTATCATGATTTGTGTTCATCAGAGTCTTTCCTTGGAATTTTTTCAAATTAGAATTGGGAAAAGCAAGCTTCTCCTGCTTTTTAAGAGATTAGCATAGGCTTTGTTAAGTGAAGAATGTCACTTTGTGGAGAACACAAAACAGATGTGCATCCGTGTGAGGTGTCTTGGCACACATCTCATGGTTCTGGCTGTCCCAAAGGTGCATCCTTACTATGATTTCATTGTTCAGCTCTCCCTTTGATTATATGAAATATTCTAGTATCTTTGTGGGAAAAAGGTCTTTCTCACTTTCATCTAAGTTAGTTCACATCAAATGTTTGGAAATTATAGTAAAAAGAGGCTGTTTATTTTATTTCTTTTTTGGGAGTCTGGTTGTGGGGCCTGAACTGTGGGCCTGGGTGCTGTCCCTCAGCTCTTCAGCTCAAGGCTAGCGCTCTACCACTTGAGCCACAGCGCCACTTCCGGCTTTTTTTTTGCGTATGTGGTGCTGAGGAATCGAGCCCAGGGCCTCATGCATGCAAGGCAAGCACTCTACCACTGAGCCACCTTCCCAGCCCGTAAAAGAGGCTGTTTAATATAGTACTAGACTGTAGAGTAAGGCCTGAAGAAAAAGGGAGAAAAATGCTTCTCTTGTATGATGAGCTAATGTTCCCACTAACCAACTCTTGGGGGCACAGAGACTGAGAACCAGGCATGGAGGGCATGGTTAGTTTAGATAACATCCAGGACACCTGGACCATACTCTGCAGTTAGATCACTGGCAACCTTAAAAAAATATTTAAGCCGGGTGCTGGTGGCTCACACCTGTAATCCTAGCTACTCAGGAGGCTGAGATCTGAGGATCACGGTTCAAAGCCAGCCTGGGCAGGAAAGTCCATGAGACTCTTATTTCCAATAAACCACCAGAAAGCTGGAAGTGGCACTAGTCTTAAGCTGAAGAGCTGAGTGATAGCCCCATGACCACCAACGACTACAACAAAGATATTTTAATAGACCAGTGGAGGCTTGGCATAAGTGTCATAAGGGTGAGGGGAGAATCAGAATTTGCAAGCTCTTATGAGATTATACACTTTCCATACACTTTCTGATAGAGGCAACTCTTACCAGAATTTGATAGTGCTTTCTGAAAATTCAAGCCAGTAATTCAAAGCCACTGACTCTATTACACAGCATTCAGTTCTTAGGGGATTTATTAAGAGCCACATAGTGAGAGAGTTACCTTTCCCTAAACACTGTGACTACTGACAAAGGGTTGTCTGAATGTCAGAAAACCACAACATAAACCTGGCAGTTCTTTAGAAAGCTTTCTCTCTTCCCCATCCTCCCTTCCTATCTACCACCATTTATTAGGTTATGTTAGCAAAGCACTAGAAGGAAGGATACTCCATATTCAAATACTGTGATGAATATTTGTGTCTTACTTTGTAGTTACTTGCTAATAGGTGTTTCTTTTGCTAACTGATATTCCTTGCTTACTATTATTGAATTATAAAGTAATTAGAAAGCCATATAATGATGACTTTGGGATTAGTGATGATTGTAAAGGTAGCTCTAGAATCACTATGATTAATTTAGGCAAGATTAAATTCAACAATAAAATCACAGTTTAGAACTAGTGTAGATCTCACCACTTCACTCAAGCCTCTGATCGTGCTTACTATTGATGGACCAACCTTTCCAGTTAAATCCTCAAGAATCTGTTTCTTGGTACCACTGTGAAATGGACATATATTACTTTACCCTAAATATCTATGTGTAAACTTACCTTAATTTGAAATTTGAAGGATGAAATTTCTGTTAGTCAAATCTCTTCCCTCTTTGAGGGAAAAGAGAGTGGGGGAGATGTGGAAACTTCCTCAACCCTTCTTCTTGCTCCTCAATTCCCCCACCCCCACACTGCTGGAGCCTCTTCCCCACAGAATCAATCCAGGGTCTACCAGCCTTAAGGAGGGTGGATTCCAAGGAATCTGAGAGGACGGTGTATGAGGGAAATGTGTTCTTAGCATCCCAGGAACAGGTACATCCTTTTACTAGAAGGATTACACTTCAGTTCAATTATGGTTTATGCACTGTTCTAAGAATCTAAGTATTTTTTTCCTATGACAAAAAAATTCCCAAACATATCATTTATAAATACATTTTTGGAACAGTTTCCTAAAATATTGTGATTAACTACTCTTGGAAACAGAATTAAATTCATTTCCAAGCGATGACAATATTTTACTTTACATATACACTTCAGAATATTTAAAATAAAAATTCTGAACATAATCCATTAAACTGATCTGAGAGAAAAAAGTTCTCTTAAGGAGTTTATTAATAGAAATCATTGGAAAACATGATATTGTTTATATACATATCATGTGCATACATATGTATTAAAGTTTCAATCTGCCCAAACAAGTTCTTTTTATATGGATAAAACAAAGAAATGCCAAAGACAAAGCATGAATCAAAGAGGAAGAGTTATAACTACCATTTTCATCAAAGTACACCTCAGCTTTTGACAATGAAAACATTAGGTATTTCTTGAAGATTATTCAAAAGATAATGCTCAAAGTTGGGTTTTGTAAATCATTTATTATGATTGAAAGGAAAGAAAATGATAGGAGACAAATATTACAATTAAACATCAAACATTCTCTTGTAACCAATCATAATAACATACTTTGAATTTTTAAATGGCTATAGAAAAGAAAAAATTTTCACATCATCAGTTACAGAAAATTGATTTCTTTCCATCAAAATATTTTATTTTAGTTCTATCAAAACTAAATGCCAGCTACGGGTTGAGCTATGCCTTCACAACTTAGTTTTTAAGTTAGAGGGTTTGAGAGGGTAGGAGGGCTCACTAGATGGTGAATAAACTATTGCCTGAGAATAAAATTTTTGCACATAGTTAACAGCCTTGCAAAACCTCTGGCTCACCAGCTAATGACATTGAAATGGATTTCTGGGAGCTCTGGAATGCTACTTAATCACAGACAAAAGACTCCTCTGAGAGTTCTTCCACATTGGTTATCAGTTTATTCTCAAAAACATATTTGTTTACTCAGTAAGTGATTATGGCTCAAAAACTATAGGGGAAATAGTTAAGGGAAATTCATTTCTATGTGTTTTAAGGAATCTTATCATTGCCAATAAAACACACTATTACTTGGGCAATGTATTTCTTGGCTCTGTTCCTTCAAGGCTGACTTTTAAAAGGCTTAGTGAACAATACATTGCCACAGTGAGAAAACAGCAAAGAAAATATGAAGGTTCTGACAAGAAATTAACTCAGCAGCTAGTATTTTTCTCAAACGGGTTAAAAAATAAGACACACAAAGTGACACATACATATCCAAAAATAAATACAAATATTCTACACATAAATTAAGGATATTCATGATTACTATTAAACATTTCTATAATTTTCATGACATCACAGTTTCATTTTATCATGAATACTAATTACACCATTTTGACACACACTGGAATATACTGACCACTTATGTAACCTAGTAAAGTAATATATTTCAATTTAATTTCAATTAAAATTTTACTTCCTTTGTGGGAAGAATATTTTCTTCTTTTCCTTTTCTCTTCCTTTCTTTCTTTTTCTTTGCACTACCTTAGATTTAATCTTAGGCCCCACCCTTCTAAAGTTTGCTTGCTGAAGCTTCCTCTTCTGAGCCTTGTTTTTTGGCAATTATTTTGGAGAAAGGGTCATGGGATTTTTCTGGTGGACTGTCTTTGATCCGCTGAACCTCAGCCTCCTAAGGTGCTATGGTGACAGGTATGAGAACAACAAGTACCTGACATAAACTTTTCTTTAAAAAAATATTTTTGCTGGAGCTGGAGATCAGTGGTAGAGTATCACCCTAGTATATATGAGGCCTTGCATTTGCTAACCAGATTTTTTTTTTTAATGACATGCCTGTAATGCTTGTACTCAGGAGGCAAAGACAGGAGGATGTTTGAAGCCAGCCTGGGATACATGGTGAGTTCAATGCTAGTCTAGGATACAAAGTAAAACCCTGTCTCAAACAAACAAACAAACCACCCCAAAAGTGAGAGATTTATCTTCACACTATAATCAGGAAGGACTAGATGAAAGGCAAAGCTTTATGAACTGACTTTTCTTTGAAAGATACTATTTTTTTTTGAAAGATACTATTATCTAACAAAGCAAGGTCAAGTTGACTTAGCACCAAATGTGGGGCAATATTCCAGTGAACTTGTGCTATGCTGACAACAGCCAAGGAATGCCAGGGATCACTATCTCTTGAAACTTTACACTCCAGGGTCAGCAAAAGTGACAAGGTATACTTTCTAATACTCACAGGGTCTGGTTACCTAACTCTGTTTTCTCATGTAATGATTCATAGAGCCTGAAACTTTATTGCACTTGCTCTAAAAATTTATTCTTATAACAGTACCTCACTCCTTTCCAAACACTATCTCATTAATTAAAAGCACATTCAATCATAGAACTTTCATATTTGGCAGTGAGCTTTTCCAAATAATCAACTGGTTTACCGAATGAGAGTTTGGAACTTTCCTTTTAAACACTGCCAGAATGTTTAAATGTAAAAAAAAAATAAAAAATAAGCATGATGTCTCTCTTGGCCAGGAAGAAAAGACGAGGGGGGAAGAATTCTAACCTATTTAATCTAAGAAAATAAGCTTGTTGGCCCATATCTTATTTATGTTTTATTGTTATTCAAATATTTAAGAGTCAGCTAAGAGAGTGTAACCTCATATTGCTAAAGTCTGGAATGCTGGTATGTGGGTGCCACAATGGCAGGATGTAAACAAACTTGGTTGCAGCCTCTGCTCAGAGGACAAGAAGTGAACAGTCAGATTCTGGAGCCCTCAGAGTAAGGTGGGGCCTTTGGTGGGTCTGCTGCCTGACAGCAGGGGCTGGCCTCCTACTGTCCCGGCTTGGGGTCCCGGCGCCCTGGTGGAGAGCAAGGCTGGAGCAGAGAGGTGGTGAATCGCTGCCTTTTGCTGATAAGCATTGTTGATGTAACTGGCGATCAAAAGAGTGATTTCAAGAATCTAAAACAAGAAAACCAGAGAAGCTTACCAATTTTAAGAGTGAAGGCTTGGCCTTGAGTCATCTCATTTGCAACTACCCAGGCACCAAGATTCCCTTTCTCTTCAAATCCAACAAAGAAGTCCTTACTCTTCAGTACTATTCAAGGTATCCGTACATTTTTCTATTACCTCAACTGGCAGAAAAAGTAAATCTCAAAATTTAGCCAGGGCTGGTGGATCACACATTTAATCCTATCTACTCAAGAGGCTGAGATCTGAGGATGGCAGTTTGAAGCCTGATCTGGCAGTAAAGTCCCTGAGTCTCTCATCTCCAATTAATTTCCAAAAAGTTGATTCTGGAACTGTGGTTCAAGTACTAGAGCACCAGCCTTGACAAAAGAGCTTAGGGACAGCACCTACACCTGGAGTTTAAGCCCTGGTACCAGCAGCAAGACAAACAAACAAGACCATCCAAATTAGTAACACTATGAGGAAAAGTGCTGGTCAGTATACAACCCTTGTCAGTTGTCTTAAATTCACATTTGTAAATATTTGAGTTAGGAAAGTCAGTGTATCATATCAATTCTTTATTAAAACTAACAAAACAAAACAAAACTGAGTATGCCATAATCTTTTAAACTCCTGGCTAACTGATTTTACTTAAGTATAGACTTAATTAGGGAATACATCTGCCATTTTTTTTAAAGTTCCAGATGCTAAAGACATTGTCTTTTCAGGGAACAATTTTAAGATAAAGTTTTAGGAAAATCATTTTTTATTCTTCATTAAAATCAGAATTACATGTTAGAAAATAGCTCTTATACTACTTAGAAATATTTAAAAAAAACTACATGATTTGTTGAAAACAGCAAACGAACAAGTATGTTTTAATTATAAAACTCCTCTTTTGTGTGTTAGGAAAATGTCACTTAAACATATTTTTAATAGAAAACTGATTTATAAATCAATTTATAGAAGATAACAAAATCAATATTCAATGCCACCTTTAACTATTAATAACTAAAATACTTTAGCATCTATGTCTTCTGCTCCTTGCCTTTTGGAGCAAACACTGCATTCTAATAAGACTGTTGTCTTTTTTTTTTAAAGGGACAGAAATTAGCATCTTCCTTAATGTAATCTCTTTCTATTGCAAGTCTAAGTGGAAAAAAAAATCATTTTCCAGAAATTCTCTGGTGTTTTGGGTGGAATACAGCAAAATCAATGTTTTGAGCAGGAAGCCAACTTCTCTTCTTTCTTCCGCAGGCATATCTACATAATACATTTCACATTCCTACATGTCTGCCCAAGCAATTTTCTTCTCTTTTTTCCCAAACCATCTCAATATGAGGAAAAATTTGCAAGCTAATCTCTCTCTCCCTTCTCTTTCTCTCATTGCCTTTAACATATGGCTCCACAAAAGCTTTCTAGTTGACTCTATCTTGTTTATCACCATGTGTGTTGAGTTCCTTGGTAGCCACTGCCAATTCCTTTTCTTCATGTGCTACCTGAGAGCAGCTGTCAAACAGAATCCAAACTCTTCATGTGATGTCCAATTAAACACACCTTCCAAGCTATCATTCATTTTTCTTTCTCCACTTGGGCTTTTCTCTCTCACTTTTTCTTTGCTTCCTCATTTTCAAAAGCATGGTTTCACTCAGCAATGTACAATCCATGTCTACAATCTCTCCTGCTAATCTTGACTGACTGCCATCCTTCATATTTATTACAGTAACATCCATTTTATACCGAGAGAGATCCACCACAGGGCCTACACCACACTGGATATTTTCAACGGACACATCTGGGTTGCCTTGCAGAGCATTCTTTTGAGCAATTCCATAGGGATTTAAATGAAGAACTGAGGCAATTTCACATCTGCACGGACTGATCTGGTTTCCATTTTATTGACTCGGGAGAACCAGAGCTCTTCATGTCATCAAAACAGATTCTCTTGGCTCCAAACTTTCATATGGACATAATGGGATTTTGAAGATGGATTTTTCTTCTTTTATTTCTAATAGTGTTTTATGGTTTGGGTAGGATTAACTCACAGACTGGAAGATGTACTCTTGCAAACAGAGCTCTTCTGGGGAATCTCTGGTTAATATGCAGCTCTCACTGAAGGACCTATGGCTGGAGGAAGAGCCCTTTGAAATGGGCTTCTAAGTCTCCTAAATAATCACTTGCTTGATTTTTTTTTTTTTGACATCTCACTTCTTTGGCTTTTCTTTTCTTTTCTTTTTTTTTTTTGGGTCCGGTCGTGGGGCCTGAACTCTGGGCCTGAGCGCTGTCCCTCAGCTCTTCAGCTCAAGGATAGTGTTCTACCACTTGAGCCACAGCGCCACTTCTGGCTTTTTTCTTTTTGCTCATGTGGTACTGAGGAATTGAACCCAGGACCTCAGGCATGCAAGGCAAGTGCTCTACCACTGAGCCAACTTCCCAGCCCCTTTGGCTTTTCTCTTGATGCTGAATAGCTGGATATTGAGCAGACAGATTAGAGGTTTATCTTCTATGTGGTCCTCCATTGGTGACTCTCCATTGGAAAAGGAAAAGCATTTTCATTATCAAAAGAGGCTTTGAGACAGTTTATTTCCTGTTTATTTTCTTCCTTAGTCTTCTTTGTTTTGGATGTTCTGCCTCCCAGTGATTTCAGGACAACCAAATATTTATAAGTAATAACTTCTTTAATGAGCTTACATGGATTCACTTGTACTTTTATGTATGTGTTTATCAGAAGATGACTGGCTAAAGATCTTGTTCAATTCAGGCCCAAGACAATGATGAGTGAAGGAGTTACTATCTTAAGATTTTGATTTAATTCCTCTGATCTAGAAATAGAAATGTTGCTAGAGGGGGGTGTTTTCAGGGAGACTTTTTCCCTCATTGTATCTAAAAAAAGGGACAAATTTGTTTTCAAACCCAAATTACTTTTCACATCAGTGGTAGCTACAAATACTGGAGATAACACTTGAGGACTCAATGGTTGGGGAGGAGTCTTTGAAATAGAATCTGAAAATCTTGAACAGTCCTTATTATTCTTCATACATTCCAGACAGGGGTAAAAGCAATCTCAAGAGAGCTCAAAAGGCTTTGCGGTTCAGATTCTTCTTGAACATTAAACTTTTAGCAACAACTAGCTAAATTAGGAGATGAGATCTTTGTGGGATAATTGCTTATTACATGTATTTTAGCCAGTGAAGAATGATTTTGATCAGAAGTGTTAGCTACTAGAATTTCATTTTCCTTTAGAGTCATGTTGTAAATGAATTGAAGCCTTAAGACACTTTTCTTTTCTTTTCTTTCTTTCTTTTTTTTTTTTTAGGTCCAGTTGTGGGCCTGAACTCTGGACCTGGGCACTGTCCCTCAGCTCTTCAGCTCAAAGCTAGCACTCTACCGCTTGACCACAGCGCCACTTCCGGCTTTTTTCTTTTTGCTTATGTGGTGCTGAGGAATTGAACCCAGGGCCTCAAGCATGCGAGGCAAGTGCTCTACCACTGAGCCAACTTCCCAACCCTAAGGCACTTTTCTTAAATCATTTTTACCAGTGTTCTGATTTAGCATGTGTTCTCTGTATGTATCGAACATGGAGATTCTCCTTCCTTTGTAAATAATGACAGGAAATGGAAAGGCTGTTATTGGTGAATCTGGAATAATATTTTCTTCACTGTCAAGCTCAGTTGCTTAATGTTGTTGATCATTCTCAGTTTTCTGCTGCAGGTGATTAGAAAGCTTTTAACTTTCTTCCTGAAATGTGTTCTTTCCATCTATAAGTTCTGTAATAACTGTGGATATTTTCAAACTTTTCCATTTTTCTGCATGTTTTTCAGTTACTGCACAACAATAACACAATCTTGCTCTTATGCTCTCTCAGTTGTTGATTTTTGGTGAAGAATTCTTCTAGTCTTTGTGCATCTAACATTCATTCCTTTTTCAGTTTGGTTACTTTTACTTGTAAGCCTTGTACTTCTTTAGTTTTGTCCAAAGTTCCTTAAAGTCACTAGATATAACTTCAGAACTAGGTCTTCCACAATTGCTTCCAGAGGGGTTCACACTTCTGCTTAATGTTTTCTGGCCTTTCCTGTTATATTATTTTTATATTAAAATTTTTTTCCCAGTCCTGGAGCTTGAACTCAGGGCTTAGGCTCTGTCCCTGAGCTTTTTGCTCAAGGCTAGCACTCTACCACTTGAGCTACAATACCACTTCTGGCTTTCTCTGTGTATGTGGTGCTGGGGAATTGAACCCAGGGCTTCATGCATGCTAGGCAAGCACCTTACTGCTGAGCCACATTCCCAGCCCCTCCTGTTACATTATATAGGTGTGAAGTTGTCATTGGATAGCTGAAACATAGCTTCAACTCTTGCTTCAAGGTTCCCAAAAACTTCAGGAAGAAAGTGATGCCCTTTGGGATGTGAGGGATGGACAGCTCACTGTTCTCTTGGCCAGTTCTCTTGCCAGGTAGCCAGTCCCTCAGCTTGGGAAGGCTGAGCCTTCTAGTTAGGGGATGCCAGAGTGCAGCCAACCCAGCCCCATTCAGAGGCGGCTGTACTGTTCTGCCTAAAACTCTGCTCTTTATGCTAATAAGTCCACACAGCAAATAACCCCAAGTAAGAAGGATAACGTTAAAAAAGTACCCAACAGCAGTCCCTTACTACATGATAGGCATGGCCATTTCTTTTTACTTTCTCTTCTTTCTCTTCTCTCTTCCCTCACTCCTTCCCTCCTGTCCGTCCTTCCTTCCTTCCTTCCTCCCCTTCTTTATTTTTTTTTTTTTTGAGATAGGGTCTATGCCACCCAGACTGAGCTTGAATTTATACTCTCCTACTTCAGTCTTCCAAATGCTAAGAAATGACTATATGTTTTGGATCTTTCTTTTTTTTTTTTAATTGTGAAAATACCATATAGAGGGGTTACATTATACGCACTTGGCTATCTACTTTATAAACTTCCTTCATGTAATTCTCAAGCAAAAAGAAGTAGGTAGTATTATATCATTTTTAGTGTCAGTACTGAGGTCTGACCTCAGGGCCTGGTGCTTACTTGGTTCACTTGCTCAGTTGATCCTCTACTACTTGAGACATATGCTGCTTTTGCTGATTCTTTTGGAGATGGAGTCTCATGAACTTTTCTGCTTGGCTGGCCTCCAACATAACTCTCCAGATCTCAGCCTCTTGAGTAGTTAGGATTACAGACATAAGCCACCATACTTAGTTTATACCATTTTATTAGACAAGAAAAACTAAGACTTAAAGTAAGCCAGGATTTTGACCTCTAGTTGTTTAATATTAAGTAACATCTCAATGAAATATCCCTCTGTATAACAAGTACAAGCCAGCAAATTGTTTAAAGTGACATCTGTTTTCTTACCTGCAACAGTCTTTGCTCAATCACTGTCTTAATATGAACAAAAAATAATGTAAAGAAGTTGGCAAAAGGATTCCACTCACCTTGGGTTTTGCCATGGCGAACAGTAATTTCTCCGTTGGCTTGTCTTTTGAATTTGTATTAATGACTATCATAAAATCGTCTTGATAACCTCCAAAGGTCATCAGACTTTTGTATAAATAGCTGACTATTAATCTCTTCAAAGAAAGGAAAAATAAATGTTATATACTATTTACATTCAAAGAAAAATGATAAATGATAAACATATTTCCATTAATCCCCAGCACCACAAGAAAACAAGAATCTCTGTTGAAAAGCTGATATTGACGGGCACTGGTGGCTCATGCCTGTAATCCTAGCTACTCAGGATGCTGAGATCTGAGGATCACAGTTCACAGCCAGGAAAGTCCGTGAGACTCTTATTTCCAATAAACCACTAGAAAAACCAGAAGTGGCTCTAGCAGTAAAGCGCTTGCCTTGAGCTGAAGAGCGCAGGGACAGCACCCAAGCCCAGAGTTCAAGCCCCACAACTGACCAAAAAAAAAAAAAAGCTGACATTAATTATGGGCAAGATGTAAAAAAATTTTTCTAACATCAAATATATTATCATCTAAAACTGATAGTAATGGTACTAATGTTCTATAGGCATCATCTATCTACCTTTATGATTAAAATATTTGGGAAAAACTCCAATAGAAAAAAAATGCTAATATATTTTCATATGGTCTTTCAGCTATCTCTCTATGTTAGGTTGAGCTACATGAAACTGATTCTTTTTATGGTCTAAAAATAGTCAAACAGTATATTGGCAAGCTTAAAAGGTTCACCCTTGTAGATGGATTTTATATATATATATATATATATAATACACAATAATAAGTATATTGGCAAGCTTAAAAGGTTCACCCTTGTAGATGGATTTTATATATATATATATATAATACACAATAATAATACAGTATACATAATACAATTTCTGTGTATATATGCATATAAATTATGTGTGTAAATACATATAAATTATGTTTGGTTTTTTTTTAACTGTATTTTTTTTGTCTTTTCTTTTTTGGTACTGGAGATAGAACCCAGGATGTTGCACTTGCTAGGCAAGCGCTTTGCCACTGAGCTACGTCCCAGCCCATAAATTATGTATACTGCTTAACACTGGGCTTTATTTTAAGCTGACAACTTATCATCCACATCTTATGATAACAACTGTAGTTGTGCAACATCATTTTCAATGACTGTAGGCAATCCTTTATTTAATCAATCTTCTATACCAGGATATGTGAATCATTTTAGTATTACTAAGTTAATTACTATTTTTGGACAAACTTCGTAATGCAAATACCAACAATTCTTTTTTGTTATAAAACAAGCAAGAATTGCTGGCTTTAAAAAGTGAGGACAATTTGGAGGAATTTTCCCCAATTCTCTTCTAAAGAGCTTATACCCATTTCATTCTCAGCACAATAATCACTCCAGCACCATATATTACGTTTTTCTTATATTTGAATTTCATAAATGGCTTTAGACCATTTATCGATTAGTATGTTCATAACTTTTTCTTTTTTTTTTCAGGGGAGATAGTTGGGGATCCAACCTAGGATATTGCACATGCTCTACACTGAGCAACACTCTCAACCCCATGATTTTCTTAATGTTTTATAAGACGTATGTTTAGCCAGGTGCCAGTGGCTCATGTCTGTAATCCTAGCTACTCAGGAGGCTGAAACCTGAGGATCAAAGTTCACAGCCAATCCAGACAGGGAAGTCCATGAGAATCTTATCTCCAATTAACCATCAAAAAGTCAGAAGTAAAGCTGTGGCTCGAGTGGTAGAGCTTAGCCTTGAGCACAAAAGCTAAGGACAGCACCAGGCCTGGGGTTCAAGCCCCAGGATAGGCATGAATGCATACACACACACACACACACACACACAAACACACACACAATACATGTTTATATTAAAATATCTATTCTTTGTCATATATGCAACAAATATTTTTGCCACTAAGCTTCTAACACAACTTAAACTATATAATTCAAAGACACACAGCCTGAAAACATACTAATAGCTTGCAAGCTTGAGAAGACCATTCTAGCTCTGAATCCTAAGAGTTATAGCCCTAAGAGTCTATTTCCTGTCTCCAAGATCTACTGGGATCTAAGGAACTTCTTTACTTAACTGAGGAACTTGATACTGGTGTGCAATTGTTTGTTGACTTTAAGTCAGTGCTTTTATTATGTCTCCAAGTGGTCCCTGCAAAAACTAAACTGTACTCTGAGAACATAATAAACTTCTACAAAAGAATTTAAGAATTCACAAGGGGAAACTGACTATAATACTAATGGGATATAGTTGTTTCCAAAATTCTTTAGTGACCTCTTACTATTGCCACAAGTAAAGAGAGCCTAATACATTTTTGAAAGTAAGAATTCTAGGAAGTAGAAGTCTAGCTCAAGTGGTAGAATACCAGCCTAGAGTAAAAAAGCTGAGGGTCAGCACCCAGACCCTGAATTCAAGCTTCAATACCAGCATAAAACAACAACAAAAAAGAATTCTACTCACCAGATTTTAAAAAGTAAAATTTTATAAAATTACCTGACACATGAAATGATGCTAATTTCAGGTAAATAATGAACATAAAAAAAGAATAGTTTTTAAACTGATTTCAATTTTAATCATGTGAAAAGCTCAAAGTTTTTGTATATATTTTTGTATGTGAACTGGTAAGTTATATTGTGGTAAGTTATAGAAATTATGATATAGAAACCAAGGTAAAACAATGGAACAACTTAAAATTTTGGTAATTCAAATTTGTACTTTTATGATATAGTAAGTTTTTATTTTATACAGGAAACAATTGTCCTAACATGTTAAAAAAAAATCTCAGGCTGGGAAGGTGGCTCAGTGGTAGAGTGCTTGCCTTGCATGCATGAGACCCTGGGTTCGATTCATCAGCACCACATAAGCAGAAAAAGCCAGAAGTGGCACTGTGGTTCAAGTGGTAGAGTGCTAGCCTTGAGCTGAGTTGCTGAGGGACAGTGCCCAGGCCCAGAGTTCAGGCCCCATGACTGGCCAAAAAAAAAAATCTCATCAATACAACTGGTTGTAATTTAGTCACTGGATATTAATATTTCCTCATATGCAATATATCTCTCTGTCTCTGTGTGAATATGTGTTTGTACACACACATACATACTTATACATACACATATGTAGTTGGTATATTAGTTTGAACTCAGTGCCTTATGCTTGATAGGTAGATGTTCTACTGGTGAGCCATGCCTTGGGCATTTTCTTGTGCTGAAATTTTTTTTTTGGGTCCGGTCGTGGGGCCTGAACTCTGGGTCTGGGCGCTGTCCCTCAGCTCTTCAGCTCAAGGCTAGCGCTCTACCACTTGAGCCACAGCGCCACTTCCGGCTTTTTTCTTTTTTGCTTATGTGGTGCTGAGGAATCGAACCCAGGGCCTCAGGCATGCAAGGCAAGCGCTCTACCACTGAGCCACCTTCCCAGCCCTTGTTTTGTGTTTTGGCAGTGCTGGTGTTTGAATTCAAGGCTTTACATGTGCTTGGCTTTTTGCTTAGTTGGTGCTCTACCACTTCTGCATCTTGCCTTGCTTATTTCGGAGACAGAAATCCCATAGATTTTTCTGCTTGGGCTGGCTTTGAACATCAGTTTTCTGGATCTCAGCCTTCTGAGTTGATAGGAGTATAGGCATGAGTCGCTTACACTGGTTATGTTTGAGAGGATCTCCTGCTCTGGTTTCCTTTGTAGTTAGGATAACTGACCTGTGCTATAGTATCCAGCTCACAGTTGAGAAGGGCTCTCATGAACTTTCTGACGAGGCTGGTCTTGAATCATGATCTTCTCAGTCTTGGCCTCCAAAGTAGCTAGGCCACTACTCTTATTTAAAAGATAATATTGTACTCATGGTTGTATTTGTAAAATGAGTCCTCATTAGATAGTATTAGAGTGTTTTCTGATTATGAGAAAAATCAGGGTAAAGTATCATTCCTTTCTGTTTGCAATATAGTACCAATGGAAATAGTGGTTTTTCACATAGAACTTTAGGGTTTTATCTTACCATGGAATTATGTTCTAAAATGCTTAAACCATTCTCGTTTATAGCCAGCCATATGACAGTATTTCCAAGGGATGATGATGAAGTTAAGGGCTGTTGAAGAAGAAAAATCATTGTATTAAAAATGCTAAACAAAATGACAGAAATATTCCTCAGTCTAAATGCCATCTTATATTTGCCATTATATGACAACAACAAAAAGCATTATTCAAAATTTTCTTGGGGAGGAAGCAGTGTGGCACACTGAAAAGAGCAGTTGGTTTGATGTGGGGAGACCTGACTTTGAGATCCTGCTCTGCCATTTAATAGTAATGCTTGCATTGGGACAAGCTACCCACTCCCTCTGAGTTTTGACTTTCTTATCTTTAACATAGAAACAATAACTTTTATATCTTATTTTTACTCCATGAGGTCAAGAAGATTTTAGAGTTTCCAGGATGGCTATCAACCTAAACTTAAGTCTTACAAAAATTAGGATGGATCATCTGTTATTTGTACATAGTAAAATTTAACACACACACACACACTCACACACATCACACCCAAGTCTTTTCCCTATCTACTAACGTCTGTTTACAACAGTAAGAAAGCATTAAAAAGGAAGCCACTCAACTCAAGTGTCCATGGATAGTCAAAGGAACTAATAAAATCTTTGTGTATATGATTAGTACTCAATCTTAAAGAAGGACATTTTGACACAACTATATTATGAATGAACTCTGAAGACATCTTAAGTAAAACAAGTAACAAAAGAACAGATTTTTATAGAGTAGGTTAATTTGTAGAGACAGTGAGAGGTTGAGGAAAGGAGAAACTGTTTAATATGTATAAAGTTGGGAAGACTGACAAAGAAGTTCTGATAATGGATGGTAGTGGTGATTGGAAAAGATTTTGAATGCACTAAATTCCACAAAGCCATCGACTGAAAAAGGGGTAAAATGGTACATTTTATGTGCATTTTACCACAAACATTGAAAAGGGAGAACCCTAAAAAAAGAAGTACCTCCTCGTTTTGAAGAAAACAACTGCTAGTTATTCAACATGAAGCACAATATCATCATGTAATAATATTTTCTGCCAGCAAACATAGCACATATTGTCAGGAAGATGTTTAATAGCCTTTCTGATTCTAAATTGATAAGTTAAAGATTCACACTTCAAAGCTCATAAGTTGTTTAGGCTGGTCTCTCAAACTCCTCCTGGATTCAGCTTCCTGAGTAACTGGGGCAAAAGGCATATGCTAATGTTCCTGGCTTACTCCTTATATTTAAAAATATGTACATATATATATATTCACACATATACATTCACCTCTTTGAAAATATATTAGTTTTCTAGATGTTTAAAAATACTAACAGAATTATTATCTGTTACCTTAGTACATAGCTTCCAAAAACTAGCAAAAATAGTTTCTTAACAATTATAGTTACTCCTAGACTAACAGTCAGAAGATAGATACCCTTAGTTTTATGTGTTTGTTTCCATTTCCTGTTCTTTTAAAATTAATTTTTAATGCTGATACTAGGGCTTGAACTCAGGGTCTAGAGGCCATTCCTTAGCTTTCTTTACTCAAGGTTAATGCTTTATTACTTGAGCAACACCACCACTTCTGGCTTTTTGCTACCTAAGTGGAGATAAGAATCTCACAGACTTTTCTGTCCTGGCTGGCTTCTAATGGTAAGCCTTAAATCTCAGCCTTCTGAATAGCTAGGATTACAGGTGTGAATCACCAGTACCCAGGAAATACATCTTAGATCTGACTTTGTTATATCTACTCAACAAATACTTAATAAATGATAATTATATGCAAAGAATTATACTGGACACAAGAAGGACTTTAAGATCCTGAGGGTAAAAAATACACAGAAAAATATGACACAAGGTAGGATGTATCTTAGGATCTGAGATAGTCTAAAGTGATGTAGTTCAATAGAAAGAAGAGGAATTAGTAGGCATAGTTTGGGTCTGGTGGTATTGCTCAAAGTAGAATGTGCTTAGCATACAGTCTACCTTGGAGAGTTTGGTAGTTGAAAAATCCTGGGAGTTTGGTTGAACTCATCCAATATCATGTGTTTATGGGTTTCTAAAGCTGAGCTAGAGGCTTGCCAACCAGGATTTGGTAAATACTAACAAACTTGTTAAATAAGTCAATGAATGAAAGAGTAAGTAAGTAAACAGATGAATGAATGAAGAAAAAGGAGACTAGCTTCTGTTCACAATCATCTGATTAGCCCAACAAGTCTGGGAAATGATTCAGAGTGGATGGACAGCAGAGAAAATAGGGAGAAACTTTTCTCCCCTTTCCCTAGAATCCCTTGGTTGTTTACTTGAGATTGCTGGGAATTGCCTCAATTTTGATGAAGCTGAATGTACTACATCAAGGGTGAATCTGGTTGGCCATGTGCATAAAGGTTATTGTTTTTCTAATAGGTCTCCCCTCCCATTCTTTCTTACTTTAGCAAAAAACAACTTGGCACCAAAGAATGGCCACTTCCTGGCGACTGTCAAATAAATTCGCACACAGTCGGCAGCACTGTGTCCCCGGAGGGCCATCCATCTGGTTGATAGTCTCTGGTAAAGTTGCCTAAAAAAAAAAGAGCAAAACCAAAACTTCTGAAACAATAACATAAGCAGTGTATCATCCTCCCAAGATAAACTCTCTTTGAGCCAATACGAGGATCAACTATGCCACTCTATCTCATCCCTGCCCACTCCTTGTTCTTTCTAGAGATTCCCGCTACCCCCATCAAATTCTCCTATTATTTGACTTCTCAACCAGACTTGAGTATGCCCAGAAAGAATTTTTTTTTGGGGGGTGGGGTTGGTTTGAACTCAGGTCCATGCTCTTGCTAGGCAGATGCTCTTAACATTGAGTCATGCCTCCAGCCCTAATTTTTTCTATTTTTGAGACAGGGTCTTGCTTCCTGCTCAGGAGTACACCTAGGCTATATCTGCCTATACTAGAATCCTGTTGTGGTTAGGTTAACAGGCACCCGACACATCAGCTCTTTGTTGAGAAGGGCGTCCCATGACCTTTTCTGCCCAATCTGGGATCTAACCGCAATCCTCCCAATCTCAGCTTCCCAAGTAGCTGGAATTACAGGTATGAGCTATTGATGCTTGGCTCCAGCAGGTAAAATTTAAACCTCTGAAGAGCTAACACAAAACCTTAGTATGAATTAATTTGCTAAGTAATTTCTTTGGGGGAATATTTTCATTCTGAAAGAAAAGTACAAGAACTAGATAGAGCGAGCCCAATTGGTAGAATTTTAGGAAATACTATTTCTGGCTTGAAGAAATGTAAGCTGCAGTGACAAAGTTCTCAATCAGAGAAGCAACTGCTTATAATACATAGAAGACTGACCTTCAATGATTCACATTTGGAAAATTAGCAGTCAGTACATTGAATTTGCCTCTTTTAAATTTTACAACGGAATTACTTTATATTCTCTAAAACAGAAACTCTCCATTAGTTTAGTTTTAATCACAAACTTTATATTAAAATGTCTTTGATGACAGTTGCATAATTTTGTAAATATTCTAAATGTCATTGGTTTTTACTCTGTGGCATGAATTATATATCAATAATTTTTTTTTGTTGTTAAAATATTTTGGGCTGGAGGTGTGGCTTACATGGGAGAGCATCTGCCTAGGAAGCACAGGCCCTTAGTTCAAACCTCAGTGCTTGAGTTTTTAAAAAGATAAAAAGAGTCTCGTGCAAAAAGGCAGTTTATCTGATGCCCTGCTGTGCCTGGTGGAGGCACAGAAGCCAAAAGAGGGCAGCAAAGTCCTGCCAGGGTTTAAGTACGGAAGGAGTAAAGCTGCTGCCAGGTAAGGGAAGGTGTGGCCACACTGGATGTGGATGTGACCTCAGGGCCTGGGACCCTCCCCTGTCCCCATGGGAGGTGTGAGGCGGAGGTGGGAAGGGGATGGTGGCTCAAGAAGTGACCTCTGAGGAGGGAGAGGTTACTGCTTTCAGGTGTGCCAGTTACCTAGGTAATGCAGGAACTGGGCAGAGACTTATGCAGGAGGTGGGGAGACCCAGGGCCTTTGTGGCCCAAGGCAGACCTTACAGTTATCCTGTTAGATAAGGTTTGGGGGGTAAATACTTCATAAACTTAAATATCTCCTATGCAACGTTTCTTCTTTAAGATTCATCTGTATCCCAAATGAAAAGTGGATCTGAGTCAAGGTCAGGTCTTCAGCTAACAACTTTTTTTTTTTTTTTTTTTGTCATTCTACAATGTGTCTCTCTTTCAAAAAACCATGTGGTTAATAAATAGATTTGAAAGTTTCCCAGTATATCTGTAGCTTTTGAGGGTCACCAGCATTAAAAAGTCTTGACAAAATTGTCACCATTTTTTTCACCTTTAAAATCTGAACATTAAATTCATTAGAATATTAATGAAGAATCAGTGTGGCCCCACCCTTAAACAATTCAAAACAGTTCCTTACCTCGACTGCTCTTCAGAGCATCCATCTCTATACCTTTTAGGATAAAATTTCTCTAGGACTTGTTTGAGAGTTTGATTTGATTTGCACTGATTGGTAACAGGCCCTGCTGGAGTTGAGAAAGGTCTTTCAAAATCTCCAATCTCCACCTGATTGGAATCAAGAATGGAAAAAAAATCTTTAAACACTTCAGTGTCATTTCTACATCAACATTTCTAGGTTACTATTACCATTTGGAACTGCTATTATTGCTGATAACATAGGATAAATTTTCATTTAAAGATACTATTTTAATTGCTAATGTTAAGGTTAAAATGGAAGTTAAAAACAGAATGATGTGAATAAAGTTATTATAAGAACTCTTGAAATAGTATTACGTGGGTGTCTACAACATGCACTAAGAGTATGAATAATATTCTCCTTAATCTCTTCCTAGATTTTTTTCCTCCATAAATGTTGCTGTGTTTGGTCCCTATAATCAGTCACTAATGAATAGAGCCCTTCCTTCCCTCCTCTCTCTCTCAAAAAATGTCCAGCTCTCATTTCTACTTACAGATCATACTGAGGCCACCTCTCCTAATCCATCCATCCTCCTACCCATCAGTCCCTCTCTCTTCCAACTCATCTGCCTAACCTTTTATACAACCCTGTGCCCAGTTTCTATTGTAAGTCAGGCACTATGCTAAATGATGTGAGAGAGGAAAAATGAGAGCAAACTCTTGTGATAAACTGTACTAAGTGCCATGTAGAGGGTACCAAAAGGAGTTCAAGGAGGAAGATGGGATGAGGATATTCAGGAGAATGTTCTGCTAAGTATTCACATAATTACCTATATTGCTTCCTAGCAGAAAGTCAAATGGTCTTGTAGGAAGCCCCAGATCTTCAACTGAAAGGGCCTCTTGCTCATCTTAGAAGATTCTTTTCTTCTTCTTTAGCTCATCAGTTACTGTCTACAATCTTCAGCTGAGCTTTGCCCTTAAAGCCTATACTTCTAATTTCCTATGTTCTTTGATCTTTTTCATTATTCGACTTGGTTTTGCTGCTCAGTTCCCATTCTCATCTTATTTCTATTCTTCTACCAATCCTTACCTTCCTCCTACCCAAGTATCCTTTTTAACGTCCTCATAAAATAAAAGCTTTCTACCCAACCTCACCCATGTGAGCTTGCTCCTAGAGCAAGCAACTGCATTGTCCCCATCTACCATTATAACTACCTGTAGAACCTAGACCAGGCCATTAACCTTGAAGACTATAGCAGGTAAATAATCAGTTACAAAACAGCACATTCAAGGCAATCTGACTCTTAGGGAAGCCTTTAATAATATGTGCAGTGTCAGTGTCTCCCCTCCTTGGTGCCTGATATACAGTATGGGATAGGACAAACAAGTAGTAATTGAGAATAGTCAGCTAATTCCCAGTATACCCCACGTGAACATAGATGCTTTACCAGACACTGCCTACAACACTTAGGGACCAGCTCAAAGAATTTCCTTAAGACAAAGAACATCAACAAGGAACTACAGATATTCAAAATATAATAGAAATAACTCTTTAAAAAGCTTGATTTCTTTAGTGTATCTCATTTATCTTCACAAAAACTGCTCTGGGAACAGAAGAGCAGAAGCATTATTCAAATTTCTTTATATAGAGAAAATGTATTTTTTAATGTTAGTCATGTACTCAATTTTCTTAATGTATGGTCCTACCTCTCTGTCCCCTCTTCATATTTACCTAAAAAATTAAAATATTTATCCCTGGAGTAGATTGTTAGAGAAAGTTTTCTTGAAAAAAATTACAGGTTAAAGCAAGAAGAGAAACTTAAATGTTAGTAAAAGCCAGGGAATCTCACAGAAAACCTGTATCTAGAGGACCAAACCCTAGAATGACATATGAGGAAATCATCTCAACCCTCTCACCAAGAAAATATGAGCCCAGTTTATCTTTTCTACAACTTTTTATCATCTAGTCAAGCATGGTGGTTCACATCTGTAATTCCAGCACTTAGCAGGTAGTGAAAGGAAGATTGCAAGTCCAATGCTAGCCTGGGCTACAGGTAAGTTCCAGGTCAGCCTGAGCTGCATAGCAAGACTTTGTTTCAAAACAACAATAACAACAAAACCCCAAACAACAATAACAACAAACCCCCAAATAACAAAGAAAGGAAGAGAAAAAGGAGGAGAGGAAGGGAGGGAAACAAGGAGGGAAACAAGGCTCATGCCTATAATGCTAGCTACTCAGGAGGCAGTGACCCAGAGTATCATTTGAAGACAGAGCAGGCAGAAACATCTGTGAGATTTCATTTCCAATTAGCCAGCATAAGGCTGGACTGGAGGCATGTCTCAAGTAGTAGGGCACCAGCTGTGAGCAAAAAAGATGAGGAAGAGTTTCAGTCCCTAAGTTCAAGTCCAGGTACTAGAGTAAAGGAAAGGCAAAGAGACAACAATTAGTATAGCTATGATGCTTTAAAGTCCCTATGATCTTAAAATTATCCTAAAAGCTAATTATCAACTATGTCTTCCTCTGAAAATATTCTCTTAGGAAGAATGGCTTAGTTGTAATGCTATGCTAGACACGAAGAGGGATAGGGATAGGCATGCTCTTCAGGAAGACCACAGTGAGTGGTGCAAAGCAGAAATGTGAACAAGAGATTCTAAACCACTGAAGTCAGGACAACAATACATTTGTATAGATCATAACAGAAATGCTTAGACAATCAAATCCACCAGGACAGGATTAAGGAAGACTTCCTAGAATAACTGACATCTATGAGGAAAATGAAAGGATAAGACCAAGTCAACAGGGGTAAAGATGTTCCAGACACAAGAGACAAGTTTGTAAATTATACAGAGTAAAGTAAGGACACCAAATGCAAGTCAGGGGATTGTGCATGGCCGTACTATTTATACTTTACCGGGCATGAAGTTGAGGGCAGGGGATGTTGAAGGAGTGCTGAGGTTAGAGTGGCAGCTAACATTCAGATCATGAGTGTCCTTGAATGTAAGGGAAGTAATAACATCACTTAGGAGTACTTGAATTCAAGGCCACTTTGGCCTTGAGACTCTGTCTCAAATCTTCCTCTGTAAGAGGCAGCTGGCTGATGTCTAAGTATATTTTGGGGGTGCTATAAGCAACCACAGAGCTGCTTTCAAACTTCTTTTTAATTATTCTACGTGGAGACCCTTGTGTGATAGAGGTTGTTGTTAGTTAGTTGTCTCTTAGGATCATTCTCTTCTTAGAGTTGCAAAATGCCTTAATTTCAGTTGAATCTACTGCTAACACTACATTCCCCAACTGCCTTCTAAGTCGGGCAAGACTATGTGACTAAATTCTGAACAGACAGGAATACATGGAGATGCTCTGTAAAATAAGCACTGAGAAGTTTTTCCAAAGGCAGAAGGGCATGCGCTTTCCCGATTCCAATGCTTGGAGCACTGACAGACACTTGGAGATCTGAGAGACCTCCAGGATCATGCCCCCTCCAAAGCACTCCCCAGTGTGGCAGAAGGGAGAGCAGGACAAAGCCTCCACCCCTGGACCTGTGTATAAGGGTTAGGATGACCCCGCCCCCCACAAGAGAGACAAACATAGTTCGATTGATTAAGTCACTAGAAATTTTCATAATTGATACAAGAGGTAAATAAAAGAAAGTGCTTTAGATTTTCCAAAACTCATTCCTATTGGATTATAGAATGACGTTGGCCTGGCACCCTCAGCCCCACAGGCTCAACACTCAAGTTCCTTTATTAAGTGTAAAGCCATACTTTTAAGAGAATTAAGAAACAAGGTTTCCTTGATAGAATATGGTCTCATTCTGTCCCTACAATTGTCAATGGGTCCTGAGTCAAATTGTAATTACAATGCCTGAAAATTTTAAGGTTTTAGTGACAGCAAAATGAATTTAAAGACTTACTAAAGGCATACTGTTTTACAGCACTTAATTGAGTAAAGAAATTAGTATCTTATCATTTCCATTCTTTATTCTGCACAACATGGAAGTTACCTGAGCTAAAAGAGCTGCCATTTCTAATGCCAGATCCTTGCTCAGAGGGAAAAGGCCGTTCATTACTTGATCATTTGTCTGATACATTAACAGCAACTTTTCTCTATCAGTCTCTCCATGAGCTTGCACTGAGAAATATAGTCTGTTAAAAACAAAAGAAAAAGAAAAATTCTTATAAAATGGCATTTTTTTACTATGATAAGGATCAAATCTAGAGCCTGTGCAAGCTTGGCAAGCATTAGCACTAAACTACAACACTAGCCCCCAACCATGTTCTCACAAACGAAGAAAGAAAAAAATGACTGTGGACCCAGATGGGGCTGCTGTAACATGGTCCTCTAATGTGATATGACCTCTGGTTCTGGTCTAAGAAAAAAACTTTACTGAAGTGGAGGAACCTGTCCATTTTTTTTAATGCCCTGAAGTACAAACTCTTTACATGTTACTAAGAAAGGACCTACAACACTGAGTAAAATTAAGTTTGCCATTTCTCCTAAACAATGCAGGATATAAAGTCATTCAACATATAAGCTCAATTTTCTTTCCAGAACAACTCAGATACACTAAACAATGGCAAATGAAGGGTTCCATTCAAAATCAAACCCTTGGGGCTGGGAAGGTAGCTCAGTGGTAGAATGCATGCCTTGCAAGCATGAGGCCCTGGGTTCGATTCCTCAGCACCACATAAACAGAAAAAACCGGAAGTGGCGCTGTGGCTCCAGTGTTAGAGCACTAGCCTTGAGCTGAAGAGCTGAGGGACAGTGCCCAGACCCAGAGTTCAGGCCCCATGACCAGCAAAAACAAACAAACAAACAAACAAAATCAAACCCTTTAAGTAAGAAGGAAAAGGAGTAAGGTTTTATCTGGGCACTGAAAAGCTAGTATTAATACATTTAAATACGTTTTCATTGCTTAGGCACTTGTTGATATACAGCATTAGGAGCTCAAAAATAGTTTACATGCTCTCATTTTTACTTATTGAAACATGGTATGACTTTGTTGGTTGTTTTTAAGATACTATGTTGCCCAAATTGGTCTTTGGGCTCAAGCAATCCTCCTTGAGTAGCTGGGGCTACAGGCACACACTACTGTGTTTGGTTCATAATAGCATGGCTCTTGTTTGCCTAGAAGTGCATTAATTCAGTGGCTCTATTTATCTCTGCTCTGTTTATTTATATGTGAGCTTCAGATCAGACGCCGGTGCTGTGTTCAAAGTGTTATGACAATGAGGCAGGTAAGCAACATTTCTTCCCTCTCCTCTCCTCCCTCTCCCCTCTCTCCCCTCCCCACCCCCACCACACAGATTACTGTCATGACAGCACAGTGGCTGGAGGAGATACACCTGGATCCAGCTATTTGGCTACGCTGTAGATTTCTGGGCACATTCTTTCCACATACTTGAGAAGAAGACATACTCCATTACTTGGAGTATCTTTGAGAAGTGATCTAGAATAGCAGTTATCTTGGAAAACAAAAACAAAAAACCAAACCACCCAAGCCCCATTTTTAGATCAATGGCTGCATGAAGACAAGCAATGCAGGATTGTTATCTGGTAGGTGAGCTGGACAACAGAAATAGGTAAGAAATTCAAAATGATATCAGCAATGTGATATAAAACAAAGAATGAAGTTTAAGATGAAAGCCTTCTATTTTGGCCATGCTTACATTTTGTATGTACTTATTTTTCCCATTTGAAGGAGGAACTATATTTTGTTGAGTCCTATAATCCAACACAGTCTAGCTGTTCCCACTGGAAGGCCTTTCTTTCCAGGCAGACACTCTACCACTGAGCCCCAAGGCTTCTCTTGCTTTCCCTTCCTCTCCCCATCCCTCCCCTCCCCTCCTCTTACCTCCCTTTTCCTGCTCTTCCCTCTTCTTGTTTCCCTTCTTTTTCTCTCCCCTCTTTCCCCCTCCCCTCCCCTTCCTTTGCAGTAACTAGAATTTGAACTTAGGGTCTTGTACTTGCCAGGCAGGTGCTCTACTGTTTGAACTATACACCCAAATCTGTTTTTCTTTTAGTTATTTTTTTTAGGTAGGGTCTCTTTTTTGTAGGTGAGGGGGCCTGGCCCGGGGGCTTGAACCCAGGGCCTAGACTCTGTCCCTGAGCTTTTGTACCCAAGGCTAACGCTCTATCATTTGAGCCACAGCTCCATTTCTTCACTTAATTAAGGATAAGAGTCTTATAGACTTTGCTTCCCAGGCTGGATTCAAGTTGAAATCCTCAGATCTCAGCCTCCTTAGTAGTTAGGATTACAGGCATGAACCATCAACAGGTGGTGTGTCTCTGTTTCCAAACAGCGCCAGTCTCTGACCAGGAATTTCTTACTTATTATGGCTTCCCATGTCACTGGGGTTACAATTGTGTAAAACTATGTCTATCTTATTGATTAGAAGTTTCTTTTATTTTCTTTCTCCTTTTCTTTTCCCTCCCTCCCTCCTTTCCTTTCCTTCCTTCTTTTCTTTCTTCTTTCTTTCCTTTCTTTTTCCTTCCTTCCTTCCTTCCTTTCTTTCTTTCTTTCTTTCTCTTTCCTTCCTTCCTTTCTTTCCTTCCTTTCTTCCTTCTTTCTTTCTTTCCTCCCCCATCCCCCTCTCTCTTTCTTTTTTTTTTCCTTTCCAGTCTTGGAGCTTGAACTCAGGGCCTCAGTAGTGTCCCTGAGCTTTTTTGCTCAAGACTAGCACTCTACCACTTGAACCACAGCTCTATTTCCAGATTTTTTGGTGATTAATTGGAGAGAAGAGTCTCAGTGACTTCCTGGGCTGTCTTCACACCACTATCCTAAGATCTCAGAATTTTGAGTAACTTAGGACTATGGTATGAAAGGCCTGGAAGGATTTTTAATAAAATTCTGAGTCATAATACAACTAAAGAGAAAGAAGGAAACATACAAATGACTACATGAAAGAAAAGGGTATTTTTCTATCATTTTCAGCAGACCCACAAGACTGATTCCAAAGAAGGGAAAAGAATCCCAGATACATTCAGTTCAGGAATGCAATGTGTAAAAACTAGTAGCTCAGGGCTCTAAGTAGCTCAGGCTTTAACAGCTAGAAGGAGATTGCCTAACAGGGCTTTGGAGTGAATAGGAAAAAGAACAAAATTACCACACAAATGACCAAGTTTGAAAATCAGCTCTGGAACCTAACTAGAAGAATGCGATCTCCATCTCTCAGAGCTGCTCTGGAATCCTGAGGCAGAGAAGGAAGACCTGGATTACAGTGGCTGGATTTGGACTGAGTGGTGGGTGTGGTAGTGGTAGGGTGGTAGTGGTGGATCCCGAAGGCCTGCCTCCTCACTCCATGCCCAGGAAGCTCCAGGCTGTGGGGTGGAACCCACCTCTACACATAGACATGGATCCCAAGCTCACAGGGCTCATCTGGGTTGTTCTTTTTATTCCCCTCAAGTGGCTCCATATTCATTCTTCATAACTTTTTTTTTTTTGTCATGGGGCTTGAACTCTGGTCCCAGGCACTTTCACTGAGCTTTTTTTCTCACCACTTTGAGCTAGAGCGCCACTTCTGGTTTTCTGGTGGTTAACTGGAGATAAGAGTCTCACAGACTTTCCTGCCCAGGCTGGCTTTGAACTTTCAATCCTCAGATCTCAGCCTCCTGAGTAGCTAGGATTATAGGTATGAGGCACTAGTGCCTGTTTCATTCTTCATAATTTTTATGTCCCCTTTTTCTTCCTCTTATAAATTTGAATAGAGAATAGCCTGTAATCCTTTTCTATCTACAATCCCTTCACTCCTTGGTTACTACAGCCTACTTAATACCCTCCCCTAAAACTGCAGTATGAGCTGGGTGTCAGCAGCTCATGCCTGTCATCCTAGCTACTCAGGAGGTTGAGATCTGAGAATTGCTATTTGGAGCCAGCCCAGGCGGGAAAGTCCATGAAATGCTCATCTTCAATTCTAGAAAAAATTCCAGAAAAAGCTGGAAGTGGAGCTATGACTTAAGTGGTAGAGGGCTAGCCTTGAGCAAAAAGGAGCTCAGGACAGCACCCAGGGCCAGCAAAAAGCCTTGAGCAAAAAGGAGCTCAGGACAGCACCCAGGGCCAGCAAAAAGCCTTGAGCAAAAAGGAGCTCAGGATAGCACCCAGGGCCAGCAAAAAGCCAACACACACACACACAACACACACACACACACACACACACACACCTGCAGTATGAGTCAGGTGGTGCATGCCTGTAACCCCAGCTACTTGGGAGGTGGAAGCAGAAGGATCATGAGCTTCACGCCAGCACAGGAAAACTTAGTGAGACCCTGTCTCAAAGACAAAGTAACAAAATGGCTGAGAGCATACCCTAAGCAGCAGAGTGCTTGCTTAGAAAGCACAAGGTCCTAAAGTTCAATTCTCAGTACAGCAAAGGAAACAAAAAGAAACAAATGTTCTGCAGTGTGATCTCCTCACCCCTTCCTGTCTCTGTGGCTATAACCTCAGTCACTTGCTCACAGGTCACTACTCTGAGAAGCCTCTAAGTTCCACATCTTGAACATACACATTACATGCATGGTAATATCAAATGTTGGTAGACAGGCTTTGAACTTAGTGCTTCACATTTTGTCTTCAGAAAACCCTAGCATAGGAGCCATTTGAATGTCCATGTTATGCAGAGGTTATTGAGACACGGAGATGATAAATGACCTGCTCAGAGCCACATAGCAAGAGGCAGGGAGTCCAGGATTTTAATCCAGAAGTCTGTCTCCAGTGTCACTATCTCTCAGCACTCTCAGCACTGCGACACAGTTCCTCATCATCCTAGGATCTGCAAAGTTGTAAAGGGCAGGGGAATTCTATTGTCAGGCTGTGGCAGTGGGCGTGGGAGGCTGTGGTAGGCTGAATGAATAAATGACCAAATGGTAGTGAGCATTAATACAGGAATTATTTGCAAAAAAAAAAAGCCAAACCAAAACAAACCCCCCAGATGTCCCTTTTTCTGTTGTTTTGGATAAGTCATTGAACTTTTTTCTTTATTTCTTTATTGAGATTATGTGACTACATTAATTTCATAATACTGTGGCATAGTTATAGGACCCTAAAACAAACTCCTTTTTGTGATTGAACTCTTAAGCTTCAGTTGCTTTATCTACAAGATAGTTATAAAAGCAATCCCTTCAGGATTGTCTATGAAGCTCAGCTCAGGCCTACGGTATGATAATTCATCAAAAGATGATTAGGTAGGTAATTTCTATTAGCAACAATATTCTTCTTAGAAGCCTTGAGAATCACAATACAATCTATTCTGGTACCCAGTATGGTAGTGCATGCATATAACCCTAGCACTCTAGGTAGAAGGAGAAGGATCTCAAGTTTGAGGCCAGCTTTAACTGCATAGCAACTCTTGAGGTCAGCCTGAGATACAATGTAAGGCTGTGACTCAAAAATAGAAAGAGAGAGAAAGAAAGGGAAAAAGTATGGAAGTGGTGCTGTGGCTCAAGAGCGCTGGCCTTGAGCTGAAGAGCTGAAGGACAGCGCCTAGGCCAAGAGTCCAAGCCCCACGACCGAGCACAAAAAGGGGGAAAGAGTAAGAGAGGGAAAGGTAGAGAGGGGGAAGTGGAGAGAGGGAGGGAGAGGAGGAAAGAAAGAGGCAGAGAAGAGAAATATATTTTGTTCAAGTATCTTAGATGTGGACACTGCCAGAAGAAATGAAATTGACTTTAGGAGCCAATAGGTGCAAGTGCTCTTGCAGTCAGCTAAAGGTAGCAGAGACAGGAATGTTAACTATGTTCCAGAAAATGACAACTACAAAGCATTACTGAAAATACTCTTTGATTTTCAGGGAGGGGGAAGGAAGAGTTGTTCCCTGCAGGGAAGGCTCCTTGCCAGATTTGTTTTGTTAAAAACATTCCTTAACTTTGGTAATTTCAAACACACACAGTAAGAAGTCAAATGAAATAAGAAGCTTTAATAATGAATAGAATTTAAGCAATCCGAGACCAAAGCCTATTAATTAGATCTTTAACCCCTGAATCTGAATAATTAAAATCCCATAACTTGCTAAATATAAATTACAAATTCCACAATAAAGAGAATTGGTATTTTAGTTGGGTTTATTACAGTGCTTCTTGGCAGATGAAGAATCAAATCCCTGGCTGCATGACAGATCACAGCAGTTCCTCTCTTGACTGTGTCACTGGAAATTAGTACTCATTGTCTAAGCTATTTATACACATATGCAAAGCATGGCCATATTTAGAAATGCACTTTCTCATAACTGTGCTCTCCATCCATTTCAGGCTCCTGTTTAACATTACACTTCTTAGTTGAGTTGCTTTTTTCAGATGGTGTGTGTGTGTGTGTGTGTGTGTGTGTGTGTGTGTGTGTGTG